ACTGGTATGAGAAGGGAGGAAGCCAACAACGACTTCAAGATGGGAATAGGGAGTGGATTACTACCATAGCCTGTATTTGTGCAGATGGGACATCTCTTTCACCTGGTCTGATTTACCAGGCAGTCTCAGGAGATATTCGAGATACGTGGCTGCAGGATTTTGATCATAATGATCACTACTGCTTTTTCCAATCATCAGCTACTGGATGGACAAATGACAGCCTGGGATATGCGTGGCTTACCTTAATTTTTGATCGTGAGACAAAGGAGAAAGCTCGGAGATGTTGGCGGCTCTTAATTCTTGATGGCCATGGCTCCCATGTCAGCATGAAGTTTATTAACTTCTGCGGTGCAAATAGAATCCTTTTGGCTATTTATCCACCTCATTCAACACACAGTTTACAACCTCTTGGCGTTAGTCTTTTTGGTCCCCTTTCTCGGGCCTACAGTGACGAATTGGAGAGATTTATGCATGAATGTCAAGGAATAAGCCATATCACAAAGCGTGATTTCTTCAGACTATTTTGGCCAAGCTGGAATAAGGCTTTTTCAATTGAAAATATCAACAGTGCATGGAAATCAGTTGGTCTACATCCTTGGAACCCTGAGGTTGTTTTGGCACGCTTCACCAGAAAAGAGGGCGAAAGACCCTCTTCTAGTGAGTCATCACAGTCTATTTTAAAGGCAGAAGACTGGCGTCGCATTGAAAAGCTTCTAAAGCAAGCTGTTTCTGATGTTTATGATTAGAAGGTCCGGAAATTGAATGACACAATGATGCATCTTTCTACAGAGAACATTCTTCTCAAACTACGATGTACGGGCTTGGAAAATGCTCTACGAAATGAGCAGAAGAGGCGATAGCGTGGGAAGCCTTTACAGCTTCAGCTTCAAGCACCAGAAGATGGTAATGCCATCTTTTACAGCCCTAAGAAGGTTCAACAAGCGCGGGATCTTCAAGCAGAGAAGGAGGAAGCTGCACGCCTTGCTAAGGCCGCCAAAGAGGAAGATAAGATACGTCGGCAGCAGGAGAAAAAAGAGAAAATACGCTTGATTGAAGAACAAAAGAGAATAAGGGCTTATAATAACAGTCTACGAATGCAGGAAGCGGAGGAAAAGAGACGCCAGAAAGAGGAGGAGAAAGCTGCAAAACAAGCTTCTCTACAGCTTCAAAATGATGTCAAACAGGCTAATAAAGGTAAGAAGAAGTGTACCGAGTCTACTACGGAAAAGAAAAAGGATAATACCCATAGGAAAAGTGAGGAAGAAGTGGAAGAGGCACCTGTTACTGTAAATAGTCGAGGAAGGCAAATACGGCTTCCGCAGCAATTCCGTAACACCAAAAATTAGCTAAACAACTTCTCTGGACTTGTTATTTGGTTCCATTAAAAATTCTAATCATTTTATGTTCTAGTTGTGGCTGTATAGCTTCATTTCTGCACTCGTAGTTGACCCGAAAATCAGGCGCCAGGTGATAGCGGGCGTCAGGTGATCGGGGACGGTATCACGTGACACGGGATCGCGGTCAGATCGCATCGACAGCTATCCCCGCACTTCTGAAAAAGAACACAAGGAACATAGCATTCAAGTATATCGTTGTGAATATATTGCATTACTCCCTGGCTAGGCTAGCACGTAGCCTGTATGTGACCTCACTGCTGCTCGATCTCCGGATCCTCCGCATTCCTTCCATCCTTACACTGTCGAAATATTTTCGACTCCGGTTCAGAGATGACACGTGGGATTGGGGAAACAGCCGCAACCATGACTCGCCTATCCGGGCCTGTTGCAAATTTATCATTGGCGGTGATGTCTTCTGTGAGCGTCTGGCGAACGAATATGAAGGCGCTTGTGCACTCTTGGAGTCAATCAATGCTCCCATTCCTGAGCCTTATTTTGTTCATGGTTCTTCCTGGTCATGATACATGTATTCAGACTGGATTTCTCAGTCGCAGATATGATGGAATCATTTCCATATCATCAAGACCGCTTAGGTCTATCTAGGGAGGCATGGAAAAGGCGAGTCATTAATGAATCTGCTACGCTGAATTCACGATTATGAGCAGATGCTTGTTATCTATAACATGCTAAGATGCCAATGTAGAGAAGCCATTCAGACGAAGGAGAGCTGCTTATGAGTCGCTATCAGCAAATGAGCAATGATACATTCGAGCGTAGGCACCACGAGTCATTATTTGACTATCCTGTGCGGCGTGCTAAGTGAGATATTTGCGTTTCCGCCCTGGAAATGGGTATTCCACACTGATTGCATGAAATGAAGACATAGCTTTTCAAACTACAAATCCGACCCCCTATGACTCGTGGCTCACGTACTAAGTATCTTGACAATATTCGGGCCGTCATCAACACCGTAATGATGGATTCATTCTAGTAGCGATATATTCTGCTTCTATACTGATTGGGATTAGGTTTGGAGACAATAACACGCTACCCGCCTGACAGCGACCTTGGTCCCTGAAGGAGACCTTGTTCCCTTGACACGCGAGGGTGCCGATGTCATTATCTAGTGCTCCTAGGAAGTTGTTCAGGGGCGTTACGCAGGTCCGGAAGAATGCAACTTTCTATTTCAAGCCATAATTGCATTGTCAGGCGATCCGAAGACTCCCTTGTTAAGCAGTCTCTCGGCGAACGGGCAATGTGGCCGGTGCCTTTTGCATCTGTTGATAGAACCGCTGAGAGTGCCGAGGGCCTGTTTTTAGGCGCGCCTCTCTCATCAACCGATCCTTCTCCGCAATCGCTTTCCAATGTTGGTTGCCGCAGTTGGCCTGCGCCAGCTTCAGCCAGGTTTCCCATGCTATCGTCCTCGGGGCAGCTCCGCTCAGTGTGACCCATTCAGTTTGTCCTGTGGCTTGAATGGCATACCACAGACTTCGTGTGTAGCTGGGGCCGACTCCGCCTCTTGAAACTGTATGTGCATCTCTCAAGTGTTCTGGTGTCACGTCTATGCAGTTGTACCGTGACAGGTCCCAAAGCCAGCTTTGTGGGCAGAGGGAAGCCACCCAGTAGAGGGCATTCAATGTAATGTAAATAACCGCGATCACGGCTTGCATTATCCAGTCGCAGTTCCCCAGAAGCAACACAGACAGAATGATGAGCAGCGTGCCAACGCCGACCAACACTTTGAACCATTCCTCATTAACCAAATAGTTGCATTCTTCTGGGCCTATGTAGAGCTCTCGAGCAACCTCTTCAGTGCATTGAATGATGATAAAGGCACCATCACGTGTGCGAATCACGATGTCTCCATCTGGGACTGAAGCATCTGTTGGTCGAGCGGCTAGTTGTGGTCTCCAGTAAGACGCAATGCCAATTAAAGTAGAGGCAGAGCACATTGCTATCAGAGCAAGAACTGCTACCCCATCTTTAATCACAATTGCCCAGATGAAAGCCCCAAGAGTGAGGAAGAATGAGGCCACCGTCAGGAGATTGAGGGGTGATGTTCTGCAGGAAGGCACCAGAGCCTCATTCTTAGGACTGTATGTCTTCCTTTGGTCTATTGTAGATCAATGTCAATGGTTGTGCGTCCACTACCGAGGAGTGTATCATACCTGCCCAAGTGATATTATAGACCTTGACTTCATACTTATTGATGCTTGTAATTGGATGGATGATGTCCGCAAAATAGTTTAATTCATGGATGAGTGTACCGGAATAAACCCCACAAACAATAGCTGGTGGACTTGGGAGCCTTAGTGCTCGAGCAGATCTAAGGAAGGATTGGGGGGCCGGAAGTATGCGAGGAAGCAGACACAACATTGTGGCACTCAGTTGTTGTATATGGCGGGCCATCAATGACTCCCCGAGGATGGCGATTAGACTGACAACATCCAGCCGCCAGCCTGAACTGTTATTGCGACCGACAGGAAACCACTCCATTTGCCTTAGCTGAATCGGATCGCTGGGTCTGCCGACCTCCTTGACCTCAATATCGACCATAAAATATTTCACAGAATTGGCGACCCGAGGCTCAGCCTTGACAGATACCATGTGATGCTTCAACTCAATCCAGGTCCCCGGTGTCTTGGGCTTGTATTCTTCCTGGCGAATTTTGTCGAAGTCATGTTCATGATCTCTCTGATCTCTCTCGATGACACTGAAGCCGACGCCGAATTGCGCGTCTGAGCCCAGCATAACCAACAGACGTGTCTCGTCATAACAGTCGAAGATGGCACATACGCAGAGGGTATTAGCTGCCTTGCTGATTGTAAACGTCTTTGCGAACCGAGGATGTATGGGTCCCGTGTCCGGGTCGCGAGTGGACAGAATGGCTTGCGGCGTCTGCTTTTCGGCTATGTTCATGTCGATAATATTTACCAATCGGTATGGTGTACTGGAATCTGGAATCTGTCGAATCTGGAGGACATGATGGGGAAAGATGCCTTCTGTTTCGGGTACGACACTTGTCTGGCGTACGTAGATGGTGTGCGGGGGCCCGCGGTCCTGCACTTCGGCTAGACTGCTGAGCTTGATGCGCGCATACTGCTCATCAACCTGAGAAAGTCGTTTCAAAAAGATGCCCAAAAAGCCTCTGAAATGGGGTGGGCTTGGGCAGTCAAGCACCGCGACGGGAATTCCTTCTTGGGTCTGGGTGAGGGGCAGTCCAATTTGGAGACCGCAGTTCGTCATGGAGTAGGGTTGACGCGACTCCCAGTCTTGGTAAGGTAAGATGTCGTAGCAGCTTGCGAAGTTGGCCGGGGAAGTAGCCAATAAACCGTGAAGAGAAGTGTCCGACGCGGCAGGGTCCACCCACGCAAAGATCGACTGATCGTCAGATTGTTTCATAATCTCCTCCTGGAGACGCAGAAATGCTTTGGTCTTGCCTTCGCCATAGAGCATGGGCATGTTGACATCGAAAATGCCCATTAGGCAGTATGCCATGTCCTCGGGGCGCGTCGTTTGGCGATGGGCGGCCCAGGACATACGCCTGGCTATGCTGGCATACTCCAATGGTTTGCGGTGCATAAGGATATCCTCGTCGATGCGAGTAATGCGGGAGAGAGTGCTGCAAAGCGTAGTCTTCTTTCCAATTTCGACCCATTCCCGTGAGAACAATACAGCTTCACGCGGAGCGAGTAGCTCCTGGAGGGTGAATCCCCGGGTAAGCCATCTGGTCCGCTCAAATTCGGAGCCTGGCTTGTTTGGATCGACACCAGTAGGTACATCAGCCAGGAATGTCCAGCATATTTCTGCCTTCCGATACCATGAGTACATAGAGTTTATAGTTTCCGAAAGCTCAGCGCTGCTACTCTTGTCAATACAGCAACTGTCGATCCAGACATACTCAAGGCCATAATTAACACTTGCTTCGCAGGCTGATTTCACCTTCTTCCAGGACGCCTTTCGCTCGGCGGTGTTGTGGCGGAGATCATCGATTAGAACCTCCTCAGTCTCCCACGTATGTGAAAGAATTGCGTATGGCGGTATTTTGTCTGGAGGAAATTCCTCCAACTGAATTGTGCAGGCTCTCAAAAGACGCATTGGAAGGTAATTTCAACCATTTGCAGCCGTTGAAGCCGTAGAAAATGGTAAGCTTTGATCTCTTTTCGAACACGATAAGGGTAAAATGATAATTATGAGAAGAAAGCAGGCACCACGTTCTTTATTAGACATTTGATCATTGCCACCAGTGACCAAGAGGGTGAGTTTAAGGCACCCATGTCTTGTGCAGTACAGATTTCACATCAGAGAATTTGAACAATAGAGCCACATACATAGCCTGGAAGCACAGCCTAGGAAGATGGAATTAAAGAGAAAAAGGGGGGGAAAGAAACAACAGTTGTAAATGGCTATAGTTTCAAAACCAAATCATACAGAGCATCATAAATAGGGTACCATGTCTACAGTAACTTTTGAACCCCTCTATTGTGTGCCTAAGGTCAATCTGCGTAGGAAATATATGAAATGAGTGAACTTAGTTACAGTCAGAAAGCAAACCATATAGGCAATCCCGTATTTTTAATACTCGTCCAGGCAGAAAACCCAACTGAGATGTTATTTCCACACCAGACTTGTCTGCTTGTACCTACATTAGCTTCTTCCGGAACGCAGACCAAGGCGTTCTGGTTTTGTTGGAGGTCCGTTGACTTGCATTTAAATTTCCGTTACAGAGTGGCTGTGTCCTTTAGTGCAAGTGTCTACAGGTCATTTGCTCTCTGCATTGCTTTAGACTTGTGTCTGGAAAGAGAGAGTGCGAGCGTACCTTGCAGAATTGTTGATATAGTTTACTGCTTACCCACTTCCGATGATTTGGCTGGGTTTCCGTCCTAGTTATAACCTTCCTATATCACTCAATATCTATTCGACCAACCAGTGATCTACTCGTCGATATATCAGGTGATCTAATAATATATGACGATTCAGATTACGGATTTAAGGGATGAAAACCCTCGTGGCCGCCACAGTTCGGGGTATATAGATCACCTAGGTAGTCACTCATTTGAGAAGAATCGGACCATGCCCCGAAGGGTCTGAGTCGAAATCGGGTATTGGACATCAGGCAGTAGCACTTGAAACTGATATAGCCTCTTCTAGGCCGAACATGTTGTCCGCTTCTATATCAATGGCAATTCGGCTTTGATGCTGTACTTCGTTACTCGTTCTAGGAACGTGAGAAACCCCTTAGCAATGCCTTCGTACTAGACCTCGACAAGACATCCGGTTACTAACTAGGTACCCAAACCCATGCCTCGGTAGATCTTTACCTTCTTGGTCTGTAAAAGACAGTCAAGAAGATGAGCAGGGGCTGAGAGTCAATTAGCTGGGTTCAATATGAAAAGTGTCATCAACCCATAGATTTACAACTCACCTTACTTTGCCACATCGTCACAATCGGTGGTGCTCACCAAGTCCTTCCACGCGACGAAGGCTGGCTGTGTCACAACATCGAGCCCAGGGATACGATTTTTGTCTGTAACCTTGTGGCTACCATCACTCTCAAGGAAGTTGGTATGGAAGTATCCGGGCTCGATGCAAGTCGTCTCGATCCCAAACGGAGCCAATTTGGCCCTCAACGCCTCGGTGTAGATGGCAATGGCCGCTTTGGTGACGCAGTATAGGCCTCTCCTGGATTTCCTCTCCAGCCTCCGATAGAGCCCATATTGGCGACAGTGCCGGTGGGTCCGAGAGAGTGCAAAAGATATTTAAAGGCCATTGAATCCCACAGAAGTTAGAAAGATCAGCGCCGGCCTGACAGTACATATGCCCCTGTCCACTGACAACGAGCCCCGGCCTGACAGTACTGCCCAGGGAGATGCGCTTAAATATTATTGTTAGATCCCATACACTCTATGACTTTTAACCTCATGTTTGTACATTCAGTGACTGCTTCAACAGTGATTGACTTATTCTAGCCAACATGGTTAGATAGGGTATGAACTCTTTTGTCATTGGCACATATAGAGATGCTTTGTAATGTGTTTTAGGCAGCCACAACAACAAATTAATAACACAAAATACATATACATCACTTTGGTGGCGCCCTCAACCCCCAGGCAGACTGATCTGCTTCAGTCTGACGCGCTTTATCCGGCCATCTCTGGATTGTGTATCATCCTAAGTATTTACATCCCAGCTTAAAGGTCAAAACTCTAGCCAGCACAGTAAGGATCTCTCATACAGCTTATTGCTCCTTGATCAGTAGTGAAGGGATACTCTGTCACATCCAGTTACTTCAAAAAGTTCTTTCCACATATCATGGTCCGTAGGAAGATGCTGGTCATCTAGATCTAAGAAGAATACTGAGTCCCAACCATTACTTAAATTCAAAGCTTATTTAAGATTAAGATATAAACAAAGAAATAAAACTCTACAGGACACCAAGCACCTGTTCAGTGTCACCTTTTGCTGTCTAAGTATTACTAAAGTATAATAGATTCTCCTCCTTCTGCAGCCATAAGGTCACCTAACAGGGACATATAGATGTGGAGGCTGTAGCTATATATCCACTAAAGTATCTACCTTCTTTTATACAGCACTTTAGCCAGTCATAATAAGCTAGTGTAAGAAAGAGTGGCTCTGAATAATTATTGTAATAGCCCTGGTTATTAGTAATTATGCCAGGAATGGGCTGAGCTGCTTAATCCACTCAGAAGATATCCTTATGATTACATGAAGCTAGGCATGTGATGCAACCCAAAGGTTGATATGATCATTATTTTACCACTCCTCAACAATATCCTGCTGCATTGATATTGCTGTCAGCTCTAGCAGCTAAACAGAGTGACACTTAGATAACTGGAAGCTTGTGGATTGAATCAATCTCACACTATTAAAGTTTTAGTCCTTCTATCCCACGGCCACAGGAACAGAGGTAGAAGACTGGATATGGCTTATGGTATGCTAAATTTCTGGGCCTGCTAAATGCTGCTTAAATTAAATTTCTTTTTAGATGCACGCCATCTTATTGAAGTAAGAGAATCAGCGCAGAAAGGCTTAGCTGTGTTTGTGAAAGCTAGTATAGCTTATGGTACCTATGTCATTGCAGAGCCGGCCCTACTTGAAATTAATTGAATGTATAAATCACTATTGCACTAGAGTAATGCTTATTACTATGTAAATTTATAATCTTGAATTAATTATAACATATTCAAACAATAGTATAATTTTAATAGTGTTATCCTGCATGGCTCCATCAACCATAACCCTTACTCCTGGAGGCTGTCACTGCAAATTTGAGTGAAAACATGGCCTTATTGGGCCTGCAATATTATCAGTATACCATTGACAGAAGAATGCTCAAGTCAAATAAGAGACAATCAAATCAATAGAAGTGAGTGCTTTGGCCCCAAGCCGGCCACCCAATGAAGATAGCATCCACACTTTTGATGTTAACAACTCAACAAATCTCACAGAGACAATTGCCTATTGTAACACTTCAGGTCAATCCCGGCATTCCTCGCTTGACACCAGGTTCTCCTATGCCAGGAACTAATAGCGGCCTGCTCTTTTCCAGTGGCGTGCGGAAGATGGGGAAGTACTTCAGCACTGGCCCTTTGCCGAACGCCTCCTCCATTAAGTACACAGTGACTCTCCACCAAGCCAGGATTGAACTGATAATCCAGAAGTAGGCAGCGACCTTCATACCAGTGCCAACGCCACCTCCGTAGGCGAAGAGACAGCATGCGATGGTGGTTCCAATGGCGAGTGTGCTCAAAACCGCGCAAAGGATGAGGTCCCTTGCAGAAGATGCAATAGCCTTGAGAATATTAATGATTTCTTGAAGAAAAAACTTAAGAGAAATAAATAAGAGCACACTTACACCAGACCATGTAAAAAATGCTAGGACAATCATCCAGGAAGCAAGTTCTGGATAGTGTTGATCAATAGGGTGCGGAGGCAAAGTTCCGATGGCCTTCAATGCTCTGTTAATTAAGCTCTCATTTAAGCAGACAATGGTCATTTTCCGTACCACAAGGAGATAAATGAGACCGGTACTCATCCAGAAACTTCCCCAAAGCACATGGATTACTGTCACCAGTGTATCTCTGGCTGCAAAACCGAAAAAGCCAGCGATGAATTGGCCAAGCCCTCCCCAGAATGCCACAAAGGGAAAGAATAGGGTAGGTGAGCTTTCGCTGCCCCACCAGCTGGCAATATAAGTGGCAGTAATCCAGGTTGAACCTGCAAAGCCTGCAAGTCCCAATGCTGCAGGTGCGGCGATGGGTCGGAGAAATATTGTGACATTAGGGTCTCGTTCGAGGATGCGATCGACTTTTTCGCGATTATTAGCTTCGAGTGACATCTCGATACAGGTTCTGAGTAGAGATTTTCAGTTACCAAAGACTAATGAGCAATCTCGTTGAAATGAATACTCCGAGTCTCTTGCAGTATTTATATATGTTTCACAGCTTTGAAGCCTTCCCAGTCAATATCAGATCCACCCACAGTCGCAAGAAAGATAAAAGCGTCATTATTACTCTGCAGTTTCTGCACCTGTAGTAGTATAATTTCTCAAAAATGCTGTACAATATGCGCCTGCACGCAGAGGTGATGGTAGTCCATCACTTTCTCCGCGGATATAACAATTCTGAAGGTAAAATCGAGGCTTGTAAGTCGAGTGGCAAGCCCATACGGATATACTATGATACATCTGAACACTTCAATCAATCTTTATTTGAATTGTACGTCACCTGCTTAACATCATCTCTATGTAATCATCCCCTTGAGAAGAGAATGGATTCTGTGGAGTTTACTCATCGCCACAATTGACACAATATCCATGATGATGCAGGGAACCCTTCCAAGGCAGCAGCAACAAAGTTTAACCTAAAGGGCACAATAACCAAACCTATCCCATTGCTGTACCATGACCGTTCAGGAGGCATACAAGCCAGTCTTCCTCATCACTCGATGTCAAATGAAGGTCCCTGGTTTCAATGCAGCATGGACTTACCAACGGCGATTTGGAGAAAGGGTCTTGGATAGCCGCGCCCGAAACCGAGTGTAGACTGGCATTGTTAATCTACACGTGCCAGTGGTCACACCAAATAGCATTGTCAGATATCAAATCCCCATATTGTCGTTCAGGCCAAGGCCGCGGCATATGCCAGAATACTGGGGACAAATCCACCTGATTCTCCATCAACGAAAGCCCGCTGAGCACATTGAGTCATAATCTTTGTGATATGGAGTGTTGGTGGATATATATCCTCAGGAGCAGCATCTCAAGCAGGCGATTACTCCATTCACTGGATGCTAAGAGTACAAGTTATGGTGTTATGAGCCATTCTATGGGGCCTTGCTCATTAAATGAAATCCTATTCTGAAATCACACCTCAGAGGGCCGCCCTGTGATTTAACACTCTCTATAGGGAATATACTCATCTTTATTTAGGGCATTGGTGCCAAATGCCAATGTCTGCTCATCCTTTCATTAACCCTTAACTCTCTTCAACAAGTGCTCACCTCTTTAAAAAGGACGTAATTTATTCAATAAATAGTGGTAAACATTTATTGAAAGCTATAAATTAGGGATTCTTAAAGACACTGCATTTGCCTGATAGCTTCTGAGGCAGAATGAGTAGCATCTTTTGACTACCCTTGCCAGGGGAAGGTACCTTGGGCATGGTAGCCTGTAAAAGGTTCCAACAGAGATTAAATCTGGTGGAACCCTGATATATATTAGAATGTTCTCATCTTAAACATCACTCTATCACTGCTGCCAGAGTGCCTTTAGTTAGTGCGCTAATTCTAGGCCAATGTTCTTTCTGCTCTGATTGCTGGACTCCTGGCAGGGCTCACTAGTCACCATGCTTTTAGTACTTATTGTAATAACAGTGGTTAACGCCACAGGTTTGCTTTAGATGTATAGCTAAAGGTTCCTAAAGGCCGACCCTGCTTCTTGTCACCTCTTCTTTGCCCTGGTCTTTGGCTTGGAACCTGCATATATGGGCATCTCTTGCTGAGCAGAGCTTTGGTTCCCTATTCTGATCACCTTTTTGGCCCCCTGTTTGTTTTGAGTGCCCTCATCCATCACACGGCTTTTGGCTTTGTCCACAGGATGGTAGCCATCGCTGGGTTCCAAGAGCTGGCTAGGACCTGTATCTTCTCAGTCACAGAGTCACCAGGGGTGGAAAGTTCGGGCCATCTTACTCTGGCGATCTTTGTCATCCCTCCTTCCAAGACGCCCCTTGCTCTGAACTAGGTCTGTCAAATCTTCTCAGTCACATGTACCGGAGTGAACAAGTCTTGAGTCATCATACTGGGTCGAGACCTCTGACTCTTATCCTTCCTCTCTTCCTGCATTCCCTTAAGAGCGCTCTCACTCTCGTTGGTCTCGTTGAAAGATGAGACCTGTTCCTCTGCGAGTCTGGTCTTCCCATTCTTCTTAATTGGATGGGCGTAGATGTCGTCTTCATCTATATTTTCTCGGTCATAGACACTGGAATGAACATGCTCAGCCATCTTACCGCTGTCAACATCCTTATGAGATAGTTCTTCCTCCATTGCTGAAGGAGTCTTAACCAGCCTGTCTGGCTTCTCGTCTGCAGGTGTCATTGTTGGTTGCTTGCCTGTATCTCCTTCAGTCACGTAGACGTGATGAGTAAGTCTGACACATCTGACCGGCCTTACCGCTGAGAAACGTTGTGTTCTTCGGAATCGTCATTGTCGGCTGCTTGCCTGAATCTCCGTCAGTTCCCTACGCCCAAGGAGTCGGTCTAACCCATACCGCTGGTATTGTGCTGACTCGTCGCTTGATTCTCGACTTGCATGCTCTTCTTCTGACCGGTCCTCTTCTCGCCGCCGACTGACTGCCTCATGACAGCGCGAGCCACAAACAATCTCGACCCATCTTTTGTCGGCCCGCCGTTCCTGATCGCCCATAGTAGAATCAGTATGTCCCGGGCGGCCTCAAGTCGTTTCGTGGGATCAGCAAGATTGTATGAGGCAGTCACTTTGTACAGGATGCAGTAGTGCATTTTAGGGGAGTTCTTGTTTCCCAAGTTCGTGATCCACCGGAGATAATCTGCCGGAAAGCGAGCAGTATGTATCGTCAAATGGTAATGATGCACATGAATAACAAAGGCCTAGATACCCATCGGATTCAGTCACCTGGGATTCAAGTGTAACTTGGGGGAAGCGGGGGAGATGATTGAACAAACATCATGGTACGGCGCAGAAGGTTTCTGATTACTATCCAGCCCTTGCCCTGTGAGCTCCGGGGGTAGAATAGACGCTTCGGGGTCTGTATCATTGAGGTAATCCATGTTCATGACGGCAGCTGATAACAGCTCCGAGAAGATTTGGGCATGTACATTCGAGGACTTTGCTAGGCGTTTTGCCTATGAGCCTTCTCCGTCAGTGATTTTCACACAAGGGAAAAAGAAACGAGCAGATCTACCTCATATCGAATGATGGGCACCCCGCCGTAACGGTTCCGATCAGCTGGCGTATGCGTCATCACCCCCTGTGCCGGGCGTGTAGTAGCAGGGCGACGATCGTTCGGACCCAGTTTCGAGCCCGGGCTCAATTCTGGGTGTCCAGAGGTGCCACCACGAGTTACGTAGACGTAGCCGTCGTCCAGAATATTGCACTGTTTGGTGCCAACGATGATCTGACCATCTGCACGGCCGGGTGTGCTAAAGACACCTGTCAGTCAATTTCTCACCTTGGAAAGATTCAGCCGGCTTTACCTGCGATACTCGTCTCGACCGCCGCAGAGGATGGAGAACAGGAGGAGCACAACCTCCATGAAGCGATGGAGCAGCTGCTCGGACGATGCCTCGAGTTTGTTCTCGTCCATATCCAGGGTCTCCCACTCTCGTGATATGTTCTTCTTCGGACTGTCAACTTCGGCTTTGCTGCGCGTCAGCAGATCCCGCAGTGAGGTGAAGAAGAGACACCAGGGATTTAGCAGGAACCAGGACATATGTGTTGTGGAGAACTTGGTGAGCTCCGGATCGGTAGCCATGGTGATTTCTTTCAGGATTCGCTTGACAACTGTGGTGATTATCAGCAGGTTGCGCCAGATACATAGATAGGTAGATCTCAATGTGGGAACCCTTACTGTAACAACTGTCGATCTTATCGCAAACATCCTTGACCAAGGTCTTAGGGTCACTGGGGAGGATGGCCTCCAATCCAACATCGAACAGTGGGACGCAGCAGAGATCCACAAGTTGTCCAAACTTCCAGCTAGATGCCGAGATACCAGCCGCAGAATCATTCGCGTCCTTTGTCAGGTGCTCGCTAATAATGCCTCGATGCATCTTGGCGGCCTGATACAAAGCGTACAGAAGCTTGGGTGATGTCTGCTGATTCTGTCTGAAAGCCTGCTCTACGATGCCAAAGCTCTCCTTCTGCCACTCCTCCCGCGGGAGAAGCTCCTTAGTGAAATCGTTGAAATTGTCCTGATCAACATTGTAATACGACTTGATTGCATCGCGGGCGGACGCCAGAGAATCGATCTCGTCTGCCGGTACCACGGTCTCCCACTTCGAGGCGACGGTCTGGAGGCTCATTGCAAACTTGAGGCTTTGCTGGCACACAGGATGCCACTTATGCTCCGACTCGAGAGAAGGCTCAGTCGAGGCACCCAATATCGGGGGCGGAATTCTGCCCACTTGGCGTATGGAGCGTCTACAATCCCTATTAGCGATGCGAATCGAGAAAGAGACGGCTTAGAAACCCACCTTTTCCCTTTACGGCAAAAATAGTGGGCGTCCAACAGGAAAGGCGACGTGGCGGTCGGTCGGAATGGGAGGCAGTGGTCGAGCTTGTCCTTGGACGCCTCCGAATTCTCCCAGTTGCCAGCATCTTCGTATGTGGGATCGATCGTAGTGAGACTGTCCGTTGTGTATGGCCTGGTGTTGGAATTCATCCTGTCTGGCGCACGCACGCAGTATCAAGTGAAGATGGATGCTGGACACTCCCAACGCTGTCACCGAACATGATCGGGCATAAGTACTCGCAAGTCCCCCGATGAGTCTCAATAGTCCTGCAGACGGTTCAACAGTCTCTTCATCACCAGTAGAATAATCTCCAGCCGTCCTACGCCACCAATTTCCGTCGCCAACTCTGCAGCTGAAACCCCCGCAGGTCCCGCCTGTCTTCTCCCAGGTTCCTTCGATACTGAACTGGCCATCATGACAGCTGGCATGACCAGTGCCTCCAGGCTGGCCCCTCTGACAGCTCACAATCTAGACGCCGACACCTTCGACCCGCTCATTCCCCGGGTGGCGCAGCAGGCAATCACGCGGTCCCCGATTCGACTTCCCTGGGAGGCCCGCGTCCTGCCACTAGGCATGTTCTTCCGGTCCGCCAGAGCGAATAATAACGCCAATGGAGACGGCAATCCGTTTGCCCCGCAGTCAGCTTTCGATGCAGAATCCCTCAGCTCGACACCGGTCGTGTTCACGGCGTACGATGGGGGTGGCCGCTTCAGGTCCTCCGAAGCGATAGGCTCATCCGCATCCACGGACCATCTGAGCGTGGGCGGTGGCGTCGGCGTGGATCTGGGTTTCCTCGACGCTAGCGTCTCCGTCCAATATGACAGAGACGTCCTGGAGAACCGAGACTCCACAAAGGTCTCGGTCACGACGAGTTACCGCGCCGGATCGGTTGTCTTTGCCCGTCCGCCAGAACTCTCGGCGGATGCATTCCAGATTCTCTACGGCCGGGGCCCTGACGAGTTCAAGGCAATTTTTGGCGACTACTACGTGGGCGGTTACCGGATCGGAGGGGATGCATCAGTGCTCTTCAGCACGGATACGAGCTCGCGCAGCGAGACGGAGACCAAATCAGTCAAGATTAGCGTGGAGTCCTGGTTCGGCGACTACCACAAGGAGTGGTCGACGAGTTCGACAAGCACCGAGCACCACGCCGAGGTGCGCGTGAGTGCCTACTCGACATTGGAGCAGGCGCTTGTTGGAGAGACCGTGATGATAGGGACTGCACGGTTCCAGGCGGCAATCGAACAGGCTCAGGGGATCCACCAGCGTGCGCAGGGGCTGGCGGATAGCATCGCCAAGGAACTAGCTCAAATTGGTGTGAAAAAGGGGAAGCTGGTGACCCAGCAGCAGTGTATTCAGCTGTGTGAGAGTGGAGCCGTCATCGAGCTTCTCCTCTTGCCTGTGGAGTCTCTACGGCAGGTTCGGTATTGGACGCTTCTACAGTCATCGCGTGAATCCTTTGACTAGAGCTCATCAGGAGCTGTCCGGCGTTCTCCGCAAAGAGGCTTCAGATAGTAGCTACTAGTACTAGGACTAGTGTAATCATGTCTCGAGCGTACTCGATCCATCTCATTCTGATCTATTTTGGTGTCACGCGACAGATCAGTTAGGGTTTATCACTGAATAATTCAAGCCAAACAGCCACGGAAGCCAAGTGTTTTGCTTCTCAAGTAGCTCCTGATTGGAATGCAGCGTCGGCAATAATGGATGGATTTGCCGTGCATGTTCTGGCCAGCGTCGCTGAGAATCCGTGGCGGAGCTGAATACATCCAAGACTCTTGCAGTCCAAACATAACTATCGCAAGAATGGTAGCCTCTGCTCGCTCTCCAGATTTCAACTCAGATCTGGAGCATCACCACAGCCACCTCCTATCTCGTGTGCTACACCATCATGGCTCTGCTTCTCGCCCCATACAACAATGGCATGCGCCTTGGTATGTGCTGCTGCATCACACAGTCCCATCCAGTCTGCTAACTCGTCGCAGGTCAAGGGTAGGCTAGGCTCCCAGAAGCTCAGAAGGCATATATATTATATCCATGAGTCGACGACTGACCGTTTAGTTTCAACTCGTACACGCAGCAAATCTGCATTGACGACGCGGTCGTCATCGACCCCGACCGAATCGATAATGCAGTCACCAACGATGGCTTCACCATGCGCGAGCTTCGCTACGCCATTGGAGCTCGCGCTGGTGATGAGGACGACTACTACGAGGACGAGCCTGTGCCCGCCGCGTCTGCAGCACCTGTGACCGCTCCTCCAACGGCCGATGCCACTGCTGCTGCTGTTCCAGCCGGGACACAGCCCATGATTGGTCCTGCGCCGCCAACGGCTCTAGATAGTATAGCAATTCAGCTCAGCCAGGACGTGAAGACAGTCAGCAAGCTCGTCGAGGATATTGCCAAGCTCGAGGCTGCCGTTGAGGAAGCGACCGACCCCAACAGCGACGACACGAAGCGAGATGCTCTGCTTCTCGAGAAGAAACGCATGCGTCTTGCGCGACTCAAGACCACCGGGACGGGCTTGAGGTCGTCAAACTCCCGTAGCGCGGTGCGCGAGCTGTCCCAACGGGGACCGAGCCAGATTGTCTCGTACAGTTCCCGCTTCGTGAACAAAATCAGGTACGGTTTTTGTTTGGTCTCCCTTGTTGCGCAGCATCCGCCCGAAGCCCCGACTGAATTCCTAGTGAAATCACCGACGACATGAATATCTCCGGCTCCCTTTCGATCAAGTATGGCTCCATCGGCGGCGCCGGCAAGGGATCGTTCGTCGACTCGGATAAGTTCAAGGAGAGCGATCTCAACTTTTTCATCAGCGTCAAGGTGATCAACCAGAGCATCAACATAAAGGATGCCCTTGTCTTTCAGGGCCTTCCGTCGGTGAATCAGAATAATTTTCGATCCGTCTTTGGCGACACGTTCATCTCGGGTTTCCTGGAAGGCGGCGAGTTCAATGCTCTGGTGAGCATGAAGGTCGTGAATAAGGACAAGCGCATGGCTGTCAAGGCCGAGTCAGTTTCTCCCACTCTCAATGATTCTTGTGCATGCTAAACAGACTCGGGCAGGGCCGAGATCGCGTTGAGTGTTGGAGCGGCCGACATCAAAGGCACCGCGCGTGCCAATATCGACAAGTCGGACTTTTCGTCCCAGACGGAGACGACGATCCAGGTCGGCTGGTCTGGTGGCGGGCACATCAAGCCAAGTATGTCTCTCCTTCCATGTACTCTTTCTTACACGGAATTCTGACAGCCTACAGTGGACCAACCCTGGACAATTCCGACATTGATGGAAACGGCGGCCAAGTTTCCTGACCTGGTCGCCAACACGCCCCAGAGGACCTAGTAAACTCCCCTCCATTTTCCCAATTTTTTTTGCTTCTTTTGAGGACTCATCTTACTTTCTAGTGCCATTCTCACCAAGTACGAGTCGCTGCGCAGCTTTATGGCCCTGAAGCCCCCAGAACTCAAGCCCATGTTCTACGAAAACGCAGCCATCTACACCAACGCCATGCTGGACGCCTACATGGACTACAAGAACGTAAGTCTTCTCATCTTCCTCCTCTGACATTAGAGACCTCTGACCTTTCCTTTCCTTTGTAGATATACCGCAACCTCGGAACCTACCTCTTCGACATTCAAGCAGGCACCAAGAAATTCAGCGACTGGCCTGAGGGCACCGTGTATACAGACATCTCCACCCTCGCCCGCATCGACGACGAGTCCCGCTTCCCTGCGAGCATCAAGGGGCTTGATCTTGCCCGCCGTGCCTGCCGCTTCCAGATGGTCAAGATCGTCAAGGAGGTTGATGCCATTGAGGAGCACCCAGAGTATGCCGCCGACGAAAAGCGCCCCGAGGCCTTCCAAAGCGCCATTGTCTTCCGCCAGCGTGTGCCCCTCGTCAAGGACAAAGAAAAGATGCCACTTCTGAAGATTTTTGGCACGGACGTCCCTTACCCTCCGCTACTCGACCGTGTGGAGGGCGACGGAGTCACTGATGACGAGGCTGCCAAGGCATCTACTTATACTGGCAACCAACCGGATATCAGTGAGTTCCTCCGGCTGGCACCTATGGTCGGCTCCGTTCATGGAACTCTTTTCTGCCACTTGGACTTTGTCAAGTCTGATTTCAGCCTACGCACCGTGACGGTTGAGCTGAACGGGGGCGTAGTCTCAAGCCTGAGCGTCCGGTACGCCAATGGCCTGTTAGCGGCGGCGGGTACCGCTGGTGGCAGCCGTAAGGTCTCGCTTACAGTGCGTCCTGAAGATGGCGAAAGGATCATTGCATGCTCCATCGAGACTGGCCGTGTCAAGGGCGAGGCGAATGCCACGGCCCGTGTGACTGCCATCCGTCTGTACACTAACCGTGGGCCCGATCTCCTCGGCCATGCAGACGACTGGAAGCCCGCCGTCAACGGCGAAGGGGTCCGCGGCGGCGTCCAGTTTGAGGGTCTCAGTATGAAGCATTTCGACCCTCTACTCGTCAATGCCCATATCAAGGGCTTCTGGGGCTACGGCGTCTCGACATCGCGCCTCACCCCTCAAAGTGGCCTCTTCCGGCTGGCCCCAATCTGGGGCAACAAGGAGGTGAGACAGCTGTCTTTTTCTCCCCCAATCTCCTTGCCTACTGACAAGTACAGAACGTTTCTCCCGTCTCCGGCGAACCCGAAGACGAAACGGTCACGACTGTGGACGTCCAGGAGCTACAAGCCGCCCTCGAGGAGAGCAAACGAGCTCTGGCGAACAGCTCGGCGGCGCTCAGCCGACTCGAAGGTTATGTGGGCTCCCCTTCTAGCCATCCCGTGTGCATTCTTTGCATCAATTGGGGCGGGCAGTACTATGATGGCAACCAATCGGTGAGAAATCGGTTGACGAACCTGATTCTTGAAAATAGAGAATTCAAGGTCGGCAACGATATCTGCGAGCATGATCCCATGTACGGCACCCACAAGTGGCTGGTAGTTGTGTATCGCTTCACTGAAAGCCATCGCAATGGGCGAGTGCGGACGTTTGTTGGGTATGAGGATCGTATGGCGCGGTTTGATGCATTGAACGCGCCATAAGAGGGTACAATATGGGGATTCTCGCTCTACTTTTCTGCCCAGAGTCTGTTTCTGGAATAGCCTTTTTGTAAAGCCCTCTCTTGAAGACTTCTTCCTCGAATTGCTTCAGGACTTTGACATGTTGTTTGCCACAGCCGGAGAAAGGAAAAAGTAGACAACTAATGAATGAGGATCTGAAAGGGATCTGGTAATTACCTATTCCCTCTAAGCCCAAAGTACAGCAGATTTTAGAGCCTTTATATAACCTGTCCTCTTCACCTTCGCGTCACGTTTGATCTTAAGGAGATCAGCGACGGAAAGTGAGGTCAATGTGATCATGTATGAGCCCTCCTTGTGACATGAGAAGTATGCTCCTTCTAAAACAGCACTAAATTTATATATAACATTCCAGATTAGTGCAGATAATACCGTGTCATGGGTGAGCATCCCATTTATCCCAGGTTAGTCGGGACGGCGAGTTGTATATGTTCCAAGCTCAGCGACCATGTCTATTCGACCCTACCAATCTACAAATTTGGGACCCTTTGGCTCTTCCCTTACGGGTTAGGGTTATTAATTCCATATTGACTCCTTTTGTACGGATAGTGTTCTGGGCAGCTACTAACCACAATACCACAGGTCACAATGACGATTCCCCATGGAATCATCCGCCCAGAACGTGCTTGTATACTACCATCCCGTAGGCCTCAGGTGTTACCCAATCCCATTATTCCCTATATAGATCCCTTGTACAAGCTCCTGATCCAGAAGACATCTATCTCAGTAGATTCCACAAGGCTGGCTGTTTTCAGCTCACCATCCTCCCGCTATGATGAGGTTACACCCTGTTCCTAATGCTCGACTGGTAGCGCAATATACACACTCCCCAGCAACCTGGATATACGTGCCTGTAACATGTCCATCTGCCCAGAAGAGGATCATGGGCACGTCTCCGGCCGTCCAGTGGTAGACCGTCCCGTCATACCCAATCTGCAGCTTCTCGTCCACTCGATACTTGTACATACTCGCCAGTGGACAACCGTTAAGGCTAGACCCCTGGATAATCTTCTTAGGATCGGCTTGATTGCACCCGCACCGCACACCAAAAACCCCCTGCCCGCCAAAAGGAGGCGGCCGGAAGTCGCCAAACTGCGATACTTTGCCCACCAGCTGGCCTCCCGGCGTCCTTTTGATACTGACGGCAATCGTCTCCAGCTCCGCAGAATAATAACAGTTGTTCCCATGCACATCCCTTGTCAAAACATTCCGCCCCAAATTTCTCATCTTTCTTAGCAGCGGCGAAGGGACGAAGCTCTTGCCCACATCTTTTGCGAGTCCGATAGTGAAGTCCTTGGCCACCGAGCGGACGTTTGGATGATTCCGTGGCCGACGGAGAAGCGCTTCGGCCCAGCCAGATATCATGTAAATGGGTTCCCCTTGCTTTGCGCCTGCTCCGCGGTCGATCTTAAACTTGACGTTTGGCATGTCCTCTGCCCGGGTGAGTCGGGGTTTGCCGTATTCCACAACCCCGATTTGCACTAATGAATTGTAGAAATTGGTCGCAAGCTCGGCAAAGTTCTCAAACGGATTCTCCAGACTCCCCAACAGCTGTCCGTTAAAGCTGTCCGCTAACGCGTACCCTGTGAAGATAGTGTAATGCACTCCCAGCACGGCAGCAATATACCGTCTCGCGACTCGTTCATAGTGACAAGCGTGGGCCATCAGCTCAATCAGGTCGGCGAGACTCACTTCTCCCAGACCGCAGAACTGTGCCAGGCCGAGAGTTCGGGCGAGAAGGAGATCATGATGCGCCGGGGACCGCACCGACTTGCGGACCATGCCCAGCGCATACCGGCCCAGATCCTTCTTCGCGAGAGTCGGCATAAACTGAAAGGGGTCGATGCGTTGCAGCATCCATTCGCGATACTGCGCCGGCCACGTTGCTCCTAGACGCTCGCGGATTGCAGCGCCTTTGGACGCAGAGTTGAGATTCACAATGACCGGTTCCTGCAATCCGAATATTTTGAGGCGCTCGGCTGAAAGTCCGAATTGGTCACGCGCACGACTGATGTCTGTATACACAGTGAAGAACGACCTCTCCACTCCGGCTGGAGTCATTACCCATCCGACACGGGCCGTTTTGGCGTCTTCCTGTGAGGCAGGCATCAGCGGTGTGAGATACCCGAGCTTGGTCAGTCAAATGAAAAGCGTCTGGATCTCCTCAAGGAATTGCTGGCAGGCTCGGCGGTCGAGGTAGAACTGGGTGATTTTGACTCCTCCCCCAACGAGCAGTTTGACTGCGGCGGAGAGGGGGTCCCTGTTACAGTGTTAATGGTTGCATCTTGGAAATAATGATCTTCTCACCCTGAGAGGAGGGCTTCTCCGACCAATTCAGCTGCCAACTCACTGACATCCGCCATTTGGATGAAGTCTTGAGCAAAAGGACCGGTGTGTGTTGGTGATCGTAGTGATCTACTTCCTGGAGACAGGATAGAAAGAAGTTTAAAGCGACTAAGGCGCAACAGTTCCCTTTTAATGACGCTTCTGGCCCTTGGTTTGCAATTCTTGATCTTGTGTTCACGCGCTTGGGCTGAAGAGAGTATAGTGGAAGCCTTGGGCCGCGCGAATACGAGGTTTCTTCCTCTTAGCGAGCAGCAAGCTTTAGACGGTTACACCGAGGGACTTGATTCGCAGGTGATTGGATCTGATCTACCCATTAAAGCCTGTTTCCCGTACTTGATACAGCGCGAAGGCTGCAATGGAATGGGGTAAACCATGGATATAAGCAATCAGTCCCGCAAGCCCCTTCGATTACTTGTATCAAGGAACGCTTCTATCAGAAAATAAGAAATGAATATATTTTGAGCGCCTAAAATCAACTACAATATGTTTGCTGCTACTATTGCTGCTAGATTATAGGGGTTCTCAGTATATAGCTATAGGACCGTCTATCCATAGCCTATCTCTACTACTACTACCCTATCTTGAGATGTTGATCTATCGCGGACATGAGCTTGCCGGAGTCAAGGACCTCTCTAAAACAGAGCTTCATGGCACCGGACCAACATTCGCCTTTAGACATGTTCACTCCAGGTAGGAAACTGACTGTTATCTAAGTTGGGACCCTATTGAGACAGCACCTGTAGTGAATGTCTTTGGGGAGCACGAGATATATATTGGATCGGTAAGCCCTCACTCCAGGTCATATCAAGTATCGGAAATGCTAATGTTACGATAGGTAAAAACCAATCTGGGCCACAGTGAGGGAGCATCAGGCTTGTCAAGTGTTAAGCTCCCAACATCAACTTCACAACCCCAAGCCCAAAAGTATGTCGAAGTGATACACTATAGTCTCAGATCTGTAGGAAGCTGACCATCCCCTGTATAGTCACCTCATTGCCCATATTACGGTGTTTACACCAGAAAGCCCTGCGCACTTCCTACTCACTGAGGGTTAGAATTCAACTGGTGAGCCTGGTTTAGGTTGACTGACACTTACAAAAAAGGGTTCCTCATGCAATACAAATGCCTTCAACGGCTTGGCGGCGGAACAAATGGGCGCGACACTCCGTACCGGGAGGAAAAGAAGCAAGCACAGCCTTAAAGTTCTCTCGGTTGAGACCATCGCGCAGATGGTGCGCCGAATCCCAAACTGCCACGTTGATCAAGATGCGGCTAGACACGCCCCGATGTAGCTGGGTAGAGATATATCCCGGGCAAAATTTCAAGATCTCGGCTGTCTTTCTCCAAGTCTCAATCGCTTCTTCCACTTTGCCTTCAGGAATGGTAAAAGTGTTTGTCAATACAACTGGTCCTGTCTCTTCTTCTAGTTGCTCTCGGAAGGGCTTCTGGGAATCGAAATCGTAAAACCTCGCCATATTGATCGTCACTATTGAATTGAACTGAGACGTAGTGTGACAAATCAGTGTGTTTGTATTTCAGAGAATCAGTGCTGGACACTTAGTGAACTTTATATATCGCAATCCTCGGACGAATTCGTCCGTCCGGCGGCCCAAAGTCCGAGTGTTACCATTATTGAGCCCAGTGGGCCCTTGATAATACTCAATCTGCCCAGGCTGACTGATTTGCAGCGATACATATTGTAACCTCTACAGAGATGGGAGTGAAAGACATTCCGTCCCTACAAGATGATTGCGCCAGACTCCCACAGTGTAAGGTCGGTGTTGGGGTCGTAGATGGCTGGGAGGCGACCATTTGGGTTGATTGACTCGTATTCAGGAGTTTTAAGTTGGCCGAAGTCGAGATGCTCGATCTCGTAAGGGACATCTAGCTCCGAGAGGATAAAACATGTTTTGAGGGGGTTTGGGCCGAGAAAACCACCGTAGATTTTGATCGGCTTCATAGCGCTGGCACACAAAAGGGTCTAGCACAGTAGCAGGTCATAAAAAGCATGATGAGTCCAACAACCTTCAACATTGGCATTTTTATTTAAAACTACTTCAGCCTGGCCTATAGAATTATTTATCTTGGTAATTTATCCAAATATACCAGGGGTATAAGTGAAGTGAGACAAGATTGACCATCTATTCTCAGATCACAAACAAGGTGCTTACTAACCCCACTCCATAGATATGCAAACGGTATCCTAGGTACCTAGTAGTTTAGTGGCATATGGCAGACGCTGCCAAGGCCTGCCCATCTACAAGACTAAGGTACATCTACGAATTACTCAGCTTGTCTGAACTCGCTGTTCGAACCAACGGGAGCTTTGTAAGCCAAGGACGCAAGGTTCAAAGCGGCGGGGTATTAATATAGACTACCTCTCTGCCATCTAACAAATATACTTCATCCAAAACAGCTTTCCAACCATAATTAGTTCACTTTGTCTCGTTGACAAGGGATCGTCAAAATGGCCTGCTCTACAAACAATATAGCTTACACTTCTCCCATCAATCCTCCTGGAGCCGCTCCGATTCTCACCCGCAGTCAGGTCTGGGCTGGTTTGCTCCTCAAGATCCGCTCCGCAGAGACCTTCGTTCCAGCCGGCATCCAGTCGACGTTGGTCCTCAGTGAATCGGTCGATCAATCTGGAAATCCCGTCACCATCCGTGAAGTGGTTTTTCGGCAAGACAAGCGGAAAGTCAAAGAGACTGTGACGGCCCACAAAGACTCCCGGGTTGATTTTGTTCAACCTGATGGGAGTACAATCAGCAACATTGTCAGTGAAGGTGCGGAGGGGGAGTTGTATATGACCTATGTTTTTGAGTGGAGGCACCCAGGCGCTTCGGAGCAGGAATTGGCTGTGCTCCGCGAAGAGGAAAAAAGATTGAGCAAGATGGCTGTTGAGGATACAATCAGTGCCATGAGGGAGCTGTCTCGAAATGGGAAGATTTGATGTCCCTGCAAGTATCTTTGAAGATGGGGTCGATTTATGGATCTGTATGGGAATAGGATGGAAGCAACATTCAGTGTAACCTCCGATTTGATGCCGAAAAATTTAGTCGAAGTTGTATAGATAGCAACTTGACTAAGTACTTTCAGAAAGTCTCCCTGTTCTCCGGCTTTACTTCCTCGCGAGAGTTCCAGTCAACTTCATTCAATCATTATACAGAAGCGCTAGGCTGCTATGTCGGTGGAGCTATCTCCGTGAGCCGACGTCCTACTTATGGAAACAGATGAGAAGCGAGAATGCTCATATTATTGATGGTACTATCTAGAATCTATGGAAGTAGTGGAAGAAGAACGTGGAGAGGTGGTGTAGCGAGCTAGGCTATCTGCATGATGGTGATCACAGCTAGCTGATGAGTGGTTAAAAGAGGCGAGTAGGAGTTGACTGGTCTAGATATACCCTCAACATGCTTATTAGTACTTGGTTGCTCAAGCTTCTCATAGTTCACTGTAGCTCAACTTGGCTATGTATGAATGAAGTTGTACAGCCAGAATGTCCAAGTCCAAGCAGTACAAAACAGTAAAAACCATTTGTAACATTATCCTACACTATCAGAATCGGAATGGCGGACATTTTCAACACCATATCTAGTTCCAATCCTCTGCACAAATCACCCCCATTTCCTCCCCAGTATGGCGCGCCACAATCCGCACATTCGGACATTTCCATTCCGGATACGCTGCCATGGCCTCGTGGAAATCCTCTCTCAATGCCATATAACGATCCGGCTGCCAACTGTGTCCATGTCTCCCTGTCTCCGCGACCACCAAATCTAACCGCTGGAGTCTCGTCATACCCCGCAGAAGGGGCAAGTAAAAATGCCCAAAATAAGACGTATCCATGACCTCGACAATCAGGGATTGTACGTGGTCCAGCTCATCCGAACCAAGGTATGGAAGGACATCCTCAGGCAGCTGAATCACGTCCTGGTCGAAGGCGATATAGATGCAAGTAGGTGCGTGATCAGTACGGAAATGGGGCCTATAGGCGCGGAGGGCTTCGCTGCGGGCTTCATGGTTGACTCGCAAGAGCACCGGATTGGGGACGGGCGAGGTGAAGGCTTGGGCGTAGCGGCGGGAAGTCGGATGGATGCCTCGTTCAATGGGGATGATGCGAGGAGTTGAGAGGACAAAGGACCAGATTCGAAGACGGATCTCAGGGGGAAGGAGTGGGAAGAAATGGAAGTTGGAAGTATCTAGTAGCATATTCTTTTGTAAGAGACTGATGCATGGTTTGACAGAGGAAATATATTTACTTCCATCCGTAGATCAACGATTGGGCGTTTACTAGGTACTTTCAGGTTTAGTCGGTCCTGTCAAGGCTGGGCCACAATCAATCTACTTGGTTTAGCTTTTAAGATAATAGAGGCCCATAATTAGTGGGCCGAAGGGCAGCATGTTATCATATGTAACACCGAATGGCTGAGCCACGTATTTGTTACTAATCTTTCCCCTGAACTTAGATCCTAGCGCTCCCAGGCGGTGAAGAAACACGGGGAAAGCTCCTTCATAAACCAAGGATCATCCCCCCATCCGCTGTGTAAACAAACATTCCAAGTTGCATTGTCTTCGACATGCTGAAAAAGCATCCTCTTCTTCGGGGAGAGATTACGTACTCCACAGCCAAAAGAGAGGAAGTGAATATTCTCCATCGATTAAGCTACCATGACCAAAGGGACAAATTCTTTGCACACGTTGTTGAAAGACGCACATGGATAGAAGCCATAGTCGCGGTCATCCAACTTATGCCATATGGATGATGTTGAAAACTGGCACCACGGGAGCTTTAATCTATGCGTTCCAGTGACTATTAACAATTGGAAACGGAAAGAACAGCCTGCAAGACGTGTTTTGCTTCGGTTTCCTCTTCCGTATCGTGTGGGTGATGCCTTTCGACCTGGAAATGGGGATGAAAAGATCCAATGCGAGGCAGGAGCCTATGCGTGGCTTCAAGAAAACTGTCCAGATGTTCCTATTCCGAGGCTATACGGTTTTGCTACATCTACTGGTCAAATGGTGTTTTTAGCCTTTTTCTCCCCATCCTTTTTCTCCCTAGGTTCAATAAGTGAGCTGACTCAAACGAATCTCTCAGTTTACTCGATTACAAGAACTATCTACTCTCTCTCGCTGGTTTCAATACATCCGTCGACGACTTTTATCATGGCTCGGACGTCCTGTCCCTACCCAATTCGTTCGTCACCAAGCCGCCAGCAACATATCCAAAGATAGAGTGATGGGCGCCGGTTATCTCTTGATCGAGTACATCGAGGAGGAACAGGGAGAAATGCTTTCAAACACTTGGCCTGTGAAGCAGTTTGATGCTAGGTTGAGAACCAATTTTTTCCGCGATCTTGCGCGCATATTACTGAGCATCACTCAGACCCCCGTACCAAAAATAGGCTCTTTTGTTATTGACCAGAATGGATTCTTATGTTTGACAAATCGCCCACTTTCACTTGAAATCCAGGACCTGGAAAATGAAGAAATTCCCACGGATATACCACGAGACTATACTTATTCCACCGTGGACTCATATGTGACAGATATCCTTCGCATCCATGACAATCGACTGCGATATCAGCCAAACGCGATCAATGATACAGGGGACTATATCTACCAGACATCTGCCTTGGCAGCAATGCGGACAGCGTTTCCGTCATTCTTCAAACCAGAACTACGGCGGGGGCCCTTTGTTTTTATGCTTACAGATCTTCACCAAAGCAATATCTTGGTTGATAAAGACTGGCACATCACCTCCTTGATAGATCTTGAATGGGCATGTACTTGACCTATCGAGATGCTACGGACTCCGACCTGGCTCACCAACAAGGCCGTGGATGAGATTGCTGAAGACGCGCAGGAGTACGACCGGATGCGGAGGGAGTTCATTCGAAGAACAGAGACTTGGCAGCACCGCAAAACGCAGTATCCCACAGCCACTATCAGTTATTATGAATGACAGCTGGAGCCTGGGCACGTTTTGGTACGCCCTGGCGCTTGCTAGCCCCACTGGTCTCTTTGCAGTGTTTTACAAGCAAATCCAGCCCAGATTTCTCGAGAACTGCCCTGAGCACGATACTTTCCAACAGATCATGCCATGGTACTGGGCACAGGACTGGGTCAACGTTGCAGCTAGGAAACTATCGGACCGAAGAGAATATGACATCAAACTTCAGAAAGCATTTCAAACCGACCCTATCCCCGAATGATCACTCTTATGATCTCAATTCCCAGAAGCTCTAGACCCTTCCTGCTGTCTAAGCGTTCTTTCATGCGCTTCTTCCAAGTTGCGTTGTGCTCTATTATCTTTAGAAGCTTCTCGATGCTTTTTGGCGGCTTCGACGAGGAAGTCAGCTGTTGGAGTGTTTTACGATCCGACTTGAGCCATTAGACAATTATCTGCACGAACCAGAAATCTAAAGCCCAGGGAATGTAGAAATGGTAAAGAAACAGGAAGAATCCCGAGAGCAGCGCAATCAGTTGTGGAGGCTAGAATACAGAATCTATTGCAGATGAGAATGCCTGCTGGAGTGTATGGCTTTTATGCCGGCCTGATATGATAATACAATAAATTTAGGATGGTTTGCATGGCACTGCATCTAGTTTAACGGGGATAATTGCAGTGAAAAAGGGAACCATCTCCAGCTCAACTATGAGGGAGGGTGCAGATCTCGCTACGTCCATCTCTATACCAAAACCTTTTCTTCCTCATGTATAAACCATGGGAATTCTTGGAATGTTTGCAATGGTCGTTTACTTGGAGATCTCAACACCATTGGTGGCACCTAAGCGTACAAAGTCAGCCTTTGTCAGGGGAACAAGAGACAAGCAGACTTACCAAGAGCCTTCTTGATGTCACCGTAGATGGCGAATTGACCAGCAGTAAGACCACCAATCATGAACAGACGAGTCGGAAGCCCAGCGAAGGAACCGCGAAGACCAAGCTCACCAGCAATCTTGACGAGACGGGAGACGGTGCTCTCGCCGGGTAGTCCCTTGGTCTTGTTGATCTTGGACAGCATAGTATCAGCGGGTTGAGAGATGATGGCAGCAGCGAAACCGGCAATGAGACCAGATCCCAAGTTGACGCCGGTCTGGGCACCATTGGACAGCTTGGACTTGTCAAGGCGAGCGAAAAAAGCGTCGGCAACTTTTTCGAAAACGACAAACTTAGTCACTGTGTAGGGAACCCTACATATCCATATCAGCTTGGTTCTTGCGTCATTGAGTTTGTTATCGAGACACACGTACTGCTTCAAGAGGATAGGACCGAAACCACGGTAGAAAGCACCGATGCCCTCGTTCTTGAGAATCTTGCCGAAACCACCAACCAGACCGTTGGCGAAGCCAGGCTCAGAGACGAGACGGATACGGGTAGCCTCGAGAGGGCAGAGAGCAATGGAGGCGAAGAACTCAGCGCAGGCGGCAGAGACAGAGTAAACCGCAGCACGGCTCTGACGGGCCTTGTCGAGACCGAGAATGGTGATGGATTGCTGCTTGAAAAACTCATAACCGCCGAATTTGAAGGCGCCCTGCAAGAAGTAACCAGCAAAGGTTGGGCCGACGCCGGTCAAGAGAGCACCGGCGCCCTCTTTTTGGATGACTTGACGGAAACCGCCAATCATACCACGGTTGTAGGTGACGGGGTCGAGCTGGATCCTGGTCTTGACGCTGTGGGAGTGTCAGTAAGTCGCGGACACTCGACATGGAGCTGAAGCTGCTGGATAACAGACACATCGACTGGAGTGAAGGCACCGTGAGTGACGGAACAGCCGACGGCACCAGCAAAAGCGAACCGAGAGTAGAGGTCAAGGCCCTCAAGCTTCTTCTGGCTGGCCAGCGCAGCGGGAGAGGCAGCCATTGCGACGGTGATGAATGCGTGCGACGCAAAGGAGGGGTAAAAAAGGAACAGAGTGTGTTGTGATCTGAAAAGATGAGAGAGGAAAATTTAAGAGCAAGGCTGACCGTCTGCTGGGGCTGCTAGTCTACTGCGGTTGGGGGCGGTTTTAGACTGTTAGTAATAGCTAGAGGTTAGGATCCAGTGTGGAAATAGATTATCCTATGGCAGGCTGTATGTATATGCTTGTTCTAAGCTAGCTAGACCCTAGTAAATACTAAATCATAAGCAGCTATGGTCATGACTCATCTGGAGATAGAACTACCCTAGGATTAATTACTATGAGCTCTTCTATTCTATTCAAAGATACCTTATAGGAATGCAGAGCTATTACCTGTAAGTAACTTATATTTTTATTTAACTAATAAATAGAGTGTGTATACTCATGTTTTCTAGGCTTCTAGCTATATTCAGCTTGAATTTTGGTGTTTAATAGTCGGCGTTTTGATTTGAGCAACTGTCTAAAGACGACGACTATCATAAATAATAGGAGGAATGCCAGTCAACTTCCCAGAGAGACAGAAAAACGAATGATGAGCTTGAAGCTGAACAGGGCTATCTGTCAATCATTCAAGAGACCGATAAGTTGGATTGGTTACTTTATTCCTCGGGCTCAAAACCCTCCTCCTCGACGTACTGTTGCTCCTCTCCGTCGGAGATACTGGCATCCTGGTATTGTTGATATTCCGACATCAAGTCATTCATATTACTTTCCGCCTCGGTGAATTCCATCTCGTCCATCCCCTCGCCCGTATACCAGTGCAAGAACGCTTTGCGGCGGAACATGGCCGTGAATTGGGTCCCCACACGCTGGAAGAGCTCCTGGACGGACGTGGAATTGCCCACAAAAGTGGCAGACATCTTCAGGCCCTTGGGGGGCACAGAACAAAGTGCGGTTTGAACATTATTCGGGATCCATTCCACAAAATATCCGGAGTTCTTGGTTTGGATATTGCGCATTTGATCTTCGACTTCTCTCATGGAGACCTTGCCGCGACTGAGTTTGAATTAGCTTTAATCAGCGTTTCAAACATGGAAGAAGCTCACAAAAGCGTCGAGCAGGTTAGAAAGCGGCCGTTCTGGAAGTTACAAGCTGTCATCATATTTTTCACATCAAACATCTGCTGTGTGAGTTCGGGGACAGTCACTGCGCGAAATGACTGAGCCCCTCGGCTGGTTAATGGAGCAAAGCCCACCATGAAGAAATGCAGCCGGGGAAAAGGAATCATATTGACTGCCAGCTTCCGAAGGTCGGAATTCAGCTGCCCCGGGAACCGAAAGCTGACGGTGATGCCGGACATGACCGTCGAAACAAGATGGTTGAGATCGCCATACGAAGGGGAAGACAGCTTCAATGTGCGCATGCAGATATCATAGAGCGCCTATCTTTGTTAGCTCGCATTGACGTGGAATAAGACCAGGATGTATACCTCATTGTCGAGGCAAAAAGTCTCATCTGCGTGCTCAACCAACTGGTGAATTGATAGTGTCGCATTATACGGCTCCACCACTGTATCAGAGACCTTCGGGGACGGCATCACAGAGAAAGTTGCCATCATCCTATCTGGGAATTCTTCCCGTATCTTGGAGATAAGAAGCGTGCCCATACCAGCTCCAGTCCCGCCGCCCAGAGAATGGGTGATCTGGAATCCTTGCAGATAGTCACAGCTTTCGGCTTCGCGCCGAACAACATCAATGACTTGATCCACTAGCTCTGCGCCTTCAGTGTAATGACCCTTCGCCCAGTTGTTGCCCGCCCCGGACTGCCCAAACACAAAATTATCAGGCCGAAAAAGGGTGCCGTGGGGACCGGAGCGAATGGCATCCATTGTCCCCGGTTCCAAGTCGACCAGGACCGCTCGTGGGACGTATTTGGCGTTGCCGACCTCGTTGAAATAGACATTCATCCTCTCCAGCTGAAGATCGGACGTGCCATGGTACCTATGTTATTGTCAGATAGGTAGGAAAGCGACAGTGACCGGACCACTGACATGCCGGATGCATCGAGACCGTGTTCGCCGGAGATGGTTTGCCTGGACAATGTCAGAAGAGATGACGGTAGAACTAGGGAGTCATGCTGTGTATGGTGGGCTGGAATTACCAGAAGGCAGCACCAACTTGGTTACCCTGCGAAGGAGTCGTGACTTAGCATTTGCTGCATTTGCTCCATGAAATACTAGAATTGACTCACACACTGGCCGGTCTGAAGATGGACCTTTATTCAGCGTAATCAAGATCAGAGGTCAGCAAGCTGGACGACAGGCAACTCGGAAGTCAGTGAGCGACTCACAATCTCACGCATGTTGGCGGGCAGACACAAGTATCTAGATTCAAAAATGAAGGTGGTTACAGGAGGAGATGGTAAGTTAGAGAAAAGAGGTGTTGGAAGGAAGCAGGAAAAGACTATGGGAAGCAGATGGTCAGGCACCCATAAGAGACGGACTAGGATAGAGCTATTGATATCGTGTCATGGCTGCATTATTGCATTTCTGAAAGCGATCTGCCATTCGTGGACACATTATCCCTTGAGAGACTAGTAGGGATTATCAACTGGGAGATAGATAAAGGCGTATGGACTACCACAAAGTACGTAATACAATCCTCAAAAATCCAAGACACGTAGTGAGAATGATGTGATAGTGCCCGGGAGCTAGCAACTCGCATAGCCGAACAGTGTCTAGACTCTAGACTCTAGATATATTAAACAGTACCCTCCGAAGATCACCCGCCTAATTGGCATGCTTTTGACGGCCCCACTGAATTGACCCCGGAGCACAGATGGCGTACTGTGACAGGCTTGTCATCTTGAGCTGCACCTAAGCCAGCCAGGGCAGTTCCGGAGTACTCCGTAGAGGCCTAGGAGGTAATTTTCAAAGTTGGACCAACTCGCCCATAGTGGATTTCTACCTTAAAGTAAAGTGAACCACACTACCTATCTAAGCAAGCATCTATGTTGAATCAGCTGTAACATCTCCTCATCATGCCTAGAAGCTAGAAGTGTAGACCAAAAGACACTGTGTTAACAGCATCTATTCCTGCAACCCCTCCTCCTTCCCCATCTTTATTTAAAGGGCAAAATACAGAGTGACTGCGAATACTGTAGTTATCCTTGCAGTAGTCTGGGTAGGTGATATTTAGTGATCTGTGCTGTTGCTCTTCTAGGAGAGCTGCTTAAAGTATGCTGGGCCATTTATAGTTTACAGCATGCCATTTCTAGAAGCCCTCACAGGCCTTGGGTGTCAAAGATAAGTGAATAGGTGATCTGATGATGATATTCCCCTCCAGTATCATTCTGCCTTAGAGCCACCTCGCTCCTGTGATTATGCAGGCCAGCAGACTGATAGTACCTGCAGTAATACATAGTTAGATTAACTAGTGTCTCTTAGTTAAACAGATGTTTTGGCTAATCCGCCGGCACTAGAATGGCATGACTGTAGAATGTCATCTACGCTCACCGAGGCTATTAGTCAAGAGAGTTGAGTGCCTAGTATGGAAACCTAGATACACCGTATATCACGACACCAGAGAAATTGAACAGGATCAAAGTCCTAGGAGATACCCCTGGTCATTTCCCACGCTCGATGACTCCTGGTCGCACTGCTATGAAAGTCTCTGCGTGGCTGGGATCGTGACTCTTTGCTGCCTCAAGGCATTTCTGGCTTGAGGGGTTCCAAAGTCACCTTGGTAGAGGCTTTACAATATAAACGCTCAATGCAATCGCGGCGCTAGGGGATTTTTCCGCACCAGACTGACTTCGGATAGTACAGAATTGGATCATAGTAGCCATCTATGCATTTTAAGCCTACCCAAAACCGGTTGCATATATGATATAGCATAAACAGGATTGGCATTATAGCATCAAATTTAGTATATCTCCCCCTTTACTAACTGCTATGTCTTGGACAGTATAGTTAGTGCATAGATGCATGCAGGTGATACTTGAGACATACCGTCTCAGGCCATATAAAGCCCCCTAACTCAGCCAGGGTCAACCAAGGCTAACGCAATAAGCGGCGCATAGGATATGCATACACTTTAGAAAAGCAGTTTGTCATGATGTAAGTCCAAAGTGTGTTTCAGACCATACATACAAGAGGTATACAAAAGGCGTTCTATAGAAAGAGACTGTGGCTTCCAGTATTCACTGAATATGGATTAACCTGCATTAGTCAATGTAAAAAGATAACAAAATTTAAGCTTTTCATCTGGCTGAGGCCAGGAAAGTGACTGGCAGTATGCAATAAAGAGAATTTTGGTCATTGCGAAGCAATGAGTGATTGTCAAAAGTAGCCAATAAATAAGATGAATCAAATGGCCCCGGATAGTCACACTAAGAATATTAGATGGAGTTAGCTTGCGAAAACTCTGGATTAGCAAATAATGTAATGTAGCTTCGGTCTAAACCTATCTCTAGATGATTGAGCACTCAGGGGTGTGTACGCAGCATGGCATACTACTTGGTCCGATCCTGCGCCACAAGAAGACCGTGGGTTGACGCAGTGATTGCAGCTACGCTGTTATCAGAGCTCGGCCAGATGATAGTCTGAATTGTTGAGCTACCAGACCATGGTGTCGTTTGTCATTTGCCTTCCTTCAGTGGAATAGAGGTCTTTATGAGGATGTCGCTGAGGTTCCGACTTTATCAGTCAAATCCCTAGTCCAGAATATGAGCGGAATACAGATAGTAGTAGTAGTAGTAGTAGTAGTAGTAGTAGTATTCATACCTATACAGCGACCCTGCTCTAGGGGCTGCTATGCCAGGGGCCAGGTCAGTATCTGTTCACAATGAGAATAGTGATCCCGCGGCAAATGCCATTAGATTAGAGACTGGTGCCAACCCTTTTTTTTCTACACTTCTTGCTCCCCTTGCCTCTATTCGTTTGCCTACAATACGTCTTGCTGACAGATCAGAGCTTCATATATATTCCCATCCATAGACCACAGTATCAGCTATTTCAATAGATTCATGGCTCATTACTGCTACTCTGGTTTCTGTGTGTTAGTTAACTACTGGTCAGAAAAAGTTACACCAGCGGTCATACCGAAATATGTGCTTGCAGGGTAACCCTAACTTTACTGGCCCAGCGATAACAAAGCCAGAGATGCTGTGGTACTTTGATAATTAACAGAATGATGTTATGCCAAGTGTTCTAGACCGTAGAGTGAGTACACAGGCCAGATGTCTAGGTTCTCACAACATGCTAGGAGAACCTAGGTCGCAATATAAAGAAAAAAGAAATCTATAGACTAAGCAATAGGAAGTAAGTTAGAAGGTGGTTGAAGTGGACTGTGCGATGGTAGAAACCCCACCTCATGCCCATTATATGCTGCCCATGATAAAGGCGTCAGCTTTGTTGTTATCCTTGGAGTCTGCATAAACACCGTCCATAGCAAGAGCAGCTTGTTGTGTTGACTCCAGATTATCACCCTTCTCAAGTAGCTGCTTGACCACTTCTTCATGCCCGTTCTTTGCGGCTAATGATAGTGGTGTTCAACCAAGGTCATTCTTTAACTCTAGATCAGCACCCTTCTTAAGTAGCTGCTGGACCACTGCCTCATGTCCATTCTCTGCAGCAAATAATAGTGGTGTTGGACTAAATGCATCCTTTAAGTCCAGGGCAGCACCCTTATTAAGTAGCTGTCTGACCACTGCTTCATGTCCATATGCTGCAGCTAATGACAGTGGTGTTTGACCCCACTCATCCTCTATGTCCGGATCAGCACCCTTCTCAAGTAACTCCTTGACCACTACTTCATGCCCATTCTCTGCGGCCCATGATAGTGGCGTTCGACCAGACCCGTCCTTTGGGTCCAGCTTAGCCTCTGGCGGTGTTTGACCATCAGTGTTCTTCGCGCTTTTTTTGACTCCTTCAGATAGGAGAGCCTTGACCGCTCCCTCAACCCCGAAGTATGCCGCCAAGTGAAACCCTGCCATTCGCGTTTTCCTTAGATCTGAGTAAAGCCAGGTATGTCCTAGTGCCTGACTTGATGCCTCTGCCTTCGCCTTACAACTGAGAAAGCTTATGACTTCTGGGCATAAAGTGAAGGCCTTGCGAGCATGATATCCCCAGTTGTTTGCTGAGTAGTTGTAGAGTTTATTTAACTGCAGCCGCTCCTTTAATTCATTAATTGATTGACAAGGCCCACTCTGAAAAGGATGAAATGAGAGGTAAGAAGTGCAAATCCTCGTGATATCTGTCTCTGCATCTGGAAACCAATGTTCCTGTGTTTGCTGGAAGTATTCTTGTGTTGTGTAGTGGACTAATTAGATAATGCCACTTTCTTCATCAACTGTAACCAATCCAGCACAAACAGAAACCATATCCTTAATTTAAGGAAGGTTGTCTTTATCAAGTTCACAATTGCTGGCTTCAACAACAAGTGCATGCTGAAGTTCTGACGTAGTGAGTGGTCTCTTCGCGCAGATGATCCATGAGAGAACATCCTTTGCAAGCTTCTGAGAATCCATATCATGCCCTTCAATTCGGTGCATAGCATCCTCGTACACATGATTGTATGCTTCAGACCCTTTTGGAAGGCTTTTTATAACTTCCCTGACTTTTCTTATTGTTTTCTTCGGCTTTACTGAGTCGAAGTGAAGCTGTGCTAGGAGAAACCTGGTGCATAGTTAGTGTACCCAGTCTAGTATAACATGGGATTCACTTACATTCCGTCCAAAATTTCTCTGTGTGAGACCAAAATGGTGGATTCTGATTGTAATATCTGACTCTTTAGATATTCTCTCACATCTTCATCACATGCACGGATTTCCAAAGTCAAGCTACCATTGAATCTCTCAGTGATCTGCAGGATAAACCTGGAAGTGGCAAAGATTTTTACACCGCATGTTGCCTGAAGGTGGAAGATCTCAGGAATCTTATTCGGCAACCATTAGATACTTCACATTCGTCAAGCGCGTCAACGAAAATGAAGGCTCTCAGATACTTGGCCGCGACGAACTGAAGAGCCTTTGAGATTTCATCAAGTGATGGTCGCGTTCCTTTATCTCTATGACTGTTGTAAAGATTGCCCACACTATCTGGTAACTAGGGAAGGCTGCGTCTGACTCAGCTGCTTTAGGAGACTTGCAAGTAAGTCTTCGACCTTCTGCTCCTTTTGCCGGCGCAAGTTACAGTAGATATACGCAATCCCAATGGATTGATCTTTTGGAAACCGTCTAGTGAGGTCGTCAATGACTACTGCAGTCAGAATCGTTTTCCCGGCCCCAGGAATGCCTGGACAGAATAATGTCTGATTGCTTAAGCTTAGCCAGGTCTGGTACTCAGCAGAGTCTAAGAACCATCGGCCAGTTCCTGATTGTCGTCTTTTCAAGAAGTCACTATGCTGAGGACCATAGTCGACCGGCGTAAGCCAATGAAGGACCTCGAGGTCTTCTTTTCTGTCCAACTTGGACCTCATTGTTTCAATATTGGCCTCAGTTTTCCAGACAGAGTCAAGGACTACAGATATCGTTAAAAGGTTGGTATCAACTTGACAGACAGTCTCGGGAATGACTCACCCTCGCCTAGAATGTCCTTCACTGGGCGCTCTCCGTCAACGTCACTTGTCTGTACATGTTCAAGAAGTTTTTTCGCATACGCCGCGGCTACGGCTGCAGCATATTCCTGCCAATCCTTGTTCTTTTGCGAGTCGGCATAATCACAGATTCCCCGGATAACAACACAGGGGAAATCATTCATGAGCCCCGCCGCCTCCATTTCAACGCACAAAACATTCCCGCCGAGACTCTTGTTGAGACGGTCACGGAACTTGGCGTCCTTGATCACTTGATTACCGGATGCGATTAAACCATAATGGACGTGTACTTCTCGAGGCTGACTCTGTCTGTTGGAGGAGCTGTCTGAACTGAACAAAGGATCCTTATAAAGACGGAGGCTGCTGTATAGTGGTCGGCCTTCCCATCAAGTCGACCTTTTATCCCATTTTCCGCTGTTTAAAATTGATGTTGGATCCATTCAACGGGTTTGGACAACCAGCTGTTCCCCAACGTCGCTGTTGCCTCGGCCGTTAATGATCATTCTTTTGTCTGCTAACAAAATAAGTGCCGACTTAGCTGAATATATTCATGTGCAATACGAGAAAAATGTGTTCTCTAGCGGCTTGGCCGCTTACTGACTGTGACCCTGAGGGAATTAATCACAGGTTCCAGCATATATTGAAGGTCAGCTGCCGCGGAGATATACAATATAAAGAGGGTAGTGTCCGTTGCATTGGAGGTCTATGAGAAAGGCTTAGTAGGGTACGTGCGTGTACTCGATAGAGCACCATCTGCCCTTCTTCTCTGTGTCCTTTATAACAATACAACATGAAGTTCTGCACCCTGCTTGTGGCTCTTTTGCCACTAGCTAGAGGCTCCCCAGCGATGACAAGTAACGGAACTACACATCCAGAACGGGAAACATCCACTGGACCTATGGGAGGTAGACGGATTACCGACCCGGATCGCCTGTCAGTGCTTCATGCAATGCACGACGAGGCGATCGATATGTTGAACAAACACGAAGTTATACCTGTTCAGCGATCGAACCTCACCGAGCAAGTCCCGCATGAAAAGCGCGTATACCAAGTCTTCGGGCTCCTGGGAGTCCAGCTCCTCTCCAGTCTCGGTCTCAAAGCCCTAGAGGAAGTTATCGACGCCCTACTAGACCTTTTTACATCGGATGACATCATTTGGACGGACAGAGATAACTGCCGTGCGTATTTCAGCACTCAGGGCGGTGGCAACGAGAATTTCAGAACTTACGCAAGGGGCCATGGCAATCCCACCGCCGAGGAATGGAAAAAGTGAGTGCAAGATATGCTATTCCCTGGTAGCGAGGCAAACAGCTGTATTAACCAGCACGCAGCGTCGGATGGAATAACCCCGAGAGCACTGCTCCGCCGGTCCATTTCTTCGAAGGTGACCCTGCGATTGGTCTATACAGCGTTCAGTTTACTGCAACAGACAGGGTTGCCTGGAGGGGGGTCCCAAACACAGTGAAGTGTTACATCGAGGGGCTGTGCAATCCTCAGTACATCTTTTACCACAAGGGCTATAGAATCGTTCTCAATACATGGGGTGAGTCCGCCAACCAACTGTTCATTGGTTCGCGCCTAATAGTCCTTAGAATCTCAGGGCCGCATATCAGCTTGCCAGTATTCCGGTGGAGAGGATTGCCTGGGCTTGTGCTCCTCGGGCGTGAAGGATCAGTTCGGATCAGGCGGTGTCCGCTGGGGCGGTGACTGCGCGATTCCTTGCGTTGACGATGTCCCGGATGACTATGTTGTGATCCCTAACGAGGAAGCAAGGTATATGGTGGTGGGGGACTCGATTTCGCATGGGATGGAGGGCGACTGGACGTGGCGGTACCGGCTCAGTCAATGGAGTAAGTCCCTCCTCCCTTCTATCCTCTGTGGCACATTAAGAAATGATTGGATCTAACGGACGCCGTCCTCTACCAGTGGATTATAACGGGTACACGCACCATTTCGTCGGGCCCTGGACGGGAACGCACGGCAACAGTCCGCTCTCCGCCTCTCAGCCTCGAGCCCCCTTGTTCCCCGACGAGCAGGCCCCAGAGACCATTGAGATTCGCGGCGATTATGCCGGGGGCGTAGCCGAGAGTTTCCGCAATACCGGCCATGCTTCATTCTGGGGTCGTCAAGCCGCACAGTCCAGACATACCATTAAGGATTGGGTCTCGGAACACAAACCAGACTATCTCCTGATCCTGCTGGGCTTCAACGACCTGGGCTGGTGGGTGAGCGGACCGGAGACCCTGGTCGGAGACATGGGGAACCTAATCCAGGCTGCACGCGAGGCGAAGCCAGACATCAAGCTTCTCGTGGGAAACGTGGTTGATCGCACCTTCATCAAGGGCCGCCAGGACCTGGTTGACAACACCATCAGATACAACACACTTCTAAGGGATACGATCCACAACTGGTTCCGGTGGGAGTCGCCAATTGCCTACGTCGACGTTAATGCGAATTATAACTGTCGCACAGGTGGCTGTCCGCACGCATATGATGGGTTGCACCCTAATGCTCTGGGCGAGTACCATATCGCGCAGGCCTTTGCTCGAGTCCTACAGAGGGACTTTGGGTACCAGGGGATAGAATTCCGAGTACCCGAGAACGTTGATCCTAGACCTGTTAGCAGGCCAGTTAATGTGAGGTCGATCTCGTACCCCGAGGGGTTGCTTACAACCTGGGACCCCGTTGAGAATGCTCGAGGATATGAGATCCGTGCCAGGGTGCAGGGGGCGACGGGTCCTCGGGCGACGTCTACCCGAATACGCACGGCAGCTGGCAGCCGTGGGTGATCAATGGCCAGACGTGGGAGTATCAAGTTCGCACCAAGGGTGACAATAATATCAGGTCAGAGTGGTCAGCATTTAGCTCTGCCACAGCTGATGTCGACACAGCGCCAGGACCGTCCAACATCATCGTTGAACCTCAAGGAAATAATGTCCTTGTGCGGTGGGACGCCGTCACGGGGTACTACGTAAATCGATACGGCGTACTGGTATGGGATAAGGACACGGAGGGTGCATTCCTCCAGGTTTATCCCGTGAAGGGGACGAGCTTGGGGGTCACAGGTCTGAACTCCAGTCACCGCTACGGCATATGGGTAGCTACCTACGTCGGCATGATTGGGAGCTTAACCAGGACAGGCATCTCAGCTGGTGGTTTACCTGCGTCGGGAAGAGAAGTAATTGCCGGGTACGGGGCCCCCGCGCCACCTAGCGGACTCCGTGTGCACACTATCGATGCAACCAGTATTCGACTGGAATGGAACGCGGTGTCTGGCGCTTCAGGCTACAGTATTCATGTCCGAAGCGTAAGGGACAACACGGCGCTCCGGGTGGATGGTACAACGGCCGAAACATCATACGGGGTCGGCTTCCTATTCCCGGGAAATTGGAACTTCGAATTTTGTGTGTCAGCCTTCAACGGGAATCTGGAAATTGCACCTGCCTCCTGTATTATCCCGCCTGTCTGCTGTGGTTTTGAAAAGAGAGACCTGGTTCCGGAAGACTATACAGTCGCGGAAAACGTGAGCACAGTCTATAACTCGACCAGCTTGGTTGAAGACAAGGAGATTCGGGATTTATTTGTAATCCTCCAGCAGACTGCTGAATTTGCATCCCTCATCGAGCCTGGTCATAGCCTGAGGATGCAAGAGAAGATTTAGAAAGGTCGTCAAATGAATGTGGATCATGCAGCCTTAGATTGGAGGAGAATGAGGAGGACAAATCACGACCGATGTTCCCTATGAGGCGTTTCGAGAAACCGGATAAATATCATCTTTTGCGGGAAATGGTGAACGGGTTGGATTGCATACCACACAGTCCTGACTCTTCGCCCGCTGCATTGTTGACTTTTCAGTCGGGACCTAGACTGATGACTAGCTACCCGGAAAACCTCTTGGTGTCTTCATTTTCCTACAATTCTCCGTGTGCTTGCTATGATCCACAGGTACATTGCGGCGTTGGCACCTTATTGGAAAGCTACAATAGTCTCCGATAGCTTTTACGGGAGCTCGCAACTACGGTTGAGGACGAGAGGTGAGGATTGTAGGCTTGATTATCATTACATGGCTGCTGGATACTGAGTTATTCTGGCAGGTCGCCGAGTACGGCTCGCTGCTCTAATCATGCTCCATTTCCTCGGAAACAAAAGCGATATCATGAAGTATAGCAATTTGTTCTCCTCATCACGTCCGTCTGTCGTTTTTCTGTGGTACTACGACAGTCGGCCAGATGTATACAAAGGAGATGACATGATCATGGACTATTTGACCACTTCGTAGGTCTGAGACACAACGATCTCCTTATGGATGACGGGGCGGTCCGGCGGATGGTAGCTCTCCTGAAGGCTTGCCGTCGACCCCTCGTGCGGCTCAGTGCCCTCGACGGTGGAGATGAGCTGCGCCTGGTCGGTCTGTGTCAGGAGCAAGGAGTTGTGATGGCAGCTCTTCCTTGAGCTCGAGAGCTTATTCCAGTTACTGAGCTCGTGGCTGCGCTGGTAACTGCCGTTCGTGGCATTTCTGCTCTTGTTCTTCATCGAGACGACATACGAGCTCAACACGGGCAGACATGCACAGATCAGCCCAATGCCCGCTTCCGCATTGCTAAGACATAATCAGTCGCGTTACCCCCAAGAAAGGACATTTTACATACGCTGTCAACACGCAGTGAATCCAAAACCATGTTGTGTCCGCTGTCCGCGCCTCCCTGACCATGATCACCAAGCGCCAGATACTAAATCCAGTGGCAAGTCCACCCGCCCCCAGAATGCCGATGACCCGCAGTTTCTTGGTTGTCGACATCTGCAGCGACCACAACATCGGCACTGGAAGAATGAGGATCCAAAGGTCGCTGGCAATGCTGATGGCCGAGTCGGCGATGATGACCTTCTGTTGGTCGATACAGGTGCCTCCGTTGCTAGTGCCGTACCAATATGAAGAGACCGGCTTGCAGAAGAAGATCTTGATGAACAGGGCCGGGATGTAGTAGAGCAGGAGCACGATCATGCTGGCGTAGATGATCATGACCTTGTGCCGGTCCGGGGCGAAGATCCGGAGCATCACGGAGAGCAGGGCGAGCTTGACGACAAACACCATGGGGACATAGATGAGCGTGATGGCGTACGAGGCCTTGACTCGGGTCGTCGTTAGTGATTGCTAAGGTTCTGTCTGCTGGATGGTCTACCTTTTGGAAATCGACGAATTTGCTCTTTGGTACATCCCAGGCATGATATCCACCCCCGTAGGCATTAACTGTGTCTGTCAGATATTGTTCCACCTTCCATGATCCCGTTGGAGGTTTTGGCCATACGTACGCACAAGCATGTTGGCGCAGAACCCGACAAAGAGTACCTGTCAGCGGCATGGATATGAGCTCAGCACAGTCAACATCCGGGGCGGAGAGTCCTACCCATCCTACAATTGTCATATCTGTGGCGACAACGGCCAGTCAGTATCTAGATCATCGAACAGGCATCACGGTGGTCGACTTACAGTCCTCCAATTCCAGGCTCTTTCGAAGGCGCGCACTGATAAAGATGCGCAAGAGCACGATGATTGTCACAACGATCATGCACAACACCTGGGTTGCTAGATTCACCGTATGCAGGGCGTCCTGGGGGTGTGCAAAATTCGACACGGCCCCCGGTGGTGGCGGGATCACCGGTTCTTCCGACATGCTGGGGCCAGCGAGGCTGTAGACAGTGATCTGTGCAACGCAGGAGCGGTGCAATTGAGGGTTCAGGGCAGAATCTCTGCGGGAGACCCGGACAGTGCAGCCATCGAGACAGAGAAGAGAGTCATAAGAACAGGAAATCGATAGGCAACTGTATAAGAACGAAGAAATGAAACGGAATGAAAGGTACAGGGATGTCCATCGTGGTTCATGCCCTCAGCAGTGGAAACAAGTTCCGAGAAGCAACAAAATTGCAACCACGGATCTGGGATTATGTCCATGCAACCAGATCAGGAGAGTGCACACGACTTTCAGAGTGGCGCCGTCATTGCGCTAGATCCATCGCCTCTTCGACTAACTAGTAGGATGCAGTGATCGCCTAGTCATTAAACATCCCGCGCAGCCAAGAGCACTAGGTAGATGACGGCACGGGCGGATGGCCTCGTCCGGCAGTCCAGGATCTGGATCCTTGAAGCGCAGGAGGTCCTAGCAGGCATTGATCTGCGCGGGAACGCCGGAAAGAGTCCGACAGATGCTAGCTCAGACTGGTCGTCCTTGGCCTCTCCTTGAGCCAGATGCAATTGGCTAGATCGTAGGCGCAATTGAGGTCCACATGGCCTGTCAGATGGTTAATTTGTGCCGTCTGGTGGGTCTAGAAGGTTAGAATTAGGAATTAGAGCATCTACCTTCATTAGCAGAGTGTAATGTGCTTGTTAGACCGCGGATTGCGCGGGGTTTGCTGCTTGCAAATATTAACGAGCAACCTTCCATGTCTTGTTGTTCTTCTGGCATTCCAGCTATATAATCTTAATAGCGAGAAGCTGCATAATAGGTGAAGCTGAGCAATCACAGATGCATGGATCAAAGCAGGTATGCACCAGAAGTTATATACACTATCTCTTCTCCTAGCAATAATAATCACAAACCCTAGTCTCTTTGCACTCAGGAAGGTTGGCGGCAGGCCATAAATATTAGGTAATAACAAGAGATAGTCATAGAATCCTTTTAACAGTAGTAACATGACCCGAAGTAGCTATTAAATCTGCTATTATGACTAGATCCTCGGGGCTGTGTCCTAGGCCCACAGGAGATGATACTCTCGACACAAGATGGGATTAAACACATCATAACTATACTAAACTCATACACAATCACAAGTACTTTTTACTTACACACATCTCCAAATCGAGTGTATATTTAAGTAGAAGAGACCGCCAGAGAGACATTAGGCATCAATCATGCAAAACCTCTTGATTGAGTTTTGTTCGCTGCAGGTGAGTAGAGTAGTTGACCGACCCGGTTAAGACGAATTTGAGTTATCGCGACAACCGAATGCCGATCCTACAAGAGCACTATCAGCAGTAATCCCTTGACTGGAGAATCCGAGTACATACCAATCGCTCCAGAGCTATATGCATCAATGATCTGAACGATAACGCCGTACGTCGCCCCAACTAGAAAGAAGAGCCCCAGAATCACCATGCCGCAATGCAGCAGGTAGACGACCCTCTGGATCAACGTCCCCTTCATGTAGTGGCCATGATCGTACAGCCATAGCCAACCGGGCAGGCTCATGGCAAGAGGCGCGAAACACACCGATCCCACCAGCGCAATTAGGTAATTGAAGATCGGGATCGCCTCCGCCAGAATGAACGCCAGCGCGCCGAGGATGACCGTGCTCGCAAACCAGGTGCCCCAATGGACGACGGTGTTGGCCTGCAAATGGCGCGATTTCCCCAGGATCCGTACGAAGACGTACTTGGCGGCGACCTACAGGAGCCGGTTCAGTTACGACTGACCATGCGCTGGAAGCACCGGGGACACTCACATGCAGATAGAGGGTGCCGCTCACGATCAGTCCGACCAAGGCAACACCGTAAGATACCATCTTGATCGTTTGTCCAGCGCTCTATATAATAGCGTTATCGACTGCTCAAGGACATGGACAAATGGTTGCAAAGGAATGGATACGTACCCCCAGCGATGGGCTCGCTACCCACTTGCCACACCAGCGATAGACGACCAAGCTAAAGGCGAGGTACGATGCGGTCACCAGGGCCATACAGATATACAGCGGCTTCTTGTAGTCTTTCGGGTTCCGCATCTCTGATATGACCGGGAGGAAGGCACTGGTACCCGCTGAGGAGACAAAGATGGTACAGGAGGCGACCATACCGGCGGCAAAGCCTGGGTTATTGATGGCGACGAAGCCCAGCTCGTACGGCCCTTCCTGCGGTGCAGCTGCAGGCCGGTCTCGCGTGGTCACCCCGATCACCACAATGAGCACGGCGGCGTAGATGGACAGGAATCCCGCGTAGGTCAACCAACCGACGTGCTCGAGTTTGCGGATGGAGGCGGTTGCGATGATCACCACTGCGGCCAGGAATGACCACCAGACGGTGCAGGCTGCGTGGTGCGAGAGGGCATTCAGCGCCGTGGACACGCCAACGATGCCACTGCCCGTCACCAGTACATAGGCAATGATGAACAGCAGCCCGGTCGCCTCCTTGGCAACAATGCCCCCGGCAACATGGGCCATGTCGGCAATCGAGTGGCAGTGAGGGTGTCTCATGCGAAAGTTGCCGAGGATGACAAAACAGTACGTGTTGAAGCATCCCCAGGCCACGATGCTGATCGATCCCCCTACGGCACCCAGCGAATACAGCGCCGATGGCAGCGAGAGCACCCCTGTCGCAAAAAGGATTTTGATGAAGATCACGGCCGCATTGAACCAACCCACTTGGCGGAAGTTGACCCCAGAATCGGTCTTTTTGAAAATCTCCCCTTCCTCCTCGAATGCCACCCCACGAGGGCTTGCTTGCTCAGAGTCGTACGCCCCATGGGCCTCTGCTTGCTCTTTGTTTAGCATGGCGATACGGGAGGACGCTTTAGAAAGATGCAAAGAATAGCTGGGATTACGGGCTGCTCCACATAGGGCAATTTTCTTTTTTCTTTTTCCCAAGCTGGAGAAGAGAATAGAGGAGCTTTATATCAACAGGGGTGATACGATACTTTCTGCAAATCCCCAATCCTCGGGATTTCTGATAGCATGTCCCTCCCAGAGCACAGCTCATCCAATTTAACCCACTTAGCAGACGTTCGACATGCCAATCCATTATCAAATGGACAATGGCCATAGTGGCGGGTTAACTCGAGAGCCACGGCCCACGGGAAACCTATGGCCTAGAGGCTAATGCATGTTGATTATCTGGGTAATGCCCTCGTCGTAGGATTATGAACTTAGACCAGGGTATATATTGATAGGAGGGGCATTGGCCAGTAAAAGACACAGCACAGAGCACTATCTAAACCGTCGCATGCCCTAACCTGTTAGTATGGTCATTAGGGTGCTTGGCCGGGACGATCCCTGCAACACACATGCGCAGTGTTTCTAGCCCCCAATTGCGGGCATTTGTAAGGAATTATTCTGTTTTTCTTTCCCTTGAAAGAGGGGCTTTGTCAGTCTCCGAATCCTGTTGCATGTTCGATTCGGTTGCGCAGATTTGGTCATTGGGAATTGTCGCTCTCAGAGTTGAGACAGATTTAGTCCCTACTGAGATGAGATATTCTGCTCTGAAACCGTCGCAGTCGCTTTCTCCCTAGCCTAAATCCTTCTTATCATGCCACGTAGCAACCAAGACAGTTACCGTCTCGGAGTGGACGTCGGCGGCACCTTTACAGACGTCTACGCCTTCACGCCCCACGGCCAGATCGCAAGAGCCAAGGTTCCGACCACTGTTGAAGACCAAAGCATTGGGGTCAAGAACGGAATCCAGAAGGTGCACCAAACTCTCAAAGAACGCTACTCCTGGGACGGAAAATTCCAATTCATCCACCATGGTACTACGACCGCCACCAACGCGGTTCTCGAAGGCAAAGGAGCACGGACCGGCCTGATCGTGACTTCAGGGCACAAAGACATTCTGGCTGTTCGCCGGTCGCAGATCCCTGGTGGTCTGGGTGCCTGGCTGCACTATACTCCTCCGGAGCCGATCGTGCCTCTGGAGCGTGTGATACAGTGTCAGGAGCGTATGTCGGTGGATGGCAAGACGGTTGTCGCGGTGGATACGGATGCGCTCCGTGCTGATCTGAAGGCGTGGGTGAAGGAACGGCCCGAGGCTGTGGCGATCTCATTGCTGAATTCGCACTGCAATAGCGAGCATGAGGTTCTGGTGGCTAATGTCGTGCGCGAGGAGCTCGGATGCGATGTGACTGTGATCTGCTCGAGTGACGTTCTCCGAGAGGTGGGCGAGTACGAGCGAACAGTCACCACCTGCACCAATGCGCTTGTCAAACCCGTTGTCCAGAGCTATCTGAGGAATCTGCAGGGCTTACTGGCGGAGGATGGAGATACAATCCGCATCCTCAAGTCGGACGGGGGTCTGACGAGCTTGGATCTGGCGGGCCAGCTGCCCGTCAATATCCTGATGTCTGGTCCTGCTGGAGGAGTGCAAGGCGTCGCGGACGTCGTCACGCGAAACACCCCGTATAAGAACCTGATCACCTTTGACATGGGCGGTACGTCAACGGATTGCGCCCTGATCAACCAGGGGAAGCCTCAGCTTCGTCGCGAGACGGTGGTCGGCCAACTCACCGTCCGCTCGCCCGCCGTGGACATCCGGACCGTGGGAGCAGGAGGCGGTTCCATTGCGAAATACATGAGCATCACTGAAACCATGAGAGTCGGTCCGGAGAGCGCAGGGGCAAGCCCGGGACCCGCATGCTACCGCAAGGGAGGGACCGAAGCCACCGTCACGGACGCCAACCTTGTGCTGGGATATCTGCCCGAGAACCTCTTGGGAGGCGAATTTACTCTGGACGTCGAGGCTGCAACGGCCGCAGTCGGGGCTATCGCGAAACAGATGAAGCTGTCGGTTACCCAGACCGCCGAGGACATCATCAACCTTGTGAACGAGACCATGTACGGAGCCCTGCGTCTCGTCTCGGTCGAACAGGGCTACGATCCAGAGGATTTCGCACTGGTCGCTTTTGGAGGTGCAGGACCCCTTCATGCCAATGCAATAGGCAAACTACTGGGGGCTTGGCCGGTCATTGTTCCCCCATCTCCCGGCACTCTGTGCGCCCTGGGTGATGCGACTACCAGGCTGAGCCACTCTCAGTCATCTTCTTTCATCCGCCTACTCTCGGCTACAACAGCACAGGAGGTGAAGTGCCGCTTTGACGAGCTCGAAGAGGCAAGCCGGGCAGCCATGCAAAGCTCCAACGCAAACCGTCCGATGCAGCTGAACATCGGCTATCATGTGGATCTCAGGTATCGAGGCCAGGCGTTGAATATGACAGTTGATCTGCAGGCGGAGGAGCTATTGCTGGAAGACAAGCCATGGCGAGAGCTCCTGCAGGCGAAGTTTGACCAGCTCCATGAACAGCAGTTCAAGTACTGTCTTCCCAATTATGAGCTGGAGCTGATGCGGCTCGAGGTCGTTGCTGTTGATGCTTCGCCCAGCATCGAGCTTCCCCAGCTCAGCAAGGCCGAATTGCCTGCGCCACCGGCCGATGCAATGCTCGCGAAGAAACAAATTGTCATAGAGGGACAGAGCATGGAGGCTACACTGTGGGACCGGGAGAAACTAAGCCACCAGGGGGTACGGGTGGACGGCCCCTGTATCATCACCGAAATGGACAGCAACACCCTGATTCTTCCCGGATGCTACGGCGAGATTGATTCGATCGGAAACATTCTTATACGCCCGGCCAATGACGATCCGACGAAAGAGCAACCGAAAGACCAGACTGCAGAAGCGGCTTTGGAGACGGTCCAATCGACACCTCTGATCCCCACACTGGTTGCGTCTGCTTTGGCCTCCGTCCGCAGTGAAATGGATACTCTCATGCTGCGTTGTAGCATGTCGCCTGCGATTCGTGAGCAGCAGGATGAATTCAATGTGATCACCACTGCCGACGGCAAGATGCTTGTTGGTCAGTTTGGCAGTTTCATCACCCAGTTCCTGGGCGTCTGGAAAGGCACGATCGAGGAAGGCGATGTGTTCATCACCAACGATACGTACATGATTGAAGGAGCCGTGACACACCTGAACGACGTGATCGTCCTATTGCCCATCTTCTATGAGCACCGACTGATCGGATGGGCATCGCAGTTTGGGCACTTGACTGATGTCGGAGGAATGGTCCCGGGCAGTATGTCAATCAACGCGTCATCCATCTTTGACGACGGCGTCCAGATCCCGTGTATCAAACTGTACAACAAGGGGATCATGAATACCGATCTGGTTGAGCTGCTCTGTCGCAACTCGCGACAGCCCGACTGGTACAGAGCCGACTTGTTTGCCATCATCACCGCTTGCCGAACGGCCGCCAGCCGTGTCCGCGAGCTCGTCCTGCGGTTTGGATGCGAGGTCTATCTCGCGGCATGCTCTGAACTGCTCATGCGTAATCGCACAGCGATGGCCAAGATCATCGAGACCGATTTCAACGACAAGCCATGCTCGTTTACCGATTTCGTGGATGACGACGGTCACGGCATCGGCCCCTGGGCGTTGACCTGTACGATGAAGAAGATTGACGGGAACAGGCTGCTGTTTGACTGGAGTGGAACGTCCCCCCAGAGCGAGCACAGCATCAATTTCTATCTCTCAGAGACCATGTTCAAGATGTTCATCGGCTACTACATGATCGCCGCAGCCGCACCAGGCACAGTGATCAACGACGGCTTCCACGACCTCATCGACATCTATATCCCCGAGGGCAGCGTCCTGAAACCCGTCCGTCCAGCGCCGATTTCCTGCCGGACTCATCTGCTGGGCAGAACAATGGACGTCATGCAAGCGCTCATCGGCCAGAGGAACCCAGTATATGCCGCCGCCGCGGGCTTCAGCGACTCTCCCCACTTCTTCTACTCCGGATACAAACCAGACGGGGAGTGGTATCAATTATACCAGATCGGCTTCGGTGGTGTCCCCGCACGGAACGCCGGCGACGGCCTCGACTGCCATTGCCTGTTCCCGGCTATCAAATCGATTCCCACCGAGATCATCGAACTGAACTACCCGCTACGCATCGAAGCCAACGAGAGCGTCCCGGACAGCGGCGGGCCGGGATTCTACCGCGGTGGCAACGCACAGCGCACTCTCTACCGGTTCCTGTGTCGAGGAGAGTTCAGTCTGCACGATGACCGCTGGTTCACCAAGCCGTGGGGGATCCGTGGCGGCAAGCCAGGTTCACGTTCCCGGAAGGTCCTCTACAGATACTCCAAGTCCCAGGAGAACCCGCCGGTGGAAGTCCTGCCCTCGAAGTGCGACCACATCCGCGTCGACCCAGATGACCTCCTTGAGTGGGTGACATGGGGAGGCGGTGGACTCGGAGATCCATTGACTCGACCCGCGGAGAAGGTGGCACTGGAAGTCCGTCGCCGATTGGTGACCATGCAGGGTGCCTACGATAATTACGGAGTGGTGGTCAATCCGGATGATCTGAGCGTGTGTGAAGCCGAGACCGAAGCCCTGAGGAAGAGGATGGTAACTGCTCGAGATGCGGTGGAAAAGGCCCCACAGTATGATCGAGGGGGGACGATCGAGCAGCTGAGAGAGTCTTGTTTGAAGGAGACTGGCCTTCCTGCCCCGAGCCCGCAATGGGAGCTGGAACCTTATGGACCGCATCTGCGGCTGCCATATGTCACGGAGTGGTATACGCGGATGAAAGAGGCGAAAGGATGGGTGTTGCAGTCGTAGCATCGTAGTGATTTACAGCAGTCTAGCAGCAGTCTTATACTCATCGGATTCTTTCCAATGGTCAAAAAGACGTATAGCTATATTAGAATGACCCTCACATGCATGTTTCAGTGGGAATCAAGCCCCCTTCAAGCTTATCCAGAGACAACCTGGTAACGACTGGCGTGCTTTAGATGAGATATGAAAGCACTTCAATGGTCCTCACTTTGAATATTCATTCAGTTTACAAATATAAATACCACACTACTGATATACATCAAGTGTGTTTGATGAAATCACTTGAATAATCGAAAGGAAAGCCCTTTTAGACATCTGCCTCTTGCTAGAAAGACCGCAGAGGCATGGAGGATTTGCTGGATCATTGCCGCGCGTGTCGTTGAAGAGCAGAAATGTGTTACAGGGAACACATTTGCAGTACTGTCGTCCAGCATTCCTGCTGCAGTTGGACCTGCGAGTTATGAAGGCTTTGGGGACTCTTTATCGATTTCTGAATCCGCGAGGTCATGATGCACCCTACTTGAATGTTCAAACATTAATCTCTCAGAACAATGTTAAACATATTTATGCATCATGACTTGAGGTGTATGGCTGGAGTAACACAGAACTAGCCAGCCTCTCAGCAGACGGTGGCTTCACAGCGCATTGAGAAGATGGAGCAGCTGGAGATCCCTCTTACAGGCTGCCTCCCACTATGGACAAGTACGAGCAGTACTGGAACGAAGACAGTCCTCGGTATCAACGGACCTGGTCCACAGTGCCTAGGCTCACTGGTTTCAGGGCATTCATCTCCCCTAAGAATCATTGCATGGACATGGCCTTGGCCGGGGTTGGCGGCATGGCAGGTGCTTGATCAAGAACCGTGTCATTGATTGGCATCTTTGTTGTGGCTACAGACATGGTGAACAAGAAAGATTGCAATGTTTGAGAGTTCTGAGAAACTTATCTGTGACTTGTATGAAGGGGCTCTTGGGCGCTGAAGAGGCTTAAAATATTACCATACCACTTGCTATAACGCCTACTTCTACAAGTCTATCCTCACTGGCATAGTCACTAGCATGTTTCCTGCAGTGCCAAGGAGCCAACATCACCCTAATGTGATGGGAAGGTCACACAACTGTGAATCATCCTGCTGTGACACCGAATTTTAGTCATTCGGACAAGGGTTTTTCAGGCGCCGAAATTCCAGTCTACCTAATAAACACATATCAAATCCCTCCTCATGTTGCCTTCTGCATCTATCCACCGCGCAGAATCATCCTCTATACCCGCAACCATGGGCTCAGTGACGGACATTCCAAAAACCGACAAAGACCAAGAGATCGCCGACTGGAATCTCACGGAGGTAGACCGCATGCTCCTTCGACAGACCGACGAAGAATACGAGCCACACTCCTGGGACGAACTGGAACGGATAATCAGTATGTAACCAGCCCATCCTTTCCCGGGATACGATACTAAAGCACCAGCCCAGAGGAAAATAAGCTCGAACTCTTCAAGCGCCTCCCCTCGCATCTAAGACGCTACATCAAATGGTCAAGGGGCATAAAAGAACTGTACGGCGGCATCCTCAACTACATCTGTCAGGAACGCCTCCACTGGGATCAGCAAGACTCAAAAGTCGTGTTCAAGAATCCGACCCCGTTTGCAAGCCCATCCGACTATTGCATTCGCTTCAACGACTGGCCGTACGGGGTCGCACCGGGCATCCGGCATCTGGTCGTCTGGCTGAAGACCCCGTTGCCCGTGCAGGAAGATGGAAATCTGACCACCGAGTCGCGCGCGTGCATCGAGACTTTCGTGTCTGCTACTTTTGTGCAGCGGCTGGCGAGAGAGGTCCACGCGGATGCGCCAGAGGCCCGCGTGCTGTGGTTCAAGAATTGGGCTGCGTTGCAGAGTGTAACGGCGCTTGAGCATTTCCATGTTATGGTCAAGGACGCAAGCGAGGAGACCTTGAGGGAGTGGATTGGGTCGGATAATATGGCGATGATTTGTGATCTGTGCAAGTGAGGATGAATTGTCTGTTAGCTACATTCCATATCACTCTATTCAGTACTATGATAAGAATCTCCTGTCTAGTCCATAGTACCTTAAATCATGCTTGTTAAGTTGTAGTTCCAGTATTGCTAGTTCTATACTATAGTTGATTGCAATATCTTGGTGCACTTCATCTTATGGAATTCGAGCTGACACGGCTATAACCAGGTACAACCGGTGACTGACATTATAGCGGATCCGAACATAATGATTCTCGAGACAACGCTTTTGCCGTTCCTCTAACACGGGGGTCGGCGACTGGCCAATCTGACATTCTCTCAGAGCTCAATGGAAGGCCGCAAGCGTCTGGGAAACATACATATTGGGAGGCCATGTTCCTATGAGCGGTGACATGAGACAATGTATCAGGTCTTGCGAGGATCCTGTAACTGATCTTGGTGAAAACTGGTGCAGTCGGAGTTCGCACCTTACAGAGAGATTCTATTAGACAGATTCAACAGTAGGGCCTGGCTTACCACGTTAAAAGAACTATGTGCTGTTAGAGTGATAGAGTCTACAAAGCATAGTGGACTCGGCTAACAATATAAACTGACTGCAAAGACAGCCCTTCAGGATAGAGGTTGCTCAGAGTATCAGAAGACGCCATCTTCATGGAGTAGATCATGCGGCCAAGGGAGGCGACTGAGGTATAAGAGAGACTTATGAAGAGGAATTAATCCAACCAGGGACTTGCTCAGCAGCGAAAGACATACTCATTAGGTAAATTTGCATCACGGCTAGTGAAATCCAAGGACTAGGATTCATTTACTACTTGGCAAGGCTGACACTGCTTAGTGAAAATCTACTTAGGCTTGAAACCTTTTTAATTTCACCTTTAGTAAACAGAAGGATACTTTCTCTCCAGATTTTACTACTTACTCCAGTGCGCCACATCTCCCATATGCTTTCTCCATGTATCCTAGCCACGCGGTTTCACTACTGCCTCAAACTGCATGAGCATGGTGCTTATTCCGGGGAAGTAGCACCCAGATGACGAGTAAAGCAATCAATAATGCGAGAATGAATGGTTGCAGACTTTGCACGCCGCGCGCCCCAGATATAGCACCAGCAACAAAGGGCAGTCTACGCGCAAATATGGGGAAGCAAAAGATTAGCCGGGTTTTCAAGCAGCGGTTCATGAAGCACCGTGGACGAAGGAGGTAAACTCACATTGCTCCACCACCGCCAGCCAACGCCGACGCAAGTCCAATGCCTGGAGTATGTAGATGCTTCGGGAGCAGCTTGGCAGCCACTACAATTGCCGCGGAAAAGAGAGGCCCAGTAAAGAAGCCAAGCAGCGAGACAGCAACGGCAGACACGACAAACTTTGGTACCAGCCAAAAGACCAGCTCCAGAGCAATTGAAATCACAAGGTAAATACTGATAGCAATCCGCTCTCCTTCATTCTCAGTCAGTATCGTGCATTAGGGCTTCGTAGAGGGATAACATGCCCAACCAGTCGTTCACGAAGCCGAGGACCAGACGCCCGATAGTGACGCCAGCCCAAAAGCCGGTGGGAACCAGACCGGACTCGAATGGCTCTCCGTTGCGGGCCTGAACCATGAAATCGACAACCCAGCCACCCACCGACACTGTCAGATTCAATGATCAGATGGTCGTCCGCTCCTAGAATAAAGCCAGAGTGACGCACCTTCGACACCCATGTACACAAACAGCCAGATGGCTATCAGCCAGGTAATGGGACTTTTCATGGCCTCTGTAGTTCTGCTTCCACCACTGCTATCGGGACTCCTGCGGTTTTTGGCTCGGAAGCTAACCGCGTTTTCTTTCCAGAACATGGCAACGCTTGCCATCAGTTCTAAAACGGAGCCACCGAGCAGTGTATAATAGAAATAGTTCCAGCGTAGGCCGGACTTGATCATCTGAGTCGCGATTGTTGGGCTCAGGGTTGCCCTGCGTTGGTCATCAGTATGCCGTTGGCAACCATCGTACATAATCCACGTACCCGACCCCATAGAATGCCCCGAGGAACCCCATCATAGTGTTGGCATTAACCATGTCAGCAATCCAGGAGTTCCATGCAGCGTCGATGAGGCCATTCCCCAAGCCAACAATCACGTAGACAGCCAACATTGCCGGCCAGGGCGGGTGGATGGCCATAATCACGAACGGGATGATATGGCATAGGGGACCGATAATCGCAATACCTCGCTGTCCAAATGTCATGTGGATCTTGTTGACAATGAGGGTTGCAATCGTGTATCCGGCAAACGGGGTCACGAAAATCAAAGAGACCACCGTGGTAGACAGCTTATAGTCTTCGCGAAGCTACTCGACGTCAGTATTCTCGTCGGTGAGGGAATGGGCTTCGATTCGTCGCTTACATATGGGACGAGTGCCTGCGAGAGAAATCATTAGTCTTATCGGGGAGATCACATAGAAAGAGCTCACTCCGTAGACGCCATCGCTGGCTCCTACAACCGCGAAACTGGCGAATGTAGCTAAAAGGCGCCATTTGTTGATGGGAGGGTCGTTCCATTTTTGCTTTGCTTGAACGATTACATCCTCAGCAATCGGTCCAAATGTTTGGACTGAGCTCTGTGACTCTTGTTGTCCTCGTGAAGCTAGCTCAACTGTTGTCGTTGACATATTGTGCTACTGAGGAGAGAAAAGTGGAATGAGACAGGAAGAGGAATATCAAAGATGTTACTAGTTAATAAGTCTTTTCCCCGCCTGATGAGTCAAGAACTGGTCTTGGACTCTTGGTTACTCCGTATAGGCTGACCCACTGAGACAGAACCATGGCAACTACCGCTTAGGTGGATAACCAGGATGTAACCACGCCATGATTATAGTATTATGTGTTTCATCTGTGATTCACTGTTATTGGCCTGCCCAATCTGGCAAAGATGCTTTACCTAACTAGAAAAGTCCATGCCAATGCCCGGGTCATGGAATCCATGGCTTGGCACTCGATTTATCCAGTTCTCGGCGTTGGCAGCCTTCGAGCCGTGACTCTGGTTCGAAACCACGACATCGATGAGAGGCTCAAGGACAGGGATTGTCCCTCGACCTGGTGCGGCAGAGTCGAATTGACGCCGTGGCCTTTTGAGCTACAGGATTCTGATGAGTTTGACTGTCTAGACAAGAAATAGTATTGAAGAGGCAATTGAGTGATCGTTCTAGTAAAGGCAGATATTTCCGGTGCAGGGAAAGTCTCTATTGTTCGACACTGGCTAATATCTTAGTCAATATTGAAATGAATATTAAGCACAGAGCCACGGAACTCTAGTCGCCGTCGATCTACGACAGTGGTTCAAGAAGGAATTTTTGGTGGAAATGCCCATGATGCAGATCTTGTATTGGTTTTGCCTTCCAAAGAATACATAAGCAATGTGGAGTGCAGGATTATATATATAGTTGACTGTTGAGTACAAACTCGGAGTGACTAGTCAGCTATCGTACCAAACAATATAAATATGCACTCTACTATAGAGAGTAACTCGTCTCAGCCAAAAATTATGCTAATGGTAGTTTTAGCAAGAAAAACAAAAAAAAAATGACAAGGGTGGGATTCGAACCCACGCCCCTTTCGAGACACGGAAACTGATGATCAGTTTATAGGTCCAGTTCCTGAACCGTGCTCCTTAGACCACTCGGACACCTTGCCTGATATAGAATCTATAGATCATGATAGCAACCAATACAAAGCAATTCACCGACACATTTGCTTACCTACCTTCATACTCCGTTGTCTCTTTGGACTGCAAGGTCGGTCGCTGCAATATCACGCATGGTATGCTCATTATACTGGATTCTAATGCCCCAGCATATGAGTATTTGTTTGCTACCATAGTCTTTTCCCCCACATGAATATTCCTCAATGATTGCGCGTACCGGCCAAGCGCCATCATAGCCTCATAGGAAAATAATGGGAGATATAAGAAGACCCGATGTATGTGCAGGCTGAAGAACCAGCCCTCATTAACCGATCCTCCTTCCATGTTGCCCCTCCAAGTGTCTTGGTCTGGGTTCGGAGCAAGTACTCCACGCCATTTCGGAGTATGCTATCCAAGGGCGACAGATAAGGGAGTAGTGCCATGAGTGCCAAAGCTGTCTGTGATGCTGTGGACGTCCCAGCTTGTTCTTTCCAGGAAATCTCACCCCAGCCTCCGTCTTGATTGCGGATTCCCTCAAGCCAGTGGATTGCTTGGCACACATCGTCGTTGATACCGTCATCTCTCTCGGTCCACGCGCTCTTTGACACCGATGAAATAGGCCAATGCACGGAGCACAGCACTTGTTGTGTAAATGTGATGCCTGCTGCAGCACCCAAACCAGGTACCGCAGGGTTGTTGGGTTACAGACAGGTAGTGTATAGCCCTTCGGGAAGCGGATGCTACATGATCGATTACGGCCCCTAGGCCCGCCGGTATCTTGTTCCGTTGACTGTGCGTCAGAATTAAGCCAAAAGCTTCGAGAACATGACCTGTCACGTCTGGCATCGACGTGACGTGTTCATGCTTCCTGTCTGGTGAGATGCGATGGCCATTGTAGCTTAGAGATATCCATCCACCATCTGCATTTTGCAGCTGCAGAAGCCATTCGAGAGCGCGGACGACGAAGGAGGAGCAGATCATCAGAGGGTCCTGTCAAATTACTGCATAAATCGCCGCTGCTACATCGTCCACACGAAAGATGCGAGTATCGAAAATCTTGGATGTGTTGTTATTGCCGTCTGAAAGTGAAAGACTCTGCAGCCATTGCAAAGACTTTCTGAGCCATGGAGAATCGAGCGGGATGCCGGCGTCTCCAAGGCCAGTAATCATCAGACTGCTGTCACACACAGTTGTATTCACACTCAGAATTCTCTTCCCAGCTTCATCTTCATACACAAGGTGCTCGAGATAGTCCAGGCCCGTGCGCAGAGGACACGATTGAACCGAGTAACCCTCCAGCTTCAAAGCAAGCATCGCCATGTGCAATGGCCGCGCCAGGTGCCCAACACCTCCCATTTCCCGTATAGTCTCAAGGATGAATTCAACGCTCCGATAAAGCGCATAGCGTCGGAGAGGAAAGAAGTATGTCAGCCCGTTCAAGAAACGCCCTATCAAGTCTGTGGACTTTGATACTGGTGCGATGGCATTGGAAATGCCGGTTGGAAAGGCGCCGCCAAAGGCTTTCTCTGGCGGTTCTTCCGGTTTGCACCACAGTTCATTCAAGTATGCGCTGGCTGCGCATTCCTGAGTGGGTAATTTGAATATTGGGCGATGGTGGCAGAGAATGAGGAGAGGGATCAGTGCACTCCGATCCATAGCTGGCCAGCGGCATATACTGCTTGGAATATGTTGAGGCAGCAATATCAACTCAGACGGCAGACTTTGGACGGCAATCCAGGGATATAAACCAAACATTGCAAGATAAACGCGGGTGATAAAGGAGACTCTCGCGATGCTTCCAGCAGAAAGGATGAAGGATCGAGATCTGCGCATCTGAGGATCATTCCGTGAGACACCCAAGATTCTCAAGGCAAGGTAGGCCTCAACCGTGACTGAAAGATCACCATGGTCCCCTGGGTTGATGCCCATGAACCATCTGAGTTCTGGACAGAATACAGCCATGAAATGAATGCTTCTTGATCTGTATTCAAGCTGCTGCCGAGAGCCTGGTGCATGAGGATATGCTCTGCTGTTGTTGCAATGTCATTGGCTTTAGTCTCTCCACGCCAATTACCGCCTGGCATTCTCTGAAGCCTGCTATATTGGACAGACAATCGAAGCGACTGATTCACCTTTGACAGCAAGCAATATTGCTCTGAAGGCCAGCCAGCCAGAGCAGTCCGTCGTGTCTCCAACTCTGCTGTACTTTACATTGTTATGTAGGTATTTAGTTATATGACAATCAACAGCAACTAGCAAGCAGATGGAGATCTGAACTCTCATGTTACTACCACTCTTATGCTTCTGTGGGCGTGCGTTTTCATCTCATTGACACTGCATGCTGGACACCGAAGGCCTGGCTACGCTCACAGCTTGGTCTTCTCTGAGTACTGTGCTTCTAGCCTGGGTTTACACTATCATGATCCGTATACTAGCACTCTAGGCCTCAGTTCCATTCTATTGCAGGCTCCTCGCATCCAAGGCGCTGTGACGTCTATACAGCTGGGATCCAGTTATGATTGAAGCCAGTCGGCTTTGCTCTGGATCAAGGGGCTTATCCTGGAATGTGTCTGGAAAAACGATCCGCTTCCATGGAATGGGTACAGCCACAAAATGCCCTGCTTCATTGACTTTTGTAGGTTAAATTTCTTACCGTAAATAGAGTTTCTAATGGGTCCGAATATACAGGTTTGAGGTTGATAATGCTTGATTCATTAATGTTACATTCCTTACTCCGCACACCGATGGCATACGTAGTAGTATGACCAGGGATCAACCAAGTTCTACCTCTGAAAGAGCCTATGTAGAACTATTGTATGTTTGGCCAGGCAATCGATTATGAAAGCTAAATCCCTTGCCATTGTCTTTCTAGAGATGGAGCTTGTTTGACCAACAAGGGCGTCAATAGTGGGAGAGCCAGTCATGCCCTAAGTGCTATCAGTACCCTAGCCTAGGCTGGTAGCCGGAGCATGTAAGGGACACTGAGCGACATACCATCCCCCTGTGGAATTCTCTTTTCTCTTCCTGTGCTCATATAGGAGAGTAATTGTAATCCACGTACAGAAAGAATCAGCTCCCACTGAAAGCCCCCCACTCAAGGTGTTCTAGATGAGCTCTACCCGAAACCCCGGTGCAAGAACTGGGAAGTGCACTGTAGGAGGGCTTAACCCAGTTTAGTGAAACTCCTCCTGGCAGGGAAATGCCAGACTGCACCAGGGCTCGGTGACGGCAACCCATATAAACTCAGGTTGACAGTCCATGACATCTTCCTATCTTGACGCCACAATATGCCGCAGCATAGGATTCCTTACTTCTTCCTTGACTTACGTGCAAGCGTCATGGGCCACGTCTCCCTCTCACAGAACAGGTGCTTGCACAGAATGCCATCTCTGGAATCTATGACCTCACGAGGAATACTGGCTGTAGTAGTCGTGTCTCTTCCGAAGTGTAATTTGACCTCAAGAAAATGCTCTCTGGCCGCGTGCACCTACCCTCGATGTAACCCCTTCCCGGGCTTCTGAAGCTGCTCCAGGCTTAGTCTGACCGGACAGCATTGAAAGCGTCACAAGTACCACAAGTTCCTAATCCGAGAGTCCATGACTGAGACATCGCAAGTGGCAACTGAGCAAGGCGCACCGACTCTTCCGGGCTTCTCATTACATGTACAGAGATCATGCAAGGCATTCTTTCCCGCAGTTGGCCTTTGTCGTAGTCGTCCTGCAAAAGCGAATAGTCCATTATTTTTCTTGGAAAATGTCAATCATGGACGCAGTATTGGGTCTACTGGCTTTTCTTTGTCTTCTACCACACTCCCTTGCAGTCTGTATCGTCAGTTCATATACGATTTGCATCATATGCGAGCGCTTAGCCTTCCTACCACTCTGTGTGCTACAACTCGGAACATGGGATTAAGGTGAAAATTCCATCACTAGGTTCTGAGGTTGAGGGTTATGTTGACTCCTAACTAGCTCCAATGAATCTGGGGACCATTCGAAGATGCTACCAAACGACTATCTACCTTGTTCGAGACGGCAGATGGATGTGAAGTGGGATGTTTGGTTTTCATAATGTCAAGATTCTAATACTATGTCCCATGCGCCATTCCGTGCCTGATATTCAATATGTGTTAAGGAGACCTGTATAAAGTCGTATCACTTATCTCTAGGTAATAGGGAGGAAGTCATTACATTCCTAGTGGTTTGCACAGGGCCTTTAAATGCCACAGAGTATCGATATGGTTCGGAAGCAATGGACCATCGTTCCAACATACTGTCGTCCTCAACCAGCTGGAGCAAGACAATAGTGGCGATTCCAGAAAACCCAGCCACATTTGTGTCTTGACTGACATCGTAACGGCCTCAGTTGACCTCCCTCCGACGGACTCGGACAGTGGCACTCGGTGGTACAAGTACATGTTCACCACAAATGATGTTCTCCGGTCTTTTTTCGAGACGTTCCATATCATAGTTTAAAACGATATGGGCGATGATCATCTTGAGCAGATGAACACCAAAATGCCGGCCCGGACTGGGGAACATGATGGGTCAGTGAGGACTCATTCAACATTTCAAAGGCAGAGAAAAACTCACCATGCATGACGTCCTGAGCCAAAGGGTAGATATTTCGAGGTGGCTGCTACCCGAGTCAGCTTCTGCTTGGGCATACCGGTGCCGTCTTCATTAGTCTGCTCTTTGACGTATCGGAATGGCTTGTATGACTGTCCTTCAGCATAGAATCTCTCGTCCGTATGGATATCCAACGTCGACGCAGCAACCCACATACCCCGTGGCAGATGTTGGCCCGTGGGCAAGGTGATACCCGATGGGTGGATGACTTCCCGGTTGGATGCATGCAAGGTCACTGGAGCTAGACGCAATGTTTCCCGGATGGCACTATCTGTATAACGGAGCTTCTTGAAAGACGTGGGAACCACCCATTCTCTCTCTGAACTGAGCACGTTTGTGGCTTCTTGCCGAAGCTGCTGATATAATTCCAAATCTGGCGGAGAGCTCACAATGTCTAAGATTGCAGCGGAGGAGCTAGGAACAGTAGTCATAAACGGGAGCAAGGCCTGCTCATTCATCAGTTGAGATTCGAACCGAGAAAAAAGGAGCGGGCTTACAAAGAGGTTGATAACCACGGAAAGCTTTTCCTTATTGAGCTCTTCAGTCCCGTAAAGCCTGCGAGAGACTCGAATGAATGAGGTTACCAGGTTGTAAGGTACCCTGGAATCCTCTTCAGATATCTGCTCTCTTTCCTCCTGTTCAATCTGCGCCAGCCACTCCTTGACGAGCTGCGTGGTGGTAGCCCACACTCTCTTCCGAGCAAAGTACAAGGGGACTCTGAGACAGGTGCTAAGCAGCGGCTGTAAGAACCAGGGGATCAATTGACCACACACTATCATGGCACCCGCATAGAAGTTGATCAATCTGGCAAGAGAACGCACGTGGGCATCGTGACATAGCGGCAAGCCCCATGAGATCCGGCTGCTCGTCCGGAGTACAACTCTTTGCATCGCTTCCATGAGGTGGACAGGTTGCCAGTTGTGGCAATCCTTGCCAAACTCCCGGTCGATGTTTTGACGGAGCTCGTCAGCCAGATCACACTGGATTTTGTCCAGATTCTGAGTGAGAAACTGGCTGACCACAACATTGGCGATCTTCTCGTCCAGTGCAGAACGACCAATGGGAAAGAGATGCTTAAAGCTTAGACTGTCGTTCATAACTTCCTGGGGAGATAGAATGCTGTCGGGTTGCCGGATCACCCATTCAAAATCCTTCACTGGCAAGATGGCTTGCGGACGTAGGTTGCCATTGGCATAGATAAAGAGCCTATCATGTCGATTAAACTGTTCTCGGTAGCATTGTTAGATAAAGGCACATTCAATCGAGCCACAGCTTGTGCAAAGCAATGTCTTTACCTCGTTATATCCTTCTGAGAGACTCGGTCGTCCCGATGGCCAGCCTCGGAAGCAGGCCCTAAGCCCACCGAAGATCTTTCTTCCTCCAGCGCGGGGAATCCCTTTGGGGAATGAAGGGGGAATCTTCCAGTGCCCAAAAGCGAGAGCGATAAAGATGGGGAATGCAGCGCCGACAAGCAGGGCAATAGACAAATGTGGATAGGTCGAAACCAAGGGCAGCTGCATCATCGTGAATCTGTGGACTCGCTATCGTACTGATACTGGATAGAGAAAGTCTTAGGACTGAATATCTTCAGCTATGGCGGCCGCATCTGGAAGATACCCAAACGAACATTTGTAGGGAAGAGTAGTGCCACAGGGTTATGACATGGCCAAGGACGAGTTGGAAGAAGAGATTGTAACCTGTCATGGTCTATGACAACCACAGAAATAACCTTAAATGCAGTCCATGGTCAGTGTATCTACGGGTTGGAGTCTAGACAGGGTTACATTCCGGATCATCGGGATACACTCACTCACTGATGGGGAATAATGATATCAAGTTCTGATTCAGGGTAGTCTCAATATTATTTCACTCTTCTGCAACTATAGACTACACATTCGTAAGAACCATTGATGACGATGGCAATATGCCATGCTTGGATGTGTTGCAAGGAAACGCGTAATGCAACATGTCAGCTGCATTCGGAGGAGCGCATCCTTGTACGCTTGTCATAGATTACTAGACAAATACTGTAGACTCGAGGTATATCAGGTCTGATACTTGAGCCTCGTACCCAGTTCCTGGAACGGCTCCGGTCTACGTCAAACTCGTCGCGTACGGCACTCACACGAGTGAAGCAGTTCAGCCATGACAGACGTCCAAGAAGATGCCGCCTCCCATGACAATAGTGCAGCCACTCTTCTGCCCGAAGTGCAGCAATCTCTGCAAAAAGCAGCAGCGTACTCCCGCCATATGGTGCGCGAGGATGGCCATTGGTGTGCAGAAGTGGAATCCAATCCCAGCTGCACAGCGGAATATGTCTTGTTTCTTCATACTTTGGGCTTGCAAGAACGATTGGATCGCGAAGCCTTGATCTCATGGCTCCTGTCCCAGCAGCAGGAAGACGGGTCCTGGAGTCTGGTAAACGACTATGATGGGGATATTTCCATGACCACCGAGGCATATCTGGCGTTGAAGCTACTCGGCCTTTCTCCCGACCATCCCGCCATGCGCAATGCACGAAGCTTTGCTCTCTCTGTTGGGGGCGTGGCCCGTGTGCGCATGTTAACCCGGATCTACTTGGCCATGTTCGGTCTGTTTCCTTGGACGGCCGTGCCTGAATTGCCTCCAGAGTTCATTCTTGCTCCAGCCAGTGCACCGATCAACATCTATCGGATGTCATCGTGGGCTCGGGGGATGATTGTCCCTTTGTTGATCGTTCGCCATCATCAACCGATCTACGCGCTTCCAAACGGAGCCTCCGCGTCCAATGACTACCTGGATGAACTGTGGTGCGATCCTACTGACAAAGCCGCGTCGTATGCTCCTGCGAGTTGGGACATGGCCAGACGGCTTCTGGGCCGTTGACTACTCGCTGCATCTGTTTGGGGGTCTTCTTCGCCATTCCCCCTTCAGACGATACGCCAGACGAAAGTGCGTTCGCTGGCTTCTGGAGCATCAGGATGAAGAGGGAGACTGGGCGGGGATTTATCCGTCCATGGCCCAGAGCGTCATGGCTCTCCGACTGGAAGGATTCGACGTGTCGTCTTCCCCTGTCCAGCGAGGGATCGCAGCAGTTGAGCGGCTCTCTTGGCGGGACAAACGGGGCCAGCGCATCCAGGCTAGTGTCTCCCCGATATGGGATACGGCGTTGATGACCGTCGGCCTGTGTGATGCCGGCGTGCAGGCTGACAGCGACCTTCTCACAAACGCCATGAACTGGGTCAAGCCCCGCCAGATTCTCAAGACCTATGGTAACTGGAACGTGTACCGGCCTCGGCTCGCTCCAGGAGGCTTTTGTTTCCAGTACATCAACCGATACTGCCCCGACCTGGACGACACGGCGGCTGTCATTCTGTCAATCCTGAAGCAGGACCGCCTTTCTGTGACTTCGATGTCAGTCATCCGAGCCGCCGAGTTTCTGCTAGGGCTACAAAACAGCGATGGGGGCTGGGGCGCTTACGAGGTTGATAACAACAGCTTGTTCATGAACAAAGTTCTCTTTAGCGATATGGATTGCCTGTCGAATCCCACCACCGCCGACCTCACCGGTAGAGTCCTGGAGGCATTTGGTCTCATCCTGGAATGCTCCCGGTCTGGAGACAAGGTGTCTGATCCTCTCCTGGACCAGATCCGTCGTTCATCGGAGCGAGCGATTACTTGTCTGGCCCATGAGCAGGAACTCACTGGGGCGTGGTTTGGCCGCTGGGGAGTCAACTACGTCTACGGCACGAGCAATGTGCTGTGCGGCCTCATGAGGTTCGCAGCAGATGATCGACGCATTCAGAGAATGGTTTCCCGAGCTCTCTCCTGGTTGAAATCCGTCCAGAATTCGGATGGGGGCTGGGGAGAGTCGCTCCGTACCTATCGCGACAGCACCTACGCAGGTATTGGTCCGTCGACCGCATCACAAACCGCTTGGGCTTTGATGGGACTGCTTGCCTTTCTGCCTCCATCCGATCCTGCAATCATCCGTGGTGTTCGGTACTTGTTAGACACGCAGACCAAGGCCAAGGGACCTGGATTGTCCTGGATGGAACGTCCGTTCACAGGTGTCGGATTTCCCAACTGGTTCTACATGAAATATAACTTCTATCCGCATTACTTTCCTTTGATGGCGCTTGGCCGTTGGGCTCGGGCCATGGGCTGCTACAAGCTGGGGGGATTTTGATCGCAATCTCGATTTCAATGTTCCGTTTTCATCTGTATAGATCTCGTCAGAATTGAGACAGACAGGCTTTCTCTCACGCAAAGACATATTCAGCAAGCAGATGGTAATACGTTACTCTTGTACCTCTATATATGAGTTGCCGATTGGGCAGTAAATGTCAGGGTGTAGTTGCTGTCGTCGAACCCTGATGAGACATACGGAATGCTCCATTGACGCTTATAATAAACTTAAAGCAGAAATGATTCTCGACCTACGCCGTTCATGCTTCATATCTGATAGATGATTATTATAGGTCTTTACAACATATGATCATCTTTCGATGAACCACTTTGCGGGTCATATCACCTCGCTGTGGCTCAGCCGCACTGCACTTATTATCCCGAGCCAATGATCATTGCCCACATGGCAGACATGGACAGTAAACTAAGTAGTTATAGGATTAGTACGAGGCCTAGCTTGGGCATTTATATAAAGTAACTGTCACTGTGTGAAGCGCTCCCCCTTTGATGTTTATAGTGACGCTGCCCCAGACCTAAAGCATCAAGGACAAGCAAAACTCGAGAGCGGGGGAAAGAAAGAAAACAATGACAGATCCAACTGTTCAAGCCCTGAGCAGAGCTCAGGTAGCTGCGATTCTCGATCAGAATACGTATGACCCAACCGACAAGCACGGATTGCTGCTGCCGATCGAAATGCGATTTCGGCCGTTCAGCGAGACAGGCGAAGCACCGAACATCAACATGCTAGACAGCGCAGAAACCAAGGCGCGGCTCGAGCAGTGGTGTCGGGATGGGTTTGTAATCCTGGATCCCAAGAACGAGGATCTGGGCTCCCACGTCGAGAAGCTGGATGATTTGCTTTCCCCACTGATGGTATGTAGCCTCCTGGTGCATACGCAGAAATGGAGCAGGGACGAGATTATTGATCGGGCGTGCGCCTTGCTGGCTCGTCTTCCCTCATACCCTCCAGAACTGCCATTTGAATATGCAGAAGGTCCGTGGCCAGAGGAGTACTTTGTTACCTCTTCTGCGTCTTCTTCTTCTACAGCGACGACGACGACAACAAGAACTGGGACGCTACGCGATGGATATGAATGGTCCAGTCTTCGGGTTTTGTCCAGGCCAAGTACGAATGTCGTGCGGATCGCTTTGTTTCTAGTGATGCAAAGGAGCGTTCAAATCGGGTTTCTCAGCGCGTATCTAGACACCATAACCACACTTCTCGACACGGCAACGGAGTTACTCCTCCAGAGCTCAAAATCCAAGGCCGACGCACGAGCTCGGTTTGTCCTGCAGGCGTTTCTGTGGGCAACGTGGCATCAGACCATGCTGATTCAACTGTGGTACGACGCGAAAATCCAGATGAGAACGGGCTCCTCGTTTGATCGACATAGCTACCCTGTGGCAATGCCCGGGCGAGAGACCGTCGAGAAACTACGACCAAATTATATGTGCAAATGGGCTTTTGAGCTTCTTCGGTCTGATCTCAGCTCGGTGACGCAGGATTTCAGGAGACTGTTCGAGATCTACAATGTCCATTTTGGTGACCGTGAGCCGCGATGCAATCTCAATCCTGCCGCTGGTCAGGGTGGTGGTAGTAGCAGTAGCAGCAGGTCGAGGGTCTGTGATGGCAAAGCGCCTGGAAACTGTCAGAGATTTGAGTCCGAGGGGGTCCAGATCCAATCCGCTCATGACTTCGAGTGCCCTGGCTCTGCTTGCAGTCTCCTGACCTGGGACGAACAGTCGTATAAAAACATCAAAAAAGCCAGGGCGGTTTCTTTGGAAGAGACCGATGAGAAATACATTCGCTACTGTCCCGTGTCCACGGAGACCATGGCCGTGTCTCATGTCTGGAGCCACGGTCAAGGGGGGCGACCTGAGACTGGGTTCAACATCTGCCTCCATCGCAGATTTACCAGACTGGCGCGGGCGTTAGGCTGCACTTCATACTGGATGGACACTCCTTGTGTCCCGACAGATCTGGAGCTGCGTTACGAGGCGATGGGCCAGATTAACAATAACTTCCTCAATAGCAAGGTCACCTTGCTAGTCGACCGAGACCTCATGGAGATTAACGTTCATCCACTCTCTCTGGAGGCAAAGGAGGCTATCGTGGCAACCCTCGTTGTTTGCGATTGGAATGTTCGTGCCTGGACGCTTCTGGAAGGCATGCGAGGCCGCTGGGACCTTCACATCCTGTGCAAAGACAACCATGTCATATCCCTCGTGGACGTCCTCAACGATGTCTTAGCATACAGTAATCTCACCCTTGTATCGCCATGCTTAGCCTTGCAGCACTACATCCCTACCGGCCATCGCCCAGTCGAGGGAGAGATCCCCCCCGTCAAGATAGAGCAAGCAACCTGCCTCTTGAACCACAGACACGCCACCAAGGACCGAGACGTGACCCTGATCTGGAGCCTGGTGTGCGGCTCAAAGCTCGTCAAAGCCTCTGTGGACTTTTGGAAGTCCAAAATGGGAGACCCCCTGGCAACCGGATTCCTCGTCTCCAGCGCTCCACGTCTCCAGGGCCAGCACGGATTCAGCTGGGCGCCGTCACGCCCGAATCTCCTGCCTCCCACGGCTGGCACCCCCAGTGCAGAACAATATCCTGCCTACGATGGAGAAGATAGTCTACCAGGTATGATTACCGAACAAGGCTTCAGAGCAGAATGGCTTATGTGCCTGATCGGTCGTTTCCGAGCGCTTCCGACCTGGATCCGCTTGAAGTTCTTCGATCAGGACCAGTCCCTGATCAACAGTTACTATACCATCTACAACGAGGGTGGGACCTCAAGGATGGACATGAAAAGCCTATACAAGCTCCGCTCCGTGATCGCACCGGTGTTTAAAAAGTATCGCTGGGTTGGTCTTTTGCTGCCTGCCGTTAGAGATCGAGGATCTAGTGGATCAACCTCTCCGCCTCGGCCGTTCCAATACCAGGGGGAAGCCAAGGGACGCCTGCTGGTAATAGCTGGCTCGAATGATGATGTTGAGTGGGAGTGGCAGTTTGTGCATGAGTGGGATACAAGTTTTCAGCTGCCTGAATTTGCGCTGAGGAAATTGTTGATGGTTTAGATCGATCTGCTGTGGTGGCTTCTCTCCTGTCTGAGCTCATGGCATCAAGCTAACGGGTATAGGACGTCGTGGCCGCGATGGGTTGAGGACTTTCCAAGCTCGCTTAAGTCTAGATTCTTAGATCAAATTAGCATGTTTCTCAGGATGTCTGCAATGAATCAAGATAGAAATCTGATATTGTTGAACGGACTTCCCATACTCCTGCCCTCGGTCCAGTCCAGTCTCATGGAAGAGTTGAAATGGGGGGAATTTATCAGAGTCAATATGTGCAATGAGATGTTGTAGCCCTCGTCGAGCTTCACAATCTGTTCCGACTGGATGCATCAAGGTCGTTTTGTCCATTTCTCCGGTCATAAGGCATGGCATGGGCCCCCTGCGGACTACTATACCGGTGACGGCGCGATATAGGTTACTATTCTTGATGTCAATGGCAGAACCTACGTGAGACTTCATAATCATGATGCACTTGAAACCCGCTAATGCGCATCTTCTCGGCATCTTTTTTCTCTTCGGAGTTTCCGGGGGACGCAGCAACCTTACCGCTGTTTCATGATATCTTAGCTGTAGACGCCATATCACTGCAGTAACAAGAGGTTATTCTGTATGTAGGACGGATATATCTATAAGACCATTCAAAAGTCTCCATCCAGCAGCAGTCTCTCATGGACTCATGAGGTGGACTGAGGACAGACGGCTGAACAGATCCACTCTCCTTTCAAGCTCTTCTACAAGGGGCTCTGTCAGTGCTTCATCTTGTTTCACCTTAATCCACATAAGGTATTGCATGCTCCACAGCATGCAGCCTAAGCGATAGTCATGACTGCGGATAAAATAGCAACCCCCACTGCTTCATTTCCGGTCCAACAATCAGTGGACAGCGCCGATGCATTTCTCCGAATTAACCGCCATTGATCCACCCGTAAGCAAGATTCTCTGGCAAAGCTTCATAGGGTTAGCGACTCAGTAACCTTATCTCAAACAGGTTCGACCTGAAGCACAGACCAAGATGACGCGTACTGTTCACTAGTCATTATACTGCTAGACGAGAGGCTCGCTCTCCAATGGCCGAGTCCAATATGAAGCACTGGCGCCCAGCCCGAGTCAGTGACGCTGCCAAATGTGTTTTGGCTTGCTTGGCGTCGGTTATCAATCAGAAGCAGGTGGCGTGTTTGTTGTTTCACTTGCCCACTAGCAAGTCTCAACTGTCCACTGCACTCGTCAGTCATCACTTGTCAGCTTGTTAGTGGGCACTGACGCCGACAGGACGATCCCTGGGCCTAGGCGCGGATTCATTGTGTCCAGCCTGTATACGGGTGGATTCTACAAGGTCGAAGTGTGCATCCTTCTTTCTCTTCGTTTCGAATATTGACGAAGCCCTTAGTCTCCACCTGACGATCCCTCTGAAGCTGACGCGTACCAGCTTTGGTGGCTGGAGTCTTGGAGCTCGAGGGAGAGAATGAGACACAGAAGGGTCATCTAGCTCAACCTGGCTCAATATGAACAAATAGCGCCCTCCATTTAGCCCAATTAGGAAATCCCCAGTCAACGCAGACAGAAGACAGCATGCCTATTTAAAGCCGTCCATCCGCTCTCAGAATGTCTTTTTCCTCCCCATAGTCCCGGTGACTCGAGAATCTGACACCCAGCTTTCCATTCTTTTCAAAATCCACACTCTTTGAACTTCGAGGCCTGGTTGCCCACTTCAATCCTTCGATTTCAAGTCAAATCTTCTACTTCACACAGCAACCGTTCGTTTCGTCACCTTCACAATGAAGCCTCAGACTGCTGCTTTCCTTCTCAGCCTTCTCGGTTCTGCCCTGGCTGCCCCCATTCAGCACGCCGACAAAGGTTCCGATGTGCAGCCCACTCCTACCGGACAGGGCGCTCCCGGCGGATTCCTCACTGGCTTTCCCTCCGGTATCCCCTCTGGCATGCCATCCGGTTTCCCCGGTGGTCCCATGATGTCTGGAGGATTCGGTGGTGAAGGCCAGAATGGGGGCTCGTTCCCCACCGGTGCCATGCCATCCGGTGCTGTTCCCACTGGCGCCGCTCCGTCCGGCTTCCCTTCGTTCGGCAATGGCCCCGCTTCCTCTGGCTCTCCCCAGGGTGAGGGCGAAAGCAACTCCGGCGGCCAAGGTGTTCAGGCCCGCTCTCCCCAAGATTTTGAGGGGTCTGGCGCTGCTCCTTCGGGTGCTATTCCCTCTGGTGCCATGCCCACTGGCGCTGCTCCCTCTGGCTCTGCCGGTGACTTTGGCGGTTTCGGCCAAGGAGGCCAAGGCGAGGAAGGCTCTGGTCCCTCCCCTACCGGCGCTGCTCCTTCTGGCGCCATTCCCTCCGGAGCCGCTCCTTCCGGCGCTGTCGGAGGCTTTGGCGGCTTCGGACAGGAATCTCAGAACTCCGGGAACGCCCAGTTCCAGTCCTCTGGCACCTCGCCTTCTGGCGCTTCCCATTCCGGATCGGCAAACGGTCGTCAAGGTGGCCGTCACCGGGGTCATCACGGCAAGAGCTCTGGCGCGTCTCCATCCGGTGCCGTTCCTTCCGGCGCTGCTCCTTCTGGTGCCGCTCCCTCTGGCGCTGCGGGAGGTTTCGGTGGCTTTGGACAGGGTGGCGAGGGCTCCGGTCCGTCTCCTACTGGCGCTGTCCCTTCGGGTGCTGTCCCCTCTGGCGCTGCCGGATTCGGTGGTCAAGGTCAGGAGCAGGGTCAGGGCCCGTCTCCCACCGGAGCCGCTCCATCTGGTGTTCCCGCTGCCCAGCCTACTGCTTGAAGCGTCAACAAGCTTCTGAGAAGACGAGGGGGGATCTATGCTGGAGTCTCCGGTCAAGCAATTAACTTTCGATCACAGCTGTATGTAATATGCTCTGAGACTTGTGCATGTTGAAATATTGTGGAACAGGCTTGATGTATTATTTAAGAATTCAGAACTTACCTTCCCTCATCATTGCTCGGATTTAATCTAGGGTAAGCTTTTGGACAGTAATAGGCTCAGTTTCTTCATGGGTTTTGTTAATGGCAACGAAGTCATACACTGTGATAGATTGTTAGAGAAGTTTGTGCTTTGAGATATATGGCCATATAATTGTCTTCATCTCAAGTGCAATCTAATTTGCTACAATTGTATGACTAGCAATGGCTTACACTAGAATCCAAGTTTTCGATGAAGTGCACTTCATAATTCACTCCTAGTAACATACATATCATACATCCAACAACAATATCAACGAGCAATCATGCACCATGTCTCATGAAGTATATGAGTAAGGCTTCATTTAATGATCACCAGCATCCTCGGTCTGCTTGCCACAGGCAGTACCGCCGACCTTCCCACCTTTTTGGCCGGCCTCATGGGGGTCGACCTGTCCGTAGGCGAACTGGGACTGTTGAGTACGCTTGTCGGGCTGACCATCTTCGCGTCTGCCGCCGTGCTCTGAGCATCAATTAGTCTCGATCGAAAAGACGAAGTTGTTGGGTCAGAAGAACATACCGCTAGGCTTGTACTTCTCGCCGGTCTCGGTCTGTCCTTGAACCATTTTGACGGTGGAGGTATTGGATTATTGGATTGGAGAAATAATTGCAATTGCTTGATAGAGTGATATAGACACAAATTGGCAGGACTCTCGAAGGGTTTATATAGCTGAGGATCCTCAGGGGAAAGGTGCTGATGCGATCAGGAAGAATGTGAAACTCCCATCTGATATCACTGTTATGTCAATATTTCAAGCACCATTGCTTGCATTGATTGACTTAGTTGACTGACATCCCAAGGATAGCGTTAATCCTTGTTTATCCTGCATGCTTGCCAACATGTTTGCCAGATCCCTAGGTAGTTGATGGCCCGGATGAAGTCAGTTGGATAGAGATCTGAGAAATCCGATCTGGATTGGCCAATCAGAGAGCGTCTTTCGAGATCAGACTTACATCACAGAGATAACCTTAACTCCACCCGTTCATCTGGCCAAGTTTTGTGCTTCCGTTACTTGCAGCTCCAGCTATCCGCCAGACCCTCATCGATCGAAGCTGGATCCCAAATAGATCTGACTAGTCACAATACAATACGTATTAGGAGGACACTATCTCATTTGGGTTGATGGGCCAACTTGAACTCGATGTGGTCAATGCGGTTGGCCGTGGCAGTCGTCATCATCAGCTTTCTTCCCAGATCACCGCAAACAGCAAAAGAGCGGTCATTTGGTTCGTGGTTGACGGCAACAAGGCCATGGTTAGAACAAATATTTCTCAGGTTTGATGATGGTGAAGCAAGTTTTCTAATTCTAATGGCCTCTTTTCTGATCTAAGCTACGGCATACCCCATGTTCGAAGATCTCATCTGTGCCTTCAGATCCCTACTCTGTAATGAGATGTAGATCCTTTGCAAGTTGCAGCGTGTTTCCCGGTCCTTTTTTATGTCTGACATAATTATGGACATCACTTGGAACTTGTCAGTCCAGATGAGCAATTGAATTGGTGGAATCATGTCCGTGAGCTTAGCCCCTCTCCCATCAGGACTTGGTCGGCGTGAGGTGCATGACCGGCCCTCGATAAAGGTGATGAACGGGATTCGAGGCATCTCAGTTATTCATGCCTCACGTTCCAACAGTCCGATGGAACCCTGTTACACCGGCTCAGGCGATGATGACATGCCCGAGCAGCAATTTCACCACCGAAGGATGCTCCCGCCTGAACAAGGGGTTGGGATTGATTGATCACATTTGCTTGCCCTGGGTCGTTCTTCAATCGCTGTGGACAGCATTACATTCGACAATGTCTCGCACATTCCACCTCGAAGTGCTTTCGGTGCTCCGAACTCAACTCGCAATGTGTTTCTCTACATCTTCCAAGTAAGACATGACGCGCGCCACCAGCATCCTTCTCGGCTCGGCCTGATCATCATCGCTCAGCGCATGCGAGGCGTTCGGGATGATCGTACTATTGGTGTCCCAGTAGTCGGGGCCGGCTGCCATGGACCAGCGCTTCAATAAAAGCTCCTTGTCAACCCACGGTGGCACAGACTGATCTCTTCCGGAATACAAGACCAATAGTTTTGAACCCAGCAGTCCCCGAGAGCGCAGCTGGCCAAAGGTCTTCTGCATCTGGTCATCGCTGAGGTCGGAGCTGAACATGTCGTCTTCTTCTGGTTTCTCTGGACTGTCTGGGCTGGCCAGGCTCAGGAACCGTCGACTGCTCACCGGCGTTGAGCTTGGATACCCAATTCGAGCTGTTACAGACAGAGGGATGAGGGTATCGAGGGCGTCGTCATCTTCGTAAGGGGTAGATCTGGCTTTCGCAATAGTTCTCTGGTATATCTCGCGCATTCCTTCTGGAGCGTCCCTGTCCGTTCCATCCTGGATGACCCAATTAATTGCTTCTCGGTCCGATACAGGCGCTTGCATGATGGCTCCGTCGACAGGAAGCCGCTTGGAAGGTTCTACTGCCGCATTCTTGTCCAGCACAGGGTGTCGCGGTCGCGGATTCGCACAACTCAAATAATGCATGACGTCTTGACTGCCTGTCGAATGGCCCATGATCACAATCCTCCCCGCGCCGAATAACTCCTGCTTGTAGTCCCGAACATACTTCACGCAGCGCGCAATCTCATCAATGTCCTTGCCCAAATGACCCACTCCCCATCCGCTATAAGAAGAAGAGAGAATGAGCGAGAAGACGGACCAGGATGTGTATTCCACCGCCGTGATCAGGTCTGTCAGGTACTCGACAGTGCCGAGTCCGTCTCCCAGGCCGCCGATGAACAGGAGGGTGTTTGGTTTCCGAACGAGGCCGTCGGTATACTCGAAAGCGACCAATCCTTCAGACTATTCAATTGCATTCGTTGTTAGTGTAAAGATCCGGAGCTTGTTGAATGGAGGCAGGTGCATCTTACATACATAGGGATGCAGGATACCAGCATGGCCCTTGGTTCGTGATTGCCGCAAGGGTAGTTGCATTATTGCGGTCGCAAATTAGCAGAACTGACAAAAATCCACAAGGTTTATCTCCTGTATGCTTCGCGGGATCTAGAGTGATGACCAAGGGGCGATGAAGAAAATATGGATGGTTAGGTTCCTAGGCAGAGAATGGAAGAGAGGGAGAGGAGAAGTTCTCCGGCGTGTTGGAGATGCCTCACCACGCCCACCAGCCCTGTCGGGAAAACCTCGGCCCGCAGCAGTGATTTGAATGGATTTTCAGGCTGAGGCTGTCAAATGAACATCAGTGTATGCATCGTCACCAATATCTTATTTGCGTATCAAATGACAGCCAGATATGCCTGTGTTTTTATATCCTAAAGCTGTCTCATTATATTCTGTGCTTCTTTGGTCATGTCAGGATCAGATAAGATAAGATAGAGCGATAGCTACTAACCCAATCGGGCATTCGCCCATATCCTCGTCATTATCTGTGGTATATGTACACTATATATCTTGCAGGTTCGTCTGCCTGTGACAAAACTATAACTACCATGTCAACCCCTTCAATTTCAACGGAATATGGAGCAATCGTTGCCCCGACTCTGTAGGCTTCGGCAATCGTCCTGCCCGAATGTTCATCTGCAGTGACTGGTGAAGCAGCCTCGGCTCAGCCAGGTTCCTATCACGTTCCTTCCGCAGCGCGACAAACTCCTCTTCGGTGACGCCGTTTTTAAGGTGTTTGTTTTGCTGCCTATGCTCCTGGACGCTCAGGGAGGGGACGGGATCCTTGCGCCCCTCAGGAGGATAGTCGTGGCCTGTCCAGATCTTGACGTGATCTGGCAAGCCCAAGAGCTTCCGCCCTGAGTGATAGAGGCTGTTTGCACTGCCACCGGGAAAATCACAGCGCGCGGTGCCAAGATCCGAATGGAAGATCAGGTCACCGCAGAAAATGTTGTCTAACAGGTTGAGTTAGCGGATGTGGCAAGTCAATGGGTGTGAGCGGCATCATACCTCCAATGTGGTATCCCAGATGGTCTGGTGTGTGTCCAGGAAGATGAATGGCCTTGGCCGTCAAGTTGCCAATCGTAAATGTCTCATCATCATTGAACAGTTTGTCAAAGACACCTTCATATTCCTCCGCCGGAATGCCGTATCTCTGGCCAAACAACTTCTGCACCTGTCCAATGCGCTTGCCGATACCGATGGGCGGCCGATGGCCTTGCTCTTCGGCTAGGCGCTTCTGCAGATAGGACGCTGCGGTGAGATGATCTGCATGTGCATGTGTTTCAAGGATTCTGTCGACTCTGTATCCCTTCTCCTTGACCAAGGACAGAAGCGCGTCAGCCGAGTCCGTGGTGATGACCTGAGTGGCGGGGTCATAGTCCAGGACCGGGTCGATGATGACGGCTGTCGATGTAGTTGGATCAGCAACCACATATTGCCAGGTGCCTGTCTTGCTTTCGAACACATCGTGAATGGTCGGTTCTCCTGGTTTCAAGCTTGCAGTGCTGTAGGTTGCTCGAACGATGGTCCCGTTCAGGGATCGCAGGGATCGTCTGGTGGGAGAGGTGGGTGTGTTTTGGACACGGTATTGTGACAATGGACTTGCATAACCTGATGACAATCTTAGAGGCGCTTTGCCAATAGTGCAGGCCGACCTCTTTGCAGCTTGTTGGTGGAGAGGACACAGTGCCACTCGGACTGCAGTGGAAGGCGCCCGCAACAGACCCGCTGTTGCGTGCCAATTTTTGCAGAGTTGAGGTTGAATGGATGTCATGTTAAAACGGTACCGTGTATTTACTCTGAATGGCAAAATCAAGAGATACATGCGGAATCCGAAGCTGTTTATACTTCCTCTCGGTCTCTAGAGTAAATGCATCGGGATCCTGGGTCCACTCGCCGACCCATTCACGTGACAGGACAATCGGCGACTGACGTTTTGACGTGTCGATCGCGTTATGACATAAATTCTATGCAGCTGACATAATATGACCCGAGCATAAGTAGTCGGCGATTGAGTCCGGGTGGGCCCATTGGCTTATCTAAGAACCTTATCGCACTATTACTAATCCCTCCTGATTGCGACTTCGGGCTTTTTTTTGTGGTCGTATTTAATATCCATCGCACCGTCCAACGCCTTCTCTCCTTTCGTTTCTCACTCCTCCCCTCCAGTTTTCTTACATCTTCTCATATCATGTCAGTCATGTTTCGCGGTCGTGTAAAAGTGGCAGTTTCTGCTGCTGCTTCTCGCTCACTTCTTGCCGCACAGAATGCCTCAACGGTAACGCGGGGTTATGCCACAGCTGCAGTGGGCACTTCGCGCAATCACAGAGTAGTCGTGGTTGGTGGGGGTAGCGCTGGTCTCACCGTCAGTCATCAGTTGCTCCGCTCCGGAAAGTTCTCTCAAGACGACATTGCGGTGGTGGACCCCGCTATTTGGCATCATTATCAGCCCGGATGGACTCTGGTCGGTGGCGGTCTCAAGAACAAGGAGGATTTGCGACAACCCCTCAACGGCCTGATCGATCCCAAGCTCAGGTTCTACAACGACAGTGTGCACACCTTTTCTCCCGAGAACAACTTTATCACGCTCGCCAATGGCGACAAGGTCAACTACGAGCAGTTGGTTGTTGCGCCCGGTATCAAGGTCGACTTCAACAGCATCAAGGGTTTGCCGGAGGCTCTCGCCGATTCGAACTCTCTCGTTTCGTCCATCTATGGCTACGACACTTGCGACAAGGCCTACCGCTCCATCGAAAAACTGCAGAAAGGCACCGCCATTTTCACCCAGCCGGCTGGTGTGGTCAAGTGCGCAGGCGCTCCGCAGAAGATCATGTGGCTCGCGCTGGACTATTGGAAGCGTGCCGGTCTGTACAACCCCAGCAATCCCTCGAGTGGAGCCATCCAGATCAGTTTCGCTACAGCTCTTCCCGCGATGTTCGGTGTGCCCAAGTACAGCGCCAAGCTGGAGGAACTGCGCAAGGAGAGACAGGTGGAAGGACTGTTCCAGCACGATCTCATCTCCATCGATGGCGACAAGGCCACTTTCAAGCGTCTGGACGGACAGGAGCAGGTGACAAGACGGTTCGATTTCTTGCATGTCGTGCCCAAGATGGGAGCGCATGCGTTTGTCAAGAACAGCCCACTCGCCAATGAGGCCGGTTTCGTCGACGTCGACGACAACACCACTCGCCACAAGAAGTACGGCAATGTCTGGTCGGCCGGTGATGCGTCCAGTCTCCCCACATCCAAGACGGCGGCCGCGATCACGGCACAGGCACCCGTGCTCGTCAGCAACCTGCTGAGAACCATGGAGGGCAAGGAGCCCGACGCCTCATACGACGGTTACACCTCGTGTCCGCTCTTGACCGAGTACGGCAAGGTCCTTCTGGCGGAGTTCAAGTACGCCGGAGAACCCAAGGAGACGTTTGGTAACTTGCTGGGCATTGACCAGGCGACTCCTCGCCGTGCTTTCTACTACCTGAAGAAAGACTTCTTCCCCTGGGTCTACTACAACTACATGGTGAAGGGCTCCTGGGGCGGTCCCAAGGGCTGGATCAAATAGACTAGATTTGTGTGCATTGTATGATACTAGGTTATGAAGCAATAGAACAATTTGGGATTTAGATTGGAGTAACAATAGACCCCTTTTGCAGCGCCAAGTCTATGGAATTATGGATCCGTATGCGGCTAGTATCTCCATTTGTGAGTCAAACTCCGATTGGTTGGATTCATGCAATGTCACGTGCAATCTGATCCCCCACAGTCTCCAACTTTTCTACAGTCTCCGGATTCTTCTTCCTTCCTTCTTGCTTCTCAGCAACTCTTGAGTCTGGAGAATTGCTTCTCAGGGTCTCTCTCTATGTCTGCTTTATTTCAATAATCTCAAGAGTCCCTTCCACTTGCAGTTGCAGATGAACTGATTCTTTTCCCAACTCAAACCCTGATGACTGTATCGGCCGAATATGGCTGGGACTCGGCCGGGTGACTTTTCTCGTCCGATATTGGTGCAGACGGCATACCCCCAAATCGTGTTCTCAAGCTGTCTGGCTCGTCTTCTCGCAGTGGCGACCGTGGCGACTGTGGCGATCCATCCGATGTCTCAGGTAGCATCAGGCAATAATAAATTATTGCCTGAGTTGAGAAGATGGTCGGCCGAGACATATCATATTCGGTCTCTTCGTCGGCTTCCTGATTATTATGACCTCTCATAACCTGGGACTTCGGTCATGTTAACCGAGTCGCCGACTGAATTACCTGTCCTGTTCGTTCTAGGCTCGTCGATTGAAAGAGGCGTTCGAGCATCGACATGGAGACTATCTCACTCTTTTCAAGATTATGGGGCATCCCGCATTCTAACATATAGACGAGTAGCTCTGCAAGAGCCTTGCTTGAACTGAGGACTGTTGAACAGATTTCTCTGTCTATCAATTGACGCCTTTTGATCGAGCTCTCATCATCTTATCATTCTGCTTGAACTGATAATGAGAAAACCGTTGACTGCGAAGCAACCCTAGATGCCCATATTCTCCAAGTCTTCTGCGCAGTTGACATCGCGAGGATCCTGGCACATGACAAGTGCAAGTTCGTCCACCCTGAAGACTTTCTGAAGATGCAGGGGGTCATCTACGGTATGTGTCTTTTTGAGTTATGCTGTTGAGAAAGGTGAAGGCCTGAGCCGAGAGGAATACTGTGTTGAATAAAAGGAACCATTAAAAGGCAGGGCCCTGCAGTATGCCTAATGGCTTTGTCCTAAGAGCCGAACACAAGAATTCCCCCCATTATTATGAACCTATATTCAAGTGAAGCTACCTATCTACCGTGGATTTCATGACACGCCAATTACTCCATTTACACAAAACGAGATCACTCTTTCTCATCATGAGTCCATCCAAGAATCCTCTGTGCCTTGTCAACGGCAAAAAAGCTCTGGTTCTTGGACATATCGCCTCGAATTTCGGTTCCGGGATAATACTTCTTGGCCAACTCCTCCGAGGATGTCTCTTGGGTGGTGGTGGGCGCCACGATGTTAAAGACCTGGCATCCCTCGAAGTTGTCACTGCGTTCCACGGCGAGCAGACACGCCCTCGCTGTGGCCTGAGGGCTCACCCAGCCCCATAACTGCTTGACAGCTGCATTCTCCCAATCTTCCTTGTGCTCCTTCTGCACGTCCTTAAGGGGTGCGACCTCGTGAATCCGCAGACAGGCGATCTTCAATCCTGGGAACCACGTAGCGAACGAGCGGGCCTGGAGCTCGGCCTCCTGCTTGGCCAATGCATAGGCATCTGTGGGTCGCTGCGGTGCATCTTCGTCGACGGGAAAGTAATCGAATTTGAGCGGCTGATTTGCGTACGCCAGTCCAATGGCGTTCACCGAAGAAGCATAGCAGAATCGCTTGATGCCCAATTCAGCCGCGGCACGGAAGCAGTTGAATGCAGAGTTAACGTTGTTGTTATGGACAGTGTCGTCTGGCTTATCAACGGGGTCTGGGATCGATGCAAGATGGATGATGGCGTCACAGTTCTTGAATGCATTCAGGCAGGCGTCATAGTCATTGGCAACGTCCGCCGTCACCATTTCCGAACGGGGCGTGCCGTCGTAGTCGGTGTCCGTTCGGTTGATCTGCACCGTGGAGTGGCCGGCATCCGTGCAGAGCTTGACCACAACTCGGCCAACAGAGCCACGAGCGCCAGTAATTGCGATTCTCATGTTTCCGTTAATTGATGTCAGGGAGTATTCTCTATTGATTTCTCTCTTGGTAAGGTGTGGTTTGAAGATTGAGATCCTCGGTTGGTGGCTTGTGAGGACTGAGATGCTCTGCGTGGAGCAACGACAAAAACGTATATGCCGGGATAGATTTGGCCGAAACTGGGAGGCTATCTTTCTGGATATACAGTCCATTTTGAATCTCTGGCCATGGTGGTCGTCCAGATATATCAAGCCATCGCCTGGGTCTTGAATTGTATAGAAGAATGAATGACATCAGCATGATGATGTCAAGATGGGCAGTCCAAGTAAAAGCAAGATACGAATCAGGCAATGCTGGACTGGTGGGCCCTAGATTGTTGGATTATGACAGAATACTTGAATAGACATCCTCAATTACGAGGAGACTCTGTCTTTATAATCAATAAGAAGTGGGATGCTAGCACTCTTGTCCCAGATGAAGTCACGTGATGCTTACTCCCTCAATGATACGCAGTAACTCCAGAAAAACTATGATTACCTGGCACCTGCCAGCTTGGGCTACCCAACGCGCAAGATCCACTGCCTGGAGGCAAATGCGGGATACGCTCAATCAAGCACGAAAGGAGCAGTTCCTACAAAATCCTTTCGGCAAGTACACGAGAGAGATCGATGCGTCCCTTCCAGGACGACATACTAGGACCTTGTATGATCAGCTCAGCAGGACACAAGCATCGACCTTGGCACAGCTCCGAACAGGCCACACTCAATTGAATCAATACCTACGCCGAATTGGACAAGCAGCTGATGAAACCTGTGAATGCACAGAGGGGCAGGAAACAGTACAGCATTTTCTTTTTGAATGTAAACGATGGGAAACGCACCGCGGGGAAATGAGAGTGGCAATGGGTGACCGATACGGGGACATGTCATACGCATTAGGAGGCCGATCAAGGAGAAAGAAACCCACAGGAGAAGAACTCGACCAAGAAAAGAATTGGAGACCGAACATGGAGGTGGTTAGAACAGTGATACGATTTGCTATGGCAACAGGGCGATTGAACCATGAGAACTAAGAAAAGGCATGTCACATGCTTAGATAGATGACTCAGCATAATCAGCGCGGAGGCTACATGCAGCCTTAGGCTGCGCACAGCCGGAGGAATAATTCATTCATTCATTCATTCATTACCTGGCACCTGAAGAATTGCATTGACTAAAAGGATTCTAAGATTATTAATTATTAACTATCTGTCCTTGGGTCTTAGAGTTGACAATGATTGCAATGAGGCTAAGATATTCTCCGCTTATTAATATTACAAGCAAGGCTGGTTGGACGTATCCCTGCCGGTGAATTATGCCAAACGGTGTAGCGTGCCCATCTGGGTTTGTTTAGTGTAGCCAGCTGACTGGAGACGACGAGGGAGTTATTCGCGCCCTACGGGTTTTGTCTTCGCTCCTGGACCACGGAACGACTGGCAAGCAGAGCTCTGTCGACCCTGCACGGTGCATCAGTCACAGAATCAATTGGCAGACAGGTCTCGTCTGGATGCCATCCTGCCCTCTGAGCTTGAAACTTCTCCGAGCGAGTCCACCTTAGCTTGCAGGTCGATTCTGGGAGACGTTAATCAGGGGAAACTTCGCCGTCCCTGTAGACGAAGGTGAAGCTGCTGATTCGTCCTCTGTCCGTGCGCCAACCAGATCGCTACCTAGCCTGTGAGGATCCAGAAGGCCTTCGATCATTCGAGCACTCAACCCCGAACTGTTTTCACTTGGATGACAAAGCACTGAAAGTGACAGAGAGTCGACTCATTTGACGCGTCCCAGAATTGTTCTGGTCTTGAGGCTGCAGATGACATGCTTTCACCACCTTGTTGATTGTTGGGCAACACTTTGGATTGAGCTTTCGTCTCAACTCGTGGAATGTCTATACCACTCGATAGTGAATCCAAGTTGCTCTGGCTCTCCCAAAGAAAGCATATGAAGAAGTCCGCGCTTCTCCAGGTTCTGACAGAATGTTCTCTTCGACGAGAAATCCACTACTGAGTTGTTTTGGCGACCGATGCCACGGCTATAGCCATCCAATTCTCCACCATTAGCTACTTCAGGCTTGGTTGCTTCTTGGCTGGTGCGACAGAGTACGAAACTTTTCCATAACCCGCGAATAACGCGGCCTATAACCGTACGCCATTGCATTTTTTCGGCTTCGGCTTCGGCTTCAGTCTCTCTCCAGTTGTTTCTTCCAGGAAGGAGCGTCTCTGTGTCTGCGGCCAATTCCGCAATCGTGGCATAATTATTGTGCCAACATTTGCTGATGATGTCGTCAATTAATGGATCACCATCTAACTTTGCGAATTCCATGTTCTGCAGTAACTCCACAACTTTGCGTCCATGCTCTTTGGGATCCTTGGTAAGACATCGATCACCGTAAACCTCAAAGCCGTAGTTTATGAGGTAGTATAAAGAACCCAGGGCGAATTGTTCAGTTCGAGGACCTAGGAAACCAGAACTCCCACATCGTCCTTGGTCCTGCTCGTTGCTATTGAGTATTCTTCCATATGGGGCGATGCAAGCTTCAAAATCTGTCCCAATTTCTGCTGTACAATCAAAATCTGATAGTTTTAATCGGTTACGATCAAGCAAAATATTTTCAGGTCGTAGGTCACCATGAGCGAGATTAAGTGATTCTAGAAAAGCAACAGCTTGAGCGAGGTCATTCATCCATTCCTTTCGTAGGGGTAGAGGTTCCAGTTTCTCCACTTTAGTAACCACAGAAGATTGCTGGTCGCGAGTATGATTATTTTGTATCCTAGAACAGAGGGTTACATCTAATGAGGCAGTTAGTAGACATAATCATCCAACACTGATAAGGAGGATCGCACCTCGCATGTACTCAAGGAAAATGCCGTTGTCTGCGTAGAAGAAACACTGCACTATAGAAGGGCAGGGCGGATGTTGAGAAAAGATCTCATAGATCTTGAGTTCTTTCTGAAATTGCTCTCGCTCAAAGTCGCCAGATTTCGGGACCTTGACCACGATGCGAGGATGGACCTCATAGACAAAGGAGATGCCTCCTTTCCAGACCCAGTGGACATCAGGGAACTGCTGCTGGATATTCATAATAAGGATAAAATGTAACAAGTTGGAAGAGGACGTGCAGAAAAAATTGTTGCTGTGCGTATGAGGGAGGTGAGCAGAGAGAAGAAAGGGAGGGCCAGGGGGAGGTTGGATAACTAACTAGATTAGTTAAATGAGTTGCTGACACATGTTTCTCCTGAATTTTGCCCTTGTCAGCTACGGCGAAGTATATCTAGCAGCGATACTCACAGGATGCAGAGATAGTATCGAATGTAGGACGAGTTATGGAAGATTGGGTGGTCGTGCCTTGTTTTTTTCCCTTGTGGTTCGGTGCTGGGAGAGCAATCAAGAGCTGAGCAGGGATATTTATATTTGGAGTGTTTCATTAACCTGAAGAATCGCCTGCAAGAAATGACCCTGAACTCACTCACAGACCTTGCTCAAATCTTGAACCTCAAGTTGCCAACATCATACATGAACAGCGAGGGACTTTCTTGGACAAGAATTGACAAAAGAGCTGTGGGATACTCTGCTACGAGCATGTTAGTCTCCACTTGGGCGGCTCCTTGTGCTAAGTGACTTCAATGACAGTCTCTTACACACCATGGTTATGGTGGATTTCAACAATGTGGTCCAGTCATGTAGCGCCTAAGCAGGGCTTAGACCCTGTACATGCCTAGAGTGTCTCTAACCATGCATGTCAGTGCAAAGGATTGGGTCAGACCTACTCTCAACCCTATGCAACTACCCTGCTCGTTAGGGGTGCATTATTAGGTTGACGCGTTGATTAAGCAGCTCCATATCCTGAACTGATGAGGCTGGCACAACTTGTGCCAATTATATAGGTTTCGGAAAAGAAATTAAAAAAAAAAAAAAAAAAAAAAAAAAAAAGAAAGAAAGAAAAGAAAAAAGGTTCTCCAAAGCGGTGATGTTGAGGTCGTTGAAGACTCCTGGTATAAGGCTAAGATTAAGATTAATTCATATACCATAATATTTGATCTCCTCATGCATACATGGGGCCGGATGGTGTAGTTGGTTATCACGTGTCGTTAACACCGACAAGGTCCTGGGATCGAACCCCAGTCTGGTCAAAGTTTTTGCACCGTATATCAAATTCAAGATTGGCAAGAGCAATTCTCTCAGGTTGGATTTGGCTGTCGTCCGGGGTGAACTTGATCTGTTCCCCCCAGTGGTTGCTCTCGATATCGGCACGGGTGTCCCTCTTCGCCGAATCACAGAGTTTCTTTCGCCTAGACTTGATTTTGTTCTGCAGCTTTTACAATTCACCGGAATGCTTATCACCGGAACTTGTTGGGTGTCATCCATGATGCAATTCCACGAATGCTCGTCGAGATGCCCTGTGAGAACAGATTAGCGAAAAAAGCCTATCCTATCCTGTGGTGGTGCAGACACTCGGACTTATATTCGCCGCGGCCCCCTTTGCGGTACTTGTAGAGGGTTCCTTTGTCTTTGAACCCGGCTGATTCGCTTGCCGCGGCCTCCCACTGTCGCCCTTGATGGTATTGCAGCGCACGCTGGGGATTGGTGACCAGGAGACCCGCTGCATCCTGGCAGGTGCCTCGCAGGATCGGAAGTTCCTTGACGCGCTTCTTGAAATTGAACGGGGGTGCTGAGACGGTGTTCAGGGACAATCGTGAGGCGCCAGATATCGGCGGGGCATTTGATGTGTTCGCTGTCGAAGGCGTCGTCGAGGCCCACCTTTATGTCTTCCCTCTCGCAGACCCATGATGGAGCCGCCGGCGTTGTGTGCTATACTGGGATGGACGAGGAGGCCCGATGCGGTAAAGCATGGACGTCGTGGATGGAGGCGCGAACGCCCCGTGGTGAAAACATCACGGTTACGGGGGAGAATGCCACGATATGGTGACATGGACACTCATAAAAGAATTGGACGCAACATAATTCCTGTTTCTACACCTATGGAGCACTGCTGATTGTCTGGTCTGCCCGATTAGAGGAATGATCCAAGCCACCTACTACCGACTCGACATCTGACAGGCACACCAATTTCCCGACTTAGATCAACAGTTGAAGATCATCCTGAATCCAATCGGCACGAGTCCCTGCTTTCCACCCAGCGTGTTATAAAAGTTGACACTGCCACTCTGGCTTTGCCATCCACTCAGTTCCACCAGGAAGCTCATCGGATCCGAGCAGGTATTCGAGGCAATGATGGTCTTGGATTCTGCCGTCGTCGGCTGCGTCGGGAAGATGTACGTGCCCACCATCTCCCTCTTCTTCGGGGGCTTGTTCCATGTAGGCAGCGAGTTATAGTCCCAGGGGTCCGTGGACCAGATGTCCACCTGGGTGGCTCCCTCGGCGATCTGGTTGGCTTGCGCGAGGGCTGGGATGTCGATTTCCAGCATGCAGCCTGTAGCCCCGGCGGGGATGTAGTTGAATGTCAGTGCGGCGACCTGCGTGTTGTACACGGGAGACCCGGCGCGGCTGACCGTGAACTGCTGGCCCGGAGAGGCATTGTCGGGCGTCGATACTCGCAGCACATCAATGACGGATGGGCCGAGAGTGCCACAGGATCGAGGAACGAGGTCGTCGGTGGGGGTGGGAGCGGCAGTTGCTGCAGCTAGAAGCAGGCTGAAAAGAACAACAGGCTTGAACATTGTGATCGAGATGAGTAGTGACTTTTGGTAGGATGGTCAGGTCTTAGATTTCAGAAAGTGGGCTTGTCTTGGAACCAGTTGACCGGATGATGACGGGTATTTATGTCTTATGAGATGGCCAGTTATTGCCCGGGTATAGTGAGGCGACTGGAGAGAGCGCACCTCGAGGCATTCAAGTCGACAACGAGGGATTGTGGCGTCCAAAAGCTCTGGTCATTGTGTGACACAGCATACATCGAAGCTGATGGGCTTTGGGAGAACCATCCAAATCAGACCAGGTTCTTTGACCTGTACAGGAACTCAGATATGATGTCGTGCAGGCAGCCATAGAGTTCGACTTGTCTCAGATGATTCGATCGAGGAGCCCCAACCGGTTGCCTAATATGCGCTGTCAGATGCCATGTCTTACACAACGTCTTGGCAAGATCTACTCCATATGAGAGCCTTGCAATGGATGGTATGGAGTACACAATGCATTGATTATAGGAACGGCAGTTACGGCACTTGTAAGGGTCCCTTGCCTGAGAATTATACCCTCATCATGAGTCGACCGGAAACGTGGATTCGATCAACTGATTGAGCGACTGGCTCAGCCCGCAAGCCGGCATCTGCATACTTCAAAATGTCTTACTGAATGTCTCGTTGGACATCCAAGAATTCAAAAGATTGGTGCAGTCCTCGTATACAAGCGAAGGGAATGACCAATGGCGATGACCATAGGGCCCCAATACGAGCTCTCCTGTAAAGGATTATTAGCGGTGTGGGGGTGGATGAGGAGAGCCAGACCTGAACTCGGAAGAGTTGACAGGCATGGATTTCCAAGAAGTGATCCTTTGAGACGCAGCGACAGATGATTTGTCTGATTCAGTCCTTACAGCTTCTCGTTGCACAGTATGCATGAACCATGCATCTGACAGCCACAATTTCTAAAACTAGCATACAGCTCGTTGATAGATCTGATGTATTGTAAGCTGTGGATTTAAGCTGTGGATTTATTCTCTCAGCAATAGTCTAATGACAGGTCAGCTGGTCACACTGCAGTCTCTGCCTGATACACTATTGCGGCAAATATGCTCTAGTAGTATTGATGAAGGGAATGGACTTGTTGGTGTCAACCGCCTATATTCAACGGTATCAATGCAGATCTGCTCTTTCATTCAGTGCTCAAGGATCAGCCTCTGTTACTGGTAAATTTGGTAGTACGATTCCAGCCCCTCAAAGCCATCAAGTTAGATCAATAGATCCTTAGTGAGGGCTTTAAGTTTGAGATATAGCCATAATGACGAAGATGGAAAGATACCTGAAGCAATGCAAACTGCAAGGGATTCAACTCTATCAATCATACACTCCACTGAAAGAAGGGAGACACCAGTGCTTCCTTCCAAATAGACATTATTACTAGCACTCGGCAGCATGGACTTGTGTGAGTGGCGTGGAAGACATTCCTAGATCCTTCGCATCTTTATGCCTCTCTCTGATCCTTTCTTCCAGATAATATGCTAAAATTTGCCACAGACGTAAGGTGTTTCCGTCAGAATTGGTCTAGGGTCACTGATCCTAATATAGTCCACAGTGCATGGTTCTGGCATTGCATTTAGTGCCAGAAGTCGAAGTCCCGGGGTCTCATGGCTTAGACAATGACTTGACTCTATTGAATATGATCATATCCATCAATCCGGGTCAAAAAATCCGCTCGCCCTGGGCTCTTCAGTTCCATAAAAGCCACCGTGTCCCCCTCAAGCTTAACTTCCTCATAAGTCTTGAACCCATTTCGCTGTAACACCTTCACACTCCCTTTATTAGCACAATTGACCGCCGCGAACAATTTCTCTACATATCCCATGCCAGAGGCTCGAGGCAGCTTCCACCATGCGTCTATCACTCCCCGTAAGGCTTCGCTGGCATATCCCTTCCCCCAGTACGAGGGATGGATGGCATATCCCACCGAGGGAGCGGGCGAGAGGGAGTTGACACCGAGGGATCCAACGATACGCTCCGGGCTATCCTTTGCGATAATGACAAAGAAGAATGATCGTCCCACCGCACCGGATGCGTCAGGATCTTTGAACACCTTTCTCGTCATCGTGGCTTTAGTTTCTTCGATTGTAGTATCTGCTATTCTGGGCCAGCTGTGGACGAGTCAGCTGTGAGAACGTCGTTGTGAAATACAGGTCTTCCTCACAGCCAGTCCACGACATCCTGTCGGCTTCTGATACTGAAGATCCCCGCGGCATCTTCGTCGTTGCCGATTCGCAGGGGCCGCAGGAGGAGACGTTCGGTCGATATGGGGGGTGTCTCCTCGGGGATGATCACAGCAACGGCTTGCTCGGGGTAAGACATTTGAAATGAGAAGTTAGACATAGGTCTTATCGGTGGTTGGAATCGTGTTCAACATATATGATGGGTTGTTGAGTGAGTCATTGCATTCTGATGTCAGATTATCGATCGGCCTTAACTACCTAGCGGCATCCCATCGATTACCGAGCAATATCTACAGCAAATCAAAGTGAGTCCAGTCTCGCTTTCAGAAGGTCAGCTGTCTTGGAATTTAAAGTGCATATTAGCACCTTTTCTCAATCATTTCGCCTTATAATGTTGACTTCTACTTCCCTGTCGGGTGTCTTTGAGATCTCTTTGGCCTGTTTCTCATAGCCCAAGATCTGAGCAAGGCTGACTAGCGAGATGTCTTGTAATATCTGTATGTCCTACAGCCTTGCCGAGCTATATTTTCGCATATGGAGAGACAGAAGGCAGTATTGCGATGAATTTACTCATAGCCATCAAAGCTTCACCAAGGGTCCATCGAAAAAAAGTCTCATTGATTGTCACCTGGCTTATGAATGTATTTCCTTCATTCTACCCGAGGGATGGCATGGTACTCCATGAGATGAGAACTTTGAGCTGTTTTGGTTTCACCATTCAAGGCTTTTGACTCTCATATTATATAGCCGAAAATTACACTAAACGCTTTTGATGTCTAAAGTTAGGTTTCTCATAAGTCATTATGTCTCACCAACCAATCCTGCCTCAACCCTGTATTCCCCGCTCTATATCTGAACTCCCCTTTGCCCATTCCTGCTTCATCAGCTGCTGACAGAACTTACTCCTCTCTCTCACCCACGCCCCCTTGTACAAGAGCACAAACGGAATCGGCACACATGCCAGACTCAGGAACCCCAGCATCGAGGTCGCCCAACTCACCCCCAATGTTCCGTACATCGGCTTAGCAGCCAGCGGCAACAGCGCCCCAAGAACACTGCGGAGAATGACCGAGCTGGCGAGTGCGCTGGCTGAGTATATCTTATAAGCATCGGTCACGTATGTCAACAGCGAGACGAAGATAGTCTGGTAGCCGAAACCAAACACAACTCCGGAGGCGATGGGAACCGCCCAGTGGACGTCCTGTCGGGAGGTCCAGGCGAGCCAGAACAGGCTGGCTGTGAGGAGGGCGGCGCCGAGACAGGAAACGGGGAGGCGATGGAGTTCTGCACCGAAGCGCCATGGCTTGTTGTGTTTCTTGGCTTTGTCATAGGTGATATCCCAGTAAAGGGCGACGAGACCGGTGGAGGCTGCACCGACGCCGACTATTTTTATTAGCATCGCACAGATAAGATGGTGAATGTACATACCAGGTAGAAAAGCGAGAGAGGTCATCTGGACGTCGAACCCGTAGACACCTGCCAAGTCAGCATACACGTAATATGACAAGCAAGAAGGGCACAAACCTTCAAAAATTATCGGATAAGCCTGGAAGTAGAAGAAGACAAGACCGTACGCCAGCGCGATGTATATTGAAGTGAAGGTGATAATGGGTTCGAAGAGCAGCATAGCCAAAGGTCGCTTCACAATTTGAACGATGTTGACGGTGTTGTTTGCAACTGTATCCTCCATTCCAGTCGTATCGCGTCTCGAGAGAACCGGCCCAAAGGTCTCGGGCACAAAGAGAAGGCCAATCCAGGCGCAGCCCGCCAGCATTGAAGCGATCCAGAACGTCCATCTCCAGCCATAAGAGGGTGATGCAAACCCCGATATTATTGGGCCAAGGATGGGTCCGAAACTAGCTGACTAGATGCGCAAGTCAGTCCTATTACCAATACTTGGTCTCGATGAACCATCCTAAAAGACATACCGCCATATAGAATGCCATCACTCTTCCTCTTTCTCGAAGATCAAAGAACATGTCCGCATATACACCACCCACAACCGTCTGAGGCGCAGAGCCCATGGTTCCGCAGATGAAACGAAAGAAAAGTAGCGATCCCCAATTCGGACTCAACGCACATGCTACGGTCGACAAAGCAAAGACAGTAAAAGTAGGCAGTAGCACCAGCCGCCGTCCGACGGTCTCACTCAGGGGACTAAAGGCAAGTGGCCCGACAATATACCCGATGAGAAACACTGCAGTTGGTAAATTACTTTGTGTGGCATCCTCCACGTGGAACTCCTGCATGATGTAGGGGACCGCATTGCTGGGCAGGGAGGTCCCGATGCCCGAATTGATTACACTGAGAAAGGTTGCGACGACAATGGACAACTTTTTATGTAACGGCCAGTCATTTGGGGATGCGAATTTGCTTTGCCCCAAGCATACTGGTCGAGATTCGGGTGTCCCTTGTACCTGTCAGCACTCGTAGCTTAAACGGCTTGAAATGCACGCATGTTGTACCTGTGGAACACTCGGTCTGAGCCGGACTGGAAATTGATTTCTCTTCTGACATAATGAATAGCCTCTGCTGTGTGCATTCCAGCTGTATAGGCTTGAGTTCGAAAAACTCCGAATTACCCTCGACTTGGCGCCATTCGGAGTATTTATTTGTGAAGAAACGGTCAACACCTGGGCAGTCTTACCGCAAAACTGAGTCATAGAAACGAATGGATGTGTCCAGGCATTGGAGATGTAATTGTTTTCTCATCTCTGGACCAAGATATAGAAACCCATTCGCCAATCATAGCACCCGCTCAGTCTTAAACTCCACCACTAAATCCGGCGCCGGACCGGCCCCGGTGGAGATGCAGAAACTTGCTCCGGCGCCGATCAGGATCCGGTCCACAGCGGCCGGCCCCGTGGTCTGGAGGAGCATTTGATGCCTGATCGAACATGAAGACTGCTTCTGAGTGGATGGGATTGAGGAATTGGGGAATAGCACATGATATTCTGACTTGTTTGCTAGGCAACTTGTTCCGATCGCCCATAGGACAAGTCTAGGCCTGTCGATCACAGCTGATATGGCAACCTTTCAGATTCATCACATTCGACAACCGCCTCAGTCACAGATCGATACCATGTAGTCGCTACTGTCTAGGATATGGAGGGCATTGAGGGCAAAAAGTCAAACACATCCGACTGCCCCTCCTCGAAAAGATCAAACGAGTCCGCAATAGAAGTTGACAGGGTCCAATTGGGGATAGTCATCTCCCCCAGAAGGCGTGGTAGTGTAGGGTCCGATCGAGCTTCCGCCGTTCGTCCCTCCTCTGACAGAGAGTCTCCGTGAGTCTGTGCATCCCTCTGCAGCGGCTGCTCCTGACCTTGGTCACGCGGCATATCAAACAGATCGGAGTCAGACCTCGAATTGACGGTACTCTGCCTTGGCTGCATCGAGGATCCTGCAGTATTTGACGTCGCTGGGCCTTGATTGGTTGTGGAACTCCTTTCTGCAAAAAGCGCACTTGCATAGTTGGAGAATATGGACACGGTGCGATGGATATCTGGATAAGGGGGGAGCTTGAGAATCTCGCTGATTTGCTGCGCTCGTTGCAAAACCAAGCTCTGATCGATCAACGCGGGATGCCACCGTGCCACTCGAACAGCGAATGTTGCTAACCTGGTAAGTACATGCCATGGGCCAGCAGAAGGGTAAACCTACTGATAAAGGCTATAGTGAGCGCCGGATACGTCGGAGCCCAGGTGAGCTGGCACCGGTAGGCAGCCTCGTTGACCAACCATGCCATTTGGCCCATGATGATCTCGATCAGAGACTTCCACAGTCCCAGGACAGCGTCTGACTCCGGGTCTGGAAGAACTTCCGACGACGGCCGTTTCTGAATGCGAGCGATGGTGGCGCAGAGGACATAGACCCGAGCATAATTGAGCATGTATTTCAAGCTCGACCGCTGAAAAGCGCCAGCATGGAAGCCATTTTCTACTTGGTCAGCATCCTTCCCTGTTCCAGACGGGCAATCGATTTCCTACGGTCATGGATCCCGTCCCAAGTCTTCCACCACTCCTCTAATCGGCCCATGATCGCGGGCAATTCCGTGGACAGCAACTGCCCCGCGGTGGTATTATCTATAGTTCGTCGCGCTCGAGCTGTGCTATATTAGTTGCGATGACCAATAGGATGACAGAAGATATAGACTACCTCGTAGTTGATGGATTTCAATGATACAGACTGTACGCATATCGCTGGGCAGCGAAAGAGGATAATCGAGGTACTTGCGGAGTTTAGCTACGTCTAGCTCGTTGACTCGCGATTTTCTGCCGGTCCCCGCAGCTATATCAAGCTCAGTCGTGTACGTGATTAGCCATGTTCGTGTCTGCCAGACCAGAATGCGATCCTCCATCGTGGCTGACAGGTAACTCCGGGGAGTGTTTGTCTGCGCCAAAAGGGTGTCCAGAGATTTCTCAAGCCCTGAATCCAGCGCTGTCCGGAGAATGAGAGCTGTGGAGAACCAAGATTTCTCGGAATAGGCAGCTAGAAGAATCATTCCTTGGACAGTCTCAAGTTTGGTCGGTCGTTCGAAGAAGCTGTCTTCGGCTAGCCTTTGCGCTTCATCTTGTAGAACCCGCTGCAAATGGTTGTTACTGCGAAGATCAGGAACCGCCCGACTAGCAAGGTAGACTATGACTGTGAAGCAGAACAATGACCGAGATCGGATGGAGTCATAGGTGTCCCTGACAGGGTCGAAGAGAGGCAGAAAATTCTTGCTTCCATTCATGAACCTGGTTGGTGTTTAGCATCATTCTCTTGCTCAGGTGAACGTACCGTACCTCTCATAGATACCACGAGCTTGCTCCTCAGTGATGATGCCTCTTGCAATCACGTCTTTCGTTGGGTCGTCATTCTCGGATTCGCCGATGAATATTTGCTCGTTTGAAGCTCCTAGATTGACCGACATGGAATGCATTGCCGACTGGGGAGCCATCATATCCTGCGACGTAAAATGCTGAATCTCAAGGCTGGATTGGCCAGTCGACCCTCGGTTGTTGAAGCTCCCCACTGACGAGAGGCTGGAACTTGTTGGAGAAAGGGGGTTGAATCTGGATAGAAGTCAGTAGGTTGTATGAGCGACTGGGTTTGTTGTAGTCAGGATACCGAGATTGCTCTTTGTTGTGCTTTCTTCGCTCATTGCGCCCTCCATCGATTGTGTCCACCACACAGTCACGACCAGTGGCCTGACATCGGGAGCAAGGCATCTGATGGCGCGCATCGCAGCGCATCTTTTGCTTTCGACACCAGCGACATGATTTGAAGAGACGGGTGGGAGTTCCCCTAGGTGATTCCATGATGGCTGTTCAATGACTCATCCCAATCATAGGGGCGAATGCTCCTAATCTAGGGCATTTATACAGGGAGATCTCAATTACAGCAATGGTTGCCGCTGTTGTGACAGTATATCGAAGAAATGCCACCTGCTATGCAATGTCTGACTGCCGACTGAAGCTGAATCAAACGTGCGGAGAGCGTCGTCCCGTCGGAGAAAGACCGAACGGATCCGAGCTTTCTGGTCTCGGCCTATAAGGAGGGATCATGGTCCGTATTCTTGCAAAAGTGACTATCAATAACTTTCCAAAGTCCAAGGTAAGAGCATACAATCTAGAAACTTGTGATAAGAGAAAGGACATGTTGTCGTTTAAAGCTGTGGATGGAAGAGCAAACGAGAGAGAATGAAAACAAACTCCGGTCACGTGAATATCGTCCTCCGAGCAATCGGCAGCTTGTATAATCGTTTAAATCCCACCACCTCTCGCGGTCTCAATTATCACCCAGACCGTTGTGGAACCTTTCTCATACTCGTTCCGATGAGGCGATACGATCTTCCACCCCACGATCCCACCTGGAGCGTAATGTCTCTATGGAAAGGATGAATGGGAATGCCGTGAACCAAGTAGAGACCTCGAATGATATCCAGGCACCAATGTCTATTAATCTCGCAACAGATGTCAAGTCGGCGTTAACAATCGAGTGTATGGCTAGAGGAGATAGCGACTGTCAGCCCGTTGATGACAGACAGCAGTCTAAGCAGGACGTCAGAGGATGCTGGGGGCAGTCATGACAAGGATTGAAACCTATGTCTTTAGAGGGAACGGCCACAACTTCTTCACTTGGTCAGGGGAGGTTCCTGGAGCCATCTTAGAAATATAGTACTCAAACAGCAATTTGTTTCGTGACTTGATCTCATCCAGGTCACGCTCCGGAGAAATCCAACCTACGTCATCAGTGTCAAGCATCTCCTTGACAAATTTCCGCATTTGGTGAAATTCGTAGTAAACCTCATATTCTTTCCTGTGGTGTGCAATCTGTTCATCAGTGAAATAGAGTGGCAGACTCCCTGGTGGAAATCCGAAACTCTCCTGGTTGAGAAACATTTCAATCAGGATTTCTCGTAGAGGTATTAAACCCTCATCCCAAGTCTCGCCACAACGACGGAATATCTCCTATAGCGGCGAGGGTTCCTGCATTCCTTGCCATGATTTCCTGTTGTTTAAGAAACCTGCAACTTCGTAAGCTTTGGTCCAAGTACCCTTTGCTTTGTGATACAGCGCGATCTCCCTTTCCTCATCGTCCATATCCTCGAAGCCAGGGGGAAGTCCAGGCATCACAGGGCCCTCTTGATAGTCCTCCGGTGGGCTTAAGAAGACAGGCCATCGAACTTGTAGAAATAAAGGGCTGATGGAAGTATTCTGCCAATCAATGAAGCCAGTCACCTTTCCCGGGTCATTTTCCGAGACAAATATATTGCCCATGTGGAGATCGGTGTGCCATAGTATTGGCTGAGTGTTGTCCAAAAGCTTGGAGTTATATGCCACCGTTGGCATGACTTCTTTCGCCACGTGAAGGAGAGATAGATGTTCCTCTGTGGAGCCATATAAGGAGGCTGGAAGCTGCCGGTTGGGATGCTGGCTAGCTCTTAAGAGCGAGCGTTGAATGAGAGACTCGCCCATGTCGCAAAGTGTTCTCCCTGTGGTGGCGGTAAGCAATGTTGAAATCTTGAGGAGAGACAATACATACAAGGACCACAAAGGAAGCCTGGCAGAAGCTGATGGCCACCCTGAGTGAGCCAGGAGGGGTCACAAGAAGGTCCTATGCAGAATTCACCTTGAGGGTCTATGGCCGAATCCAGAGGTATCATCTTGGTATCGCTCAGAGCAGTCTTATAATATAGGCTGCCGTATGCCGGAAACTGGGTTTCAGAGAGCTCACTTTCCCATTGAGTGAGACGTTTAATTAAGGAGATCCGATTGCTTTCGCCCATTTCATCCCATTCCTTGAACATCTGCACTCCGGGGACTCTTTCCATAATGATGTACTCTGCACCCACTGCATTGGACATATCGGAGCTCCAGGCTAGAACCTCAGGAACAGGAATCGTCGTATGTTTTCGTACTAATATAATGGAAATGCATCAGCTGAGGCGTGGCGGCCAATTTCCAAAAGTTTCCTCTCACTGAAGCTTAGCACGGCGACCTCCGACGCCGTGCAGTACATAGGTCTCCCCGCATTCGGGCAAGGAATCTTGGCAATATACTCAGATCCATCCTCTGTTGTCATAAGGAGTGCTTTGCTGAAACTGCCTTCCATTTTTTCTATCCTCGAAACAGTGGATCTTTCCGATCCAGAGAGGCTTGCAACCACGTCACATAATTTGTCAATGTTGAAACGAACATAACGCTTGGAACATTGGATTTCCTCCTCAGTAAGGAACCGCCCATTCGTGTATTGGAAAAGATCTTCTTTGGAGATCGGATGTCCTATAACTGATTAGTGTCAATGCAATAAACCTCGCAAAGGAAAGACGGTCAGATACCTCGACATTCAAGAGAAAGCTGCCTTCTGGTTAGCATAGACTTGAGAGATGAATTACAGCGTGGAAGTCGGAGTTTGAAGATGTTCTTGAAGGTCTGCATGGCTCAAAGCATTGTGGGCATGTCGTAGATAAATCCAGTTGGCACAATGCTTGTTTGTCTCCTTGAAAGGACTTCGGGACGGGAATGGTGGTCTGTATCCACGATAGTAAATAATCGAGAATAGCCTTGTATATCAATAGATAACGCAGGCTACCATAACAACAGCCCTGCTGGCGCAATGGTAGCGCGTCAGACTTCTAATCTGAAGGTTGTGGGTTCGACCCCCACGTAGGGCTTGTTCTTTTTCTTTTTCCGCCTCCCTCCACTTCTGTTCTCTCAACACAATAAGACATCGCCGTGACAAATAATAACCCACCATCGATGTCTCTATATTCAAGCTCTCCTTGAGCAATGGCCGAGATCTTTTCATTCTTTTTGGAAATCAAAGTTCGATGATGACTCATCAAGCTGAGGGGGTCAGTACTAGTAGTTAGTTATTACTATTCTCAACCATAGATAGCCCGTGGTGTCTTCACCATGGGCCGCAGGGGTCTGGTCACCCGTAAACCTCTTTGCGATTGCATTTGCATTTGCAATCTATGTGTCTATCTTCCTACCCTTCCTGGCTCAGATCCCCGTTACCAGCGAGAATATGAACTATGCCGGGCCCGTCCTGGGAGCGGTCATGATCTTCGCTTGTGTTGACTGGGTGCTGCATGGACGGAAGAAATGGCAGGGTCCGACAATGGTCAATCAAATGAGGAGCGATATTAGCTTTGAAGCACTGGTCTACGAAGTACCTTAGCATAGCCATTTGCTGAGACGTATACAATGGCAGACATAACTTTTCTTCGATACTTGTTATAGAAGGCGAACAATTCCGGGATTTCCCATTTTAAGCTTAGCAGCGATGCGAACGGGTATAAATCTGCCATGCATATCCACAAGTGTGCTATTTATACAGACCTGGAACACCAGTCGGAAGTTACAGAGCAAAAACACCCAAAGCCACCGCAGCAGCGCCAAAAAGCGCACCAGCACTGCCAGTGACCTGCGGCATTCCTCCGGTACTCACAGCGGAAGAGCTGTGGGCCGAAGCACTGGCCGAACCCGCCGAAGAAGTCTTGCTTGCATCCTCCGACGCAGTAGACTTTCCAGAGGCAGCGGCAGTCGAAGTGACAGAAGCCGTAGCCGTAGCCGTAGTAGCACTAGCACTAGCACTAGCAGTGGCAGCAGTCACACCTGTAGCCGAACCCACAGTAATAGTCACCTTCATCAGAGGCAGATCGTCGGAAAAGGTCGAGGCACTGACCCCGGGGAAATTCGCCCCCGTGCCGCTGGCCGTCTCGGTACACACGGCGGTGGTCGTTCCGCCAACAGAGCAGTTGACGGTCCAATGGCTGCATACACATTAGGTACCTGTCTGGCAGGATAGGGCAAGGTCCGACTTACAAATCCTCCTCCGGCTCGTCCATCTTCAACACGGTGGTCGTGGGGCCGGCGACAAGGGTCAGGCCGGGGCCCATGCCGCAGTCGGAGCTATCTGTGCCTGGGGGACAATTGATGCTGTATGTTGTTGCGGTGGCATCCTCACAATAGGTCAGATTGTTTGGAGAGTGGGCTAATTGACATGAAAGTCCTTACATTACCCACGATGGAAGCTACAAGAGGCTGTGGGTCTGCGCCGTAGATCAACATGGAGGTGACGGTATTCTGGGCTGAGACCAGGCCAGCACCAGCCAGGCTGAGAAGAAGTTGAGATGCAAGCATTATGTTCGATCGGTAAAGACAGACTTGATCAGATGAGGTTCAAAAGAAGGTCTGAGTATTTGATCAGGGGCATCCGAAGGGAAGAAAACCTGGAGATGACTAATGAAACCCTGCATAAAGTCAGATTAGTCATAATGTGCGACGCTTATGCAACGCACAAAACAAGTTGGAGGCATTTCCTATATTGTACATAGACAGAGAGTTTAAAAGCATGTATAGGACATTCTCCCGGGATGCCATCTGCCTGGTTTTGTCTGATAGCCGCAGTAAGTGATCAAAGGATACATATATTCAGGTCATTCCATTCTCATCATTAATTGTCTCTCCCCCCTCTCTTTCCTCACACAATTACTGCGCTCGACAATCTCTCCATCAAAAGCCCACCACCACCGCTCGAAAACCACCTGTCCGATCTCCCAGACCTCCGGGGTGAACGGATTACCACCCCGGACTTTGATTCCTTCTCCACTGACATCTTCCATATCATAGACGAATCGAAGAAGACCAATGGGATCCTGCGCAGACTTTGGACGCATTTCCGGCGGTAGATGGAACACCTGGATGAGTTTATCCCGGGTACTCGGCCAGGGAAGGAGATCCAAGATGGGATGATGAGGGATGAGCCGCTGAGAGGTGGTCGGTTGGAGATGACGGGGAAGTTCGATGACATCGTCGGGTCCGCCGCTTGAGCTGAATGCCGTTGAGGATGGAGATGAGGAGCCGGACGAGAGAGATGGTGGCGAGGAGATCGTCTGGCTCTCGGGTCCTTGGTAGAATGGGCTCATGGCCGCGAGATCCCACAGCATGCCGGCAATATTCAACCGCTGAGCTACCTTCATTGCCGCATTGAGAAGCGTGAGAGAGGGGATCTCCAGCATATGATCGTCTGGGAAGGAGAATGTCGAGGACTGGTATGTTTGCAGCCGGTCAGAGAGACTGCAATCGCCCTCGGGGCTGTTGGTGCTCTGAGTGGACTGAAATGGGGGCAGCAGATCCGACAAGAAGGCTGGTGCTGAATAACAGGAAAATGGATTCTCTACGGCAGACAACGGCATTGTGGGCATTTCCTGAGCAGAAATTAAAGGCGATAGTGCAGATTGCGGGAACGCAAGAAACTGGCTTGGAGAAAGTGCATCTGGAATAAGATCCATGCTTTGATCAATGAGTTCGGGCATGATTTGGGTAGGGAAAGCCCCAGGACCTTCGCTGTTGAAAGGAATATCCTCCACTGCGTGTGAGACACTGACCCCAGTCGAACTTGACATCGTTCTTGTTTCACCAGCAGCTTTTGAAGCCAGCGAAGCGTCCTCGACTTGGGGTTGCCCGTCGTCAGATCCAGAGCGACTCTCCGCCCGAGCCTGCAGAGCCTGCCATTGCTGTCTCTTTCTCTCGCCTGCAGGAGTGAGCAGCAGTTCAGAAATAGGTTCAAACTACATACGGTATCTTCTTTGAGCTAGCACGCCCAGTACTCGTTTTCGCTCCGCCGGGTCCTCGGTGATGTCCGGGATCGCGGGAACATCGCGCTTACGCTTGTTTGGCATTTTGATCGGCCAATCAAGAGAATCAAATGCTCAGAGAGGACTAGATTGGAGTTGTCACAGTCGATGGAAGTAGTACAGAGATGTGAGAGAAGAATTCTGCGAGATGAGGCCAAACAGGGACACGAAGAATGAGCGGGGAACCATAACGTTATGCTTACGGACACGCACTTTGCTGTGATGTTCCAGTTGACCATAACAGGAAAATGCTGGTAGAATGCGTGGAAATAGTTACAAACACGAGCATCATCCGGCATTCTGACCGTGATTGGACGATGGAATGGGGATTTATAGACTCCTCGTATTCATGGGGTTGTTCATATCAAGCAAGTCAAGGAGCATGTTATGTTCCAGATCAACGTTATGTTGGCCCGTTATGAGGTTAGGCTCGAGAAATGGCTATATAAATGGCTATATAAGATGATAAGTCTCAAGTTGTAGGAGCACCAGAACCTCATCATCAATTTCATCTTGGACAGTCAGATATCAATTAATACACTGAATCTTTTCAAGACTACCTGTTTTCAAATGTCTCAAAACAATTACTCCCTCCATTCAATTGCCGCGGCATATGCCGTTGGTCTCTTCCCTCACGGCTATTACTATGTCAAGATGATGGCCAATGCAAAGGAACATGCTACAAACATTCTGTATGCTCCTAACTAACTCTTGTAAAACACCAAGACAGCTAACGGGATGATACAGACCGCGAGAGAACCTATCCAATCTCAAAGGCCGCCTCCCAGCCCAGATCTGGCAGCAACTCGCCAAAGCCCGAGGAGCACATCTAAATGCGATGGAAGGATTGCCTCTTTTCGCTGCTGCAATGGTAAGGCTGATCTCCTTCTGAAGAAACTGTACCAACTAACGCATATCACACACAGCTTGCCGGCAACCTGGCCAAACTCCCCTCGAACGACTTGAACACGCTTTCATTAGAGTATATCGGCGCGCGTCTCTTGTATACGGCCCTGTACATGGGAGCCAAGTCTGAGGCAATCAGCTATCTGCGTACGGGTGTGTGGGCATGGAGTGTATCGATCCCGATCTGGGGATTGATCCAGGCTGGACGGGTTCTGAACACGTCTGAGTGATTCATGAATAGGATGTAGTCTGATGTAATGATGGTTGCCTCTGTGTCTTCCACAAAGTAGATATTATGTCAATTGTTCAATGATATATTTAGAAGAAAGCAAGACCTCGAGCTCGACAGAATTCCCCCTATTAGCATCGGCCGATTGGTAGTACAAGATATACGGAGATAACAGGCTGACCGGTACTGTCAGCCTTGATCATCACCAGCGTCTGATATCAATGAAAAGCAATTGAGCAAAGCAAGAGGCTCTCGAACGACGGGCTGGACGATCAGAAGCAGCCTTGAGAAGCATCGTCCATTCAACATGCGATGAACCACGTCCCGCCCTTCGTATATCAGACAGGGCCTGTCGACGACCTGGACTCATTCATGTCCGAGTCCACCGAGGAATTAGACATTCAACGAAACAATCTCTGGTCTCTGTACCTTGGCAAATGTTGCATAATTCTCCAAGCGTTCTAGACGCCTAAGTATTCCCCAAAGGATATGTTTGTTATAAAGTCCACTGATACATTGTGAGTCAGGTGGCGTACACGCTTTGGATATGCGGAGTACAGGACTAAGCTTATCTTTGGAGATCATGCTTTCTGCGGCGAATAGGTACATTGCACTCCAATAGCTTCGCATCTGTCGCATCGAATATTGACTCTTTTACATCAGATCTAACCATAGGTCATTCTGAGTTCCGCAAGCGAATAACTGAGACCGATACTTTTTGGCCTGACAACGTGTCCACTAAAGCATCCCTTAGTCTCAATAAACCTAGCTGGATTGAAAGACGTACAAATATGTGCTTGGATGGGTTCTGGGGAGTCATCGCCTGTCCACGACGAAAAGCACGTTGAAAGAAGTAGGAAAGGTCAGCGGGAACTGGCAGTCTGAAATCTATCACTACTCCTATAGTGAATATCCTGATGCTGCCTAGAATGCCCAGCCTTTCTCGTTCAGGTAACTCGTACTCGTATTCGACCTGCTTGTCGCTTAGACCCGCTTCTTTGATTTATTGACCACATATCTATTTAATGCTCATCCCCTGTCCTCGTTACTTTCTTATCCACGAGTCATCCCAGCATATTTCATAATGGGTAGCTCCAACGATCACCCCGCATCGAGTTCGACCGAAAAACAAGCAGTGCCCGAAGAACAAGAAAAGGGCAAAGGCGAAAATGATGCAAAGCCCGCGCAGACTGCCTCGCTGGGAAACTATTTCGTATGAAGTGTCTCCCAAGGTTGCTCGCTGTGCCACTGACAAGACCATAGCGAGCCCTTTCCTACACGACCGGGAAAGATCGCCTTGTATTAGCCGTGGCATTGATATCTGCTATTGCGTCCGGTGTTGTATGTCTACCAAAGTGCCGCATTGGAAAGGAGATAACCTCACATCCTCAAACAGCCTTTACCCCTAATGAATATCGTGTTTGGAAATCTTGTTGGTGAATTCAGTGGATACTTCATGCCCGGCACAAGTGTCACCGAAGCGCAATTCAAATCGCCGGTCAACAGACTGAGGTAAGGAGGCCATATACGACTCCTCCTGACGTGCATTGACCTGGAACAGTCTGTACATCGTGTACCTGTTTATAGCGAAATTCAGCTTGACTTACTTCTCCATGGTGGGTGAAAACTTTACCGAGACGATGGATAGATTCTCATCGTGGTCTCATCGTGGCAGTTTTGCTTTCGCGTCATCGGTCTCCGAGTCTCAGCTGCTATTCGACTGGAATACGTCCAGACGCTCTTCTCCCAGCCGATCAGTACAGTGGACCAGGTTTCCGTGGGCACAGTCACGAATACAATCACGACGCTGTCCAACACAATCCAGCAGAGCATCTCGGACAAGCTAGCCATTCTTTTTCAATCCGTCGCCCTTTTATTCGCTGCGTACATTATCGCCTTCAAGTATTCATGGGCCTTGACTCTCGTCACAAGTTCGGCGCTTCTGTTCGTTCTCGTCGGCTGCTGTGTGACCCTACCGATCATAACAAAGATCCAACAGAGGATCGACAAGGCGGACGAGAAGCATTCGTCAATAGCGGCTGAGGTATTTGGGTCTATTCGGACAGTGGTTTCCCTCGGTGCTCAGGAAAGTCTCTCGAAGAAATATGCGGCCTGGATCGGAGAAGCACGGAAGCGTGGACATGGTTTGTCTATTATCATGGGGATCCACTTTGCTCTGGTCTTCTTCGCTCTGTATGCTAGCTTTTCCCTTGCCTTCTGGTTTGGTTTAAAGCTATACAGGGAGGGGCACATCAAGGAGATCAACACGGTCATCACGTAGGCACATCCCCTCGCTTCTTTTTCAACTTGATCACTTTCTGATAAACTGACAGGGTGTTCTTCTCGGTCATGATCGTGGTAAGTGTATTAGGGAATATCGCATCGCCCTTGGTTATCGTGTCCAAAGCCGCCAGCGCTGCGGGTTCGTTCTTCGACTTGATCGATTCCGAAAAGGTGAAGGCCGGGGGCCTTCGCGAACCGGATGCCTCAGCCCACGTTGATATAACCTTTCAAGATGTGCACTTTACGTACCCTACACGGCCGGACGTACCTGTCCTCAAGGGACTAAACCTTCGGTTTCAGAATGGAAAAACAACCGCATTAGTCGGCCCCTCTGGCTCGGGGAAAAGCACAATCGTCGCGCTGGTCGAGCGATGGTATCAGCTACCGATGAGTCCAGAAGACCGCAACCAAGGGAGTATCTATGCTGGGCAGCACAATATCAACAGTCTGGACCTGAAGTGGTGGAGATCGCAAATCGGACTCGTCCAGCAGGAGCCTTTCCTTTTCAACGATACTATCTTCAACAATGTGGCATTTGGCCTGATCGGAACAAAATGGGAAAAAGAGCCTGACGGTGTGAAGAAGGAACTGATCGAGAAGGCTTGTAGAGAGGCCTTTGCTGAGGAGTTCATCCAGCGGTTACCAGAAGTATGTCGGTCTCTTGCAATAGCCGGCCATGTCTGACTCTGACAGGGCTATGCGACGCTCGTGGGACAGAGTGGTATCAAATTGAGTGGCGGTCAGCGACAGCGTCTTGCCATCGCTCGGAGCATCGTGAAAGAACCCAAAATATTGATACTAGACGAGGCGACGAGTGCTATCGACGTTCGCGGCGAGAAGATCGTACAGGCAGCCCTTGATAGGGTTTCCAGGAACCGCACAACCGTCATGATTGCACATCGGCTATCCACGATCCGAAGAGCAGATCATATAGTTGTTATGAAAGGGGGTGTGAACGTCGAGGAGGGAACACACGAGGAGCTTCTCCAGCTTGAGGGTGGAGTATACCGCGGCCTTGTTAACGCTCAAAGGCTTGAACTGTTAGCAGAAGACGACGAGAACACAGGGAGCGCGATGCTCGAGTCAAGAGAAGAAGCCAAGTCTCCCACCATGTCTGTTAAAGAGAAGATGCACGATGAAGAGAACGTTCAGCCCAAAAGCCGAGGGTTTATGAGGACTATCGGGCTGATACTATATGAGCAACGCGGACATTGGCCGTTCTACCTGGTGGTTCTCATCAGCACAGCTGGGGCAGGAAGTAAGTTGCCTAGACGCAGTATGGATTTTGAGCTAATAGAATCTTTCAACCAGCGGCCTATCCACTTCAGAGCTGGTTATTTGCGAAGCTTATCCAAGTATTTCAGTTTACGGGCCAAAAGCTCGTTGATGCCGCTAATTTCTGGGCCCTGATGTTCTTTGTTCTCGCTCTGGCAGTGGCTGCTCTTTACTCGACTGTGGGATACAGCGCCAATTCTCTCTCAGTGGTAGGCCCAGATCTGCCCTTTATGCTGCTCGCGCTGAAATAGGCGTAGAGGATATCTGAAGCCTGCCGAAAGGAATATTTTCAGAACATTCTAGGGAAGCCCATACCTTTTCATGATCTGAGCGAGAACGCTTCTGGCTCCCTTGTTTCCCGACTGGCCACCGATCCAAAGCAGGTCCAAGAGCTCATCGGTCTCAACGGTGCATTCCCTCTCATCTCGATTTTTAGCATGATTGGTTGTATTGCGATTGCCTTTTCCTTTGGATGGAAGCTGAGTCTGGTGACGGTATTTGCGGCCTTGCCATGCACATTCCTGGCTGCCTTTATGCGGATCAGATATGAACTGCAGTTCGAGGCAATGAACGCCGAGGTCTATGCGGGAAGCTCGCAGTTTGCGGCAGAAGCCATCGATGCGTTCCGAACAGTTTCGGCGTTGACGATGGAGGACGCCATTCTCGATCGATATTCCGATCTCTTACAGGAGCAACAAAAAAAGGCTTTCCGGAGGGCGAGATACGCAACCCTCATCTTTGCTTTCTCAGATAGCGTGGAGTTATGTGCGATGGCGCTCACTTTCTGGTTCGTATCGCTGCTTGATACCCACCTTGGAAGGCTACTGATGTCTACAGGTATGGTGGCCAGCTCCTTGCCTCCAGGGAATACCAACCGACCTCATTCTTCGTCATATTCATGGCGATCATCCAAGGCGGACAATCGGCCGGCCAGTTTTTCAGTTTCGGCTCCAACTTTGCCCAAGCCGCTGCGTCCGCGAACCGGATACTGAACTCGCGCCCGAAACCAGGCGAAAGTGCCGCCAGCATCGAGAAGAAAGAACTTGTGCGTGTCGGTGAACGGACCGGGGCGAGTGTCGAGCTCCGTGACGTTGCTTTCAAATACGCTTCCCATGATGTCCCTCTTTTCGCTGGACTCAATGTCGATATCCAGAGCGGACAGTTTGTCGCCTTCGTCGGACCATCTGGCTGCGGGAAAACCACCGTGATCTCACTACTCGAGAGATTCTATACTCCCTCCCAGGGCACGATCCTCCTCAACGGCGAAGACATCCGTACCATCGAAGTCACATCCTACCGCAGGGCCCTCTCGCTAGTCGCGCAAGAACCACGCCTCTTCGAAGGCAGTATCCGCGAGAATATCACCCTCGGCCTCGATCAGTCCGAGTTCACCGAGGAGGAATTGATCCAAGCATGTAAAGACGCAGAGATCCATGATTTCATCACGTCGCTTCCGGAAGGCTACGCCACCGAGCTCGGTATCAAAGCACAGACATCGCTCAGCGGTGGCCAGCGCCAAAGGCTCTGCATTGCGCGTGCATTGCTCCGGAAGCCATCGCTCCTGCTTCTGGACGAGGCAACTTCGAGCCTGGACTCGCAGTCGGAAAAAGTGGTGCAGGGTGCTATGGAACGCCTGGCCCGGAAGAGGAGCCTGACGATCGTCGCGGTTGCTCATCGATTGGCCACTATCCAGAAGGCGGACACTATCTTTGTCTTTGGGGCAAGCCATGCTGGCCAAGCGTCTCGCATCGTTGAACAGGGGACGCACCAAGAACTGCTTCGGGCGAAAGGGACGTATTGGCAGATGGTAAGTAGCCATGGTTTTTTAATGTAAATTCAAACTAATTGGTATGCGTAGTGTCAGGAGAATGCGCTTGACCGTTGATATCAATTCTCATCCACTGCATAATCTAATGAACCTAAGAAGATTCCTGCGACGGAGGAACAGACGCCTTCTGACTTGTCTGTGGGATTTTGCTCTCGGTAAGCTTTCTGATGTCTGAAGGCCCCAGTCCAGGAGTTCATATTCTTTACCTTTGCGCTTGTGGGATATGGTGATGACTAGCTCGATAATAATTCATCAATCTATAATAGGACACCCTCTTGTCGGACCTTAGGCGGACAAGAATTAGTCCTACTATCTTAGTAATTTAATCCACTGCCTATCCTAGTAGATATACATAGCTGGGAATGACATCCAGAACTGTTGTAAGCCTCATAGTCAATCTGAACAATCGTGAGTGGCCTCTGTAACAAAGTTTGACATGATATAACTGACTGTAATCCAATCAACACTTGACTCAGTGCAGTGCCCGGCTTTGCAACCCTCACATAGTTCTCTGTTATGTACACCTTTGCTATCACCGCATATGAGGCCTCTCCACCTGAACCCCATTCCACTGTTTAAGCCAGTAGGCGACTCTTTCCGCATATGATCCGTCTAGGACCGGGCGACTGTGTACTGTGCATCGAAGAAAAGCGGTACAGTCTAAGACGGATGCTCATGTACATATCCTAGGGTTTTATTGGATCCCATCATTGTCGTGGCTAGACCCATTGGTATAGAGGCTTTTGTGATTCATTCGATTCTTCTACCGTGTAACAGAGTATGTTAGCTTTTTATTTTCAAGGACGTGTATCAGTCCAGGTAAGGGCAGCTAAACAATGCTCCTTTTCATAGCAAGCCGTAGTCATATTGATGCATGAGAATGCGCTTGACAGGGCATCTTAATTGATACTGATAGCTCCTCGAGCAAACCTACAAGCGCTTTATGTAACAGTTGAAGTATAAAATCTCCATCACCTCAGGCAGGTCAGAATCTACTCTAAACCCATCGTAATTTCGACCTCACCAGATGTGTCTTCCAGCTCCGCACATACCCCCTCAAGAAACTCAGTCATCACATCGTTTGCATAACCAGGACCCGAAATGAGCTTCACTGTCAGCATTCCCTCGCGGCTTGGAACAGCGAAGACCTCCAAAAAGTCCGCTGCGACGGGAATCTCCCACATCGGCCTGCTCCGTAGCCCGCCCACGGCACCCGGTAGAGCGAGCACGGGCTCCTCGTCCACATTCTGATACTGGATCCAGCAGCCAAATTCTCGCGTGTCGTAAGGCCAGTCGGTACAGTTTCTGGCAATCTCTGAAAGGCCGGTCGTCTCGTATGCAAGACTCTCGGCCTGCTGCTTTTGGAGGGCGATGAGGCGCTCGGTCTTGGTCTGCGGACGTGTGAACTGGACGCGCACAGGCAGCCGGTTTAGACAGGGGCCGATCACGTTCTGGAGAGCAGTGGGGAGGGTTGCACGGCCGGAGACGACACGACCGAAGACTACGTCTGTGGAGTTGGTGAGGCGGCTCAGTGTGGAGGCGCAGGCGAGCGTGAAGAGGGTGGCCTGTGTGATGCCGGCGGGGGGTTTGGGTAAGGGGACAGACCGAATAAGCACGGTGGGCGGTCCGTCGAGCGCGGGAGCTGATGAAGTGCATGGTACTATGGTCATCGAAGAGTTCTGCAATGTCTTGCGCCAATAGGCGTAGCTGTTCTGCTTGGACGAGTTAATGTGGTGTACGTAGCTATGGAAGCCCTTGATCGCCCGATTCGAGCCAATGCCCTTGTAGACATCAGCCAGCGTCTGGAGCGTTTGATCCATGCTGATCGCGTCATAGACAGCGTGCGACATGTCGAAGACGAGTTTCGATGTTGCGTTTTGTCCGCGGATGAGCTTGAATTGCACCAGCGGCGCCCCCAGAGAGGCCGGTGCTTTCACGTCTTCTGCTACATACTCGTAGAATGCAGATTCCACGCATTCAACGCCATGGACAATGTCGATGGTTGGCTTCCAGGAATCAAACACGGCTTGGAAGAAGGCATCACCGGAGCGAACAAAAGCCGTCCGATAGATCTCGCAGACTTCCACCAGTTTCTCAAGGCTATGGACAAGACGACCCTCTTCAGGAATCTGGGCAAAGTCGATATAACTGTAGAGCCAGGATCGCCGGGGTGAATGGAGATTGTTCCGGAGATATGTAGACTGCATATCTGTCGCCGGTAGGACGTCAACAAGCTGACCGCCACAACCAGGCTCAATCTGTGCCATCACTTCTTCCTCGACAAAGGTTTGCGCATCTGGAACATCCAGCAAGGTGAAGCGCGGGTGTTCGCTTGCCTCTTCGGGGCGAGCCTGCTGAGTTGTCACGAGAAGGTCTACAATCCGGTCTTTGGTCAGGATATCCGTGACGGTCAGAAATATTCCTGCCTTACGGGACAGGGAGGCTAATCTCATGGCACTGATGGAGTCACCACCCAGCTGCATGAAATTATTGTCCATGCCAAAGGACTCGCCGTCCCAAGAAAGCACATGTGCAACAAGAGCATGGAGCTTCGTCTCCTCTGGTGTTTCCGGAGCACGTCTTGCGACACTTTCTGCCTGGAGGAGATCCGCCTTCGCCATGGCCGATGCAGCTTGGCGCAGCTTGCCACGGTCAACTTTTCCGGATGTCGTGTTGGGAATGCTGTCCACAACCGTATAGGCGTTTGGGATCATGTATCGGGGTATTGAGGCTAAAAGGCGAGGCTTGACAGTAACAGCAAGCTGCCGTGCGTACGATTGCGCTTCTGGTGAGCCAGCCACAACTCTCTTATCCGAGAGCTTGATGAAGGCTACCAGGGCAGGCCCAGTGTCAGCGAGTTTGATGATATCCACGACTACCTGGGATGCTGCCGTGTGCCCGACAACATCGTGGATATGATGCTCGATTTCTTCCAGTTCCACACGCTGTCCGCGGATCTTGATTTGGGCGTCCTTCCGTCCAATGAACTGCAGGTTGCCATCTTCTTCGTATCGAACCAGGTCGCCCGTGCGATACATCCGTCCATGGCGGCCAACGAAACCGGGGCAGGACTGCGTGAGCCATTCTGGATTCTGTACGAAGGATGCTGCTGTTCTCTGCGGGTCGTTCAGATAACCCTGACCAACGATAGGCCCTTCAATCCAGAGCTCGCCGACGTCGCCTACCGCCGCCAACGACTTGCCGTGCTCTGGTTCGACAATCCACGACCGTGCCCCAAGAGCCTTGCCGATAATCACGGGGCTGCGCGCAGGATCAAGAATGTGGGAAATCGCAATCGGCGTGCATTCGGATGGACCGTATGAATGGATGATTTCAGCGCGGTCTCTCCAGTGGTTGATCTCGTCGCGCGGTAGATTCTCACCACCATAGTTGAGTATTTTAAGATCTGCTCCGCGCAGTAGCTTGCCGACTGTTGGAGTAATAAACGCGGTATTTGCCTGTCTGCGTGCAATAGCCTCCCTAGGCTCATTCTGAATCTCATAATGAGATGGGACACATAGACAGCCCCCTGCGCACAGGGTATACAGCACGTTGAGCCAGGATACGTCGAAAGCATACGACACAAAGTCATACGCACGAGTCTCGGGCCCAAAATTAAGCGCGGTCTTGCCGTATTTGAGCGCACTGGTAAAGTTGGAGTGGCTGATGATCGCGCCCTTGGGAGTGCCCGTCGACCCTGAAGTGAAGACCACATAGAGCCAAGTATCCGGGTCCACAATCGGCAGATGTGGATATTCAAGGAGGTTGGAAGTAGGCTTCCGCATATCACTCACGACGATGACCCGTGCAGTCGGAGCCAGGTCTCGTGCTCGGTATTCCTGCTCAGCTGAAGCAAGGATTATCTGGGGCTGGACCAAGTCCATGACCGTCTGCAGCCGGCCGTCAGGAAGCGTGGTATCGAGAGCTACCGATGTGCCGCTGGCTTTCATGACTGCGATCTGACAGACGGGCATCCATTTTGACTTCTCGAAGAACAGGGGGACGATGCGTTGGCCGCTCTGCGGAAGACCGGCTCCGAGCAGCTCCTTGGCAATGCATGTGGACATCTCATCCACCTGTCCGTAGGTGAAGTCTCCGTCCCATGCGCAGATGGCCGGAGCTCGAGGCTGCCTTGCAGCGACTTGTCCGAAAATCCCGTGGACTGTTTGGTCGGATCTCTCGGGAACGGCGCGATTCCAACTCCAGATTTGGTGCAGATCCGCCTGGCTGCTGGTATCGAGCTGAAAGACAGGCTTGTCCCAGACATCAGGCGAGGAAAGCTGCCTTAAAACGTTTTCGAATCGGCTCGCAAGTCTGTGGAATCGACTTTGAGACACGACAGTGGAGTCGTAATCGGCGCGAAAGCAGATGCTGTTGGGCTTGAGGACAAACTCAAGGCAAATCGCATACAGTTTGAAATGATTTACGTCACCAGCTTCAAATGGGGCAACATCAGTCTTGAACAGAGCTCCCTTGACGTCGTGCGAGCTTTCGTGCTGAATCACCATAAGTGATTGGAACTCGCATCCAAGGTTGCACTCCTCGGAGAGACGCCGGATGCGCTGGATGCCTACTTGTTCAAATGGCATCATCTCTGCAGCTTGAAGCTGCACTTGCTGAAGCAATTCCCTCACTGTCTTTGAGCGATCAACGGCCACTCGCAACGGCACCGTGGCAATTGTCGGTCCCGTCATGTTCTCAATTCCAGAAACATCTGCTTGTCTGCCGGACACGGTGGCGCCGAAAGATGCATCTGCGGAATTGGTGACCGTCGACAGTAAGATGGCCCAGGCAAGTCGAATATTTGTCGCTGCTGTGTAATCTCCATCCAAGATTACATCCTTGATCTCGACCTCGAAGTGCTCATCACATCTTGGCCGGTAGGCCTTCGATGGGAGGACGGGAAAGTTTTGGGCATCGCAATCACGGAACTGATCTCTCCAGAACTCCTCCGCCTCGGTCTGGCTGCACTGGGTGGCATACCTGATAAAGGCCTGGAAGGGTGGAGCATCTTGGATTGATTTGAACTGGTAACTCCTGAGCAGGGCGTCAAAAACAAGCGGCATCGACCATCCATCGTAGAGAGCGTGGTGGATGGACAATAAGAAATGAGACTCGGAAATCTCATAGATGATCAATGGCGTACCGAGGCCAAAGTCCTGTGCTGATAATCCTGGGGTCTCGCAGCTTTCATAACGGATGATGACCTGCACCAGGCCTTGCTGACCGAGATCAACAATCCTCGTCCGCAGAATCGGGTGTGCGCAAACAACCTTCTGCCATGCAGCACGAAGACGGGAAACGTCGACATCATCTCTCAACGCCCAAGACTCAGTCAAGATGTTATCACCGGGGCATCGGACTGTTTCGGCCAGCAGTCCCGCCTGCAAAGGTGTGCATGGGAAAACGTCTTCAATATCATCAGGCTCTAGGCCACAGAGATGAGCAACATGACTCTGCGGGTCTTCTGGAAGTGCCTGCCTGTCCAGGAGGCAGAAAGGCTCAACGGAGTAATCGGCCTGGTGCAGCGTCGGCTTTTGCACTTCTAGGACCTTTGCGAGCGCACTGAGCTTTGGATGCATGAAAATCTCCGCGACGCTGAGCGCAAGGCCTGCTTTCCTCGCCGCGCCGACCAACCGCATAGCGCCCAGAGAATCACCCCCTATGCGGAAAAAGCTATCGTCGGCCGAGATTGCGTCCGGATCGATATTCAGTATCTCAACCCAGAGATCCCGGAGGATCTTCTCCGACGCAGTGCTGGGGGCGCGCTGGCCAGAGACGCGAAGGGCGTCCAGGGCGACCAGCTGCTCTAGTGTCTTTTTCGCGTAGATCTCGCGCAGAGAGCGGCGGTGGACCTTGCCTGTTGCCGTCATAGGAAATTGCTGGACGTGAATGTAGGCAGTGGGAATCATGTACTCAGGGACAAGTTTGGCGAGACGCTCGTCCAGCCCCATAAGCTTGCGCCAGGGGTCAGTCTCGCCCTCATCGGCCTTGATGAACGCGACTAGAACGTGATTCTCGCTATTGTGCGGTTTGAATACATCGGCGACGATCTGAGCCGGCAGATCGCCTGCAAGCAGGGCGCGCCGAATGCCGTACTCGATCTCTCCCAGTTCGGTCCGTTGGCCACGGATTTTTACTTGCGAGTCCCTGCGGCCGACGAAGACCAGGTCTCCGTCAGGTTGGTAACGCACCAAATCCCCGGTCCGGTAGAAACGGCATTGCTGGCCCGGAACTGTCCACTTGGACCTTGTCACGAACGCAGCTGCTGTCTTTGCCTCGTCTCCGATATAACCAAGCGCAACCTGGGGACCCTCGAGCCACAGCTCTCCCACGGAACCCAGGGGCGCAAGTCTATCGGAGCCGTCGGTTCTCACGATCCACGTATGTAGGCCGATTCCCCTACCGATCGTGTTAGGAACCATGCCCCGGGCCGCGCGAATGATGCAAGCCTTAACGGTAGATTCCCCGGGACCGTAGCTGTTCATCAGTTTCTTGCTGTCGATCCAGTCTCCAAAGTCTGCTTCGGACCAGGCTTCTCCGCCCATCAAGATTTGCTCGAGATCCGGAAGGTCTTTGGGATCCAGGTGCCGAAGAATAGACGGCGTTGCGTTAATCAGCGTCGCTTTGCTGTCTCGGATCGAATCTGAGAGCGCGTTGCTTCGCTGATACTCAGATGGAATGCACAGACAGCTGCCGGACGTGAGGGAATGCAGCAGATTCGACCAGCTGACGTCGAAAGCGTAGGAGGCGAAATCGTAGACTCGTTGACCAGGCCCAAAGCCGTGAGCACGCTGCTGGTTCCGGATAGCGGATGTAAAGCATGAATGCGTGATCATCGCCCCCTTGGGCTTGCCTGTACTGCCGGATGTGAAAGAGACGTAGACCAGGTTCGACGGAAGCACCGGGTTGGGCAGAGAAAGCCCTCCCTCTGGATCCGGCAGGGCATCCACAGAGGCTTGATCGACGACCAGGAGCTGCAGGCCTTCAAACTGACTTGCCCGCTCCACGTTATTTGGTAATGTGATGACGAATTTGGCATGGACCTGATCGACTATGCTACATGCGCGCTCGATGGGCTGTGTGCAGTCGATCATCACGCCCGCCCCGCCCGCCTTCAGAACGGCTACCGCGGACACGGGCATCCACATGGACTTTTCAAAGTAGAGAGGCACAATGACCTCGGGCCCGACGCCGAGCTGGATCAACCAGTGGGCCAGACGCGTGGACAGAAGATCCAGCTGGCGATAGGTGAGCTCTCCGTCCCAGGAGGAAATGGCCGGGGAATCTGGAATGGCCCTGACTGTATCAGAAATGAGATCGTGGACAAGGCCTTGAACGTTCTCAAACGGCGTCCCATTCCATACTGTGATGGCTCGAAGATCCTCCGCGCTAATGGTATCGATCTCAGCGAGGGGCAACGTGGAATGAACTGATGAGCCCATTTGGCGGAGCACTCCTTCCAACTGGCAGAAGAGCCTTTTCACTTGCTCGGTGCTGATCAATTGCTCATCAAACTTGGCCTTAACCTGAGCCCCGGAAGCCCTGACGGCAAATTGTATGGAAAGCGCTCGACCCTCATGGGAGTCACCATCTGTAATTTGTCCGTCGCCCTGCACAGAATCTCCGCCAACCTCCAGGACAGTTTGGAAGTCGCAAGCCAGTGCTAACTCTGCGCTAAGAGCACGCAGCCGGTGTATAGAGAGGGGTGGCAGTTTCGAGCACGTTGCAATGATTGACTGGACTGAGTTCAGGTACGACGACACGCTCTGATTGAGAGCAACGTGGATTCGTCTGGGCATGGGCGTTGCACCGCCCGTTGATCCACGAGTCCCGACCAAGATATCGGCAGAATTCCCGTATGATGTTTGCAGAAGAGCCCATGACGCGAAGAGCTGTGTTGTGGCATCACAGTCGTTTCGCCATTGCATATCCTGGATCGTATACGAAGCCGAGGCATTGGCGCAGGGCCGGTGAGTCGCACTGGGTAGAGGAGGAGGGAAGTGGCAGGCAGCATCCATGCCATCAAACAGGGCTATCCATTGGGTGATGGCGGACCCTTCATCGGTGCCAACCGTATGGTAAAAGTAAGCGTCGTAGAGTGAGTCACAGAACCGCGGATCCGATTCGGCAGCAGCAGGTGTGTCCTGCGCAACAGACTCGAGAAATTCGATGGCCTTTTGTAAAGCAGTCTGGATTTCTTGCGCATGGGGCAAGCTGGCAAAGTCTGTTCGATATTGGATGCTGACTTCGGTGTCGTTCTTGTTGAGAGTGGCAGCGAGGACCATGTCGTACTATGCTTGTTAGCAAAAGACCAGAGCTGCTCAACATGGATAGAAGGACTCACTTCATGCGGGTCCTCCTCAGATATTTCTACCAAGTGCATGCCTCTATCAGCTGCGCCAGCCCCTCCTCGAGCTTCACGAACTGTGATATTCGTGTTAAAAAGCCGATTCGAAGAGATCTCGTGTTGCACCTCGGCGAGCGAGACGTGTTGAGTCTCCAGATGCTCGATAGTGTACTTGTTGATGCTGTCCATCACCCTGAACGCGGGCTGCTGCAGATCCACGCGGGCAATCAGCATGTTGATCAAGGGCCCGACAATATTCTCGATGCCGTCAACCGCAGCGTCACGGCCAGACGAAATATAGCCGAAGCAGACCTGCCGCATTCCGGTGAAACGTGACAACACGAGGGACCACGCCAGGTGAAGGAATGCGGAGCGGGTCATCCCTTTGTCCTGGCAGATTTTGGCGATAGGGGCCGTGACAGCAGACGGGAGGGTGATCCACCCATACTGACTGTTACGCTGACTCGAATGAGGCGACACAAGATCTCCGGGCATATCACAAGGGTTGACGCCCGCGAGGTATTTCTTCCAGTATGACAGGCGATTAGAAGCTGGTGTACGATGAATATGCTCAATATAATCGCGCAAAGGGGTGCACGGAGACAAGGCTCGTCCAGAGTAAGCCCTTTCCAGATCTTGTACGATTACAGGCAAGGACAGGGCATCCATGAGCGCGTGAGTAATGTCCAGCCGGCATGCAACTTCGCCTTCCTGATCCACACATAGCGTAAAGAAGCATTGTGGCTGCGATGGTGATGCTTGCGGACTTTGCATCTGCTGCAGCTGCTCCACAGCAGACTTGGAATCAGCAGCTTCGCAGATAGACGCCTCATTGGGGCTGCCCAGGACGACCTGGACAAACCGGCCGGTTTCAGGATTAGTCGAGAAGACAGTTGAGAACACCGGATGCATGCTCGCGATTCTCCCCCACGCTGCCGCCATACGAGGGATGCTGACTGCTGAGCCGGTCGAGGTGGCCTGCCAGATTACTGCGCTGTGGTAGGAGGCTGCGCCGATGTTGGAGCTAATCAGGATTCCCTCCTGCATCGGTGTACAGGGATAGATGTCCCGTATATCTGAGTTCTGGATTCCCTCGCTCTCTAGCTGGTCCTTCAGCAGCGTCTCCAGCCCTGCGTACGAGATATCGAGCAACTGGAAATCCGCAAGCGTGAAACGGGGCGATAAGCTGGCGAGTTCATGCGCAACGCTGTTGAGATTCTTTGCGTACAGGTCCATCCAACGAAGAACGGCATCGTGGTCACGCATATGGCGATGGGATCGTGTCCAAACCTGTAATTCCCCTTCCTGTACGACGAGGTTCATGTCGATGAGGGACGGCCGCAGGTAATCCGGTCCGTCACCGGGAATGAACAAGTTGCGATCCTGCCTGTCTTCAAGCTTGAAGATAGAATGGTCATCCTCGAGCTGCTGGAACAACCCTCGATAGTTGAAAATGAGCTCGACGTGCTGGTGCCCTTCGAACGCCTTTCTTCCTGCAGCGCTGTAGAAGCGAGAGGCAAAGTACGGCCGGCCTTTCCCGGGCACTCTATTGCGGATGTCCTTAGCCATGGCGATCAAGTCAAAGATTGAGCTGTCCATCGCGCTACCAATCTCAATAGGATGAACAGAAGTAAACCAGCCAATGATCTCGGATAGGTCGAAATCGTCCATGCCGGCAACATGCTCACGACCGTGACCTTCAAGAAACACCGGCGGTGGTTTTCGATCGGGAAAGACCCGAGCAAAACAGAAAATGAGCGTTCCCACGAGGATGTCCAGAATATCGGTCCGGAGACTGTCGTTACTGGCACCGAGAAGCAGCGCAGTGGCCTCGGCATCAATCACGGAGATATTCAATATCGAATCCCGAAAGAACACCTCGCCACGCGTCACACCCCAGTACTCGAAATTGGCAGGAGTGACATCAAAAGGCAGAACAGTCGCTGGATCGAGCGTCTCTCCTTCGTCACGCTGCAAGCGACACCATTCCTGAAAGGAGAGCGCCGGTGGTGGGATGTCCTTGGTCCCTGAGAGGTACTGGCTTAACTCATGCCAAACGATGCGCCACGAAACGAGGTCCATCATGACATGATGCGCGCTCATCAGAAGCGTTTGGGCCTCGTGAGGGCTGTTGAATACGTCTACAGCAAAGACAGGACCGTTGACGAGGTCCATGCCCGCCTGTCGCTCGTCGACCACACGCTGCATCGTGGCGCGATCTACATAATCGTGCTGCTGTAGGAGGAACGAGCTGGGTCCTGCCGGCGCAATATACTGCTCCCAGTTTGATTCCTCTGGCCGCTTGCGAAACCGGGCGCGGAGCATACCATGACGGGTTGTGAGGGCCATCAGCGCTCCAAGGAGCTCCTCATGAGTTGTATGCCTCACCAGCTTGACGATGTAGCTGAGGGTGTAATGGTTCATGCCGTTTGGATTATTGTCGAAGAAGATCTGCTGGATCGGCGTCAACGGCCAGCCGTTGCCTTCATCCGCGGAAACGATGTGCCTGTTGACTTTCTGCTGGATGGGCCTGCTGGAACGAGCGACCTGCCGGACAGTCTGCAGCCTCAGAATGTCGGCGACTTTGATGGAAATGTTGTGTGACCGGCAGCGCGAGACCACTTGCATGGCCGTGATAGAGTCACCTCCAAGACGCGTAAACTTCACGTCCAAACCGATCTTGCTGAGAGGCAGATTCAGGACCACGCTCCACACGCCGCGGATTTTCGACTCCACTTCGGACTCTTCCTCTTGCTCCGGCGTGGATGAAGGATTCTTGTTCAGGTGCTGCCAGTACAACGTTTTGCCTCCTTCACGTAGACCTCGACGGTCCACCTTCCCCGTGGGCGTCATGGGCACTTCTTTCATCGCGAAAAAAGCGGAGGGGACCATGTACGGAGGTACAAGCTTCTCCAAACGATCTTCAATCACCTCTAGAGCTCGCTGCAGGATCGGCCCCGCATCCGCCGACGACAGACCGGAGCTGACAGCCATAAAAAGAAACGAGACCAGCGTGGGCACGTCGCTGCCCTCTGGCTTGATCACCTCGGCGATGATCTGCACGTTATGGGCTCTTGCTTCATCCGTCAAGGCGCGCTGGAGATTGTACTCGATCTCCCCGAGCTCCACGCGCTGGCCCCGGATCTTGACCTGCGAATCCTTGCGGCCCACAAACTCCAGATTGCCATCCGGTCTGTACCGGACCAGGTCTCCAGTGCGGTAGAGACATCCCTGGCGTCCGTCGTGCCCTTTCATACCCGACAGACCGGGGCAGCCGCGGAGAAGCCACGGTGGGTTCTCGACAAAGGTAGTGGTGGTCTTCTCGGGGTTTCTGAGATACCCCTGGCCGACGATGGGACCTTCGACCCAGAGCTCTCCGACCTCCCCGATAGGGACAAGATCTGTTCCATCTAGTTTGACGACCCATGTACAAGCGCCCAAACCAGTGCCGATAGTGGGATCATCGTTGCCGTCTGGGTCCGCGACAATGGCCGTACTAACTGTCGAGCACTCAGCAGGCCCATAGGCGTTGATGACCGTTGCTTGGGTCGATAATTCCTTCACAAGCGCCGCCTTGAGCGGCTCTCCTCCGAAATGGAACGTTCGAAGAGATGCAGGGAGCTCGGAGGCCCGGAACCATGCCACGGAGGGTGTAAGGACAGCATAGGTGACCTGGTACTTGCGCAGTGCTCCGGCTAGGTCTCCCTTTCGCTCTTCATCCGACGGAATGCAAAGGCAGCCTCCGACCATCAGCGCATGGATTACGTTACACCAGGCGGCGTCAAAGGCGTACGATGCAAAATCAAAGACGCGGTCAAACTCCCGGAAATCAAGGCCGTTTTGTTGGTGGGCCACGGCGCTGGCGTAGTTCGCATGGCTGATAATGGCTCCCTTGGGGGTCCCAGTACTTCCTGAGGTAAACACTATGTATAGCCAGGCGGAGGACCTGACTTTCGGGAGGGAATCAGGCTGCGCGTCGGGCCAGCGTTCACTCGAAGAACTGTCCAGAGTAAAGCGGATACAGTCCAGACCTAACGCTTCGGCTTGTTCTTCACACTGCGGCGATGTCAAAACCGCTTCGGCTTGGACCAGCTCGGCAATAGATCGCTGTCTTTGCTGCGGGAGCGACGTATCGAGCACCGTCGAAGCGCATCCGCACTTCATGACGGCCAACTGCGCAACGGGGACCCACATGGATTTCTCAATGCAGATTAGGACGATGCTGCCAGCCTGGACGCCTCCATCGATCAGTGCATGTGCCAGACGAGTGGAGAGATCATCTAGCTCGCCGTACGTAAGTTCTCCATCATGAGCTGAAACAGCGGCAAAGGCAGGATGCTGCCGCGCTCGCCGCATAAATGCTTTATGGATGCAGAGATCGACACGCGCGGGAACTCGGGAATTCCATGTCCACACCTGCTGGAGATCCTGAATCGCGATAGCCTTCAAGTCGACCAGTGGCTTGTCCACGCTCTGTGGTAGACACATCTCGCTGACGATGTACTCATATTGTCTCAGGAAGTGCAGGGAAAGAGCCGTCTCCGAGCTGTCATAATTGACTGCCCTGACAGTGATTCTTCCATCTTGTGCATGGCAATCGAGGAGAGTAGTCCCCGAGCCGGCCTGGTCTGCGGTGATGGCAATCAAAAAGCTCGGCCCGTCTCCCGTATCCTGGAGAGATTCTGCCAGCTTCGTCTTGATCTGGTGAGTGAGGTCGCCAATATGCAAGTTCCACCGCACAGGTATGTTAAGAGAACCGATGAATCCACGTTCAGCGGCGAACATGCGCACTTCGCTTCTGCATCCCTGCGAAGCAAGTAAAACAGCTGCTGCAGCGCACGTCTCGACGGTTGTTGCAATCCCAGAGGCAAGTTTTGGGATAGAAATATCGAAGATGAAAGGGTTCTCCTCGTTCTTGTTGGATATCGAAGTGATCAATGAGAAGCCTTCAGAAAGTCGAGCATCCGTCTCCTGAGAGCTGTGGCCGACAAGGGCGACATCTGGGGGTAAGAGTATCATAATGGGAGTATTGCGGTTTGTTTTTGGCCGTTCCTATCGAAAAAAGCAGAGCATGGATTCCTTGTGTCCGATTGACAAGCTCAAGTTATAGTAATATATATGGTCATTTGGCCAGGAAAAAGGAGTACATGGCATGTTCCATGGCCAAGTTCCTATTCCCTTCCCATGATTCCACACTACTTTCACCAAACAGTGCTTGAGCTCGTGGGAAATGCAAAATTTCCCAAGTAGGAAATTGATATTGTCGCTATTCAGCCGATGTAACTATGTAGGCCGACAACCCCCACATGTCGCCCTAGCGCATATAAAGACCCCTGCTCGCCCCAATCATGGATATTTTCGTCTTATTTTGTCGTCAGCCTCCAAAGGTGTTCAATTCTGGCTCCGGACTGAGCGTTACAAGATCCAATCCCCTCTTGCTACGTGGTCGACTCTTTTGAATATCGACACGGAATCAACATAGGATCTGCAAGTTGCCCCTGCCTATATCGAACTATCAAGCTCCCCCTGCGAGCGCCAGAGACACGGCATCGTTTGGCTCTAATTCCATCTGGACCAATTAGTATTCGCTCGGTTGGACTAAGGACTAGTGATGCTACACTACTAAAATGTCGCCTCATCACCCACTGACAGTCGATATTAGATATTACTTCTGTTGGAGTTCCAAACTGCATCTCTTCTTCTGCCTTGATCTCCTGAAAATAACTCATTTCTCTTGCTTTTCTCAATGGCCAAACTGGAAACCAAACCCTCAATGGTCATGGCGTCCAGCGAATCCTCGGCTGGGTCGAACGTGCCTCCACCATGCACGCTTTCTGGCCCCTCTACAGCCACGGAACACGAGTCCCCGGAGAAGCAGTCAGGACGGGCTGTGCTAGATGCGGATGATACCGATCCCTCGCTGCCGCAGAACTGGTCAAGCAAACGCAAGTGGATGATTGTGATCGTCTTGTCCTTGATGTCCCTGATGGTGTACGTCCCCCCAAGTCTGTGTCAGTAAGATTTACTAACGCAATCAGCAACATGTCGCTCGTCATCTGCGCTCCTGCAAGTTCTGCCATTGCTGAGGACTTTGGCAACCATGACAGCTTTCTCTCCGTCATCTACATCACCGTAACAAACCTCGGCCAGGTCATCTCCCCGCTCTATGTCGGCCCATTGTCCGAACGGCTTGGACGCATGCCAGTGTGTCACTTCTTTAACCTCCTGTTCCTCATCTTCACCATGGTTGCTGGCTTCAGTAACAGTTTCCCCATGGTCATTGTGTTCCGGTTCCTGGCTGGCTCATCCATCGCCTCCATTTGCCTGAATCCGGCCATCACGGGCGATCTCTTCGCGATCAAGAAGCGTGGGTCTGCCATGTCCATCACGAGCATGATTCCAATTCTGGGCAGTGCTGTGGGGCCCATAGCGGGGGGTTACATCACGCAGTACCTCAGCTGGCGCTGGACATTCTGGCTGATGGCCATCACCACCGGTGGGGTCTCAATCCTCATGGCACTTGTTCTGAAGGAGTCGTATGTACCAGTAATCCGCAGGAAAGCGCTGAAGAAGGCCAGCCCCAACCGGGAAAGGGTAAGCTCAACCTCGAAATACTTCACGGGATGGAACAGGGCCACCGTCAAGGCGCTGGTTCTCCTTGTGATCCGTCCCTTTGTCATTTTAAGCAGCTCCCGCATTGCAGTGCTCATGGGCCTGTATCTGGCCGTCCTATTCGCCTATATTTCGCTTGTGGCCGCTACCCTTGCCACCATCTTCCAGGAAGTCTACGGCTTCTCCGAGAGTCAATCTGGCCTCGTCTACATAGCGCTGAGTAAGTCTTCCCGCCCTTTTGCTCTAGACGTCTGGTCACTCTGACCGTAACATACTTGCAGCAATTGGCACGCTGAGTGGGGCTTTAATGTGCAACTTCACCCTCGACTACTTCCTACAGCGAGGGCTGCCACTCACCAAGCCCGTCGTCAATGATGGCACTGCCGCCCTGCCCCGTCCGGAGAACCGTCTCATCCCCATCATCCCCGCCATGCTCGCCTTCCCCGTCGGCCTGCTCCTTTACGGCTGGTCCCTCCAACAGCGCTTCCACTGGATCGTGCCAACCATTGCGACGGTCCTCTGCGGCTTTTCGCTGTCCAGTAGCACCACCCCAATCATGAACTACTTGGTCGACGTCTTTGGCGACCGGGCCGCCTCTGCTGTCGCTGCTGTGCTGCCTCTGCGCTACATCGCGGGGGCCTTTTTGCCTGTTGCCGCGCCTTACATGTACGCCACGCTCGGTTACGGTTGGGGCAATTCTTTACTGGCGTTTGTGCTATGCGTCGTGGCGCCTATACCCCTGCTAGTGATAGTCCAGCCGCAGCGGATGAGGGCGCTGACAGAGGTGCGGTCGTAGAGTCCTTTGTTACAGCTTTTCCTGTCAATTGATGATCAAGCACAGTCCAGTGGATAGCTGCCATGCAGGCATTGGGGCAGGTGGTGAATATACTAACTTCGGGAATGATTGTACGTCGCACTATCGAATATCAGGTGTGTAAATGGACTGAGCAACCATCTCTACCTGATTCAGCAGCGATTTTTCAGGGGGATACGAACAATTTTTACTTGTGCCATGGACTCATAGACTCATAGACTCATGGTAGATAGGCCTTTCCTACCGCACTAAAAATACAAGAGTTAGGGGCTGAGCTAGCCTGCTAGGGCTTACGAGCTTATCTAGCGTTAACAGGGATCATCCTCGCTCTATATTTCTATTTGCTGGATCAAATATCTATTGAGCTTACATGTCTTGCCTTGCCCGGTCCTCCGTAGTACCTCCGCCTACCGTTACATTAGTCTCTTCGCCATTGGAAATCCCGCTGCCAGCCGCGTACTTTTGTCTGACCGAGGTCCTCTATATTATTATATTGGTACAAGGCGAGGCCTGCGATGTTTTCGTAGCCAAGACCTGATCCGATAGAGACAAAGTGGACTTGGCATTCAGCCAGCAACCCCTATCCAACATTGTACCCAAACATGCAAGCAGCTGCAAGCACGGAGTCTACTTGACTCTTAGCTATACATTCTTTAATTTATGAATCTTGTGCTGCGTTGTATCCCTAGATCGGGAAACCGTACATGAATCATGACCTCTGCAGACATCATCAGCGAAGCTGAAGAACTCGACGATGTTTCCGAATCGTCTCCGCTCCTTAGCGACCAAGTCGTAGATGTGCACACCCTACCTCGCAGGCTTAAGCGACGCATCATCCTGCTCCTGTGCGCTTTTGCCTTTATGATGATGCTCGGCGACAGCCTCCAGCCAGCAGCACTGAGTCAAATCTTCGAAGACATCATCTGTGATGACCACTACAACAAACACCTTTCCTCAAATATCAACGCTTCCGCAACCCCCGCGCCGGCTGATCCATGCAAGACACATCCGGTTCAGAAAGAGCTCGCGCTGGTACGCGGCATCCAGCAGCTGATGCCTACCTTCGCAGCGCTGCTATGCACCGTGCCATACGGCCTGCTGGCAGAGCGAATTGGGCGCAAGCGCGTCCTCATTCTGAGCGGTACCGGCGCATTTGCCTCGCTAGCTTGGGTGCTGGCTGTCTGCTACTGGCGATTTGGTTCGATTCGCCTGGTCTGGCTGTCGGGCGCCTTTCTCTTCATCGGCGGCGGGGATGCCGTTGCCTCGAGTGTCGTCCATGTCATGGTAACCGACACTACGGACCAGGCTGAACGCGCACGGATCTTCCTCTTTCTGCACGCGGCGGACGTGATCTCAGGCTTCTTCGGGCCGGCTATCAGTGCCGCGCTGATGGAGAAGGGAGATGCCTGGACTGTCATGCTACTTGCCCAGGCCGTACTCTTCTTGGGCACATTTCTGCTCACGCAATGTATCCCGGAAACGCTGCGCTTGAGGGACAAGTTGTCTGGCGGCTCGCTGACGTTCACTCCGTCTCAGCTGGCACCTTCGAGTCCTCCCGAAACAGCCCACCCAGTACCTTTAGGTACAAGGTTGGATGGGGTTGCTCGCGTGTTGTCCTCACCCCAATCTGTGCTGGCCCGAAACCGACAAGCCCTCTTGCTGCTGTTCGTTTTCGCTCCACAGACCGCAGCCCGGGACCTCTTCACGATGGTCGGCTTGCAATACTCTAGCTCAAAGTATTCCCTCTCCTACAGCCGGGGGAACGTGCTTCTCTCCCTCTTTCAAGGCGCACAAGGCTTCATAGCCCTTGTGATCCTCCCCTTAATCACCCGTCTAGTTGCTGAGCCGCGTGGCTGGACTGGCTGGGCGCGCGACCGTTTCTACGCCATCATGTCCATTGCCGCAACGGCCTCGGGCCTGATGGTCGTTGCTGTTGCACCCTCGTTGGCGACTGAGGTTGTCGGGCTGCTACTTGTGGCGGTTGGTAGTTGTACAACCGGATTGTTGATGAGTTTGTTGGGCGAAGCTGTCCAGCCAAGCCAGGTGAGTACGGTGTATAGTGTGGCATTAATGCTGAGCATTGCGGTGCGCGGGGCGACAGGGCCCTTGATGAATGGGCTATTTGTGAAGGGGCTGGAGCTGGGCTGGAGCTGGATGGGCCTGCCATTTGCTGTGACGGCGGTCCTAATGGCAGGCGTAATGGTGATGAGCACATTCATACAGGCAGAGGAGAGATGGAGGCAAAGACAAGTAACCAAAAGGAGGCTTAGAGATGAATAATGAACATATGTATATACAATTCACTGGATGTACTCGACCCTACATCCCGCAGCGGGTCAAAATCACAGGTGAATAGGGCCGCCGGTGGCAGGTTACGAAGATCATCAACGCTCTGCATACCTGGGCTCCTGAGATGAATGCTCACTAACATATCCTCTTCACTGGATCACCAACTCCATCATTGTCGAGGCCACACCTATTAGTATAGGAAATTTAGTCTGGACTGTCCTGCTGCCGTGGTCATATTGATGCAATGATCATATCTCATCATGCTGTATCCAGCCCTGGTACTTTATCCATACTTGCTTCTGGATCTCATCCAATGCAGAACGAGCTGCTCCAATGGCAGCCAGCCCAGAATCATACACTGTCCCGCCGATGACATCGATCTGGTCTCCAAGCGCTTGCTGGACTGCATTCTTAACCAGGTGACCATCGTGACCGGCAGTCAGAATAACCAGCTTATCGATCCTTTGTGGGATTCCATCGTCCTTGTGCGTCTCATCCATGTGGCATTCTATTCGCCGTCAGTGATAGACTCCTACATAGCCATCTGGAGGAAGGAAAGACTAGCCTCTTAATGAAGTCAAATGAGTCACGATACTGGCCGCCAGGCTATCCACGTAAGCCTTTTCGACCGCTTGAATATCCTTCCACGTAAGAACAGCCTTCACCTCCTGAAAGTCCTGATACCCCCAGCCTGTCAAGTCAAGCGGCCATTCATCATGATATCTGTCGTTTTCGCCGACTCCTTCCGCCCCGGTATTCTCGGCGCTGCTCCGAATGTTTAAACGAGCTTGCTTTATTGGCTCCCAGAGATCGCTCTCCCGCGCTCCAAGGGAGATCTGGAATCTGAGAGCTTCAGAGCCCATGACCAAATGACTGGTCAACTGTTGGTCAATGATCTCAGTGCCCCACTGATCCATAGGGAGATATGCCTCTCGCATACCGGCGCACCTGTCGGTATTATACGTTCGCGAGTCCAGGTAGAACTCCCCCAAGTCCAGGACCAGGTATCTTATGTCGGGATTGGCGACCTGGGTCTCCTGGCTTTGATTGAACGTGGCGAGCACTGTCCGGTCCTGTGGTCCACGTGAGAGGCTGATTTCGGCTTCCCAGCACGCCGTCCACACGAGGTCGGCGAGAGTGCTGTTGAAAAACTGGGGAATCCCGACTGTGGCGGATTCAATGTCGATATCATGGTTATTCTGTGCTTGAGCTTTGAGCTCGGTCAGGACGGAGACGAACTCCGCCTTGATATCGTCTAATGTTAGAGCTGTCGACGGGGAAGAGGAGTTGTTGAGTCCTAGAAATACCATCACTGCATGAACAGTGGCCTTCACGGCACCAGATGCTGCTTGAAAAACATCTGACCTGCTGATCATTTGTTGGACTGATAGTGAAACCTGACTGTGAATACTAGAAACAGCTAGTTTTACTCTTGCCGCCACGGCTTTGGTAATCCACGGGATCAGCTCAGCGCTCTCATACATGGCGGCTACATTGTTCTGTATGTAGGCTTCCTGACGCAGGTGACGCATGTGGATGGCATACTTGTCATTCCGTCTGGGGGCAACCTTGGCAATAATTGAGACATTATCAGATGCGTACGCATATGCAACCGTTCTACCACTCAGTAAGACACTGGCAACCGTGTGTGTCATGAACCAGGAGCACTGACATGATCTCAGGGCCGAAATCGATTCCAATAGGTTGGGCCTCTCCGCTGGCTCTCACTGGGAGTATGAGGCAGTAGACAAGCACCAGGATGGCAGTCAACCTCTTTTGGAGGGACTGCATGGATGTGTTCTTGATGTTCCCGTCCTCAGTTGAGATATTGTGGAGGGTCTTTTTGATACTTTAATAGTCTTTCAAAAGTGCCAAGATCTGCCAAGCTGATAAACCTGGAGTTAAACTGAAACATGGCCAATTAACCTGAGCTGGAGGTCATGAACTAAGCAATAAAGGGGTAGCACGCTCTATAAAAAGCATTTGAGGATTTATCATAAATCAGAATTGTTTCTGCAGTGGATGACTAGTACATCATACAAAAGCAATAAAGCTTGTATTGCTAATTTGCTCCTTCGCTGCAATGTAATGGAAACTCTGGGCTAAGTCAATTCTGTGCTGCTATGTGTCAGATAACGTCTGTCAATCCTGCCTAAGATGGAGATCTTAAGGTACTCTTTGTTTTTCTTTCATTATTATCAAACCAGGGTGAAAAATTATCAATCCCTTCTCCAGCTCCAACACCTGGAAGCCCCAAGTCCAGACTCCCAACATTTTCTCCCCTTCTGGGTTTGGATCAGACCGGATCATATCGGGCCGCCCCGGCCCGGCCCGGACAAAATGCCCTTCAGGGACGACCCACGGGTCCTGAGAGGCTCCCCTTCTCCTCTAAATGCCATAGGTGTCCATGAAGTGCGGGTTGAATTGCGAGTATCCAAGCACGTTGTTATGGCTGCAGCAAGAAATAGTGAAAGTGGAAAGATCTTATGGCACTGCTCCTGGACTGCCGAGGAGATCAGATCCAGATCACAGAGGGTGTGGCCACGGCAGCAGCCCGCGATGGATATGGCTAGGCTTGGCTTAATAACTTTTATTTGGCTGTCATGTAGTGCTTAGGGTGAATAACTAATCCTACTCTACACTAGTTAGTTCAGGCAATGATTAGTTAAGTAAACAGGGACTATCTAGAGGGCTCTAGGACTGCTTAAGGAGTGCTTAAGGCATGCACTTTCTCTCTCTATTTATAATCCAGCTGGCTCAGTGAGCAGAAAGCAGCGCCACTTTGGACTGAATCTGGAAATGGAAAGTCTTACAGTTTCCACAGAAAAACAATTCAATAGTATACTATTTTAACAATAACTTCTGACAGTCTTATGGCCCCAGATGCCAGGATTATATCATGTGATATCAGCTTGACCCCTCTCATGACTCAGATCGATTAGGATCATCTTCCCCATCGAGCACCTTGATTTGAACCGCAAGAGCATTATCTCTTGGAATGTCTTCTGTAGCGCCCAACAGCTCGCTCTCCCTCTCCACTCGTCTCCTCTGCTACCTGGGTCCTCCATCCGCCCTTCTGCTCATAGCCACCACATCTCCGAAAGCCGCCCTTCTCTCCCCTCTAAGCCTAGTTCCAACGGCCGTGTTCTACAGGACATGGAGAAAACGCCGCAATGCCTCTCCCTCTCGACACGCGGAGCTAGAACCACTCCTCTGGACTTTCACCTTGAGCGGCACCCTCGGTTTAGCCGCCGCCGCAGCTGTCCAAATGGGCATTTGCCAAGCCATGAGCGCCGTCCTCTTTTCCTCCGACGAGCTACGCACTGAATTCTGGACTGAATTCGGTCGTACAACCATTGCTGGGTTAATAGAGGAGCAACTCGGTCGTCGGGCCGAACTAGCTTCCTCGTGGCAGAACTGGGTTTTCAACGGCGCTTTGACCTATCTTGCCGCGGGATTAGTCGAGGAAGTCCTGAAATATATCCCGGTCATCTATGCGCGACGGAGAGATGTCACCAAGAAACAACGCCGCGAAAGGGCGTACATTGACTACGTTCTTGCCGGTGCATTAGGCTTCAGTGTCGTTGAGAATATTGGGTTCATTTATACAGCCTGCGAGGGAGGCCAGGAGAGCTGGCCTAGATTACTGCTAACCTTCGTCGAGAGAGTGGTGCTGGGACAACTAGGGCATCTTTCTGTGGCTTGTCTGACGGCATTGCGGGCTACGCGGAGGGATTATTTTGGGGACTCATTAGGGTTGTGGGGAGTGATTGGTCCCGCGGTATACTTTCATGGGACGTATAATTTTGCGGTCATGAGTGCCAGTGCTATGGAGGGGAATGTGGGTTGGATTCATCCAAAGGGGCTGCGGAATTCAGTGCTAGTCCTTGGGTTGGTTTCGGGGATCATTGGGCTGGCCGTTCAGAAGGTGAAACGGGAATGGAAAAAGGTGAAGAAGTATGAACATGACCATTCAAAAGATGGCAAGAGGCAGAAATAGTATGCCTTCCTCATACTGGGGGCCAACCTCTCTGTGATGTAGGTTGGCGCATGGTATGTATATTAGTAACATCTCCTATCATGATGATTCTCAAACAGAGAGAAGGATTATACTGCCTCAGTGAGTCTGATATTATTCTTTAGCAGCATCTCCTGTTACTATATTTGATAGTGAAGCGAGGGATTCGCTGGATTTGCTCAGCATCGACTGTATGAAAAGAATCCGGCAATCCGAAATAATGAATGATGAGTAGTTTAATATGACATAAGTATGTAAGCAATAGCAGCCATTACGATCATATCCCTAATGTATTATCACTGGTTAGTCCTGTAAGTTCAGTTGCATAGCTACCGACAGTATTTCAGTCTTATGTGATGCTCTGGAACTGTTTCAGGGAAATGGAAGGGGTAGCATCAGGCTCATCTGATAGCACTATTAAGATTTGGGACACAGCCACGGGCAAATGCATGCAGACTCTTGAAGGACATGAATCAGTCGAGTCAGTAATCTTCTCAAGAAAGGGAGATCTACTTGCATCAGCCTTAAGTGACTACACTATCATAATCTGGGATGCAGTCAAGGGCAAACGTATGCAGACACTCAAGGGACATGAGTACCCAGTTACATCAGTAGCCTTCTCAATGGCCAGTGATCGACTAGCATCAGGCTCAAATATCAGTCAGATCAAGATCTGGGACACAGTCACGGGCAGATGCATGCAGACACTTGAGGGACAAGGTTATGATTATTCGGTTGAATCTGTAGCCTTCTCAGCAACTGGTGAGCGACTGGCATCAGGCTCATGGGATGGTGTCATCAAAATCTGGGAAACGGCCTCGGGAGATTGCGCGTGGAGAATCCAGGGCCACAGTCATTCAATCAAGTCAGTAGCCTTTGCAGAAAGCGGTGATGACCTTGCATCGGGCTCCGACGATTGCACTATCAAGATTTGGAACACGGCCACGGGGGGTTGCATACAGACGCTCACCATCGGCACTTCCATAAGCCACCTACTTTTTGATCCTACTTCTACATACCTTCTCACTGAAATTGGGCGTAGTAGGGTTGATCTACTTCCCTTTCCAGCAGTGACTTCACAGGCTAGAGATATGACCGACACTCGGGCTACTGCTCCAGTCAGCGATTCAGTTGTCCACTACACGGAGACAAAGGTTTACGGCTACGGCCTGAGCCCGGACCATATCTGGATTGCGCGTGATGGTCAAAATTTCCTTTGGCTACCGCCAGAATTCAGGCCCATGTGCTCTGCCGTACAGGGTCAGATGGTTGCCATCGGTTGTCAATCGGGCCGAGTCCTCATTTTCGGCTTCTCGCCAGACGCATATGCCGCTGGCAATTAACGGTACCAGCGGTGTGGTATTTACACAGAAGAAACAATGCCTGTTTTGTGAGTTGCATGTGCTTTAACCGGGCCGCAAGACGTAAAAGGTGCAGTCAGACAAGCCCTCGCTTGTTCGACCTGTTTGCATGGAATCATCGGAATTCAGATGGAGAGGTTACAATGTCATTAGTTCCGGCCCTCGAAATGTAACTTGAACAAAGTATACTCTGAGTAAGACCCCGACACCAGTTTCGTTTCGAAGTGTAACTGCTCAGGAATGAGCTATAGGATATGGTACGACAAGACCTATAAAGCAGCAGTGAAAAGGGTGAAGAGAGGCTGGAGAGACATGAAGGAAAATAAAGTCTAACTACCAGGTTATAAAAGCTTAAATCTACTCCTAAGTTCTGATTGCCAATCCGTCTATGCCAGCCTGAATGAATTACTGACGCGTTGACTCCTGGAACTCCCCTCATAACCACAAAACATCCACTGACTTATTCGCATCTCTATCACATTCTCCATAATAAAATTCAGAGAGAATGACACTGCATGTGGGGGAGGGACTAATAGCCTGTGTTTAGGGTGATGCGACGAGGAGATACAGACGATATGGACGGTGGCTTAATACAGCCTCAGGAACTATACGCCTTGCGGGTATATCATTCCAGGTTAATTTATTGGTAACTATACTTACATCTGTAGAATGTGTGCTTCTTTCGCCGTGTAAAGAGGAAATATAGCAGCGATATACCGTAACTGATTGAAGGCAGTGATAGAGGCGATTTATATGTAATACAGAACTGGCCCGCTGGCTTCATGGCGTCGCAGATCTAGGAACAATGACCAGATATAGCTATCGATGTTGTATCCTAGTACACAAAGTCCCTATCACCCACGACCAGAAATATAAAGAAGAACCAGTCGGAGAGAAACATTCCTAGTCAGATTCAGCTCCGGGGTAGAGTGATCCCACTGAGCATCTTTATCTGCATCCCCTCCTACACCTCGCACAACAGCCTCCTCCACATCGGTTGCAACATCTAGAAATCTGGCAGCAGTTCGGTTGGCACCGGACCACACCTGGATACCCCATCGGCTGAACGATGCGACTGTTGGTACCTCGACCATTCTGTTTATCCATACTCAATCCTTAATGCACTGCTGGCACATATGATGAGCATATGGACCTCGCATCACCCGTGGTACGGCAGAGATGGGGCTTACCTCGTCCCGTGTCACCGGTCTGACGGCAGTTCACCGGGACTTGAACTGGGGAAAGTGAACTTGCTTGTTGCATCTGGGAAATGATGGGGACAAGGAGTTAATGCGGTATATTTTAACGTCGATCGAGGGGAAAGAATGATACTGACTGGCACAGTGTTGCGGTGTCGACATGGCCTATGGAAGGGACATGGGGCTGCATGATGCCGAGACGCTGCTCAAACTCTCATTCCTTTAGCCTCGGTGGTCAATTGCCCCCCCACCACCTTCATTCAACTAAAGCCGGTGGCACAAATCGAGGATGGCGCGGTAGAGCTCAAGTATCATGTTGGCACGAAGGGGAGCGGAGTCGGCCAGGCAGTATGGCCGGATGATCCCATGACTCCTCGAAAATTCAATAGTGCTTTCCATTGCGACCATATCGACTGACTGGCACATATGATCTGACTATGAGATGAGATTTTTCTTCAATACTTTATCTGAGTCAAGACATCTCAGGGTTGCTAATAGTTGATGGCGCAGATGTGATGAGTTGGCAACTCTTTTCAGCTCGCCATGTTCTGACTGCTTTTCGCCCATCGACTACAGACCATTGTGCCGATTGCATATTGCATTACCCCTTCCTTGTCAGAAGGCCTGGTACAATATTCCGCTCCTTTGAAAGTTTTTTGCGCATCGGTGATCAAATCGAGATGGCAATGGACAATTTGAACTGAGATATCCGCCAGCTGCATGTTTTTCACAAGGCATGTGCGCAAATGAGCCAACTAATGCGGGCCAAAAGTATCGAAGTAATAGTCTCAACGAATTGCTATTTCGTTTCGTATCTGTAGATTATCTGAGGACACGGGAGGGGGCTTCGGTTAAGAAGGTCAATGCAAGAAAGGAGATGTAGGACAAGGATTGTTGGGTCGACGCCCGAGGAGATAGCTGATCAGGCTGAAGAAGGAGGGGCAGATCGATGTGAGTGACACCCGTCCATGCCGACTGTTGTACTTGGCAAGAATGGGTCCTATAAGAGACGAATAAGACATGGCTAAAGATACATGGATGGCACGGCCCGTAGTGGAACAAAGAGGGTTGCTCCCGCTGTGGTTCGCTCTAGGCCGCGCTCATTGAAATGACAAGGGCGAATTAGTCCGGTCGTTCGGCAGGCAACTTGCCAATCCCGACGAGTCTAGGACCACATCAAGAGATCATTGGGTGCTGGTGGGAAGGCGAGCAGAGCTATCGCCGCAGATGCAGATGTCATAAGAGGGAATATTCTGGGCATACATATATGCAGTCTATGCCCGTCCCGCTTCTCCTTGGACAACTCTTGATCAGTGCCAATCACATCACCAAAATGACGCTATTGACATCCTCTTCGCTGCTACTGACTCTGGTTGGTACTGTCTTCTATTTTCTTGTACAATCGATCTATCGTCTCTTCTTCCACCCATTAAGCAAATACCCGGGTCCGAAACTGACCGCAATCACTTTCCTCTACGAGTTCTACTACGATGTTATCAAAGGGGGCAAGTTCCTCTTTCAAATCGAGAAGATGCATGAGAGATACGGTAATCTTTACTCCAAAGCCATACAGATTGTCTCTCACACTTCCGCCAGGCCCAATCGTCCGGATCAATCCTCGTGAACTACACATCAAGGATCCCTCGTTCTACGACGAGATTTACGCCGGTGCAGCCCACAAACGCGACAAAGACCCGCAGTTCGTTCCTATATTCGGCTCTCCCTTGTCTGCCATCGCCACGGTCAACCATGACCACCACCGATTCCGCCGAAACATTGTGAACAACTTCTTCTCCAAGAAAGCCGTCACAGACCTCTCTCCTGTCATCGAAGAGAGAGTCCTCAAGCTAATGCAGCGCTTTCAAGAGGCATACGACAGCAAGTCAGCGATACAGGTGGATGCTGCCTTTGCAGGGCTCACTGCAGATGTGATCACCCACTACGCATATGGTAAACATTGGGGGTTCCTCGAGGACCAGGACTTTCGCAGTGATATCCGGGCAGCAACAAGCGAGGGCGTGAGCGCTGTGCATTGGGTTCGCTTCTTCCCGATACTGGTGACGGTCTTTCGTACGATCCCGACACAGGTAATGAGTCTCATTCAACCGGGCAAAACCGCCTTGTTTGAATTCCAAAAAGCCATATTCGATCATGGCGCTCAGTCGCAGTTCAAGCGCGACGAAAGCCCCAGGACTATATTCGACAGACTGACGGACCCCTCCATTCCGCCGGAAGAACGAACACTCGCTCGTGTGCAGGATGAGGCTTTCATCATCCTTGGGGCGGGCACAGAGACCACTGGACGGACCTTGGCCATTGCCACGTTCTACATGTCGAATGAACCGAGAATCTGGAAAAAGCTGCAGGATGAGTTACGGTCGAATGTTTTGCCTACGCCGAGCAGCACGACGACATGGGCTGAGCTGGAAAAGTTGCCGTATCTGGTATTCTCATGACCTCAACTGGAGATGTGGCAACTGACTTTGCACAGAACGCAGTAATCAATGAATCCCTTCGTCTGTCCTACGGGCTTGTCATGCGCCTTCCAAGGATTGCCCCGACGGAGACTCTGAAGTACAAGGACTATGCGATTCCCCCCGGGGTGAGATGTCCTTCTTTTCTTCTTCAGTATTGTACTGACAATGATAGACTCCCGTAAGCATGTCCGCATACTTCGTTCATCGGGACCCATCGATCTTCCCCGATCCCCAGATCTTCAGGCCGGAGCGCTGGATGGAAGCTGCGGACCAGCCGGACCGTTTGACCAAGTATCTGGTGGCGTTTAACAGGGGGACCAGAATCTGTTTGGGCATGAAGTAAGTTATTGTCATCCAAATGCAAAGAATGGGACGTGTTACTCATAGTTGCAGTCTCGCATATATCGAGCTTTTCATGACCATCGCTTACATGGTCCGTCGGTTCGACATGGCGCCGTATGAGACAACGATGGAGGATATCCGGATCGTGCGTGACTATGCGATGGGGTTTCCCAAACATGGGGAGCTTACGGTGTTTACAGAGGTGACAAATGTACTCCAGGAGTAGTTATCATAGTGCTTTGAGGTCTTGCTTGTTCTTACAACGAGCGAGCTTATGTGCTATGGATCGATGTATGGAATTTAGGAAGCTTCTATCCATAGACTCCCCTGTCCCTACGCTTTCAGGCTAGGGTGTTCGTTCCTGCATCCATTCAAATAGTATCCATGTACCAGTGATTGCGAAGCATGCCCTTATCAAGACTGAAATATCACAAGAGCCAGTGTGGTTCAAGCCGTCAACTCCATTGCCCATTCACGTTCAATACATATCTTGACCGCGAGAGAAATCGTACAGCGTCGAGGTTCCGCTGACGCAGTTCCCGCATGTAGTTCTTCTGCTCTGGGGATATATCGCGGACAACAGGAGGTGGGGTTTTGTCCATCATTTGCTGGATGCCGCAGGACATCATGAACAGGATACAGAGCCCCAGAATGGTAAGCATGACGATTAGAGTCCCGTGTCCGCCCTCGTTGGGGTCTTTGGCCATTGTGGTAGATTGGCCGTCCTTGATTCGCTGTGGAGGACAGTGAGCCGATTTGCTCTATATTGTCTGTTAAATGTTGCTGATTTCGACAACAAAACTGCCTTCTAGACGAATGAAATTGGCTTGATATTAGCAGATGAACGAAACAGCTCAAGAACTAAAAGATACCCAGTACCACAGTCAAAACTTGTAATTGCTTCAACGCTCACGCACAAACTCTGGTAGTAAGGAATGACATGGTTTTCAACATATGTACTTCCTCGAGTCCGGCGCAGAGAGACAAAGACGCGGCATGGCGGGTGGATGTTCCCGGCATATCAATCAAGACCTTCCTTGTCGATATGTTCAATAATATGAAGCATCTAGGCGGGTCCTTATGATATCTCCGCTCTTTCACCAATCTTAGAATCAGAATGCGGACATTGCTTGTATCGAGTTGGAGTCATTTAAACCCCTCAGGACTGATTAGCTGCAAGCAAGGATTATGCTTAGTTTGTGCACCGCCATTCGCTGATCATGACTCGCCCGCATAAAGCCACTCCTGAGGTGTCTCAGGTTGTTCACATCCATTCGTGCATCAGCAACCTCTGACTCGGTGACACCGAGGACCCTGTAGACTGGATCAAAGCAACTGAAAGTGACATATCGGGATGGTCACTGCGTGCCTGGTGCGTTCCCATTTTTAGTGTCCAATTCTATCCAGGCTGATTGCAGGGGCTTCGGTCAGTCGGTTTAGCCGTCATGTACGTTGCTACCTCCATTTTTAGTGCTTATCTATCCTTCAATTATGGAAATTGAAAATAGAAGTAGCGGATGCGAGAACTGATATTTGTTTGATCTCCCCCCTTATTTTCTAGCCCTAATTTTTGAACCTTGAGCTACCCGCCAAAGATATCCGATGTTGAATTCTCTCTGAAGTTCAGAAACTTTAGGATGCGGCTCAATGACCAAAGCCGATGGCTCGTCTAGTCATGGCAAGGAGTGTGTCACGACCGAAAGACTTTACCCGGATGTCTTTGATAGTGGTCCTTCCAGGGTGCTGTTTGACTGTTTGACTGCTCTCAGTTTGTCTCATTTTGGCAGAGACCAACTCCAGACATTGTGTATAGTGATGTTTATGAATGAAGACTGAACGCACTTCGAACTCGCCCGGATACGCCTTCTTTGATACAGGGCCTCGAGACCTGCGAGGCTCCCACGGTGGGACTACAGGCATACATATACTTTCTTTGTCCTTGTTTGTCAGAATGTCTTCGAGAACAATGTGCCGGTGACAGACTGGTTGGAGGTATATTTTCTTTGTTGCTGAAACACCACTTTACCTTTGACCATTCTCCAGGACAAAAGAGAATCACATCAAAGGTAGGACGGCTCTGTCTCACTTTGTGTCTTTGAGCCCTACCATCGTTCATTGGTTGCATCGTCGAGGAAGACAAGCCATCGACTCTTCTTCAATATCATCCGACGGATTCGACCTCAAAGACGGATGTTGCCGAGTCCGTCACTGCAATTTGACTCACTTTTCTTTGACACATCTCAGTGAAAGACGGTCGGGGTAATTGCCACGATGGATGATCCAAGTCGGCCTATATAAACCAGTTACACTCCAGAGAGATCGTTTCTTCCTCGAGAAATTCATCCATACAGCACGATGGCAGACTTCGAATTCAGACACCACGCAGCCAACAAGGAGTTGGTCTGCTCAATTTCCCGCCTTCTTAACGCCCATGGAATTCCCAATCTCCTTTGGGGCGATCTCGTCTTCAATCTCTACGGAGTACCCCTCAAAGTCTCGGTAAGTATTAACCCCCAGACTTACAGCTTACTCTTAACTAACCAACACCCGCAGGACTTCAGTTTCCTCGTCCCCGATGATCTGATCGATGAAGCGCGCGATGTCCTAGAGGCAGCCAAGTTCCCCCTCTGCCATCTCGGCCAGACATGCCACGCCATCCAGCCAAACCGCCCCGCCCCGCTCCCCTGCGCACACTTCAACATCAAGCAGAAAGGCGATCCAAACAGATGGTTCAGAGTAGAACTGCACAGAAAGTCCGATCTGCTCTGGAGGGCTCCGGAGATCCCAGCCTGCACTCCCGACGACGACGATCCGCACTACATGCTCGGCGACGATGCCAGGCTGCCAGAGTACTCGCCGCGAGAGCGTCTCGGCCGGATGGACCCCTCCGACTACCCAGTCCAGATACCGACGCCGAACCAGTACGCGGAGGCGCTGGCCATGCTCTACTACCGCGATGGGGTGCCGGGGCCGACCAACCGGGGAGGCTACTGGTTGGATTTACAGAGCGAACTTGTCCAGACGGGGCTTGTGCAGCTGGACGACCTGCCTCCGCGCATTAAGCGGCACTATGAGCTGGTGCTTAAGGCGGACATGAAGACGGTGCGCAGTTACAGCGAGGAAGTCGCGGGGCAAATGAGAAAGGAATTCGAGCTTCCGCTCCGTCTGCTGCCGCTTGATACGGATACGTTTGAGCCGGCGGCGGCGGTGGAGGGGTTTCTTTAAGGAGACATAGTTGGATATGTTGCAGATTGTGTTTATATGTAACAGTTTGATTTAGTTGACCCAAGTCATTCACTATGATGTTGATTATGGTATTTGCCCGCTGATTCTCTTCTAAGCGATAGGGCTTTTATACAGGAACTGCTCAGCACCTTTCTCTCACATACGGAAAGGTTAATCAACAGGAAGCCGCGAAATGAACCTCGACAACAGCGATTCACTCTAGAAGAACGTCCAGGCTTCCCAAATACGCGGTTGAACGGATTCATCCATGGTAGACACAGAGGATATATTAAGATTAAATCATAGGATGGTCGTAAGAATCGTAGATGAGAATGGAAGGAACGGCAAAACAGACAAGCGCGTCCTGAACCTGAAAGCCTGTGATAACGTACCACAGACGTATAGGCCCGAATCTGAGCAGGACATCTGAATAATATCCCATCTAGATGATCCATTGCACCACCCCTAATCCAAAGATCGTACCAACGAGCCCCCTCATAATATCCCCGTTCGAAACCGCCAGCTGAACTGCCGCATTGGAGGTATTTGCGCTCGCTGCACTCGAGGTCGTCGAAGACGCACCGCTCGAGGTTCCAGAGGTCATTGTCGCAGCTGGGCTTGTCGCCGCTGTCGTCTGAATAGTCATCGATTCGCCGTCATCGCTGCCACTCGTCGAGGCTGTCTGACTCGGCGAAGTCGGGAACGTCGTGGCAACTCGGCTGACGGATTTCCCTGTCGTGGCGGTGGCCGAGGTTGTCGTTGACGAAAGACTCACGACCTTGAAGCCGAGCAGATCCTGGGAAGATTCCTTGGAGAAGACATCGGTCGCCATGCCTGCTTGCTTGCCGGAGCACTCGTTGTTCGTGAAGAGGAGCATGTTGATACCCTTCTCGCCCTGAGAGTCAATCTTGAACAGATGGCCCTTGGGGTTATCGATCACGATACAGTCGCTGGGGCCATGGCCCGATTGGCTCTGCTCTTTGTTGTCGGAGTCGGTCCATGTTATTTCCCATGCTCCTGTGGAAGGAAACAGAGAGAGTGTGGAGATTGCCAGAGGAAGAAGAGTCGACCACTTCATTTTGGCGTGTTATAGAGTGGATAGTGGAGAGGACGTGGTTTTGGTGGAAAGTTGACAATCACAAAACGCAGACGAAGATTGTTCGGTCCCGCTGAGCGTGTCCTCCGTTTCTTATGATCAATCCCCACGGGCCTTTTGGTGCAGTCTCGATTTCTCGTTTCCCCAATTCTGGGGCTGGACGCGCAGATCCTCGTATTCGATACACAAAGAACCAGTCAAGACGGAAGCACGCAGCCACCGTCCTTGGCAGAGAGCCATAATGTTTGACAGATACAAGCCAAGGCTGCATCAGGAACAAGGCCAATATCCCTGGCGAATGGCAACAAAGAAATGCTAGGAGTAATTTCGTTCGACCCTGATGGCTGACTTGGCGTGGAGGTTCGCTTGCTGCAAGAAGCGGGAAGTGTCAATTGATTCCAAGGGTGTCGATCGAATATTCGGCCAGGTATGGCGAGATACTGAAGTTGATGATAAATATCTATGAAGCACTGTCAAAGTGTAAAGGGGGCCAGGATTTTTTCGTAGATAGATAATATGGAACGACGAGGATATCATCGCGTGCTCCGTACCTTGCTGACATTTAAGATCCATGACTTCGAATTACTACAACCTCATAACCAGATCTTCAGCCTCATAACGGACAGCACTGATTTGCATGGTGAAGCCAACTGGGAGAGCCATTTCTTCATCCCACGGAGAAGTATTCCACAATCAAGCACTGGCTGATGCGGGAGACCAAGGCTTGTTTGCGTGCAAAAACGCAGGATCAGCAGCTACCCTGTGTTGACCTTGACTATTCTAATGTGTTAGCTCCAGTCTGAACGTCGTCATTGAAACCAACCTGGCGTTTTACCAAGAGTGCATCTTACAGTGGCATGGTGAAGAGAGTAGGCCGAAGTCAAACTCAGCCTACTTTGGAGTATTGATTTACGCTCCATCATGGAATGAGTCGTCGACGAGCCAATAACGTCATGTTATCCAAAAGTGTTCATGTACGCGTCTATATATGTGGTTCTCTTGAATTAGGATTGAGTCGCAACCCTGCAACATCAGGTATTCTCACGATTTGTTGTGGATGGTAGAAGGTAAAGAGACAAGGTGTTCGCATTGATAGACGCACATACTTGTCAATTGATGATAATGCCTAGTTCGACTACCACCTGCTTGACCAGAAGCATATGGTAGTGGGCAATAGAGCTTACTGAGGGCTCGTGAGAAAAAAACGTTCAGGATTGCCGATGGCAATCGCGTCACTTTCTTTGCCAGGAAGGCAATCAATTGCTACAACATGGTGAGTTAGTGTCTTGAACTCGGATTCAGCAGCTAAATATGAGAGAGATTTGTTTTCAGAAATGAGCACAGGGATAGAATGAAGGTGTATGGCTTCGGGAGTTGTTCTGCATTCCAACATTCCGCAGTGCGGCGTCCCTCATCCCTTCCATTCACTCTCGGCAAGAACAACATCTCCAGTACTCAATTAATAGTTGACCGTACAATGAACAAATTGCTGCATAGATTGTTGCTAGTTATCATAAAGCAATATCGAAAGCAAGTCAGGTTGTGTAGGGAAGTAAGCCATCGCAGCACAAGACTCCAAGTCAACTATCGACTCGGTAGCGAACATATTTCCTCGTATGGAACTCTTGATTCCTGAGCTCTGTCATGAATAGAAATCCATATTAATATGCCCAGAAGCCACGTGGAAGAAGCCCCCGGAATCCTGGGCCCATATCAATGTCCAGTTGTCAATGGATGTTCCGAGAATAGTCCCCATCGCATTCCGGTACGTTCTCAGATGAAACGATCAATCGCTTGCATTATATGCTTACTTTTCTAATAAAGTTTAATGCTGGGAAAATCGTGCCATAGCGCAGCATCAGCCTGCCTTCACCGAGGTGTATACGAAGACAGTTACTATCTGCCATGTCAGGCTTCGCCTGCGGAAGGTCAATTGCATGTCAATATAGCACGTCCTAAGTACCGTTTTCTGCATCTTCATAGACGCAGGAAAAGGTATAAAGTCGGCTCAATGGTCGTGACCATCAGCTCATTCAATCATCATCAAGTCAATCTCCACAACCTCAGTTGAGAATTAAGATATCAATCTTCCAAGATATTGTCCACCAACTTACTCCTGTTACCTCTTCGAATCACATACTCACCAGGTACTTTCCATCTATTCAAACCATACATCTATCAGTCACTAAAATTAGCCCAGACAACCCTCCAAAATGCAGTTCATCTACCAAGCTCTGTCCATCCTGGCAGCCTCTCTTCTCTTCTCGTCCGCCACCGCTCAGTGCAACGTCGGCCAGGCATGGCCCGATTCTACTGACTGCCACAACTTCTACGAGTGCGCTTCCGGAGGCACCCCCGTCCTCAAGACCTGTGGCCCCGGTACTGCCTACTGCCCGACGACGGGTGTCTGTGTCTACGAGCAGAACATCGCCAGTTGCTTCCACAAGGGTCATCACTCTGAGTAGACTTTGTATCTTACTAGGAGTCACTCATGTCAGAGCAGGTTCGGTGCTATACAACACATACATGTATAACCATATTGCATTGGGAGACTAGCGTTTGCTTTTGTTTTCTTTTGTGGGATTGCGTGGTCTGGATGGGAGGCATACCCGTTATGCTAGAGCTGGAGGATAGAGCCCAGTTGTGTCATTAGAACCGTCTTGACGTTGATTCTAACAATCGAGGGATTTATATCATTTCTGCGTACATGCTAGCGGTACAGTCTCGTCTTTGCCCTTCTTATATTCCTCAAACAGCAGCTTCACATGTTGGCTCTGGTAGATAGAGCTGTAGAGCTGCTAATGCGTAGCAACTGGACTTGAAGACGATATCATGCATCTTACGAATGAATAGCTCGAGGGTAAGTTGACGAAAGATCTGCTACGCGGGATATCCAGAGTACAGTCGTCATCCTGAATCTAGTATATCAGGTGCAAAAGACATCATGTGGATTGAAGGATTAACACTTGAATACAAGACATGACAACCACTTTAATGGCAATTATGGGAACTTCTCCGGGCCGAATAATTGCCAGTCCTCTCTCTGGCTTGAGAGCTGTGCATGCATCAGGATTTTCCGGACATCAAATTAAGCACGGCGCACCTCATAACAACCAAACTTGTTTCCCACCGGATCGCAAAACTTCATAAAAGAATCGAATGAGCTCTTAGTCGTCTTCGCCTGAATGGTGCTCCCACCTAGCTCGTGAACCTTCTTCTCCATCTAACCAGATCAGCATGTGTCTCCACCACGCAGGTAGCTGCAGGTCACCATCCCAAGGGAATCAACAATATAATAGACAGTCACCGCATAAGCCACAGACTGTTCCACTACGGCTACTGGGCTATCTTGAGACAGTTTGATGATTGCTCCAGCAAGTCTGCAATACAATCAGCTGCGCAAAGCGCACTCCCAGGAGAGGAATAATCACTTCTGGGATCAAAGAAATTGAAGTGCCGTATCTGAGCTCGATCCTCAGTCGCTTCACCATGTACCGGTCTCCATTCCCACGATGGGAATATAGAGGCATAGAATGTCGATTTGTCGTTAGCGGGACAGCTTTCCCTGGCTCTGGTCAGACTGACTTTGAGCTTCTCTACGTTCTGGGCTGGTATCTGCATAAAGCAGGGCCTGCTGTCTGGGGACGGATGCCAACTTGAATACAGTAGAATTGTATGTTTCGAAGGGAATGAACAACACGACGCATCCTTATATTGATGTGTTCCCAGATGTTTAGGACTTGGGCTGTAGGGCAAAATCTAAGCTCTATAAGGTATACCACTTCGTATCCGGGCTTCGGGCCAGCCAAAAGCTGCACCTGTCATTCTCCAGATATGAGTCACTGCCCCCTCGATGATTATGATAGGGAGTTGCAGTGACCGTCCAATACCGCCAGTATAATTCCCCATATACTTGAAGAGAATGCTACGACATTTGATAACCAGGACGGACATCCTATACATACTTGATGACCTGAAACGTTGCGCTTGTCAGCAAATGCAAGCAAGTGGATTCTGAAGTGCGGGGTCCTCAGTATATAACTTGACACCTCTTCGGCCATTCATGCTACCTGATTCACAATCATCCAGGCTTCAAACATACGCCTTCAGGTCTTAATCGCTAACAACATGCCTCGTACTCGCCCCCGACGACTCGACCACGTTCAAAGCATCGGTGTCGACCAGATGGCGCAAATCGCCGATGCAGCCAGCAACGACTACCTACGCCTGGAAAGCCTGGATGTCAACATCCCTCCCGATCCAGAGGCTCTTGCTTACACCAAGCGCGCTGTCACCGACGATCCGTGTAACAGTTACCTCCCATTCACCGGCAAAGCGCGTCTGAGAGACGCCGCTGCCAGACACGTCTCGCAGGTGTCTGGCATGGCATATTCCGGCGAGCGTAACTGCGTTATCTCCGTGGGTGGGCTATCAGGCATCCTGAACGTTCTGCTGGCAACCATTGAAGAAGGCGACGAGGTGATATTGACGGATCCGACATACCGGGGCCTCATCAATCGTGTCTTGCTCACTGGCGGCGTCCCCAAGCTTGTGCCCTTCACCTTCGAGCCGGGGAAGGAGTGGAGACTAGATCAAGCTGCACTGCGGGCGGCTGTTACCGATCGGACTACTGCGATGCTGCTCATGTCACCGTCGATGCCGAGCGGGGGCTATTTCACCCTGGAGGACTGGACCCTCATTGCGGAAATCTGCGTACAGAAAGACCTGCTTCTTATCCTGGACGCTGCAATGGAGCGTCTGGTCTTCGATGCGCGGCCGGTGATACACCCAGCCAGCTTGCCTGGCATGTTCGAGCGGACAGTCACCGTAGGCTCCTCGGCGAAAGAGCTGCGGATGATCGGATGGCGTGTCGGCTGGATCGTTGGACCAGAGAACCTAATCAGGGACATTGCGGCTGTCTCTATGGCCAATGTCGTCGTACCTGTGGGTATCGCTCAGGAAGCAGTCGCCGTTGCACTCGACAGGTCTCCAGAGACTATGGCGCCGTATGTGGCTGAACTGCAAGCGCGCCGTGATCTTGTCGTCGCGGAACTCGACGGATTGCCCGTTGGCGTTCCGGCTGGTGGATGGAGCCTGCTTCTCCGTGTGAGCGACTTCGGGCTGGACGGGAGCACCGCGTCGAAGCGTCTGCTGGGACAGGGGGTGTGCGCAACTGCAATGGATGGATGGGGAGAGGTGCATGGCAGCCAGTACATCCGATTTGTTTTCTCCAATGAGTCCACTGAGAGGCTGAAGGGGCTGGGTGTCAAAGTCCGGAAAGCGTTGGATATTCCGAGTGACTAGCGGTACTATCGGAGCAGTAGTGCCTTTACTCAATGTTCACTGAAGACAGTTATACACATTTCCACGCATAATTCTGATAGAGTTTGGCTAAAGTTTACAGATGTTCTCCACCAGTGCGGAAATAAGACATATAAATCCGTTGATGACATTCTTCTAGCCATGAACGGAATTAAAACTGGAGCTTGTCTCCACTGATGTCACTCCGCAATCAGGCTTGCCTGCCATGCTCAAAATATAAAGGACCTTAGGTAGACGGCCCAACATCCTAATCACATTGTAAGGTACACAATCCGCTGCAATAAATTAGGCAAAATACATCATGCCTACCCTTCCAACTCGTCCCCTGGGAAAGAACGGCCCTCAGGTCCCCCGACTCGGCTTCGGATTGATGGGATTGAGTGTCTTCTACGGCTCTGCCAAACCCGACAATGAGCGCCTTGCCTTGCTTGATGCTGCATACGAACTTGGCGAAACATTCTGGGACAGCGGTAGGCCGTTCACCTACTTATATGGATCTGACTAACATAGATAGCCGACATGTACGGCGACAGCGAGGACCTCCTGGGCAAATGGTTCAAAGCCAATCCCTCCAAGCGAGACGACATTTTCCTCGCAACCAAGTTCGCCAACCGCGTAGGAACCGACGGCCAACGGTTCGTCGACTCCTCGCCGGAATACGTCCGCGAGGCGTGCGATCGCTCACTTGCCCGGCTCGGCATCAGTACCATCGACCTCTACTACTGCCACCGGCTCGACCGCAAGACGCCCATCGAGAAGACCGTGCAAGCAATGGCACAGCTCAAGGCCGAAGGGAAAATCAAATACCTCGGTCTGAGCGAATGCAGCGCGGACTCCCTGCGACGGGCGCACAAGGTCCACCCCATCACCGCCGTGCAGATGGAATATTCTCCCTTTGCGCTGGAGATCGAGAGTCCGCAGTACAGACTGCTTGAGACGGCGCGGGAACTCGGCGTTGCGGTCGTGGCGTACTCCCCGCTGAGCCGGGGTTTCTTGACTGGCGCCATTACCTCGCCGGACGACTTCGAGGAGAACGATTTCCGCCGGCTTTCGCCGCGGTTTAGCAAGGAGAACTTTCCCAAGAATCTAGCGCTCGTTGAGAAGCTCAAGGCGGTTGCGGCGAAGAAGAATGTCACGGCGTCGCAGTTGACGTTGGCTTGGTTGATGGCGCAGGGCGACGATATCTTCCCTATTCCGGGAACCACCAAGGTCGAACGTTTGAAGGAGAATCTGGGAAGCTTGAGCGTCGAGTTGTCCGCGGAGGAAGAAAAGGAGGTTCGATCGGCCTGCAATGCGGCTGAGGTTGCTGGCAGTCGCTATCCCGAGGTCTTTTCGGCGTCGTGTTTTGCGGATACTCCTCCTCTATAGTAGCTTACTATGTATATAGGGTGTTGATTGGTGTCATATCATATCTCCCATATATACATTGCCATATCGTACACCATAGCATGGGGATTCTCCCAGCAGTTGTAAGGGGGCTGAGGATGGCCTTTTAGCCCTATCCAGGCAAAAAGATACTCAAGACCGAGAGTCGTTAGACATGAAGTTCCCCTCAGCCGTACTGATTTCTAACCTTGGATAAAATGCGGCAGAGTGGACTCTTATCGGGTCATGCGCTCATCCCTGAGAACACAACATGAGACAACAGACGTGAACGCATGGGCCGCATGTCTAGGTACTGGTTCTTTATTGGACAAGCGAGTGATAGCATATCAAGGGCAAACAACCTTTGCCTTCAGAAAAAAGGTGACTCGGGATCTCTCCGGGGCGGCAAATGCCGACTTGATAGACGAGATGTGGGGCGTAGAAAGCGAATGAACGACTCTACAAATGGAGAATGAAGTGGGCATTTCAATCTCTGCTTCTGGCTAATCGGTGATGTCTTGGCAGTCTTGCAAACAGATCCTCTTTCGGGTGATTCTGGTTGACCTTTCCTTCCTTTTAGACTTCTCTCGTCCGAATGATCTGCCGGGTATCAGAAATCCGAGGTGACCCAACCCTTGATATATAGGAATAAGATAGCCATCCAATGAATGGGATCAGACATCCCTTGACTTTACACGTATACGTTTACTGGTGATTACCGAACTTCTGACGGTATTGCGGATCTCAACACCCGTGAAGAGATGAGTCGGGATATATCCGAATGCCGCGCACACTATGTAATGGATATGGCGGTTTTCGAAAAACGATCAATCAGCCTGTACAAGCGCAATATCCAGACGAAAGGAGAAGAAATTTCCAATGATCCTATCGACGAGAAGTTCCCCGAGGGGGGACTTCGGGCCTGGCTGGTAGTACTCGGAGCATGGTGTGCGATGATCCCAGGGATGGGTCTTTTGAATACAATAGGGGTGCTGCATGCATGGACAGCCGAGCACCAGCTCGCGGGATACTCTGCCTCGAATATTGGGTGGATCTTTGGCGCGTACAGTTTCTTTTTGAACTTTGGCAGTGCGCAGGTTGGTGTGTACAGGCATCGCCTTCACCGGTTATCCTTTCTAATGCTTATAGGCCCCATCTTTGACAGCCGTGGCGTGCTTCCAGTTGTCCTGCCAGGGTCTATTGGCATTGTGTTGGCCATTTTCTTCTTCAGTGAGAGTACAGGTACGTCTCCTGTCCCGTAACCAGGCAAAGCTGACAGCCACAGAATACTACCAAATCTTCCTTTCCTTCAGCGTTCTTGGCGGCATCTCCTCCTGCTGCCTCTTCACTCCAGCCATCGCAGCAGTCGGCCACTGGTTCAACGTTCGTCGCGGTCTGGCCACGGGGATAGCCTGCACAGCCGGCGGACTGGGCGGGGTCTTCTTCCCCTTGATCATTCTGTACGTCGGCCCTACGCTCGGATTCACCTGGGCACTGCGGATTATCGGGATCATCTGCTTCGTGCTGTGCACGCTCGCCTGCCTTTTACTCCGCACCCGACTTCCGCCTAACCATCAAGCCGGAATGGCGATCGACTTCAAAGCCCTCCGTGATCCCAAGTATGCAGCTACCACCCTCGCTATCTGGCTGGTGGAGTTTGCCGTCTTCATACCTTACACCTACATCTCCTCGTACGGACTACATGTCGGCATGGACCCATCTTTCTCGTACAAGCTGGGCGTTTTCCTGAATGTCGGCGCCATCCCCGGCCGCACGTTCCCGGGGTTCCTTGCTGATCGCGTCGGACGATTTAATGTCATGGCGTTGACGGCGCTAGTATGTGCAATATCTACGCTGGCGCTGTGGTATACTGCCGGTGATAATAGCGCAGCCATCATCGCCTATGCGACGTTCTTCGGGTTCTGGAGTGGCGCGGCGATTAGTTTAACCCCGGTGTGTATCTCGCAGGTTTGTCGGACAGAAGACTATGGGAAGCGCAACGGGACGACCTTTACGCTGGTGAGTCTGGGGACCTTGACGGGGATCCCTATAGCGGGTGCGATCCAGGAGTATAACCAGGGGGAGTACGGGGGGTTGATTGTGTTTGGAGGGGTGTTGTATCTGGCGGCATTTGGGGCATTTGTGATTGCCAGGGGAGTTGCGGGGGGATGGGGACTGAAAACTAAATTTTGATCCCTTGTTGCTTGTGTTATATACTACTTGATCATCCAGAGTAGCTTGACGCTATACATTGCACCTTCCAGATCAGGAAGGTTTCTAGAAGCCTTCTGTCCAAGACACGACTAGCCTATTGCGGTTAGTCTGAGTCAGAATGGCCCAATCAGAGAGCTTCTTTCTGGCTTGGCGAGGCTTGCATGAGCTTGACCAAGTACCTGTTCTATCAGGAAATGAACAATTGAATAGTAGATTCCTCTAGTCCGTAATGGACAATATCAAGCCTGCCAAGTCATCCAATTGGCCGAGGTTACATCTTCACGATCTGTGGGCGTCTTGTAGAGGTTGGAATGAGGCTGTGCATTGCCGCCGGTCATAGGCTCAAGCCATCGGATCACCCGGAATGAATTATCCTAACAGACATGAGACATCCTTCCTACCTATACAATGGACGATAGACCACCCTCATGAGACGCAAAACACTGCGCTCTCTCTTCCACCTCGCGGTGCTCGGGGGTATTGCTCTACTCCTCTTCCTCAACCGCCCATCCTCCCGCATCAAGACCTTCCCATGGACGCACATCCGCTACAGATCCCCCTCCCCCATCCCGGCCTCCCGCGGAAAATGCCCCGGCCTCGACAAAACCACCAAACCGGCCCTGGTCGTCTCGCGCGTCAGATCAGACGGTGACCCGTCATGGCTCGACGCTCTCTCCAAATCCTACCACCTCTGCATCTACACCGTCGACGCACCCGATCCCACCTCGCACAACCTGCAAGTCCCCGCAAACCGCGGCCACGAGGCAATGGCCTACCTCACCTTCCTGATCGACAACTACGACACCATTCCCGCCGCAGGCGCAGTCTTCGTGCATGGCTCGCGTTACGCCTGGCACAACGATCACCCAGCGTACGATAACGCCGCTCTCCTCGCGTCGCTGAACGTCCCCGCCGCGCTGGAACAGCACGGGTACCATAATCTGCGCTGCGACTGGAGCCTGAGCACGTGCTCGGCCTCGGCGGCGCCGCAGGGGAGCCTGGAGAATCGGTTCCAGTCCGTGCTCGAGCCGTGGAGTGCGCGCGCGGCGTCGGATACGGCGCTCCCGGGGGCGCTGGGGGTGTTGTTTGGCGGGGAGGAGCGGGAGGGGTACATGCGTGCGAAACTGGGGCGGAACGACGCGGTGAGGGCGCAGTGCTGTGCGCAGTTTGTTGTCGGTCGGGAGAATATCCGGCGCCATTCGCGGGGGGAGTATGTCGCCCTGCGGCAGTGGCTGCTTGATGGGATGGGGACCGGTCCTCGGCGAGGGGGAGCAGCCCCGGCGGATGACCGTGTCGCGGGCCGGATTCTGTCGTATGTATGGCATATCCTGTTTCTGGGGCACAGGGTTGATCCGGAGCATCCGTTGACTGGGGGTGGGGGTGTGGATTTGCAGCGGTTGAATGAGCAGGCGTGCCCGAGGGCCGACGAGTGTTATTGTCGCTTGTACGGACGGTGCAATCTGCCGCATTGTACGAGTCCAGGGAGTTGTCGGGGGCAGTATGTGTTGCCCAAGCATTTGAAGTTACCGGCCGACTGGGGAGAGACCCATTCACAGTCGCCTAAATGAAAGAGAACGCTGATAGATAAAACCCACTTGTATATGAATAAGTCTAACGTCTCACTATATGCCAATTTCATGCTTGACATTGACGGCCGTACTAATAGCCTCAGACTCCCTGACTCGCTCTCTCCCCGTAGCATCGTGCTCGGCGTCCCAAGCCTTCAATTGATCTTTAGGAACCTTGACCAACTTGTGCGCCGTCGCCCCATCCTCCATCTGCAGGATAATCTGCCGGAACGCATATCCGCCCAGCCGCGGCAACAACTTGATGTAAATGTAGTAATACACCCCACAGATCCCAATACTATATCATCAGCATCTTCACTCGGTAGAAACAGGCAGAACTTACATTCCCAAGCCCACCGCACAGTACGTCGCATACCAGAAACTCACATCCCCTCCATTGGCCCCCGTCGTTGGCGGATACCACGGCGCAACAAGCATGTACAGATTGGAGAGGACGGAGAACCCGACCACCACGTCCCAAGCCTTGTACCCAGAGGACGGAATATTGTGCTGTTTGCGGTGACGACGGGTCAGCAATAGCCCAATGGCGAGGAATAAGGCGAATGCGTTGCCGGGGTAGACGCCCAGATCCACGACTGCCAACGTCAGTCAGACTTCACCTGTCAGAGAGGGAACGAACCGAAATTGAAGGCGTCACCGGCCGGCGGGGCAAGGATCATGAGGACGGTCAGGGCCCATTTCAGCGCGTAGGGGCCAAGTGGTGTTCCGAACGGACGAGTCGAGGTCCAGAACTCGGTGAATGGAAGGACTCCTTGTCTGGTCTTGTCAGCGAAGTTCAAGTCATGCCATGTACACTTACCTTCCACATTCTCTGAGTAGACGGGACTGCCCGATGAGAACCGCAAGCAGATTCCCGAATGCGCTGAGACAGATCAAAAAGTTCAGGGCTCTTGACGCACTGCTCGTCCCGAAGACCTTCTGGAAGAAGATACTCGCCGCCACGACCTTTGAGCCCAGGATCTCTTCTTTTGTCGCTGCGGAGAAATAGGCGATGTTGGCGAGCATGTACAGGGTTGCTACTAGCAGGAGGGAGAGCGGAGCGCTCCACCGTAGTGTTTTGACTGGATTCTGCTGGTAATGAGTCTCAATAGCTGAAGCCCAAAGCATAGACATACCTTGACTTCGTTCACCACGTTGAATGCGTTCTCGAATCCCGCGTACGAGAAGGCTACCTTGACCAGTGCGTTCGTGGCTCCATACACCGAGGCCGAGGAGCTACCTGCAAAGGCGTCGCGAAAGTTGGCCTTGGGATCTTCGATCTTGGTGTGGCCCCCAAGGACAACTAGGCCGGTAATAGCGATACTAAACCGTGTGAGTTTCTGAGTTTCCATGGAATGCCAGACATACAAGACTAAGGTGACGAGTTTGACGAAACCGATTGCATTGGCGAAACGCAGCGACCACTTTGTGTTGAAAGCCAGGACTACATCGTTAGTATCCTTACATCGACGCTATGCGATATCTCACCTAGTACTGCAACGCTGTACGAAGCCACAGCGACACCCTTGAGCTTCCACGGGGTGGACTGCGCCTCCGCCAGTCGGAAAAGATACTGCGCGAGGACTAATCGGTCAGATATACACCGTATTCGTCACTTTATCACATACCAATCGCGTTACTACTGCTAAACGAGAACAAAACTGATTGCATTGCAAAGACAGTCGGCAGAAAATACTTTGGCCGCGGATACGCCTGTTCGAGGTAAACCACCTCTGATCCGGACCGACTGGGGAAATACGAGGAAAACTCCAGATAGACTGCCAGTGAGCTACCGGCCATGAAGAATCCAATGACCCAGTAGAACAGCGCCAGGCCAACGGACCCGGCGCCTTTGAGGACAGTTGACGCTGCGCCAGTCAACTCCAGGTATTGAATCACAAGAGACGGAAGACATACGGGTGGAAAAGACACCGGTTCCGATCATCTTGCTGAGGTTGAGGAAGATGACTGTAATCCAACCGACCGAGTATCCCAGCGGTGAATTGACTTCAATCGGCGCACCGCTGGCCTCTTGGTAGGTCGGCAGAGATGAGTTGGCACCGGCTTGAGCAGTGTAGTGTAGGTCGCCACTGCTGAAGCTCGAAGCATCAGATCGATCATTTTGCTCGGACTTGGGTTGGAACCCCATTGTAGATGGATTGAGGATCAGAAGACAGATCAGAGGTGTGCTATGCAGGCTATCATTGAAGTAGGAGGTCGGACTATTTATCCCTTGATGAGATGTAACATAATAGGGTGCTCATCACCTGGCACAATGACGTGATGCTGTACGACCTGATATCGGTAGAGCATCTAGACTATTATGTAGACTGTCCTCGAAACTGTAAAACTTGAGACTATTCCTCTTGAGACTCCGCCCAATGTATGTTGGTCTCTTGGTAGCCCTTGACAATGCGCCTGAGTGCTGCATTATCAGTCGAAGTGATATCAGTTTACGGAGTGCTGAGAACATTCACTTGGCATATCTTCTAAAGACTCCACAAATAACAAGAAACCCCGTTTGCCTAGGTGAATTGCATGATTGCAGGGGGTGATGGTAGCATGAGGGGTCTACCACGAGGGAGAATGTCGCAATCCGCACGATCTTTTAGCATCAACCATCGATATTAGCACAATGACATTCTCGGAAGCCATTGACAGCTCATGCAAATGTATAATCGCCATCAAACTGTGGTACGAGAATAACCGAATCCTAAGGAAACAACTTCGTAACTCTATAAACATGCAGCGCTTCTATGACTTCAGTCCCATCACATACGAAACCATTCATGTTCTAGCGCTTCTGCCGCAGTCAACCGGTGGCTAGGCTCATACTGTAGAATCTTCTTCAACAGACCCGCTAATTGCTCAACCTCTTCGGGGGGTATCTCTCTGCGAAACTCTTCCCCTGGCCCTAAGTCACGATAATGCAACCCTCGTCGTAGAGCCCACTCTATTGAACGGCGCTCAGACAGTCTGTCCGATTGTCTCTTGGACAGTGCGTCAACCATGACCGCTCGGCCGAGGGAGTCCGGTTCATCTTTGAAAAACTCCTTCCTGCGCTTCCAAGCAGTAGACCACCATGGTTCTGGCAATGCACCAAGCATCGTAACCATGTAGAAGAGGTGGCTATCAATATCGTCATCGAACATGTCGAAGAGTTTTCTACCCGTTCGTATCTCGAAGAGGGTGCAGCCGAGTGCCCAAAGGTCACATCCAGCTCCCGGTGTATTCTCTAAGAGGAGTTCGGGAGGCCGATAACTCTCGGGGATACCAAGCTCCTCTGGTGGGTTTGTGACATCGTAAGCCTCCCCAAAGTCGATCACAAGGATCTGATCTACGATGTACGGCAGCGGAACGTTGCGAAAATTAGCCGGACGGACGAGATATTTGGGTGCGGTAGGGTCGGAGGGAGTCTCCCCTGATTCAGTGAAAACTTCTACCTTGACGGGGTCTCCCAGGATTTTGAGTACTTCATCCTCTGGCAATCCGTCAAGGCCCACGACCTTTAGGAGAATGTTCGACGGCGTGAAGTCTGATCATCCTGGAGGGCGATGCGTGCTGGAAACTGACCTCCATGGCATATGCCATGACTATGCAATGCGGCCATGGCTTCCGTAGCTTGTCGAGCTATTTTCCGCAAACTTCTGTCTGGGTCTTCGAATTGCTGGGCTATGAGAGAGACCCGCGGTCCAGCCACTGGATAAACAAAGCAGAGGTGTGACCCCTTTGGCCCTTCAATCCGAAATTGATCAAACGGAAGGCAGATGTGATTTTCCAATCCGACTTCTCGAAGCCGTTCCACGCGAAGCTCCGGGCAGTCGTCTTTGGAATAATCCGCCATAAGAACCTTAAGAGCCACATATTGGGGTATTTCATTGCGCAGGACTTGACACAACCACACATTGGCGAACCCCCCGCTACCTAGCTTGTGAATAACCCGATATTCGCCTTCTCGACCTAGGTGATCCCCAAGATGAACAACATGATGGCCACCAGGCTCGTAATCCCAGATTTTCTCCAGTCCAAATGGTGCCTTCTCGATGCGCAACCCATTCAGTGGCCGGTCGTCATATTCTTCCTCCGACTGGGACAAGACGGGAGATTCAGGCGCGTAGTCTCCCTGATCTGAGTCATCTGACATTGTGGGCGCTGGATGTCCTGACTCGTTGAGTGTATTAGACATGGATCTCCTTGAGATTAGGAAAGCCAGAGGTTTAAGTACGTATCCACGACCTCCCATTTGTCTTCCACAGTAGAAACCACATACACTGGCGACAAAAAGTTGATCAGCAAGAAGTGGAGAGGCGGGGCAATGTCGTAGGGATAATCGACATGGGACCACAAACTAAATTGGGGCCAGGATATAGAACGAAGCGGTACACCATCCGATTGGAAACTAAGCTGACATTGTCATTGCTTCTGCCTATAAAGTGCCATGGCCTGATAGGAATAGATCAATCAATCATAGATAGAACGACGAGAACACGGATTCGTGGAGGACGCTGCTACACTCGTGCAGACCCCACGTCACTGTCTACATGGGCAGATCCGCACGGGTCTATGATTATGAAGGTCATCTATATGTTCAGTACTCTAGAACACAGAGAAATGTTTCTGTCACTCTGGCAAGCCCATGTGAACGGCGCATACCTCCAGGCGGCTCCAACCAGAGCTCTGGGACGCGAGAACCGGGGAACAGCTTCGCTTCCGTTGGAACTCCTCTTATTTGACTGCATAGGCCGCTCGAACTCATAGCCGTTCTTATTGGATCTTGTGAGCTTCCCATTTCTATTCCCCGTTCCCTTGATTGCCTTGCCTTTGCCAGAGTGTTGTTCATATGCTATATCCTATTAGTGTACACTTCAGTTCCAGCTGCGCGGACTTATGTTCTGAAAGCATCGTATTAACCCAATATACTTGACTCAGCTTAAGCTTCAAAGCTTCTGCTGCGATATAGGGAACCTTTCTATCTGAATGTGGTAGTTCATATAACTAATGGATTGTTGAGCATTCGCTGACGAGCTTGAGGTGCCGCGATGTATTCAGGTATTGTGGGTGGATCTATACATACCGTCTCACACCCATAGATGCTAGCTTTATACGATAATAGGAATTAAACTTGTCTTTCAAGCTTGACTCCGAAGTCATCAACTGTGTAGGGAAAACGGCTTTTCATCCCCTCAGGCACACCAGCTTGAGAACTATCTATGATAGTAAGACGAGACAACCATCAGGAACATTTTGCTCGAAAATAGCAATGAACTTCTGCCCTCTCCAGACTTTATTAACCAGAAATGGTACCTCTAGGATGTGCAACATTGTGGCGACAGATTCATTGCTCCAGACAGTCAGACATTCATTGCATCTCAATATGCTATGTCTGCCTGGGGCGGACAGGACAAGGGAAACATTCAATCGTAGTCAAGACTAAGAGTAGTTACAAAGCTACTTCTCAGGTGACCCATGTGATGCTGAAGGAGCATTATATTCAAGTCTGATGTGACAAAGGCCAGTGCTCCACACTATTAAGCAATAGATCCACCTGGAAGAAGAGGGATTTGCCCTTGCAAAGAAAGAGACATTCACTTCTTTCTGCATTCTTCCCGAATTATCCGCAATTACGATATAAAATGGAGACTTAGTCCTCCCCAAAACCTGGTATTCTTCAGCTTCACATGGAAACCAGCCACTCTTCCCCACCTTATACTAGTATCTGTGCCTGTTATGCTCATAGCTATGGCGGATCACGCTGGTATTGAGGCGAATTCAAGCCTGATACATATACACTTTGTCACTATGCAAGACTCAGGACACCTGAAAATACCAGCAGCTATTGATTCAGTGTTGGCAACTGGGGTTGGATATACTCCTTCCCGTTTGTATGAAACATGAAGCTATACACATCATGACCCACTCGCTACTCCTACCCACTAATAATCAAACATACTAATCGCCTCGATTCAAACTCTGCTGTCTCCAGATGTCACAATCATTCAACCCTACACACTCCGGCCAACCATATACTAGAGCAAGCGACTGTGTCGTCTAGTCCAAGAAGGGTCTGACTCCCACCTTCCTGCCTTGCACTCCATTGTCGCTACAATATGCCTGGATGCTCATCTCTCTCACCGATTGACATACAGACCCCTAGATGCAGACGACGATCCCGAAGGTCGATCACTTAGGATTTCATGGATCCTAATCAGCCTCAGAGGGGGATTGCGGCATACCTTGCGTCCTACACAACACAGTAGGAAACGTTTCAGAATGAGATGCGCTAGTGGCGTAAGGACAAATGGGCATGGGAAATCAAGCTTCTCACTATCTACTCGAAACCCACCCGCAAATTGTCAACCCCGTATCAGAAGACGATCTCACCAAGATCAACGAGGATATGGAGGCCTACATAGCGGATGACACAATGGCAACATTGATGCCTTTCATATGGGCACCATGCTAACTGAACCAAACAGTATCTTGGACGCAAGATATTGCGTGTGAAATCCTCCGTCCATGGCATGGACATCCGAAGGCGAGACCTGTGCAGGAAGTATCGATTTTCATTTGGTTAGTCTGCGCATTCGGTCAGTTCCCTGAGACTATTGTTTATTCTCTGTCACCCTCTTCCTCTAAGCATCTCATCTAACACGGCTCACTGTATAGATTCTCGACATTGGCCATCTGTACATCGTTTACTTCATCACCGACTACGCTTGGGTGCCCGGGCGTCTGGCAACCCCTGAAGAGCGGGAGTTGCCCGCAGGGGGGCCCAATCCCGAACTGTGGCCAGTGCCCTAAATGTCCTATACACAGTAGGCTTAGTTCGATCATCATCAATCATCTACTATTTCTACTAGCTAGAAATGGTTGTCTGGACACCTTTTTAGCCGAGTGGTTTGAGTGCAGTTGACATCATATCCATAAGCTGCTGACGGGCCTGGGCTAGAGTAACAAAATATCATGGACATGATCTCCTGTCTGTATCGGGAAATGCCGATATAGGATCCACTATCTTTAAATAGCCTCGGCCCCTGAGAATTTAAATCAACAAACGGCCCACATTCATGACTCACAGTCACATTATCCCCAAATTAGTGACCTACTCATTCTACAGGAGCATCATTTCCGTTCTGTTCAACAAAGATACTGAGACTACAATGACAGACCTGGTCATCTTCGACTTCGACGGCACAATCTTCGACACCCGCGAAGCAATCCAACATGCAGCAACCCTAACCTTCACCACTCTCCTCCCCACCCACGAAATCCCCCGCTCCAAAGCCCGCCGGCTGATGTCCACCGGCGCCGGCCTCCCAGAGACCTTCCTTGCCCTCCACCCAGACCCCGCAACCTTCGACGAGGAAACATGGGTCACGACCTACCGCTCCCTCTACGCGACGCACGAGGAGAAATTCACCAGCCCGTTCCCGGGTCTGCGAGAACTTCTAGCGGGGCTTCAGTCGCGACGGATCCCCATCGCGATCGTGAGCAACAAGGCGGTCCCCGCGATCAAGGCGGCGTTGGAGCGAACGGGGGTATTGGAGTTCGTCCCCGAGACGCTCATCATCGGAGATCGGACGCCGGGGTCGAAGAGGAAGCCGGACCCGTCGAGTTTCACGGAGGTGCTGGTGCCGAGGTTGAAGACGTTATACGGGGAGGGGTTCGAGCTGGACGCGGCCAAGGTGCTTATGGTTGGCGATACGATTACGGATCTCAAGTATGCGCGCAATATCGGGGCGAGGGTATGTTGGTGTCGGTTTGGGCAGGGCGACAAGGAGGAATGCGAAGCGTTCAAGGCGGATTATGCGGTGGATTCGTTGGCTGAGGTTCTTGATATCGCAGTGAAGGAATAAGGTCTGAAAGCGATAAGTTGAGGTATAGGGTCATACTAAACATATGCCAAGTGATATCCACAGGCGCTCGCCGGGAAGCGAAGAAGCCTCAGAACCCGGGGGCCGGTGCTGTGCTCTAGATACATGCAGATAGCCTTGCATTCGCCCCGAATCCTTCCCTCTACCCAGGGCTGCCATTCGGACAGTGTACACATGAGGCCCATCCACTGCGCCAGTATCAACAGTGCAGGCGGGTCCCTCTCCCTCAGCAGTGTAAGAAAATTATTCTCGAGTCGGCCCATGAAAGTCGCGCATTGAGAAGCATTCTTCATGTTGTGTTCCAAAACGAATATAGCAGCCAGAATTCTGAGAGGCTCATAGTACGGATTCGTTAATGCCGTGGTCGAGTCATCAATCCCACACAAATCGGCCAGGTCAGGATCAAGCCCATCACGGCCTTGGGTAACACCCTCGTCGTACAACTGTACCTCTTCCTGGTGAGTTTGCTGAAATGCCGATGCCCAGATGCTGGACTGCATGTGCGGCGCCGCGAGTTTGATGATGATGCGCAGGCCGCTCTGCAGGCAAAGCCAGTTCATTGCTCCGGGTGCGTTCGACAGAACCCAGGAGTCGGTAGGCTCAAAGCGATCGGGACAGAGGGATGTGATGCCCATGAACATGCAGGTCGACAGCAGGCCGTCGACAGTTTGTGGGGAGATCTTAGATGAAAGCGCGGCTTGATATGTCTGGATGGCTTGCTGCCAAAAGTAGGTTTCTGCAAGTCGCCAGGTTTGATTCTGTGGACGGATCCGGCTGAGGTGGAGGCTGCCGACGCCTAGGATTGTGTACATTAGATGGGGACTCTAAACACATCAGTACTGCTTGCAAAGTGTTTCTGGTATATAAGGGCCTCACTCCAAACGCCACTTGAATCATATCGCTCTTCATGACGTGCCGTATGGAAGGATGGCCAATGGTGTCGGTTGAATAGTTCATGAAATGCTGAAAGGCTACAACGGTCATCGGCTGAGCGAGGTTGCTGTCTTTGAGGGCGCCAATCTCGAGACAGCCAGAGTCCGTCGCCAAAGCCTGGTTGACCTTTAATTCGATATCCTTTAGCGATAGAGAGAATGCGGCGCCATCCGGTTTTTTCATCTCTTGAAGGTCCTGACTTTGGGGGAAGGCGCCATAGCTACAAGAAACACCCAGCTTCTCGCATCGCCTGCAAAAGGGCCGAGTTTCATCGCACTGTGTACCGGAATTGTGAGATACACATTGTGTACTCTGCGGTTGCTTCTTACTTTTACTCTGCGCCGCTTACAGGTGACGCACCCGGTTCGCGACTTCTTATGCGGTCGTCGAGCATGATATGGTGGTGACTGGGGTCGGTCAGGAGGCGGTAGACGGAACACGCTCTGCCACGAACGGATATCGACAGACTTGGAGCTGATAACCAGAATGGTAGCCATATTGTTGCTCTAGGTGTGAGAAGGGTAAATGGATGATTCCATCCCAGCATCGCCACAATCCTCAGTCGTCGATCACGTGGTATGAATACGAGGTACCAATTCTCCATCTGAGTGGATCATCTCATCCTCATTTTGCAGAATAGTCGCTTGCAAGTATGTCGGTTGTCTCTAAAGTTAAGCTTGTTGTTCGGTGTCATAAGAATATCTGTTCTCTTTTTCTCAAGCCTGCGATGCATTGTCTGCAGGCAAAATATGTCCTTTACCAGAGCGTCGTCATCACCATGGGAGGCCTTACATAGCTTATGACCTCTTATTATCTCTGATTGATCATCATTGAGAATTAGGAGAACCGTGAGCTGCATAATCGCCCAATCAATGGCTATCCGAAATATGTGGGATATCTAAGCGCCCATGTTGGCCCGTCATGGCGCTATTTATGTATATTGTCAGATCCCCGCAGTGCGAACTCGAGGAGTAATGGATATATCTCTAAATCCAATCTGTCGCTATTGCTTCGAAACGGACGCTGTTCTGTCTCTTGCCTCCTCTGTCAATGTCAAGGTGTTGCAGACTTTGTGAGACTAAAAACCCTCGAAATGACTACATTGGTCAACATAACGAGCTACTTCAACCGAGGGCCACTAACCACCACTTTTACTCCTCCGACTCCATGCCTGCAGACTCTATCTACAGTCGTCTACGAGGTGAATGGAACACCGCAAACAACAACGTATTACGGACACTGGTTCGATGGACCAGGCCAATCGTGCTATCCGACTGGCACCATGCCATCGTCGTTGCTTATTTCTCCAACATATTGGGGGACATACTGGTGTACGTCAACTTTGCCTTTCACAGGGAATGCATTGATGAACTTATAGACTGTCAAATATAGATTCTCCGGGACTGTACTGCCCCAGTGGATGGGCCACGGCGGGTCAATTATCCGGATCATGGAACGGGATTGATATAACAAATAGCACCAGTGGAGTTATTTGTTGCCCTTCGTGAGTGACCCATAGCTGACCTAGAATGTATGCTTACTTGACCAGGAGCATGGGCTTCTACGCCGAAGGGCATCAATGCAGCGGTGTCCTCCCGGCAAGCGAAACAGTCACGCTTGCAGCCTCTGGTATTATAGCCACGAGTACACTGTCGACTCCACTGACCGTTTATGCCGATGGCATTCCACTCATCTGGGAGAGATCCGACCTTCCCAAGTCGACAAGTGTGTCCCAGACATCAACCTCAACATCGTCCTCAGCTAGTTCGATGGACCATTCCGGCCCAACTGGACTCACAGAAGGTGCAAAGATTGGTATTGGAATTGGTGTCCCTCTGGGAGCCCTCGCCATAGGAGCTGGTATATACTTTTTTATCCTGCGACGGCATCAGGATCGGAGAACGAATCACACTCAGCCATCGGCAGAAATATATGTCAGGCACTCAGGACCGACGGAACTCCAGTCGAAGACGCTGTCGGAACTTCCATCTACAGCCACGATTAGACATGAATTAGCTTGATTAGACGAAAGGTTCCAGTTTCTTTCAATACAGATTACAATAAATGCATAAAAGTACTAGGCAGCAGATCGAAAGTATACGGCTCTACCTAAACCAAACAAAATACGGCACAGGTCTGATGAAAGAACAGTATCAGCTCAACCACCATGTCAAGCCTCCCACGATGATACCACGTTCATCATCCTCGACATCTTCTATAACTGACTCTCCAGTCCCCTCTTTCGTAGATTCGTGTCCGTCTGGACCTACAAAGACCTTCAATGCAACCGTCGCTTGGCCATGTTACTGACACTCGCAAACCAATGTACCAAGAGGCTGAAGCTTATTTCACGGCTTGGGGATGACGACCCTCTACTTCTTTCTCCACATTCTTCTCGTTGTCGATCAGTTGTTCTTGACAGCTGGACATGGCTTGTGCTCTTCCCACTGGAACAGCATTTCTTGGACGTGGTGGACACAGGAGGTGGGTTTTATGGAAAGGGCATAAACGGTTTGAGACTCCAAGGGCCGCGTACCAACCCCTCCTAAATCGCTACAGACAGGACGTATACTGGCGGACACGAAGACAAGACTCTAGACGATATCCGGGTATAGCAAGCAGGTGTTGGTTATTTAGCGCAGACAAGGCCGGTTCCATGCGGATAGTGACGGAGGAGATTTTCTCTCGGATATTCCTAAGAAATGCAATTGTGCCGCTGTCACAACTACACTGCATAGTGAGATTCTCATCGCAGCATTCTTGATCATCCTGCTATACTTGTAGCTTCTAGAATTACATACGATCATCTGATTAATACCCGCCAGATATCCTAAATGCCGTCCTTTGAGCCGGCGCGTCCTCATTAGTCATGGAACCATTACCCCACGGGAAAACGGCAGACTCCAGACTCCACTGCGGGGAGTTGGGGATTACTCCGTTCAGTATTTATAAGCTCGTTCCCCAGATTCGCAGTTGGAGTCATCATGAAACCTGAAAAGGGAGTCTTTTGGACAAGCGGGCATGGGGACGACCGAAAAAACGGATACTCCATCACTGGAACAGGATGAAGCCGTCCCGGCACAAACAGGACAAGATGCTGTTGAGGGTGCAGAGCCAGTAAAACCGGTTCCAAATGGGGGATTACAAGCGTGGCTCAGTGTACTCGCTGGGTTCTGTGTGTTTGTAAATTCATGGTAAGTCTACCTGTCACAAATGCGCCTCAAGGCTGATGGAATAGGGGACTGCTTGCTTCGTATGGCGCATTCCAAGAGTACTATCAGACGGTACTTCTGACATCGCAGTCGCCATCGTCCATTTCCTGGGTAGGCAGTGTGCAGGCGACATTGATCGTCATGGTTGGCGTCGTGACTGGTCCGCTGGTTGATTCAGGATATCTGCGGGTTCTGATCACCGTTGGAATGACTCTGGTGGTCATTGGGATCATGATGACCAGTCTGGCGACGCAGTACTACCAGGTACGTCTGCTCGTCCACTTTCCTGACCATCCAACTTAACCCTCTGGCGACCCTCTTGCAGATCATCATGGCTCAAGGCTTCTGTGTCGGTATCGGCGGTGGCATCGCCTATATCCCCGCGATGGTGGTCATCTCGTCCAACTTTACCACGAAACGGCCCATCGCAATCGGCTGCGCGGCCATCGGCTCGAGCGTCGGCAGCGTCGTCTTCCCCATCATGTTTCGCCAACTGCAACCGCGCATTGGGTTCCCCTGGACAGTCCGCAGCATCGGCTTCATCAATCTATTCCTCGCAATCATCACCTGCCTCATCCTCTGCCGGAAACCAGGCAGGAAGACGCGCGCCCGCAGCATGATCGAATGGCGCGCCTTCGCCGACCTCCCCTTCATGCTCTTCTCGACCTCCCTCACCTGCGTCATGCTCGCCTACTACATCCCGCTCTTCTACGTCCCCTCCTACGCGCGCACCCAGCTCCACACCACCCGCAGCCTCTCCTTCTACATGGTCGCCATCATCAACGGCGCCTCCGCCTTCGGCCGCGTCGTCCCCTACCTCCTCAGCGCGTACATCCCCCCCATCGCCATCCTCCTCCTGGGCGTCGCCGGCTCCGCACTGGCCATGTTCACCTGGATCGCGGCGACCAATCTCCCCGGGTTCATCGTCTGGGCGTGCTACTGGGGGTTTCTCAGCGGGGTGCTGGTGACCGCGCCGACGGCGATCATCGGACATCCGGCGCTGTGTCCTGACCCGAATTACCTGGGGACGCGCATGGGGATGATGTGGGGGATCAGTTCGTTTGGGTCGCTGGTGGGGACGCCTATCGCGGGGGCGCTGGTGGATTTATCCGAGGCGAATTTTCTGAGGGCGCAGGTGTTTGCGGGCTGTTTGATGGTGGGGGGGGTGATGTTGCAGCTGTGGCCGGTGATGGTGGTGATGAAACATGATCGAGATCGAATAAAAGTCTCGTCTGTACTCGAGTAGATAGGCACTCCTAGGAGCAGTAAGAGCCAACAATCCGTAACGATATTTATTGGTTGTCCAGGGGCTAAATTTAGCGCGGCGCGATGTGGACGGGAGCTGCAAACGGCGTTTTCAGCCCCTCCTTATTGGTGTCTTTTCCAGCAGAATGTCTCGCCTCGAGTGACGATGGTTTCACTCTGAACCCTGCGTGTCGCGCCCTATCATTGGTTTTAAACCCCGTTCGACCCCTTTTCTGCCTTTCTGGTTCTGCTCGGTTTGTCAGGTCGAGTTGTCAATCTTGACGATCTGCACTACACCACTGCGCAGCACAACAGCACAACAGCACACCAGCACACCAGCACACCACAGCGTCACAGTGCTTATAACTACGAAATGGCAATCTTATTACGGAGAGACTGCGACGCGAGTAACCCCAACTCCTCCGCTTGCGAGAAACCGGTCAGCGACTTCCTCAAGACAGGCGTGCCGGGGATTATCGTGGGGATGTACGTCGTTCTCTCTTACTCTTGTAGTTCTCATCTCACTGATCGAATAGACTCGTCCTGATTGCCATCTGTGTGTGCTGTTATCTCCTCTACCGGAACAAGAAGCAAGACGCGCGCGAGGCGGAGGATGCGCGTCGCTGGAATCTGGACAAATAAACCCCTTACCTACGCACCGTTACCGCTGACCACGCCATACCCACCAGCTATCTCCGCGATACAACCCGATATTTCTTGCCTGGAAGGTGGACAATAACCGACCGTGCCTGGAGCACAAGCAGCGCCAACTACGCGCCACGACATAATGACTATTTCGAGGCGGACATGGGGTAAGGCCTCCCTACAGAGATTGAGCAGGTCTCATCAATGTACATTATCTCGGTAGAGACGCATGTCTGCAACGCATTTGTATATACATTATCTTCATTTCTTGAGCCACAATCCTATCCCAAGCAGTGCCTACTGCCTACTGCACCACAAACTGCGTCGTGTGACTCTTGTACAACGTACTCGAATCCAGCACCTCCCCGGTATTCGACCGGATAAAGTCCACCTGCAGACTCGTGCGGTTGAGGAACCGCACCGTCGCATACGAGTAGTCATCCGCGTACGCAAACGCAGTGTAGCTCGGCTTCGTGCCCACACTGCTCAGCCCCTCGATGTTCCCCGCCCCGCCGGCAACGATGTACATCGGCGCCGTGGGGTCCGTCATCCCGTTTGCGTCGGCGGTGCCGTTGACAACGGGCAGGAACCGCTGCGAGTTGTGCACGTGGCCGAACACGCCCAGATCCACGCCGTACTTGTACAGCAGGCCCTCGAAGGCCGCCTGGCAGGGGTCGCAGCCGCTGCCGCCGGTGGTGTACCAGGGTCTGTGGCCGGCGACGATGACCCAGGGCGTGACGGTGCGGTCGACGCTGGCGAGGTCGGCGGCCAGGAAGTCGAGCTGTTGGTTGGCGGCGCCGAAGGGTCCGCCGTCGAGGTGGGCGGAGCCGTCGGGCCCGTCGGGGGCGTCGGGGAAGTCGGTTTCCGTGTCGATCATGACGATGTGGGCCATGCCGTATTCGAAGGAGTACCAGAAGGGTGGGTTGGAGAGGGATTTGGCCTTGGCGGCGAGGGACTGCGCGGTCGTGCTGGACGAGGACGAGGCGAAGGCGCTGGGCATGGTGTTGGCGAAGCGGTGCATGAAGTCGGTGAAGTTGCGCTGGCCTTCTGGGCAGAGGCCGGAGGTGTACGGGATCTCAGTGCAGTCTGCCTCGTGGTTTCCCGGGCTGGCCATGTAGGGCTTGCGGCCGGCGATGGGGGCGAGCTGGTTGTAGAACTGCTCCAGGATCGACTGATACGAATCCTTGCCAGTCAGAAGATTATCGAGACGAAGGTACCAGTCATCGGCGTAGGCCGTGTCTCCGGGATGAATTACGAGCTCGTAATCATCGATGGTGCTGGCTAGTCGTCCGATGGTGGTGTGGTTGAGCGCGGGTTGGATGTACGGGATGTCGGACTTTTTGATTTTTTTCGAAGAAACGGTGAACCCGTCCGCGCCGTACACGCCAAGATCAATGACGACATCCATGCTGAATGGAGTAGTGTCACCAGGAGTCCGAGGGCTGAGGAAGTGGTTGACTGTCGAGTTGCCAGAGACGATCTTGTAGTAGTAGGTGGTGGCGGGTGTCAGGCCGGTCAACACCACCACGTTGGAGTACGTGCGCGAGGTGGCATACGTCGTCGAAATAGACGAGCAGGCCTTGGAGGTCAGGGCACTACTGGAAGTGCCATACTGGACGCAGCCCTGGTCCAGTTTTTCGTATGTGTTCCATCCAATTGATACAGCTGGGTTCGTTAGATCACGTGTCGCGGGGGGACAGAAGTCATACCGTTAGGACCATAGACAGCCAGGCGCTGCTGGAAGGGAGTCGTCAAGTCGCTGGGAATAGGAGGATAATCGACGGCAGCCAATGCGCCAGTCGCAAGAACGGACAGCGCCGTGATCACAGGAGTATTTCTCACCATATTGACCACTGCAGTCGGAGAGTTTGCTTCTGCAGTCCGCTCGATACATTCGGGCCGGCATCTTGTTTAAATATCTCCTGAAGGAGTTACAGATCAACATTATGCAGAGCATGTGAAGAGGAGTAGAATAATGTCCATCAATCACAGAGATAGACATGATCACGCCGTCGGTTTGCATAATCTGCATTGTGACGGGGCATTGCTAGGCAAAAGAGTGGAACTCCGACGGAGAAAATCAAGGTTAGAAGCCCTGCTAAGAATTGTAGCCGAAGCCACTCGGAGCGAGTACGATCATAGTAATGGTGCAGAATCCACATTCTAGCGTCCACGTGCACCAGCAGCAATCTGTCAGTGATCAACACGCACCGAAAGATATTGTTTCTGGTTCCTGACCCTCTGCGGGTGGGATAACCGAGGCAGTGCTGATCAGTATCTCTACCCGTTCGATGCGGAGTTGACCGATTGTGCCAATATCCACGTTAGAATGAAGATATTGAAGACATAACTGCTGCGACACAACAGAGGGAGGAGAGTCATGAATACCAAGCTTTGTCGGAAAACTTCCGCCGACGATTCGTCATCATGCCTCTCGGATGCTTGTCTTATATCCAGATCTTCAAGGTCAACCTCTGCCGGAATTCGTCATCTGCAGGAACCGCGGGCATTTCCACATTCGGCCTACACTGATTTCAAGGATTGTAGCCGAGCATCAAGCAATATCGACCGACCCGGACGGCGGATGCAAAGATGAATCCGAAGACTCGCCCAGATAGATGCCACTCCCTGTATTGGCCCAGATCTGCAGATGGCACATTATGCCTGGTATATAAGCTTGCTGATCGAGCCAGTTGCATAAAACGTGTGATAGGGCTCCCTCCTGACTGGACTGATGGCAATTCAATTTAATATACATTCATGCAGAGATTTTCTTTGAAGCTACTCCTATTCATATCAGTCACTGACGCAATCAGCTATGGGCTTGCGTATATTTAATTTGCTGAACAAGTCATGTTCTTGACTGCCTGACGACTCATACTATCGGATTGTCGCCTTCAAATAAAATAAAATCTCTTCTCTCAGCATCTTGAGATATACATAGGTACGACCATGCCGAATTCAGCGACAATAAAGCAATTTACTCCTGACGAAGCTTGATTTAGCCGCCCATACCGCGTGATTCAAAATAAGCAATTTGAAGCCCTCCATTACCCCTGCAACTCTGCACATAGAAATCGAATGAGCCGAACAACTGAGCATTTGCAAGTTCAATGCTCATTGACAGCCAATAATACTAGCCCTAGTCATGATTATTGCACATCATATTCCACACACTCCAGACTGATCTTGCTGAGCTCAACAGAATGATGACCCCATTCCATTGATCTTTGTCTTCCAGGAAACCCACGGATTAAGTAAGCGGCTGCCTAGATCTGCCCGATCAACTCTTGCTCTCATTGGATGACTAAAATAAGCTTCCAGTCCCATTGAATAAGCTAATAAAGGCTTCAAGCCTTCATTTTCCCTCAATGAAGTCCGTCCATCATCCAATTCAGGTATAATGGCGCGAACGAAGCAGGTTGCATTTATACGGCGATATAACCACAAGTCGCCAGTTTTCCTCGACCATTGTGGAAACAGCTATACCGTGGTCGGAGCAACGCCCGACTCATGCTCCAACCCGTCGACCATCATCAAATTGAGCATTCACCTGTATACTCTGTCCGCTTTGACAGAGCCTCCAGAGGAAATCGGTTCCAAGTTGCTCAGCAGCCATGGTATTACAGGCAGTGGAAATCTACACGATTACTGGCCCCGTGTAGACGTGTACTCTCCACTGGGGAGTATCGAAGAGTGCATGGAGCACCACCGGGCTGAAAAGATTTACAGAAATAAAGCCGTGGAGGAGATGCATAGGGAGGCAAGGGCTTCGGCTGATAACGAGGAGGGTGCCGAGGAAGCCGTACGGAGTCTACGAGGGAAACAACCCTTGCCGCATATCGTCCCGAGCTGGGCATGTACAGAGCGGTTCTGGAATCAGTATTCTTACGGACATGGCTGGCGATATCGCAGTTTTATCCTCGTCGTACCCGAGGATTGTCGATGCTGGGATGATGTTGAGGAAAAGGGACTGTGGATAGTATGCTTCGATCAGGATGTCACCCCGGCGATGGAGACGCATATGTGGGACTGTCAGCGGGATGAAGACTTGGAAATCGACAATGGAGAGGGATGGGTCGAGGTTGAGAGGATCGAGTACGGACCTCCTGTTCTCATCAAACGTGTTTCGCTTTGCAGGGAGGACCAGCAGCCTGGTGGAAGAGGCAATTCGACGATTACTTCTACTCTGTATGACATGTGGAATCAGATCACACGAGTGCTGAATGATTGTACATATCGGCACCCCTTGTGCTATGGTTGCGCAGAGGATGCTCCCCATGAATGTGAGCTCGAAATGTGAGTATCCCATTCGCAGAAGGTGGACCTCTCAGGGTGACTGACTTCTTCAGGGATGACCACTACTTTGATGAAGATGCACAATGTGTGGCCTGTCGACAGGCATCTGAATATCGACGCAGGAGCAAGAGGTTAGCACATAAGCGTAAATTGCAGGAGACGAGTCAACAATAGCCACGAATCATAATCATGCCTAGCTTGTGGGGAAACCAGAGAGCTTACCCTTGAAGACATGGCGATAGCAAATAGCAGTAAAAAGCCAAGTAGTTACAGCAAGCTACGAACTACTGACTGAAATCGGGACGTAGTGCTAGTCTGAGAGTTCCAGCTTGACAAAGATCACAACCAGAAACTGGCACCCCACTAGACAGGGCCTAGAGTGTTGACCTGTATCAATCCAGGTGGCCAGACTCGTATGGTTGGGGAACTACATTTAGAATTGGCGAAGACATACCACTTGGATGACTTGCGGGTATACCCCATGGTACTTAGCCTAGTTAGAATGACATTCACTTTAAACAATGGGCTGCTCCTATGTGGAATTCACTACATAACAAGCAGTGAATTTGACTGATGAAAAGTCATTCACCTCTCAGCCCAATTCAAGCTCATTCCTACCTCGTTGGACCCCTCTTACCAGCTACTTATAATACCACCTCCCCCTTCCTCATCATCATCCTTATCAACCCTACAAATGGGAAACACTGATGATAGATTGAATCCATCAAACATGTTTCTGATACTATCCCAAGATTGAACTGTCATGGAGAGATCGTTTGCAAGCGCACCCCTAAAGCCTTGGAGGCCGCTGTATGGAAGCAAATCAGCAAGACTCTGGAAAGCTCTGGAATTTGGTAAGTTGGGCCATTCATAGCTCCGGTCTCAGCTAACCTCGCAGTACAAACTCCAACACAGTGACAAACACATTGTGGCTTCAAATGACCAATTCATTCATGTTGCCTATCAAACAGGCGATTTTGGACCTGGCAGAGCTGCAGGTAGCCCATGAGCGCAACGACGATGACACTGAGGATGTGCCCCCCTCTTTTGGCTCTGGTCGAAGACAGCGAGTCAAGCGGTTTGAAACAAAGCTGGCCGGATGGTTTGGCCGCGTGGTCTGCGACGAAGGCCACGCAGCCAAAACCGTCCGGACAAGGGTGCACCAGGCCGTCGCTAGGCTAGAGGCACTCCACGTGTGGTTTCTGACCGCCACACCCCTGTACAACTGGGCGTTCGACCTCTGCGGATACCTTGCAATTCTGTATTCGGGACTTCGCCGGTCCAACATCATTGATGACACTGCGGATGATACAGACTGGTTCGCAGAATACAAACAATACGCGAACATGCAGCACCTCCCAACCCCTCCACCATACCGACTGCTGATGCCGAAGGCGTTCGTGAGCCTATTCCAGCGGGGGCATCTTGCCCCCCAGAACGCATACTGGGCCCTCCCAGTCATCATAAAGATGCTATGTCTCCGCCGAGACATGGGGGACCCTGTTGATCAAGCCAACCATCAGGGCAGGCGCAGGAGATGGTCAGAGTAGCTGCTGAGGCCAACGACGATGATGCACCGGAGGAAGTCAACCCCACAACGCCTGGTGGGCCGGGCGAGGCACAAGCCCGCATGTCCCTCTCGGCAGAGGCGCCGGCATACGATGCTGCGTGCCAGGAGCTGGCCCTCGACCCGGTCAATCCTTTGCTGGTCATCCCCAGCAACATGAACCAGCCGGCGACCACACTTAAGCCCTGGCAGGTCATAGCTCTGGCCGTCATCCCTGAGACAGATGATGAGAGCTACAATAAATCCCTTGAACCGAGCTACAAAAGGGAACGTGACTGGAATGGTGAAGAGTGAGGTACACACAATGGTTTCGATGAAGCTCAATTGGTATTCAATAGTGACGGTCCTACTTGCCGTGATTCGCCGAATCCATGGTGTATAGGATGGGACCAAGATGATAAGAAGGTACCATTGGATGAAAGGGCATTCAAGAAGTCTTCGTTGATGCACGGCACCGACAACAAGGCATTTACTCAATTGCCAAGCTCTGTTGGTGGCAGGGAATCCACCAAGTTTGGAAACGAAGATGAGTCTACCAACGAAAACCTCAACAATGAGATCGATATAGATGCATGCGAGACGGGGGGAATTACGACCATGATAGAGAATGAGGATTTCTCTGGTTTTCTTACTGACCATGACGAGTTGATTCAAGAGGATTTGGAAGATGAAACAGGCAATGACACGCTTTCCAAGCATCTGATCCTGCGAATATCGACGATCCGTCGATGTATCATCGACTGTTGTCAGGGACACGCTGTCATGTCTACCCATCGTACACATGCGGGTTGTTTATTAACCAACAGTAGCATAGTCAGGAATACAACTATCATCTTCCGTCATACGAGCTTACGCATACACTGCACCTGCCAATTGAAGTCCTTGTCTACCAAGGATATCGTGAGCGACGAGGATGTCAGCAAGTATCCATGGGGCCGTCCAGCCTACGCATTACAAGCAACTCTTGCTAAAGCGCCTCGATACACAAGAGATGCTGTTTTCACACTGGAAGCGAACAATGCGCTCCGGCGTATTGAAAGTTGGTTCTTCAAGCTTTCCAAGTTGGACGTTGCCACCATCGAGGACTGGGCTTTTCCAGCCAAGGTCAGAGATCCTGTTCTTGCAATACTCAAATTGCTCGGTGCGGATAATACAACCCACCCTGGGTTCTTCAAGCCTGACGGAAACTGAACATGTTCCTTTTCGTCAACCAACGTGTGCACAAGGCTTCTCCGTTTCACGAGACGCAGCGATCTGAGGACTCCTATGACGGCTGCTCATCAACGCGTGCGACGAACGACAGCTGCTTCATGAGAGGCAGTTTTTTCCTTGACTCGAACCGAGCGATCGTGCGTCACTCTCTTAGACGTCGTGCCAGACATAGAGTGGTCTTTTGACAAGTCTGGTAATGTCGCGCCCAAATCAATCAAGAACAATAGTCACCAGAGCGCGGTTATTCTCTACCAGAGAGGGATGGAGTGTGATGGACCCTGTGATCAGTGCAATGGAAACGCAGGAACCTTTCGTCATGTCATCTCCCTTAAGTACTCCCCTCCCAGCGTGAACAAGCGGGCCCTCTTCGGAGGTGCTTGTGCAAATTACATTTAGAATGGTAAAGGTTCAAAATGTGCATACATACCACAGGTGAGGTTATTTCATCCTATAGTCATTGTCTACCTTTCTGCTGACATAGTAATGACGGCGGAAAATAGAGAGCGGTTTGCTATATGGGTCACTGAGATCACCAAAACCTTCATCTCTCTTGTTGCTCAGGCGGGCGAAGTCCCCGAGTCTGCGACTGCGTTCCGAGATCTTCAACGGCACGACCATGATGAATTGATACAAACAATTCTTAGATACTTTCCAGATCAAGTCCAGATCCTGCTTGGTAGCATGGAGACCAAGACATTGCCACCAGATGATAAACCAGGCCAACCATGCAACTGGTGCTGGAGACCACTTCCACTGAACCAATCAGTTATATAGAGGTGGTACTGCAAGGTGTGTAGGAGGCACTATAGACAACATGGCAATTTCCTAACACATCTACCTGTTCAACAAGAGGAGCTTAAGAATCAATCATGTTCATGTGGCGATTGCGACAAGACAGGATATGAGGTGATGATGCTTCTTTTATCACATCTTTACTTCTGGTTATGCGTCTGTTATGTTACTTTTTACTACATCATGGTTTCCTTTACCTTCTGGTTATTGTTTTCTTCATTCGCCTGTTAAGGCTTCCTTAACACCAACTCTACAATGCTCTGCTTGGTTCTGGACAACTCTGTATCTTTTGTTTCCCAGTCTCCAGAACATTGCACAGCTCAGTCTGGATAATATCAATAATCCAAAAAATATCATGACAATGCAGGCTTCACTTCGCTTGGAGTTTGGCAGGCTTAAGTTTGGAAGTGGAGATAATATGGTGTTGAATATCATACCACTGTGACTATGGAATCCCTAGACTAAGGAGTACGTCGTCCGGACACCTTTTTGGTCTAGCTGTATTAGATTTTAATATGGGTTATCTCCGGGATAGAACTGTTAGATAGAGAATCAGGCTTCTTACTATCTCTATAAAGGACTGTACCTTCATAGTCTATCACAAATGGATTCACTCCAGGCGTTAGCTGCCACAACCACAACGAGAAGAAACCGATCTCATAGATATCTTTAGAACAAGCAGAGTATGAGCCTATGATCCATGAATCTTCCCCAAACGGATTGAGTATGATGACGATTCTGGAGATTACCAGGCTCAGTCTTCCGCTGTTACCATTATGGAAAGACTCACACGGCACACTTCTGCCTTAATAGAACATCAAAGGTAAATTCCAGGTAGCCTATCAAGCATTGTAGCAGCTCGTAGTTTTACACTTTTACTAGAAAGTGCCTGAAAGCCTCACCAGGCTGACCAGCCTTATAATTCTGTCTATCAGTAGTATAATTATTGCAAATGAGAGCGACTTTCAAAGACACAAATCACCTCCCGAGCCTTCACTCATATTTCCAGGAAATCAGAATAGCCTGGAGATCGCATTGCATAAGAGTCATAGGAGGTCCATATGAGTCGTCTGACGTCCACAAAACTAAAAGATTCAAATATCAGGCTCTCAAGTCGCCCAGCAGACCATTTGAACCCTTCCTTTGGAGTGTTACTGTACCACTGTTTGGACGCATCGCGCACAATGCCTTCCAGCCAGCAACAGTCGCCGGCTCCTCCTTCTGCCTCATACGTGGTTGCGAAGTGACCTTCACCTGTTGTGGCATTTTCGATCTTCCTTGCAAGTTCGTCGCGCCGTGTGCCATCGTCGGCCTCGTGAAGTCCCGCCCTAATATATAAGGAGCTCAGGACATTGGCTATGGTTTTGAGGTCGCGGTTAAAGCTAGAGAGAAGATAAAGAATTTGTATAATGTATGAAATGGCTGCGGGACGTCCAGCTACCCTATCTACATTATATCTTGGTCATAAACACACTCAAATGACTGAAGTGTCTTTTCATGCAGTATGATCGGCAGGAAGACGGCATCTTGAACTTAAGACATCAGAAGGTTATAATAATGTACAAGAGCGCTTAGTTATTTTTCATCAACTTCTCATAAAAGACAAAATGAGGATTGACATACTTAGTGACCAATTCCAGGGATTTGATGGGGAAGAGCAGAGTTGGCAAAGCACCACATGTTAGTACTATTATTTCTCCAAGGCAAAACGCCTTTAGTTGCTAGAACAATGTAGATAAGGGAATTCGGCAAGATGGATTCGTTTCTGCAAACACCCGCCAGGCATTTGCTCTCGCGCTCTGTTCATAATCTAGCCTGTTCTTCGTCTGTCAGTCCCACGCGCTATGATTTGTCCACTGGCAAGCCATCCTCGTTTATATCGCCGTCTGCCTGGGCTCCTGGCCAACCTCTCGGGCCAGCTGCAGAAACTCCACAAACCTCGTACGCGTTAGGCGTACGAGCGACCTGTTGAATGGACTCCGCTGTTGCCGCTGACGGTTGCGCAGCTAGAACAGTATACCTGACCGTAAGCCTGCCAGTGGTAGGAGGGGTGCTGAAATTCCATGTGTGCAATATATCCTCCTTGTAGCTGATCAGTTTCATAATATCTCACTTCATAACCTGTCTTGTCGCAATCGCCACATGAACATTGACAGTTTTCAAGCTCCTCCTGTGGAGCAGGTAGATGTGTTGGGAATTGGCCATGTCGTTTATAGGTATACCTGCACATCCTATAATACCAACCTCCATTTATCTGGAGCATTGGATCAGCGGAGGATGGCCTTTAGCACCAGTTGCATGGTTGGCCTCGGGGGTCGTCAGGTGGCAGTGACGCAATCCATGCTCTTGAGTAGCATGTAAAACACAACCACTGCCCATATCTGGCTGATTGTGTAAGGTTGCTCTTATTAGGACCGCATTGGTCGCATAGCTCTGGTCTGGCTCATTGTAGACCCCATTTGCTTGTATGCAGGATTGAAACTGCACAGTTTAAACGTCGATATGTCCCAGCAGTCCCTGAGGCAAGCTCGGTTTGGATTTCTCTCAGTCTCATTTCACACCCAGCAGGATGCAGTTGAAGATTGATCCTAATGGAATTAGGTCAACACAAACCATCACAGGTGGTTCCATCAGGACAAGGATTTCTTTTTGTAGGTTGCTGTCACACTGGACATCAACGCATTCATGGATTTCCCCATGCTCTGATAGGACTGCATGAACAAGCATTCTGTTTTGTCCAGTCCCAACCAAATCGGTGTTGGCAGAGCCTTTTCAGTGATATAACCAGATTATCCAAGAGTCAAGAGCGTATGCCTGTCAGTAGTTGACTGTCCTATTCAGTTCATATCCTTCATTCCCCTCTTCGTCTGGTTTGTCCACATGGATGTAGACGTCAACTGGGCGAGGATTGGGTGGGAAAACAGCCCCACAACAGCGGCATGTGGACGTCGTAGACATCTTTTATATTCTAATGTTTGTTAGTCTGATGGTTAAATGTCTGGGCTCTGGAGATCTTACCTGAAAAGTCCTTAGTAGGATGATGTTGGGAGAATATGGTTGGGGAGATTGTTTGGTTTAATGATGGTAGAGGTAAAGTAGGTGTTAGAGCCCATCATTGTTTCAGTCGATAATTCATAGATAGCTGTGACGAGGCCATGGCTTCGTTAATGCTATTTGATATCGTCATGCCTTCAACGGTAAGCTGTCTGGTTTCCCCAGAAGCTAGGCAGTGTAACTGCACTAGATAATGCAGAACTTGGCCTTCACTGCTGGCTGCTGCTCCCCTCTGATGCTGCTTGTCGCCAGTATGCCGAGCAATCCAAGACTGGACATCACGGCAGTCGCAGGAATGGTTCGTAAACACTTGGTAGAAAGTTGTTCTTAATGTAAGCAAGAATTTGATCAATAGATCAATAGAAGTATATGAGCCAAGACCAAGCGGAGAATTAAGTGCTCGCATGATTCATGTCAGATTGTGTACCTCCTAGTGTTGTAGAAGTTAGTGCCTGTTTTGGCAGATTTTAGATCTGTGTACAGGGTACTTACTCTCTTCATCAGGGATAACTCTCCTAACAGCATGCACTGGAATCTTGATTGGTGTGTTGACAAACTCCTTTGAACCCAGAATGAGCGAACCCGCCTCTGCCCATATCCAGGCTGGGAAAAGGATGTTCAGGACGCAGATCCAAGGACCTTGATGCAAAGTTTATGGCATATACTGAATTGCTGACCTTAGTGAAGGGGGTCGTCACTCTGAGCGTGATACCCGAAGACTGCTGGCTCTATGCATCAAATAGGCTTAAGAGAAGCATAATAAGGGTAAAACGAGCATGAAATGCGTCTAAATGAGCATCACTAGGATCGCAGCGTCAGCATGATCAACACAGTCAATAAGAATCAAAAATAATCAAAATTCGAATGTCTCAGTGCATCAAGTACTAACAAGGCCATGCATTGGAACATCCACACATACCTGGCTCGTCATTTCCTCTCTCTGGGAAGAAGACTTGTGCTGCTGATTGCCAAAAGGAAAAGTAGAGGGAGTTCTACTACCTATATGGCACATGGCACACTAACTTGCTTAATATCTGCTGATCTGTATTCACTTATTACTTCCTGATTTGTATATATGGCTGTCAATGACAGTGAATTACCTGATCTGGTACATCTACCCTGTATGTAATGTAGTGAATTTGTCTTAATTACTGTAATAGTGAATGGTCAACTTTTTGATTTGATTTTCTCGAAGATAATATAGCAAATCTTATAGAAAGGTAAAGAGAGGTCAACACTTTATACCCCTAAGACCACAACTCCAGACGTATCTGCTGCAGCAAAGCAGCCTCAGAGGCGAAAGGTTCCAGCGCTTTATCAACCCAGAGACACCAATCGTCATCGTATCATAATGCACATATAGCCAGGCAATACTCCCAGTAAGCTGGATACCAACCTGACTTCTCCCAGTCAAGAACGACAACCTGCAGTTCAGCGCTATCATCGCCGGCATCCCCTTCTTTAACTTGCAGCATTATATTTTTTCTCTGAAAGTCACCATGAGTGAATGTTGGGCGCTGATCACGGAGGACACGTGGGAGACACTGGCGAAGGAAGTCTGCTCTGTATGAAGGGCCAAAGTCGTGGGTATGTTTTTTGGCCATCGCTTCGATGAGGTCCTCGTTAGAGGTGAATGGGCCATTGATGGCCGGCTCCGGATTCCGCGTCCAGAATATCTCGTCGAGCAGAGATCGTTTGCCCAGACTACCGTAATAGCTCGGCGGCGAAAGCTTTCGTAGCTCGGTAAAGTATCGACGCAGCGTAGTGGTGACAGACTCCTTTTCCGAGAGGCTTAGCCGCGACCATGATGACAAGAGGGTCTGGCCAGCAATCCGTTCCATGACGATGTATTTCTTCCCAGTATTCGTGTTTGCATACAGCGCATAGACTCGAGGGACACGTATGCTCGTGTTCTCACCAACAAATATCATGTTCTCTCCCTCAAGCAGGTCGACTCCCATTCCAAACTTCACCACCAAATGGGGCTCAACGGCAACGACTCTCCGTCCTCCGTATGCCAAGGAAATATCGGGTGCCTCGTCGATCTCAGCTTCTGTAGGAAGTCGGCAAGGCAAATCAACCGCGTAGTATGGTAGCTTGATTGTAGTAGCCATTGCGAGTAGCTTGTTTGCGAGCCTGAAATTCGACTGGCAAAAGTTACACTGGGAGGTTAAGAGGTGTCCGGGTCTCATGCTCTTTTGCTGACTCACAGACGCTATGCCGCGCGGAACTAAGGGAGCATTACATGTTTGTCAATATAGGGCGACAATCGATGCCCGCCCTAGCCCCGCCTCAGGTCTAGCACAAGGCTGAGAGCTTTGTAGGCCGATCTGGATCAGCATGCTCACACTGCTACTCGAACAAGGAGTAAATCCTTACTCCAAATTCCGAACTCATTTTGCGGAAATTTTCTGGGGAACGTCATTGAACTCGACGGTTTATAAATCCAGGGATGAGCAGAAATCGAAGCTGACGTTGAAATGTGGCGCCAACCCCTGGTTAATCGTCCGGAGCGACAGTGAAGAAGGGATCAGCATTCCTGCAGCTGTAAATGAATGGTTCCCTGTTGCAGAGATATGATACATACCCAATATATTACACCGACAAGGCCGTGTTGCTGTTATTGGCCAAGATGACCAGGGTCAGAATGCGGCGCAGCATCACAAAAACCCCTCAACATCATCCACCTTCTCCCTTACGTACTCTGAAAGAACATCAAAGAGCGCAATATGTCCACCTCCGTTTGGGATCCCGATTCTATTCTCCAGATCAGCGACGCCTCAGGCCGAGGCATGTTCTGCGTTGGTCTGGCGCGCTCCCGCTACGACAGTCGGTGTCGGTGGAATATCCCGCAGGATAGGTACACTGCCGTTCTGTCCGTGTTAGATGATATATCCATGAAATTGCCACATAATGTGACCAACAGCGAACTCCGGCGCCTTGCTCGATTGGGATTGTGCGAGTATCATGGTCACCAGGAGGGTGAGATTGTGGCTAAATGGGAGAATGTCCTTAGATGTGTCGATGGTATCTACCGGGCGTACGAAAGGCGAGAGGAGGAGACGACTCGAAAGTTGGTGCTATTGGGGAAAGAGATAATTGAGTGTAGAAGCTTGCTTGGAGTCAAGGAAGATTGTGATGAGGCTTGTTCTGTGGTGCTTCGCCGGTATATCAACAACAATGCACAATTGAAGGAGGAATTGGTGGCGATTCAAGCGACTTGTGCACGGCTCCAGAAAGACCAAGAAGAGGAAAGCTGTCGACTCTCTGCCGAGAACTCTCGTCTATCGACTTTACTCAAGAGAGCCGAGGAAGAACAGCAACGGTGCCAGAACCAAGAATCAAATGTAACCGCGGAATGCGAGAAGCTGCGCAAGCAGAATGCAGCATTGCAGGCAGATGTCGACTCTGGGAAGGACAAGTGTAAAGATTTGCAAGACAGGGAAAAATCAGCAACTATGGAGCTGATCGCCACGACTGCTCAACTGCATGGAGTTCAGTCTGTCAACCTGGGCTTGGAGAACGATAAGAAGGCCTTGCAGTCAGAGATCGACATCCCGAAACAGGAGGTTAAGAGATTGAGTGATAGCAATACCTCCATCTCCTCCCAGCTTGCAAGAACTACAGCTTCTCTGGAGACAGTGACAACGGAGCTGTCGGCTGCCCATCAAGCGAACATGGAGTTGCGCGAGGAGTTGACGGCTGCAACTGGAGAGATTCGCCAGCTCTCAGGCACGACAGATACCATACAGGTGGTGGAAAGGGAGTTATCTGCTGCTCATAAAGAGAACATGCAATTGCGTGTTGAGCTCACAACTTCAACTAGACAGATTATCGAGTTACGCAGTAAGATTAGCGAGCTATCGACTCCAGTCTGGCACAGATTGATACAATGGATTCAGCAAAAACTCTCGGGTCTCAAGCATTTGCTGAAGCCGGACAAGGAAGTCTCAGACGAAGAGGAGGGAGTGGCGCTGGCCCAAGGCGTCGCAGTCAGGGACGCAGGACTGGCTTGACGGGGCACGAAGATTATAGTACTTGGTCCATATAAGCAGACTAGCGAGGCATTCATTTGATGTGGTTTACGAGTCACTTGATCAATCCTTGAGGCTGATTTTCTCTGTTTAACAGTGTTCATTCCAGTCACACAAAATTTACTGGAAAAGCTGTAGGCACCGCACACATCTAGTATAATCAAGGTATTTGGTTAAAATGTAGACAGACAAGGCATGAAGTAGCTCTGGTAGTAATGCACTAGAGCCACCCGTATCAGAAGCACCTCTAACAGCATATGAGGATCATACATCCTCTCCAGAGACACAGTGCTTGATTCGTCTCATTTGTCTTCAGCCAGGCGCTGATGTTAATACCGGTGTCACTCCCAAACATTCTGCGAGATCTAGACAAGGGTTTGAAGAGTCCCAGAGGGCTGGTGATTGTAGTATTGCAGCCGGCGTTTCAAGTCTGACGAAAGTACTTATTCCGCTGTGTAAGCGGATGGCTCTCTTCATCCTTCTGGCGGGCAAAAAGGCCACACAGGCCAAAGGTCAGGATATTCACGGCCGCATACACAGCCTTAACAAAGACCGGTTGGTCATCCCGGACTTGTTCCTCTTCGATCTCGGTCGTTCCATCCGCCGCCAAGTAAACAGTGTGGTTTCTGGGCAGGTAGCGGCCCGGATTGAACACGTTCCATAGTAAAGAGTTGAGGAGCATGAGCGATGCCTCGAAGACATAGAAGTACCACTCATAGCGCAAGAGGGGACTCAAGGTTCTGAGCTTTTGGATGTCATTGAGATCCACCGACGTGTTGCCCACGTGTTCCACCAGGCGGTAGATGCAACGGATCAAGATCAATGCCATGCTTATGTTTAGCGTGACCAGGAGCGTTCAACGCCTCGACGAGTGCCATCAGACTACCGAAAATGGCCGAAACTTTACCAGGAGGAAGAGGGGCGAGATTCGGGACGTAGTAGAAAATCCGACCAAGAACATGGTAGTTGGCGAGCTCAAGAAGCGGACTATAGAGTGAGACAGATTCAGTCAGCACCAACGGCATTGATCTGTCAGACATATACATAACTCACGGGCAGATATAAATAAAAACCTGGCTGAGAATGTAGACGAGCAGGTTTTGTGAGTCGTACATATAGTGCCCATAGGCTCCATATGCTTGCATAGCATAGCCGACTGTAAATAGTACTGCACAGAATGGGTGCAGCCCGATCATTCTAATGCATTTGTAGCGGCTAACTATGGGGATTAGCCGGTCTAAGTATGAATCAGAAGGGCCAGGCTGCACTTACAGACATTGCCAGATATGGCCAATTGCCGAGGCAGCAAATGCAATTGTAAAGAAAATGGGGGCTGCCTTATTGGGAACGTAGACATAAAGGCTCCCCGGGACTTGAGCTGTCAGTATCATATTGCTGTGGACGAGGGATCAGACTACCTACCAACCTGCCCACTTGCCATCATGTACTGGACTTTGGAGGTAAAATTCTTGAGTGGATTGTTGTTTTCTGAAGGTGACTTGGAATGGGACAGCAGAACATGGTGGCTTATATGGCTCACCCAGTTGCTGATGTGTTTCTATTTTCTATCACCTCTAATGAATGATATTATAGGGCATCATGAATCATGAGACGCTTTACTGAATTAGGAAAATAGACTCGCCAAGACGCTAACATAGGAGGGACGATCATCCTGGAGTGGCTGAGTACTTTGTTGCTGAAGGCCGCTTCGTCTTACCCCCATCATCCACACCAACACCATCAGAGTTATCACCACCCCCTAAAGCCACTCATATCTCCATCAATCGACCGTCTGGACTGGTGGACGAGAAATGGAGGAGGATCGAAAGCGCCACTGTTGGGAATGTCTCCGACGTTGTCTAGTCTGTGACTTCACCCGTCCCCTATGCAAGCGGTGTTCTTCCTGTGGGATTATCTGCCCCGGATATAACGAAACGGAACCTTTCAGACTAAAGTGGCTTGCCCCTGGAAGGGTCAAATCTCGGAATCGCAAACTTACGAGCAATATTCGCAAAGAAAAACCGGCTAGCATCCCCCGTTTTGAGACCATTACTGATGCCCCGGTCTTGGCCCAGGCAGCCGAATACTGTAAGTGAGAGCCACATTGACATTATAATATGACAAAAAATGACTAACTCCTGGGACAGATAACGCCTGTATATACCCAGACTTAGTCCCCATTAACGACCTTGGGCCAAACCGTGGCATTTACAGGATCTCGCCCATGCATCTTCAGCGAGGGGCTGCGCACCCCGACTATTTACGACTTGGTATAGTCTGTATGACCCTCAGCCATCGAATGAACCGAACGAGGAATTATCCTCGGTCCCATCCCCTGGCAGTGACCTTTTTCCGCTACCGGGGCCTTGTCATTCGCTCTCTCAGTGTCGATATAGACGAAGGGCATAGGCGTATGGGTGATGTCGTGATTGCTGGAATCATCACGCTTCTACTCATCGATGTAAGTCGATTCTCCGGATGGAAACCGTCAGCCCATGCTGAACCCAGGTTTGCCACACAAGGCCCAGCAAGGTGCCTCTCCACACTGGCGATACCACATCGAGGGACTCCAGAAATTAATCACGCTGCGCGGCGGCATTCGTTCACTGGCTAGGTCAACCGGTCTAGCGCCGCTGCTTCATTGCTTTTTATTGTATGTTGTTGTGTATAAGACTATTCGGTTTGAAGCAGCATAAAGCTGACCGCCGCTCAGCGTTCTAGTTATTGGGGACACTTCATCGCCTGCGTCAGACTTGGCGACGGCTACTTTACCCCGTGAGGAAATTGAGTTCATCCTGGAAAAGTTTGGCGGTGAAATCTTTGCCTTCCAGATGTGTCCCAAGCCCTTGTTCGCCGAGGTTATAAAGATCAATGATCTTCGTGTGCGAGCCTCGAAAAAAGAATCTGCGGGACTGGAGGACCTCGCTGAAGGGGCGTATGGAATACTCAGCCGTATCCATATATTCTCGTCAGAACAGTGGAGTGAGTCCAAGCCGTCGTCAAAGGAGGAGTGGATGACTGTAGGAAACGTGTACCGGGCTGCCGTGGCATTATACTGCGTCTTGTCGCTGCAGAGTCTATCGGTTCTGCCGCTGACCTCTTTACTGAGAGCTAGTTGTACCACCCATGGCCAGCTTCTGCAGGTGCTGCTCAGTGGGGCACTGTTGTCCCCGAAAATAAAAAGATTCTTACTATGGCCTTTGGTCGTGCTCGGGGTGGAAGCTGTGAATGGCGGCCCGGTGATGCGTGCTTTTGTTCGAGAGCAGCTCCCAGAGATGAGTCGCCACATCGGCTCATATGTCCCGCTAACGGCAAAAGGCGTCCTTGAGAAATTCTGGGCTTCAGGCGAGACGTCATGGGATGCTTGCTTTGATAGACCGTACACATTGGCGACGCAGATTGCAGTGGACCTCAGCCAGTTGACCTAGAAGAGCAGCGGTGTCGTACCATGTACGTTGCTAAAATATTAACCGGGAGTTTGGATAAGATGGTCGTCGCTAGAGCTTCTCTTTGTGATGCATGTCTGCGAATTACTGGCGTTTTTCCTCCTAGAAGAGCTCAGGTGCTCCAAGGGCCGCGTTGCTGGATCTCGGGTATTATTTTGGTTGCAAAGTCAATAAACTGAACAAATGCTCTAGGTAGTAGCGCCGGGAATCCCTCCCTTTTGATCACTAGCGAGATATAGGAATCTCATTATCTCACTCAGTCCATCCTCAATAAGAATAATCTCTAAGCTAGAGGACCTAGTTACCCCTGGTGCTCGAATAACCACACTAGCAGCTCCCACGACTTGACATCATGTTGAGAAAAAAAGTAATTCTAGATCAAGGAGATAACAATAGAATTAGATAATCCAAAGGAGATAGTCGATAGGAAATATGTAGGATAGAATGGGCAATGTATGGAGGGCCAAGAATAAACGAAGGTTATGTGAGAAATTGTATAACTAGACCTCTCTGCATAGCTGTAATCTCCCGCCCCAATCCCATAGACTGGGGAAGATATTATATAGAGGGTGTCGTGATAACAAAATAATGATTCTGAGAGTTAGAGGCTCTAGATAAAAGAGTTATGCTGACTTAAATCCAGTTTCTTTAAATGATAGAGTTACCAGCATGTGATTACTTTTAGAGGAACAGGGGTTGTAATAATAGGCCGAGCTACTGTTCTGTGCTCCATTCTTGTACTATATTAGGATCAGTCTAATTAGTAACAAGACTGGTGCCGAGGTACAAAAGACAAAGTTATTGCCATGAGCAGAATTATAAATTGATATTTCAGCAAGAATAAAGAAAAGATCAGGTGAAGGCGGTGCTTAACCAAGAAAGCTACTTGTCATTAGCACCAATAAGGCTCTCCAGTATACAGCGTGCAAATGTTACAGGTCAAGCGTTCAGCACAGGCTGAGCGCTCATAGCAGTCAAAGAACAGAACCGGCAACAAGTCAGCGCCTACTGATAGGTAGCTACTGCTCAGAGGCGGCAGGGGGGAGGGAAAAAGGCTTCTGGGCACCAGTGTCCTTCTCGTTCGCACGGAACATGGGGCTGGTGCGCTCGAAGTAGGTGTGCACGGAACCATGCAGGATATCGTGGTCGACATCGTCAGCATCGAACATGCCCTCTTTCTCCGCGACCTGGTCAGTCATGGCGGTCTCCCACTCGTCGCGGAACTCCTGGACCTTGGCCTGGTAGTCGGCATCGGCGTCGTAGTACTTGCCCTTGCCCATCAGACGTTCCCATACTGAGAGGTGCTTGGGATGGACGGCGGGGCCGTGGTACTCGTGCTCGCGGCCCTCGCGGATGTACCGCCAGCGGCGTTCCTGCTCGCGCAGGTCAAGTCCGGTAGTGTCGGGGAGGAAGGCCCAGGTGATGACCATGCCGAAGAGGCCGAACCAGGGGACAATGTAGAACAACTGCTGGGTAGTGGTGTAGGCACCAATAATGGCGATGACCAGGGCACCAAGCTTACCAGCAGCAGCAGACAGGCCGTGAGCAGTGGCACGGATTGGGGTCGGGAACACCTCAGCGGCCACGAGGAAGGTGATGCAGTTCGGGCCAAATTGGTTGAAGAAAGAGCTGATGAAGTACATGGCCTGGAAGGAGTGGATGTGGGCGGGCTCCTGATAGTACTTCAAGGCAAAGGCAGGGATGACAAACATGATGAAACACATCAGGAATCCGACGATCTGCATCCACTTACGGCCGTAGAGCTTGTTGTCGACGAACCAGGCGGCCATGTAGTAACCAGCCAGGCTGACAGCGATGTTGACCAGGTTCCAGAGCCAGTTGGTCATCAGGGACGTGGAGTGGGGACTGATGACCTTGATGAAGTTGCTCTGGAAGAGTTTGTTGCCGTAGAAAAAGACATCATTCGCAAACCAGCCGCCAGCGGTGGCGATCAGACGAGGGGTGAAGTGCTTGAAGGTGAGAGCCAGGGACTTGCTATCGTAGCCGGTGACGGACACCTTCTTCTTAGCCACGGCAAGCTGCTTGCTGGCGGCCTTCATGTGATACGATCGGTAGTAGATCAACCACAATGTACCGACGGCAGGGATGGCGAACGACACTCGGTAGGTCCACTGAGTCGTGGTAGCGGAAATTGGGGGCGTTCCGTCGCCGTGGTGGAAGATGAGAAGTAGAAGGATCAAGATCACCTGGTTGGCGAACTGGCCCCAACCCTGCATCAGAAAGGCACTGATGACTTTACGACCCCGGTGCAAACGATCTTCGCGCGTGGAGATCTTGCCGGAACCAACGCCGTTTTCCATGCCGATGGTGGCCGTCATGGGATACTCGCCGCCGACGCCGATACTGTAGAAGAAAAGAGACCAGGCGTAGCAGATGATCCAGCCATTCTGGGTGACACCCCAGGCGGCCGTGAGCATCAGCAAACCAACAAACATGATTGTCGCGTCCTGGATGAGACCCCAACGACGACCGATCCTATGTGCAACAGGTGAGTAGCCGTCATCCAATATGGTCCCGGAAGATAGCGCGAAGGCACTCACCAGTCACCAAGAACGCCGACCAGAATCTGACCGATCAGAATACCGACCACTTCCAGATAGCCAGTCGCGGCGATCCAGTTCTTGTTACATGTTTTATGGGACTTCCAGCAGTCGGGAAAAGAGGACTGGAAGAGAGGCGTGACGTTTCCGATGGAGAAGAGGACGTAGCTGGTCCATATTAGCAAGACGAGGACTATTGTTAAAGCTAGTATGCAGCGCGCGCAGCTTACCCTTCCAAGCCAAGACCGGCACCAGGCAGCACGGCGTTCCTGAAATAATAGGCGATGGGTGACAAGGGGTCGGTCTTGAACATGTTTCCCAGCCATGAGAGCTCGGAACGAGCCTCGGCGCCGTCCGTAGACGCCACGAAGCGGAGGCGTTGGCCGACAGGGAGGTCGGCCCAGTACTGGCCGTCAGCATTGTAACTGTCGGACGGCCGCATCAGCCTGTCGAAGGCTTCTTTCTCGTGCAGCTCCATCTCCGTAAAGGTATCCTGTGCGCCCTTGGCGCTGGCCGGAGTGTGTTCGGCTGAATCCGCCATCTCGCCCTAGATGTAATCCGTGTAGAGCTTGTGAGATCACTACAGGTTAGTTGAAGTACTCCAGAGCAAGACTTTGCTGAAGTTGGTACCTGCGAAAGACGATCCCAAACGGAGAATGGGCTAAGGATGCGAGGGTTGCATATGAGAAGATACCGGAACAGGGGGAAATGGCTCAGGTTAAATAACATAAAAGCCATAACGGGCCTCGACATGAACGGCGAAAAGAAAAAAAAAGAAAGAAAAGAAGAAAAGGCACGTGTGGCCCAACCGAGGAGTGTATACTCGTGCTTTCCAATACACACGAAGCACGTTTCTCGATGGCAGACACTCAATGGTCTATCACATCGCTGGGTTTACAGCGAGGCCCATGCGATCCCAGAAAGAGAACCTCTGAGATTAGTTAATTATCTCGGTCTCCAGGACACCACTTAATCAACTAATCAGCATCAGGTTGGCTGGAATATAAGCGAACTTGGCGATGCTTATTGCTGATGGAATGGCTTGCACCAATGAGCTTAGCAGACTTGGCAACGCCATGGAATGGTTCCACATGGATTTTTTTTCCATGGATTTTCTGAGCCGGATCTGAACTCTGTACGGAGCAAACTAGCTGGATTGAACCTGACAAGCCTGATGTTCTTCGAGCTAATGCCTGTGAAGCAGTGACATGCTCTTCGTCAAGGGGTAAGCCCACGACTGCGGTGACTTATACGCAAAAACCTTGTACGTCGGCTTTAAGGGTGCTTAAAACCATACCAACAACCTCGAATCCTATACTGACAGGCTCAACAAGCGCGGTACTGTCGACTAGAGCAGGCGGCCACTTTGCTCTCTACCAGCATGGGGTCACATATCTCCGCACGACGTTCTCAGTCCGGGTGACATTTTGATATTTTCATGTTCAGGGGAAAACAGCAGCATAGGCCCCTGGTTTTGATTTGATATTGGTCAGATTCACCTTGCAGTCCAATAGACAGCCGAGATTTGAGCACGCCGACACCCAACGCCTGCTATTGGAGGCTGTAATCTCAACCGGCCGCTCGCTAAGCTTGCCGATATCCGCCGCGTGGCGAAAGCTTGGCTTAGTGGCTGCCACAGTGGGTTTCTTGTGGTTTAACCGTTGTGATTATGAGATGAGAATTTAAGACCAGCCCAAAACAAGAACGCTACTGGATGACTGAAAGGGGTCCGATCCCCAGGCTCACCAAACAGATCCATTCACAGCGAAAATAAGCTTCGAGAGTCACTTCCCACATAGTTAAGACAAGGCACCCACTTAAGAGACTTTTCAATGTCCTGCCATCCTTGGTGCAGCCAAAAAAAGTGAGACCCCCGACAGGCCTTTGAGAAGGGATGGGAGTAGTCTATATAAATCACGTTATCTAACACATTACACGCATACTATGCTGCCCCAAAACCAGGCTAAACAGTTAAATGGTAGTTTTGTGCACGCCAACTATGACAGAGGGATGAAAGTCATCTAGATGAGCCGAATTGGCATAGTAGTGAAACAAGCTCGGAGGTAGCCATGCTCTTGTCCTGGTTGCCCAAGAAGGGAGTAATTGTGCAATGGAGAGATATCACCGCGTACTCCCATCGGGCTGAGGTCTCCTTCATCAAGCATCGCAATCAAGAGGTGACCAGATGGGAAGTATGCTTTTACGGTCGCTACTGAAAAGATACTCCTCACCACTACAGAACCATGTTCATTCAAAGTCCAGATGTTCGAAAGGGCTTGCGACGGGTTTTGTGTGATATGAACAAGTATAGAAGCGGCTGTTGATACCCCTGGGAGATGATCCTGCAATGAGCGTCTGGGAATATACTTAAGCAGCGGCAATGGGTATAAGTTTCGGATCAACTTTCTCTATACTCATTTGCGACTCATAAATTGGGTAGAACTCAGTCTTGCCACTCCTAGTAGTGTTGTACTGTACATCAACTACAGACATGATCTAAAATAACCGCATTGATCAGGTCGGTTGCCGAGCAAGACTATGCATTCAACAACCTGTGTCGCTTCAGTGGTGATGTCAAGTCAAGTCATTCGTGTGCCTCTATCCCAGCAGGTTTATCTAAATAGCCTATGACCTTGCTGACTGGGTGATTTGCTACGGTAGATGCTTCCGTGGCTTCTCTGGCCATCTTCCTTGCACAATGATTATATCATGAGCAGAACGATGGCTACTGGGACCAGCCTGGTTTGATCCTATGTCACAATTTTCCACTTTCCCATAGACAACCATGCCAATCTGCAGGCATAGCTGATACGGAGCTGCAATGAAGTCAGATAATCCGAAAAAGCTTAATGATGATGCAGTGCTACATCTACGTCGCCATGCCGAGATTTATGAGGAGAGAGGAATCGACAACAGCCTGTAAAACTGTTGTATCTAATATTCTGGAGGGAAACCGTTAGTTGTGATCACTGGAAGATCTTTAAACATGTAGTCCCTAGTGCCACTGCGACTATGTAACTTCTCTATAGCTTTCCCTCTCTCAGACTCTGTCTGCTTCCGGACCTCAAGTGATTCCTGTATAGCCATGAGCCAGCCTTCCGTCTGCTGATGTAGCGTACCCAGAGCCTCCGGGGAGAGTACTGTTGAAAGATAAGAGAAGTCCTTTACAGCCCTAGTCCACCAATCGTGCTGCTGAGGGGGACGTTTCTGGTGGAGCAGATCTGGTAGTGAGGATCGACTAGGGGAATGGTAATATACCAAATGTGTCCCAGTCTCGAAGAATTAACCGGCGAGAATGGTTCAGCCTTGTATCATAAGGTTTTAGGCCAGGCGGGTGGCCGGCCATTCCTGGTAGTGGCATTGGAACTGAGATCCTGAAGGGCTTCCGAAGGAAAGGAGGGTGGTCTGGCAAAGTAGTCCCAATGTGGAATATCCCAAGCCAGCTCAATCTTGTCCGGAAAAAGATATTGAACTCGTATTCATTCATGCGGGCCTCTTGAAGGGAGATTCGGGCCTCTCCGATATTCTCAACATCATAGTAGCACACAGCAGTCGCCACAATTCGCTCATTCAATATATCAGCCACTTGAAAGTCCGAGTTGCCCTCATTCTCTCTAGCGTCAGATCAACACTAGACACTTTGAAAATACCTGCAGGTTGAAGTTGTAGTACTCATGGTCGGGGATTAGGTCAAAAGGCTGGTTGGGCTCAGAGACGTTGACAGGGATTCCCCTTCTGAATTGCTTCCTCTCTGTGACGCTCGGGTATATTGTGAGTACGAATCCGCATTGGCTTCCTCTGTTGCTTTCCGATGACCAATGCCTCATTCCAGAGAGGAATCACCCGAACAAGAAGTTCTTCAAAGGCTTTGTATGCTCCATCCTGCACCCAAGGAAGGTTATTGATGTAAGAACTAATCCTTGGGCGACTAGCTCCATCAGGGAATTCCACCTCGCAAGGAAGCCACTGAAACTTATCAGAGAAGAACGATGCTTTTTTTCTCCTCGCTCATCGTCTCTATGGCCATAAGGGTTCTCATAGTCGGTTTTCGGTGTGTGAAAATCAAAAGAATTCCTATGGGGCTTCGTCGGTCGAGGAACTGTTCGAACACTGCTTTGAGCTGAGGGACCAGCAGGTTCAAGCCAGTGCCGTCCGCATAAACAAGGACATGGGTCCGCTCATATACCAAGGGATGCAATGAGGGATCGAGCAGATGGCGTAGCGGACTGGATTTACCCGATTCATCAGACGATGGGCTCCAATCGTCTTATGGGAACAACTACATATAGCGTCGTTGAGGATCCCTCGTGGCGATTCTCACAGCACTGATGGGAGGTGCCAGAACACCAGAGACGTTTTCGACCGCCGCAACTGCGCGCCGAAAGATGACTGACCAGATATCGAAGCTTTGGGGCCAGTGTTCAAAAACACCAATATGAATTACCAGAGTGTGGCTGGAAAATGCGGGAAAGAGTTGAGTGTATAGCATTCTCGTCTTAGGTTACACAGTAGAAGATCTTTTCTGTATATGAGAAATCTTCAAAATATCGATTGACTCAAGAGTCGATGGATGTAGAATACGAGGTTATTTTGTCATTCATACAATGGGTTTTCTCAATAGCTCGTATTCGCGAGATCCTTCCATAACCTAACCGTTTCCCGAGCATAACGTTATCTGGAGCATAACGATGACCATTCCACGGTCCACAATATAAATACTTGGATTCGAAGCCATCTATACCCTCGCTAGCACATTCGATTACCATATTCTATCAGTCAAGTAGCTTATAAACATCATGCCCTCCGGATTCGCCAGCAACGGCCTTTATTGGCAGACAGAGGCACCCCTGCAAAAGGGTAATCCCACCATTCTTTTCATCCATGCTTCGTGGATGTCATCGACCATGTGGGAAGAGACTGTTCAGCTTCTGGCACCACGGTTATCAAACGTCAATCTCCTCCGGATTGACCTGAACGGCCAGGGAAAGACCACCGCTGGCCGCAAGGAGTATACTCTCTGGAATCAAGCCGAGGATGTCCTCGCTCTCTTGGTATGAACAGATTCCACACAGCTAGGAGCAAAGCTAATCCCCGGCAGAAAGAGCTCGAGCTCTCCAACGTGTTGATCGCCGCCATCTCCATGGGCTCCATGATCGCCCTCCGCCTGGCCCTGCTCGACCAGGCCAGATTCCGGGGCCTTGCCCTACTCGGCTCCAACGCATCAGCCGCAACCGATGCTCAACGTAGCGCATTCTACCAGCTTCGCGATATCTGGGTTGCGACACTCGCTCCCAGTGAGCAGATCATGAACGCTGCCATCCTCAGCTGGGGCGGGAATCCTGATCTGGACGGCCCGCGTGCGACTCGGATCAAGCAGGACTGGGTCCAACGCCATTCAGGCGCCGCGAATGTGGAGCCTACTCTGAATTCGATGATGGAGAGGGATGCTGTCCTTGATCGACTAGGGGAGATTCGTGTTCCGGTTCTTCTGATCCATGGGGAGGATGATAAGACGTATCCATTACAGGACGCCGTGGAGATTCAGGAACGGCTGGTTAACGCGGATGTGCGCTTGGAGGTTGTCAAGGGCGAGGGCCATCTGTTGATCCACTTGAGGGAGGCCAAGGATGTGGCTGAGTGGATTCAGGCTTTCTCACAGAGGGTTTTTGGATGATCTGAAGGATTTATGTTTTAAGTGACACTCAATGTTTGAAAGGCTCGTCGGTGCAGTTGCAATACTAATTCCATTCCATGAGCTTGGCAGAATTTCAAACTATTCCAACCAGCGAGCTTGATACCTCAGATACCTCCTAGATGTTCCAGAAGCCTTCCGTATCTCATTAACAGTATTTAGCATGCGATGATCATTCATATGAGTAACCTCTTTGATCAACTTCTCTAGCTTTAGGCAGACAAACTCAGCATGTCTATGTACAGCTTACCTATCTGTCATCACATCTCTAACGACCCAGATGAATGCCTCTCCTTATCATTCCTCCAGACTAAGTGATTGTACCCCCTTAGTGTACCGCCTAACGATGGGCTCTTCACCAATTCACCACCCTCTCACCACGCAAAAACTTCCCAACATCGCCATCTCTCTTCTTCTCAATTATCCCCAAAATCATCTCCGCGGAAACCATCGGATCGCCCGCCCTTCCTCCTGCAGACACAGCTTCCTCATCCTTTCCTCTTAGATTCGACCTAACCAGTCCGGGGCACACAGCGAACACGTGGATCCCCTTGGGACCAAACTGCTTGTGCTGCTGTACGACCAGCATATTCAATGCAGCTTTGCTCATCCGATACGTCACGCCGTCATAATAGTAGGCCAGAGATGCGGGATCAGCCGCCTCGGACAACGAGCCCAGGACACTCGAAACAAAAATCGAGTACGGACGAGCCGACTTCATCAGCAGAGGGTTGAACGTCTCGGCGACCAGTGCAGGTCCGATAGAGTTTACAGCGAATGTCTCCTCCATTGCCGTTTTGGTTGATTGGGCCTGTGAGGCGACGCCTGCATTGTTGATCAGGACGTCCAGACGGCCGAATTGCGATTCGATCTGCTTTGCGGCGGATTCAATTGAGGTAGGGTCGGTAACATCTATTTGGACGCTAGAGAGAGAGCCTTTGGTGGTTTCCGAGGACTGAATCTCCTGGACTGCGGCCTGGCCGTTTGCGAGAGAGCGGCTGCCGATGATGACGTGGTATTCTGGCGAAGCTAAAGCTACGGCTTTGGCTGTTGCAAAGCCGACACCAGAGTTCGCACCTGCAATGGTTAGTCGGGGCTTCAAGGCAAATACGTTGATCATCTTTACCTGTGATGAGTACGACAGTGGATGGTGAGTTCGACATTATTGATTGGCGATATGACCAAGGATAAGAAAGGCGCTGTACTTTGTACATTCGACTATTCATTCCTTGCTAGGTATTATATAGGTCGTGATACTCATGGCCAGACATACATGCAGACTCCGGAAATACGCCTAACTCCGCGTAAACCCCTTGACACGTTGAGCCTGATGCCTAAATCCACTGAGTCGAACCGAGTCGAGTCATCGCAACGAACAATAAGCATACAACCTTGGATGGCCAGAGAATCAAGATTAATGTGCCTTCGAAATTCCGTTGGTAGGATGACCGTCGGATGCTGAGATCTATATATATAGTGAGGGCTGTAGATACGCTGAGCAAGTCGCCGAATGCAACAGCCATACCAAGTCTGATGGTGATAAGTATCAACCCGCGCAGGCAGAATGTGCAAGGGTTTCTGGTCCGAAACTTATTCAATGTCGAGTATTTGAGACCGCATAGTATTTAACAATTGAGATGGGATGATATCTCATGCAAATGTTTCGATGCAGATATCTGATTCATATGGCATAAAGTTTGCCACCTATCATAAGTCAGCGTTAGTGGTGTAGCGGTTAGCATTATTGCCTTCCAAGCAATAGATCTGGGTTCGACTCCCAGCTAACGCATTGTCTTTTTCTTTTTTCTCTATTTTAACTGCCCTTTTACTTCGAATGGATACATGTTTTTCTGAGCATCTTCATCCCAATGAGACAAAATGATCGCAATGAAGAATTCCACAAATAGAACTACCCTATTCGTCCCATACTCTTTGCACTCATTATGATCACAATTCTCAAACCAATCCCAAGCAATCACCCATGTTCCCAACTGCTAAGGCCTTGTCAACGCCTGAAGGCTCATGAGTCGACAACCTGCGCGCTAAAGGACTTGTCAGAACCTGGCTGAACAGTAATATTAATTGATAATGTTGCATTCCAAGTATGTCAGCCAGAAGGATAAGCAATAGACTCCTCACTACAAATAGTCGACTTTTACTAGCACAACAAGGGCTCTACTTACAATCGCTTTCTCACTTTTTCAGGCACATCAACACAAATGAAAATCATCCTCACCGGTGCGACAGGCTTCGTCGGCAGCGAGGTTCTCGAGCAATGTCTCCAAAAATCTGTGGTGGTCCTGGCGCGCCGAGAACTTCCCCCAGCGATGATGGGCCATCCCAAACTGACGGTCAGAATCATTACCAAATTCATGTCCTATCCCGATGATTTGCTGCGTGATCTCCGTGGAGCCGAGGCGTGCATATGGTATGTCGAGCCATCGTCTCATCTCATACACCAAAGTGCTCAGTACTGCAGGACACTGGCCAAGGCGCCGGACATGGGGCGGACCATGGACGGGGATACAGTACGAGTCTGCCTCGATTATACGCTAGCTGCGATCAAAGCATTCGATCAGTCTCGACAAGGTGGCAGACAGGATGATTGACTTGGCACTCGACAGATTTGGGAGAATGCAATGATGAATGGACAGTAATTTATGCTGCACTTTATTGTCAGGGACTGGGCTGGAGCGGACTTTACTGCATCTGAATTTCATCGGTATCAACGCACAGAGCATATCAAACCAATTGAGAACTAGACATGAGCCTCTATTTCCCTTAGCCACCATAGATAGCGAAGACCTCATCGGACTGAATACATATTTAAGACGTGCAGAGAATGATCACCAGACAGCGATCATACGCATACAATCACTGGGAGAGCCGTTGCTGTGTGGGTCGATGTCTAGCCATAGAGAGATAGAATGAACTGGACATTATCACCTGTCCGTGAAGATTTGTTGACTCGCAATGAAGGCCTACGGAATCGGACACGGCAAAGAAATCACTTGGATATGTGAGGGACCTCCGTAACACAGTGCATGAGACAGAGATGTGCTGGAGACAAGCCACCTCTAGTTCTGAGTTGCGGATTGCCTCATCAGCCGCAACTCATCAAGACCCTTCTTCTGCCTGCCGTTTTCGTCAAAGTTGCTCTCTTGCAGCCACTCCTCCATAGCCCCCTTGATACCCTGCTCCCACTCATCACGCAGCATCGAGAACCATGCCGTATCTCTATTCCTCCCTTTGATCACCATATGCTGCCGGAAGGTCCCCTCAAAGGTAAATCCCAATCTCGACGCAGCACGTCTGGAAGGCGCATTCAGTGCGTTACATTCCCACTCAATTCGGCGAAAACCCAAATCTTCAAATGCGTACTTGAGAAGAAGGTAGAATGCCTCGGTAGCGACGGTCGTCCGCTGCAGTGTCGGAGAGAACAATACATTCCCAACCTCAATGCTGAGGTGCTGAGGGACGATGTTCATTAAAGAGAGGTAGCCGACCGCCTGTCTCTCCGTGGGGGTCTGGCCTTCCGAGCGGAGGTCTATGACCGCAAAATAGAACGGGTCCGAAGATGTCGATTTGGCTTTGATTGCTTCTTGGAAAGTCTCCAAGTTGCTGAATGGACCATCGGACATGTAGTCCCAGAGGGCGATTGTTCTTTCATCGTCACCCCCGATTAGAGGGAATAGCTGAGCGGCGTGGCTTGTGGCTAGTTTGGTCAGAGCAACTGTATGGCCGATGAGGGTATCTTCAGAGGGTAATTTGGCTGGAGGCAATGTGACAACGGGACCCAGTGGACGATTAGACATGATTCTTTGTGGACGAATATGTGTTCTGATATGTTGTTTTCGTAGGCTGCCAATCCTCCCAATTGACTTTAATAGAAATCTATGAGTCACACAGAAGACTACTAATCCCAATTAGTCAATGATGATATTGCAGCACTCAAATCAAGTCGCAAAGATGGGATAATCTGATAAATGCAAAGTAATGTATATAAATTTCTTCTTTGGTATCTAGTACACTCCAAGACACGGTGGTATATCCCCAAAAGCAAAAGGAGCCAAATTGCGGCATATAACATACAAGTACTCTATTCGGCCAGTACTTCGGAGACATTCTCTCGAGGGTGCTTGGCCTGCACCTGATCCGACTCTTTCTGCCTCCATTTCCAATGTGCATCGGCCTTCTTCATCCATACTCTCTGGGACGCAGCCCACTCCTGGAACTTGGCGGGGTGCCGAACACACCAGAGAACCACCTCCCTAGTCGCCATCGTATCCTCCATGCAGTCGTGTCCTCTGCGCGATTGCTGAATATCTCGATCGAGCATCTGCTTGCACAGTCGCTTCAACCCCCAGTTTTGCTTGCAACCTTTCGCTACTGCCTCCCGAGAGAAGATAGCTGTGTCAATGACACTCAAATGAACCATGCGCATGATGTTGAGGTCGTGCTGGAGAGACTGGCCAACCAGGATGGTGTCCGGATCGATGTGCACCCACAGTGCTTTCCGAGCTTCTTCCCATCCGTTGACAGTCTTTCCAGCCTGTTTCATGTCCTCGAGAAGTTTCTGTGACATCCCGCTCCAAGGAGTTCGCCAGTCCGTCACCGTCCTGGACGGTACCACGTATTTGTCGACAATTACTTCACCGGTCAAGATATCGACGGCGCAGATCTGCGCTACTTCCGCACTTCCCCCTTCAACCTCGACCATTTCACAGTCGAGTGCGACCACGCGCCGAGGTGTACAAATTCCTGACACTGAACTCGGTGTAAATCGATAGTTCTGCCAGTTCTCCAGGAGAAAATCCTGAACGGGGGCGTAAACATGCGCCGGCAGTGAGGCGCATGGCTGCCTCTTTCCACAACACGGATACTTGTATTGCTTCTTCTGGTGATTGCGTTTCGTCGGGTGGTAGAAACAAGCTGTTTTTGATTTGGCGTCTAGACCTCGCTTGCGTTCTGTAATAGCTTCAGTATACTTGGTATTTGATATCAGCAGTGGATATAGTACGCACCTCCGCAGTTCATACACTTTGCATAGCCTTCCAGGTCCTCTTGCGTCATCTCGCGGACCTTGTAGCCGGACCTGGTGAGGGTATCTAGGTCATGGCATAATTCTTTCAGAGAGGCAATCACAGCCTCGTGCAATGGTCCGGGGACATCGGACCAGTCATGTACCACACTCCCTTTCTGCTCAGGTGCTTCCTGCTTCTCTGATGGGCTTTTCAGGGATTCGATCGCTGGCCTGGTATATCTCGGACTGCGTTTGGGTGCATATTTCCTCCCCTGGGTTGCATGCTGCTTCATAGCCTCAGTGCTCACGACTACCTGGTCCCCTTGATTCCGAATATTGCTGACAGGTGCCGTGAAATTTTCCTTCGGACGGAAGGCCAGCTCAACTCTTGGTACCTGTTGATCCATCTTATTATTATCAATAGAAGAGGAGCCCGGAGATTCTCAATCAAATTTTGAACCGTGAAGGCACAAAGTGGTATATGTCTGGTAATGCCCTCAGGGGTATTCGAGCTTGTTGGTTGAACGTCATATGTAACTCACAAGTCCCCTCCTAAATATTCCAATTGATGTAGGTTTGACGACTCGGCCTCTCCTTCTGGTTTATCCTTGGCTGTGATGCGACAGTGAGTCAGAAACGGTGGACATATGACATATTTGACTGGCACCGGGAACTCTATCTCATCCAACTCAATTCCGATAATTCAAGAAGCTCAGATCAGCTCGTGTCGGACCGTCCTGATCACCCTTGCCCTGCACTTTGCGAATAGTTAAAAGTAGCAGATCGCCTCTCGGCGGACACGGATGCCTGTTTTTGACCCCGCATTCGTGGCGCAGCATTCCTTGACCTTGAAATTTGATAAGGTCTTGTCTGTCCTCTAGCACGTGAGACCAGAAGGTACAGCCCAGGATCGAGACGTCCGAGTCGGGAATGCTGATTAGGGGTTTGGAGGAGTATCAATTTGCCTCAAAGAAGGCTAAATTTGTGATTTTTTCGCCCAGTTCAATTCCCTGGCCAGATGAAGTTCCGTACAATTCATAAGAGTCCCGAGAACGGAGAAGGTCCAGATGAGATTGTCAGCCTTCATGCCTATCGTTGTCTTTCGAAAGAATACCCTTCGTTGGGATGACTTGGAATTACACTAAATTTTACTCGTACATAGTATAACCTCTGGTTCTTTTGCTTGTCATTCAGGATTTTCACCATACATTTTTCCGCTGCCAGGCTTTTGTTTAATACATGAGATTCGTGAATGATAAGTAAAGAAAGCAATCTGGATTTAGAGAGTGTGAAATAAGAGCTAACTCAGGATGGGTTTGAAGAAACATGGTTTGAAAGAATGCTGCAGCAACTGCTTAACCTTCATAAATTTGTAGTCTTAAATGAAATTGAGCTCGCGCCATCTTAGTTACGTATAGATAAAGCAGCAGACACAGTAGTCACCGGGTATATTCCATGCACATTTACCAGACCAACTCAGATCATCCAGGACACATAAGACCGGAGAACATACTAGGCATGTAGAAACATTAAAAAGAGTCCTTAAACTGGAGTAATCAGTGAACCATATAATCCTGCACAGTCAACGATCCTTGGAACGTCAATTCAAAGGATCACACATCCCCACCCCGAACTTTCTTCTGGGCCAGAGAAGGGTTCATCAGGGAAACTGAACTCTTCTTCAAAGAAAATGCCCTGTGAATCATCATCGACAAAGGAATCAAATACGGGCGGCGAGGACGGCGAGGACGATGAGGACGACGACATATACATTCTGGCGGCCATGTACAAGAGACGGACCCAGGGTTTGATGTCTTCCCAAGCATATGAAAATTGATCTGCCCATGCCGCTCTCGCAGAGGCTTCACCATAGCTATTTGCCCGATCTCTCTGTTGGTGTTCCCCTCGTTGCTCCTCGCGGGCCGAATCACTTCCAGTTGAGGAATCTGTGCTTGCTTCGCCATGGCCCTGGGTATCGTCGGCCGCGCGCCCATATTTCAGCAACTTACCGGCGAGTGTTGTGTCGATGGTAGCCCCATTTGCGATTTCGGTATAGATCTGAAGCTTGAGGGTTGTTGGGTCGTGGTAGCGCGCCGTGATTTCATCCCGAGCGAGCAGCCGCCTTTCTTCGGCCCGCCTCTCGATATGCAACGTTTTGTAATTGCCGCCTTCCATGACGAGTCCATGGTGGTAAATGCTCGCTCCGTGCGAGAAAAAGCGTTGCAACAACCCTTCTGCTTGCCATCTCTCAACACGAGACATCTTGCTTTGGATGCCATCAACATCCAGGCCGTCCCACCTGGTTGTGACAATTGTGACATTGGGCATGTAGTCCTGGCCACAGAAAAGCCAAAGCCAGGTGAGGATCTTCTCTGTCGCAGGCGTAACACGATTCTCCTCCATAGAATCCACATATAGGACACCACGGAATTCGACGTATCGCTCAACAACGGACATGGCCGTCATGAGCCTATGAAAGACGTCCCAGTCATCGAAGTCGCGAGTATTGAATCCAGGCATGTCAAGAAACAAGCAGCGCTGGTTTCCAATGACTGATGGCACAAGACTGGTGGTCTTTGTACCTAATATATGTCAGTGCCTTATAATTCCTGCAACAATAGCAAGGCTCACCAGATTCAAGAGTCGATCCGATATACACGTCTTCCCCAGTGATTGATTTGATGAAAGAAGACTTCCCCACCCCAGCAGGACCGGTAACGATGAAGAGATCGGCTCCGGTACTAGACCAACTCTGAGTAACTTGGAACTTGCAGCTAGCTGGATTCAGCGATTTAAACTTACTGCTTTTTCAAAAAACTTTCAGCTCCTTCGGTCAACTTGTTGCAAACAAGGTCCGAGAAAACATGCCATCCATTCTTGATGGGCTGCAGAGGTGTCGCGCCAAAAATTGGCATTGCGATTCGTAGTATTGATGCAATGAAGTCCTCGAGGCAACAAGACAGAATGTCACTGAGTTCAACACAATATGGCAGCAGTTCAGATGTTTGTTTGATCTGTAGCTTATGAACATCCATCAAAGATACACCAGAGATATTTCGAAAGACAGAGATTTCATCAGGAATTCATAGCCCTTATATAGATAATCCATTCCATGTTCGCCTTTGGAAAGCTCCTACCATGTTCACGAGAGGTATGGGCATACTATAGCACTTCTATCATATTGGAAACTGTAGGGCAGCCAAGACAGCGAAAATGGACGGATCACACAAAAGTGCCCTGCATTGAACACAGCCAAAGTAGGAAGCACTACTACTAAATGTAGATTAGCTCAGATGGAAGCGAACAAAAGTGTGCAGTAGTTTGGTATCTGGTGGGTTGGCCAATGGAATGATGGAGGACCTTCCGGAGAGCTCGAGATGAAGCTCATCCGCAGAAAGCGGGGGAGTATATCATCTCTACCAGGGAGGGTGCCACGTCAACAAGGCACATCTGTTCCAGACGCCATGCCCTTTATTTCTCCTGTGATAGGTGGCCTAGTCTTCCCTTACCCTGTCCATACTGGTTCAACGATGACTGAATACTTACTATATCCCTGTGACTGTGCAAGCACCTATTTCCGTGGAGTAATTAATGGCTGGGGTATTTCATGATGGATCATTTAACATTTGCTCCTTTTCCCACACTGGAGAGAGCTCAAAGAACCCTAAACTTTGCCGTGGTTCTCCTTTGATTTAAAGGTGGACCAATATCTGACTAGACCGGTTTTTCTACATTGATTGCAAGTCCCAGCTGATTTGCGAGTCCGACACATCCTGGTTCAATATAGTTGTCAATCAGAGGTCCGATCAACAAACTAGTCATGGACGTATCTCAACCAACTACGCTTTACGGCGAACGTCGCCTTGAAATTATCCGACTTTACTTACTTGAAGGCTGGAAACTCGAGCAAATCAAATTGGAATTTGAGCAGAGACAATCGGGGTCTGAACCCCGACTAACGTAAGTGATAGGCCAAATGTGAAGTTCCCCTACACGTACTTATCAGATTGCCAGAATTGACCAATGGAAAAGCTTTTTACGAACCCAAGCGATCTTCAAGAATCTCAGTGAAGAGGAAGTAGTCTTTATCAAGAGCAGGCTTGGTCTGACAGCAGGACCATGGAACTGTTTGATCCTTGCCAGTGACGTTCTCTTGGACAACCTCGAAGTTGAGAAGCGGTACAAGAGGAAGAGACGACACCTCCAGGACTTTCGACCTCCAAATCGCAGAGTTCTAACGTTTATTCCTCTACATTTTGACTCACTCGCCTCAGTGAACCCGACACTTTCAAAAACTTCCAGCGACTTTTGTTCAGTACGCGGGTCCACTTTGAGACTTCCTTCGACTCGGGCAGATGGACGTCAGATGACGCGGGGCTTGTACGCCAGAAGTGCTGAGCTCCGGACCGGGTTGACAGAGCTCAGCAAGCTGCACAACATGGTTTTTGATGCTTTGAAACAATTCAGAATGGGTAGAAATGATAGAGCTGGGGCACTAATACGAACAGCATTTCTACACCCCAAATCCATTGTGCAGAATTACCATCATCGTCAATTCTCGGATATTCTCGCTATCTTGCTCTTGCTCCGACGGGATGGGCATTACGGATTTCAGCAAATCACTGACAGAATATCTTGTCTACTGGGCAAGACTAGTCTTGTCTCAGAACGAGCCCCGTAGAATTATGTTTGAATCCTTGGAGAACTTACCTCTGGACTCAATCGGTCATTTATACCTGGCCGTCGATGCCTATTTTCGACATCTGTGGATGGCGAGGATCGGACAAGATGGAATCAAGGCTTATTATTCTTACAATCAAGCCAGCTTTCCGCGAGCCGATCCAAGTGGATTCTATGACCTGTATCGAGGAAAAGGTTTGAACGATATCACGGATACACTCGAAAGTGTCGATAGGGAGTTGGGCGAGTATAGCCACGAGACGTTGTGTTTATGGCACACCGCAATCAGGTATCTCTGGAGTGAAGAAAGGTACAGAGAGATGGTAGTTCTCTGTCAAAGCCTGTGCAGGCGTCTTGAACTCCTTGGAAGTGAATACGATTATAGTCAGCAACGACAGTTGAACCTCGACGCTTCGCTGAGCTTCTATTTGCTCGGTGAGGCACAGGAAGCGCAGAAAGATCTGTATGATGCTCGCAGAGCTTTTGTGGCGTCAGTCGAGTTGCGAAGTCAGCTTGTTCCCAGTGATTCTTGGGATCCAGGAAAAGCAGCCGCATTAAGAAAGCTGGAGTCAGTCGCTATAACGCTGGGAGATGTGTTTGTAGCAAACTACTTTAGGGGGCAGCTGAATATGATATACTCTGCTGTGGAAAGCAAAGATATGGAGGAACGGGCAATGCATGCCACAGTGGTCGGAACTCGGACATGAATGAGTGACATACCCCAATGTACCCTTAGCATTTTACATAAACCTCTCGCAGATTGTGAATATGGACTATGAGAATGCGTAATATGGTTTGGAAGGGTTTAAGTCAATTCCTATGTGTCTCCCAAATTATCCACACAGGACCATAATTTTCCATGACGAGAATCCATAAACCCCAATACGACAGGTAGAAGCCCCTTTTCTTCAGGAAACAACATTAGTTCTGATTCAGAACTGCCACTCAATCCTCCTCCTCTGGAGGATCATAGATCTCCCCAGCCGGCGTCTTCTCCAACCTCACCCCATCCTCAGTCACAATCTCCTTGCTCGGCACCACAACGGCAAACAGCCTTGCCAATGTATTCCCCCGGTTGATCCACTCATGATTCGTCCCGCGGACGACAATCACATCGTGCTCCTTCAGCACCTTTTCCTCCCCGCCGTCAGTCCGGAACCCCACCGTCCCAGAAAGCACAACGACATAATCCAAGGACAGCGTACGATGCATCCATCCGGCTTCAGCGGGAGGTAGATCAATGATCCGGCACGAGGGACCTTTGGTATCGGCAAGAGGAACAAGAGTCCGGTGGGGATCCTTGATAGGGCGCATGTTGTCGACGGGGAAGCCGCGGGATCGGTGGATCTGAATCGCGCCGAAGCCCGAGGTTGGGCCTGGTGCTTCGAAGCGCGGAGCGGTGGTTGGGTCGTAGGGGTAGAGGAGCTCGTCTGAGGCGAAGTGGGCTTTGCCTTTGGAGTCGTGCGCGGTGATGACGCGACGAATGGGAACAGACATGTCTATGGGCTGTGATGGGATATCGTTGGAATCTGCCATTCTGACTCGCTCGAATTTCTGGTAGAAAGAAACTGGGAGGTATGACTGCGTGTTTGAAAGGAAGAAGAGAGGGAAAAGCAGCCTTTTATGTGCCTGAATGAGGCTGAACTAAAGACCATTAGCCCTTTTTATATAGTTGGTCAGCATGCTGAAAAGTACATGCGATGAGGGATTGGTAATCTCATTTATAATCCTCAATTTGTAAGCAAGTATTTTCCCCAGTGCTCTCAGAAGCCCTTGCCTAGTTTCAAATTAAGCAGAAGCTGCAATAATTGTATTAATCAGTAGTTATTGGTAAGTAAACGCGGAAGAGTTATGGCCAAATATTGTTTGGATGTACAAATAGCTCAACCCGCATGGTTGTACCGTATATTCGAAAGCATAGTCCGCTGCACCTTTGCGGACTTAGACCATTGAAATTATACCAAACTACGTATCGAGAGAAGCATACATGTTTTGGGCCTACGAGCCGTCCTTGAGAATGGTCCAGTAAAGTGCCTCTGGGCATGATGCGACCTGCCAGATGGAATATTTGGCATGCAAACCAGGAACCAACAACCTACGGCAATGATAGTGTATGGCAAACGAGCCCGTTCTAGAGCATGATGCGCAGGCGGACCAGGACTTTATTCTAGAGGCAGTATATGTACTGGCTGTTGTGCAAATCATCTTACCAACCGTACCCCCATAAAACACCCCGTCACAACCGACAGAGTAGGCATTCCCCGCCCAAGTTCAACGTCACTTTCAGCGCCTGACTACTCCTCCGCAATCTGGCTTGCATACTTTACCATCCCCGACTCCACCAGACTCGTTGCCCAAAACAGGGTTGAGCGATGTTTCAGCAGCCGCAGTGGCAGCATGGCAAGGTCTCGTTTCTTAACCTGCGCGAGAAGAGATTGATGAAGAAGACAGGAGACACCGCCAGAAGCACAGTGATCCGGTCATTGCTCCGGCTGTAGGTGTCTCCACCTCATTGCGTAGATAAAAGGAGACTCAGCAATCCCACCGAACAAAGCCCCATCCCAAAGAACTCGATTTGTTTGAGACGGAGATGCCAGACGCGGTAGGTCCGGCCTGACAGAGTTGTGAACATCACCAGAGTGATCAAGTAGTCACTGGGCTTTTGACAGTGGAAAGTCCTTGCATCCTTGCGCCAAGTGTAATTTTTGCTGTCACAGGCTTCTACATGTCGCTCTCGGAAGGATCCATTTGACGCTGGCAGTTTGGGGCCGGATACCATCGAGGCATGTATTGTAGGGAAATCTCTATATTTGTCAAAGTAAAAGCTTTGATAAGGAGGGAACAAAATATGCACATCTACTGCTGCACAGCTGATGTATGGAGCTGTAGCGAATTCTACGAGGACCTAACAACAGTCACTGAACAGCTCCGGAGTGGAGGGAGATAGTACTGGCAAAGAAGAACCCGCCTCTTATATTCTGCCACGCGAATACCTTTCTTGAAGGAGACAATGTCGTCTTGAAGGAGTACGAACCTACTACCCCGGGGGTATTCAAAGCTGCTGAACGAGATGTACAGGCTGTAAAATCATCATAGGGTATTAATGCTGGCTAAATACAGGGCTATTGCTATACAGAATCATCGTAATCCGACTGGAGAAACGTACTGGACCACCCACTTCCTATTGCAAACGCAAGCAGAGTATCCGTCTGTGGTGCTTGGTCTATAGCATCACTCTGGGGAGAGTCCAAGAGGAAAGGATCTTCCAGTTCACTTTGAGCGTCACTCAATTCCTGGCCGATGAAGGGGTCCTCTGCACAGATCGTCCACGGATTGAAGTCATGATAGGGATATATCGTTTGCTCCGAGATTGGGCTCCGTGTCGTGGACTGAACCCCGATATCTTTGCATGGGACTGTGTGATTCAATGGGGTGTATGCATAGTTGTTTCGAAAAGGTACGTTGTACTGTATGGTGAAGACTCTATACGAGCCCTCCTCGAGATACTTTGGCTTCTTGCGCACGCCGTCGCGGCAAGAGTCTGCACAACCGCGCTTCACACAGGATTGACATGGTCGCTCGTTGCCTGGTAGATCCGGATCAGTACTGATAGCTGACTGGTACTGCAACTCTCACTTACCACATGTCTGATGCGATTTCTGACAAGCAGAGCAAGCTCTTCTAGCCTTCTTTCTTCGCGGTCTCGAAGCTTCATTTGTGTCTGCTGTTGGTGTTTTCGTGCCGTTCAGGCTTTGAGAGTGGAATGATGTGGCCATTGTTGTTTCCCGCGCAGAGGTCTTTCTGTAGGAGCAATAACGAGCCTGCAGTCTCATATGGACGTTAGTGTCGCATGTTAAATATGCATATTATTTGAATCATGATGGAGAAGCACAGGCAAAGCATACAATACAGACGGACCTATGTGGCTGCAATCAGCGTCCATAACTGCTGAGCGGCTCCGGACAGATCTGCGTCATGCGGATCCCAACTTTTGATGCTTGATTGCCAGTTTTGGTGGCGACTGAGACCTAGTAGAATCTAGTAGCGTCGATTTCCGCCATCATCGTCGATCTATATCACCAATCAGGAGGTTAGACACCATTCTGTTTGGTTGAGAGCTAGGGATAGAGACGCTCTGTGCCGACGGTAGGTTGATCGAGTCCCAAATCTCAGTCAGCCAATGAATTTCACGATGGAGGGCCTATTTCCATGAGCGGCTCCGCATAATGGTCAAGGTAAAACCGACGGTCAAGATTGGCAAGCCATGCCCCTCCCAGAGCGGCTCCGAGCTTCCAGACGTATTAGGATATGCCAATCGTGACTGGGTCTGGAACCATCCGGATTGCTCTCGCCAATCAGATGACTCCGTTCGATGAGATCTCTCTCGAGGGATTCCTTTCTCGACAGATCAGCTCTAGTCAATCAGGTCTCGGCCTGAAATTAGAGTTTGTGCGGAACCGCACAAGGCCTTCCCCGCATCCGCTGTCACTAGGTACTAGATATCTGGGGTATTAACTGTATTATTAGCTTTAAGCTCAATTTTGACAGCCCTTGTGAGATCTTTTAATCAATAGAACGAGCTTTACTATGGTTCGGACATATGGAACTCCATCTCCTTGTTTGTAATTCAGTCAAAGACACACTTTGAGCAATGTAAATTTGACCGTAGAGCTACCTTAGAGTTACTCCGAACGCCATGAGCGCCCTGGAATAGTCTGGACCATGATTAGTTAGCGTGCAACGTACTATTGTCGGGTTTCCCCCGCATACTGGGTTCCTGCTATTATTGATTGACTGGGGCGCGAGCTCTGGCCGAACTCTAGCCTCTACGCTATTATTTTCTAGCCTGTAGATCCTCGGGCACAAGGAAGTAGAATGTGGAATTATTACCAGAAGTATACTTTGCGCCAGAGAATTGAGTGAGTTAGACTGGTGGTGGGATACCCCATGGGGATGATCGGGACTCATGGGGATTCTGGGGAAATGGAGCGCATCGGGAGAAACGCTTCCATCCCTCAATGCGCAAACTGCATTGGCTCAGGTATCAGTAACGGGGAGATATTGGCCAATCATCGATCTGGAAGTGACATCCCAACAGACTCCACTGGACTGCGTATCCTGAGTTCCCCTCTCGATCGTATTCCGTGTCCCCGTCTACAGCGTGGAGCGAGGGGAACACACTCTCTCCATTTATACAGCCACCAAAGAACTATAAGAACCATCAAGGTACTCGAGTCAATCCAGATCCATCTCATCAATCATCAATCACATCTCGCTTCACTCACACACAATCTCAATTTCTTCCAGAACCTCGCCCCACTTTACAACAACCATGACTAAGGTCTCCATCCCCTCCATGCAATGGGCCCAAGTGGCCGAGAAAGTCGGCGGCCCCCTGGTCCTCAAGCAAATCCCCGTCGCCCAGCCCGGCCCTGACGAGATCCTCGTCAAGATCCGCTACTCAGGCGTCTGCCACACGGACCTCCACGCCATGAACGGCGACTGGCCCATCCCAGTCAAGATGCCTCTAGTGGGCGGCCACGAGGGTGCAGGCATCGTCGTGGCCAAGGGTGATCTCGTCACTGAATTCGAGATCGGCGACCACGCCGGCATCAAGTGGTTGAATGGATCTTGTCTCGCGTGTGAATTCTGCAAGCAGGCGGATGAACCGCTTTGCCAGCATGCCTTGCTGTCGGGGTACACCGTTGACGGAACCTTCCAGCAGTACACCATTGGCAAGGCGACGCATGCGTCCAAGATTCCCAAGAACGTTCCTCTGGATGCGGTGGCGCCGGTGCTGTGTGCGGGTATCACGGTGTACAAGGGCTTGAAGGAGTCCGGGGCTCGGCCTGGGCAGACTGTTGCCATTGTTGGTGCGGGTGGTGGGTTGGGATCTCTAGCGCAGCAGTATGCGCGTGCCATGGGGTTGCGGGTTATCGCTATTGATGGCGGGGATGAGAAGAGGGTGATGTGTGAGCAGCTTGGTGCCGAGGTTTGTTATGGTCACTCTCATAAACATGGGGATACTAACGGCTGCAGGCATATGTTGATTTCACCAAGTCCAGTGACCTGGTCGCTGATGTCAAGGCAGCCACTCCAGATGGCCTGGGTGCCCATGCCGTGATTCTCCTGGCTGTTTCGGAGAAGCCCTTCCAGCAGGCTACCGAGTACGTTCGCTCGCGCGGTACTGTCGTTGCCATTGGATTGCCTGCGAATGCCTTCCTGAGGGCGCCAGTCCTCAACACTGTCGTGCGCATGATCAACATCAAGGGCAGCTATGTCGGTAACAGACAGGATGGTGTCGAGGCTATCGATTTCTTTGCTCGGGGCTTGATCAAAGCTCCTTTCAAGACTGCTCCTCTTGAGGATCTGCCGAAGATCTATGAGCTCATGGGTATGTTCCCTTTCAATCACGTTGTGGACCTAGCTAACGGATTGATAGAACAAGGCAAGATTGCGGGTCGCTACGTGCTTGAGTTGCCTGAATAAATTTCCTATCTTAGATTACTATAGTTTTGTGTTCTGCGCTGAGCAATATGAAGAATGTCAGACATGTATGGAATGAGATAGTTCAAATGTCGTCGTGTTGTCTTTACTCAATTCAAACCATCAATTTATTTTTGTCGTTGATACATTCAAGTAGCCTGTGCTTGATCATAGACACATGCACATTAAATTGACCTTACTTTGGACTTTCCTCTTGTATCGGATTGTAAGGCTACTATAATTTCATCCTGTTTGAGTACATCAATTAGAGACTACTTAGCGAACCGCATACTGAATCACGTTTTAATTTGATAAGTATTGACTATTGCTCATTACCTATGACTGACATATTGCTAATGACATGTTGCTAGTGATATAGATGATAAGATATATTGCGTTCTTATACGCCATACTGTGTAAATTTTGCTTTGAATGGGAATAGTCTTGGTGTCGGGCTTGATTCTCCTATAGTCGGTGTATTTCCTGTCCGAATTGAAAAGGGCGAGATACTGTAGAATACCACCATCGGCACATTCTCACCCGAGAATCAACTCCAGCATCATTTGAGTGGAAACTCTGACAGCTGACAGCTGTCCTGCCCTACAGAGTACAGCCTACTCCTAGAGTCCTGGGGATACCGGATACCCCGCCGCGAGGATCCGTTGCCAAGCGTATGCGGATCCGAGAGCGGCTCCGATCTGACGCAGAGTAGAACCAGGCCCCACGGGATCCACCATTGATTTGCTACTGGTACTTGGATGTTTGTTCACTCCGCGGATTCTCGGACTGTCGTGGCTGACTGCGAATCTCCGGGACAGACTTCGTCGAGACGCGGAGGGTTGTTTGCTACAGATCTTCGATAAGTGACGTAAAGTGATACTCATGACCAATTGAACTGTTGCATACGAGGTCACTTGATGCGTGGAATGCGCTACCATTACGGTCAATATCCAATACCAATGCTCTACGCGTGCTTTGGCTAACTTGATGTTCCAGCTGTCCGAAGTCCTGACAACTAGTCTGTGGAAGAATTCCCTCTTCAAGCAGTTCCTAGAAATCCCGGGAAGAACTTTGGAGGTTCCTCTCGTCGCAGACTCGCAGCCTCGTGTGGATCTCTATTAGGACAGATGCGGAACCTCAGGACAAAACCACCCAGTCACCGAGTTAAACCTCGTTTAGCAATCATGAAGAATGTGGAGTGCGGAGGGATGGAGATGCGGAGTCATGGATCCTACCCTTCCATTTGTCACCATCCTTGCTACCCCCCTTGGCCCGGGGCATGTGCAATATGACACTCTGCTATAAGAGTAAGCAAAGGAAGCACAGGCCTCGCCCTTTTTCTGACACTCATATCTTTTGCACGTTCAACTTCATTCCACTCCTTCTCAATCTGACACGCATCTTCACTGTCCTTCAATATGGCTCTCTTCCAGACCATCGTCACTCCTACTGTCACATATGAGCAACCACTAGGGCTGTATGTTACACAATAAGTCCATGATTCCCTGGCTAACATTACTGAAAGGTTCATCAACAACGAATTCGTCCCCGGCGTAGAAGGCAAAACCTTCGAAACCATCAACCCCCACGACGAAAAACCCATCGTAGCCGTCCACGAGGCCACCGAAAAAGATGTTGATATTGCCGTCGAAGCCGCCCGCAAAGCCTTCAAAGGCGCATGGAAGGACGTCATCCCCTCAGAGCGCGGCCGTCTCCTAACTCGCCTTGCGGATCTTCTCGAACGCGACATGGATACCATCGCCGCCATCGAGGCCCTTGACAACGGCAAGGCCGTCCACATGGCCAAGGGGGATGTTGCTCTCTCTGCAAACTGCATCCGGTACTATGGCGGCTGGGCCGATAAGATCGTCGGCCAAACAATCGATACCAACCCTGGCAGTCTGACGTACACCCGTCACGAACCGGTTGGCGTCTGTGGCCAGATCATTCCATGGAATTTCCCGCTGCTCATGTGGTCGTGGAAGATTGGGCCTGCCATTTCCACTGGCAATACAGTTGTCCTCAAGACCGCCGAGCAAACGCCGCTTTCGGCACTGTACGTCGCCAAACTGGTCAAGGAAGCTGGCTTCCCACCAGGCGTTATCAACATCATCTCGGGATTCGGACGAGTGGCTGGCGCTGCCATCGCGGCCCATATGGATATCGACAAGGTCGCCTTTACCGGTTCTACTCTTGTTGGTCGCCAGATTCTCCAGGTTGCGGCCAAGAGCAACCTGAAGAAAGTCACCCTGGAGCTCGGCGGCAAGTCTCCCAACATCATCTTCCCCGACGCCGATCTGGACGACGCGATCAAATACGTGAACCTGGGTATCTACTTCAACCACGGGCAATGCTGTGCCGCTGGATCTCGTGTTCTCGTGCATGAGGCCATCTATGATAAATTCCTGGCTCTCTTCAAGCAGCGCGCGGAGGAAAACAAGGTCGGCGACCCATTCCACCCGGAGACATTCCAGGGGCCCCAGGTCTCCCAGATCCAGTTTGACCGCATCATGGGATACATCGACGAGGGCAAGAAGGCAGGTGCCAAGGTTGTTACTGGTGGAGCGCGCCATGGCGAACAAGGCTACTACATCCAGCCTACCATCTTCGCGGATGTCCATGAGGAGATGAAGATTGTCAAAGAGGAGATCTTTGGGCCTGTTTGCACAGTGCAGAAGTTTGGCTCCGAGGAGGAGGCTATCGAGATCGCTAACAATACAAACTACGGTGAGTGCCTACCTTCATATCTCCATGATTCGATGCTGACTGAGGTTGTAGGGTTGGCGGCCGCTGTTCACACTACCAATCTCAACACGGCCATCCGGGTATCCAATGCTATCAGAGCTGGGTATGTTTCCATCCATTCCCGCGACCTCAGCAATTGTTCGCTAACTATATCTTAGAACTGTATGGATCAACAACTACAACACCTTCCTTTCCCAGATGCCATTCGGCGGCTTCAAGGAATCAGGATTGGGTCGCGAGCTGGGATCGTACGCTCTTGACAACTACACACAGGTCAAGACTGTGCACGTTCGTATTCAGGGTGCTTAGTTTGTAGCTAACGTATTGGATTACCCTCTGTTGCATGAACGAATCTGTTTGTGATTTATCTGGCATCTTGCATTTCCTGACTCCTTCAGTCCATTGCAGTTCAGTAGGGTAAATGATCAAACAAATCTATGTCTCACTGGCATGCAAGAAACCAAACTGTTGTTGATAATGAATGAGTTCATGGAATAGTGCAATTAAAGCCTTCCTGTTCTGTGAAAATTGAGTAGACCATCGTCAGTACCGCCGAATCCCGAATTCAGACAATCACAGCTCCAGACAAGGGTATACCCCATACCCAGGTGTTCTCATTGTTGACCAGTATCATGAAAGTGGGTTACTCCTTAACGCCTCTCAGCACTAGAGATCCGGTGCATATTGATCTACCGAATCATGACCCCAGGCAAAAGCCACATCGATGAAGGGATGGGCTAGATTTCCGTTTCTACTCCGCTTCCCCGGGTCCTACCCAAAAAGGAAATTATATTCGTGCTGATCCTACGACTCCGCTCGACCGGGGATTAAGGGGCTATCAATGGGAACTCTCTATAAACTATTCAACTGAGGGCCGCTGTATAAGGACCCAGCCTCGTCCTTACCCCGGATTTTGAATCTATCCCCAGATTTCCCCATCACTCCATCTCACCTTTGCGGCATCCCTTAACTCGCCAAACTGTCACACACGATGGACACTGAGCTGGGCCATAAGAATCACATGGCGAAGCCCTCGTCTCAGGAGGAGACAGCCATGCCTTCTCTGACGACAATACCTACGTCCGTCACCCTGTCCGCTGAGCAGTTCGAAAAGCTTTACCTGAGCCCCCTGACACAGCGGCAGGGCATGCTCTCGAAGCAGATGGGCAATCCTACCCCTTTGTAACTACCCGCAACGCTTGACGAAAGAGTACATTGAACTGACGGATCAGGGCCCTTGGTGGATTTGTTATCACGACGACGCCTTTGTCTTGCTGCCTTATGGGATGGAGAGGTGCTACTGGAGGGGGAATTGCGTTCACGTAAGAGTGCCAATGTTGTAAAAAGGTTGACACAAGATACAATGCTGATGATATTTACGTCTCTAGTGGTCCGATTGTCTTCCTCGGGGGCGGGCTGCTCGTCCTGACCAGTATTCTGGAGTTTATCCTTGGCAACACTTTTCCCTGCGTTGTCTTCGGCACAATTGGTTCGTTGAGGCAACCTTCGAAGGAGTAAATGAAGCAGGTGAACTGAGAGTATCACAGGGGCATTCTGGTTCGCATTCGGCTGCACCATGACCCCCGCATTCAACGCCGCAGGTTTGTCCCAATTTCCCATCCGTACTTATGCTGCTAACAGGATGCCCCTAAACAGCCCCCTACTCGACCTCCGCTACCAACACAGTAGCGGGACTCCACAGTCCCGACTTCATGAATACATACGGTTCGTGTCGCCCCTCGCCCGGCGGATTATCTTCTGACAGAAGCAGCGTTCCTCTTCATCTCCATGGGCGTCTTGATGGTCATCTTCCTAATCTGCGCGACTCGCACCAACGCCGTCTACGTCTTCATATTCGCGACCCTCATTCTGGTCTTCGTCTTTTTGTCGGCTGCATACTGGCGTCTGGCTGGTGCGGATACACTCGTCGGTAATCGGCTGATTGTGGTATGTCCTGTCCCTCTTTTCGGATCCGGTGAATGTATCGAACCTAGCTAATGCCAACGGTAATGTGGCCAGGCTGCCGGTGCTTCGCTCTTCGTGGCGAGCTTGCTCGGGTTCTATCTCCTGGTGGCACAGTTGTTCGATTCGGTTGGGTTCCCTGTGCGTCTGCCTGTTGGGGACCTGAGTCGTCTTTGGGATCGTCGTGCTGCGAAGTGAGTGCTCTGCTGTTTATCATGCGTGCCGTGCTGACATTCGCAGTGATGGACAGGATCCTGAGTATTCGGCTGGCGCTGGAGAGAAGTAGGTATCTCTATCCTCTCTCGACTATTGTACAGCCGTTTATCGGTGTATTGGATTGGTATCGGTCAATATGGAGTTGTAGGTGAGACGGGGGGTATCTACTATCATAATCTTTCCCTGGTTGGTCGGACGGAAGGGATCAGACTTTTGTCATCATACAAGAACCATTTGACATAGCTTGAAAGACAGTATTCTACTTAATACAACCCTTTCTCCCCAGGTTTGAGGTCTTGTGTTATCTTTGTAAATTAGTTGACAATTTGATACTGACGAATCGACGATAAATCGCTTCTCCTTATTTCTTTCCCTATAGGTCATATATACACGTCTCACTAGCTCATAGATGCTAACCCTCGCACCGTTTCCATGCGAAAAGCTAAGTCATAGTAAAATCTTTCTAATCCCATCGAGAACTCTGCCAGATTGCAACGGAATTGCGTCGTTGAAATCATCTCATTAGAAGTGAGTCTCACAGTTTCACTATCGGATTTACGAGATGCGGTGCCAGATATTCCACCAATCGAGAACGTCAATAGTTGCATCAGAGGCTTAGTCGGTTCAATTAATATGAGATCAGGTCTAGACTGGAATTGAATAGCATGAAGCGTCCAGACTTGTATCGCTCCCCAAGCACCGAATCTACTATATACCACAGAGCAGAGAGTACGATGAACCAAGCATTCATATTAGGATTAGAACTATACGTAGCGGCTGTAGCAAATACACAGCAAACCCAGGAAATGAGTTGAGTCACTCGGCTTCCTTCTATCCTGCACGTCTCCAAGTAGCACTGCCTTTATCAAAAGTGCGAACTGTCAGGATTGTTTACAGGAGAGCGGCTCCTGCAATCAGACCGGCCACAGCACCGAGTCCGGCGTTCAGGTTGGATGCGCCGCCTGTGAACAGAGGGGAGGAAGGGCTGGCGGTGGAGCTGGAGGGGCCCTCACTTCCGGACGCAGAAGGCGAGGGGGTCCAGCTTGGAGTGGAGCTGGGAGAAGTGACGGTGGGCTGAGTGGGGATCACAGGGTGAGAGGTGGGGGTGGAAGTAGAGGTCGAGGTAGACGTGGACGTAGACGTAGAGGTAGAAGTGGTCTCCTCAGTAGTGGTAGTAGCTGTCGCGGTCTCGGTGTGTGTGTTTGTCAGAGTATTGGTAAGAGTGTTGGTCAAGGTGTTGGTGATGGTATCGGTCAAGGTTCCAGTAACGGTTCCGCCGGGTCCAGAGCAGATCTCCCCGATGGGGCAGCAGCCATCGTCCGTGCAGTAGGTGCCTGGCTCGCAGCCACCCTCGCCAATGGGGCAGCAGGTGTAACTGATGGGGATGCAAGCGTCCTTGCAGGTCTTGAAGCCAGTATGTGATTCACAGCTGGAGACCTGGCGGGCAAGGAGGCCGCTGTGGCCTGCCGCAAGGGCGACAGAGGCCAGAAGGGAAGCAGTGATGAGCTTGTACATCGTAAAGATAGAGATAATAACTGATCAGTGAGTGATTGCGGATAGCGATGGAGCGAATGACTAGGCTGACGGAGGAGGATCCAGAGGCATGGAAAGTGGGTAAACCAACCGACCTTATATAGCAAGGTACCTGAACGCCTCGAACCTTAAGGATGACGCGGGGTCATCCAGGAATAGATCACCTCATTAGAATACGAAAGACCAAGCCTGAGCATTGTGTAGTCATTGCACCAAGCGGCATGACTCGTATTCGACCCAGAGATGTGGTTGGATGGATTCACAACACTAACCACCAAGAGAGGGGAATACGAGGTAGCCCGTCCTGGGGCGCTCGAGGCAAATTGCGTCCAAGCTTTGCGACGTGTCATGGTTCTTCTATTGGCTGGAAAGAGCGGAGGGTTGGCAAAGGTTCTTGAATTAATGTGATGAAGAAGCTGTAAGGGCTCTGGTTGGGGGACCCAGAACAAGAGAGAACATACTTCCTAGTCTCGGCATTGGGCACAGACTATGCCTGATCATTACTTCTTCCAGGTATGATCACTTCATTTCGTGAATCCGGCCCATTTTAGGAAAGATGAGCAAAGCCTACTGGGGCTGTTTGCAAGAAGGCGTTCAAATGCCGCTTCGAGCGAAAGTAGTCTCACTGGAAGCAGGGACTTGGCCTTCTGCCTCATCGAAACTGCTTGTTGAATGCTCAGGGATGCACTACTTTTCGCTGCTGAACTGCTGAACTGCTGAACAGAGCTCCTGTCAATATGAGTGCGTCAGTACAAATCAAAGTGATGCAGGATGAAGCATATTCAAAGTCCTTTTACAAGTCAGGACACATACCTATCTTCGAGGTTCCGTTCAACAGATAGCTATTTGCTCTGAATTATTCTCGGCGTATTATTCCTGCTGCATTAGAGCGCTACTAATGCGTGCTATGCAGCTCATAATAGCTTTCCCTTCACTTCGACGGTGTCTCAACGACTGACTCGAACTACCAGGATTGCTTGTTGAAAGAGGCTGTCTGCTGTAGAGGCTCGCCTAGCAATCAAGGCCAGACATCACTATGCCAAAGACGAGATTTCCGAAGTGCAATCGGCTCGGTCGTCGAAAACACAGGACGGCCGACGTCGTATACTTGATCAGTTAAGTTATTGTGGGTGAATGACACCGGATACTAAGATGAAAGCCTTCGTGGTGGGTATGGTTGGTCTGTTGCAGGTCATCGAATATACATCGTCGGACTTCATTTTCTCACTCGTACTATACCCTGCCACATATAGATTGTTCACCAGAATGAGCGTTATCATTGCCTTGGGACACCGTTGCGCTGGCGGGAATGCCACTGACATTGTATTTCTGCCAGCTTCCGCCACCTTCTCACCGTGATCAGACAGACATCGTGCCTCGGTACTGCGTCGCGAGTCATGATCCAGCTCAGCCAGGCATGCTGGAGAGTTTCTACACGATTTGCCACTGAATCAAGACAGATTCTGTTGTATTGTGCGCAATCAGCGCATCTCCCCTCAAGAAATGTGCTTCTCGAATGCAGCAAGCCGTTCGTCTTCTGGGCCAAGAAATTATCGGATACTTTGGTCTGAGTTCTCGCCAAGGTCATAGGATTGATGTGAAGTGAACCCCCAGTGATTGCTTCGAAGTGAATGTAAGTGGATCAATCTGACTTCATCGGATAACCTGTAGACATGGCGCCACCGCATGTTCGACTCCGTCAATGCTGTTGTCCACTCGGTGATCTGAATGTATCGCTGTTGACATGGCAATCGATTATAGAGTACGCTCGGCTCTGGGCGCCAGTGCCAAGCTTGCTCATTTACTTGGACCTGCTCATTGACTGGAGAGGATTGATGGAATCTTGCCACCAAGCAAAAAGTGTCAAGGCGTGGTTGGACCAGTCCGGAGAAGACTGGTGACAGTGACATCGAAGTCGTAAGACATAGGACTGGTATTCAGGGCCTTGGGAAACTCATGTGCCACTGTTTATTGTTGGGTTATACAAGGTATCACTTGCAAACCTATTCTCATGTCCATGACTTTAGTGCCAGAGAGTTACTAGTGTCTCAACACAAAGATGACAACTGCTCTATCAAATTATCTGCTCATTAACAATGTATAGAAGCATTGTCCGCTGCATATTATTATAGCTGCCTTGCCCAAAATTCAACAGCAGATGCAGATTATAGTGATGGTAGTCCATATGGGTCACAGCGCCATTCTCAACATGGTGGTTGCACAGCATCACAGCCATGCTCATGATCCCTCCCATGCTGCTGGCTTGAACGCCTGTGCCCTAGAATGCCATGTAACATTAGGCTGCTTAGTTCGACAGGTCAGGTCTCCACTTCTGAGACTCCAGGAAGCAATGGATATTCGTTCCTCCTGAAATCTAGCGGTATTGCCAGAAAGGCTGCGCTTCGCGGCCAGGTAGTCGGATTACAGCAACCATTCTTTTGCATTGCTGTAGGTGGTAATTAAACTAATAATCAAATTCACTTTCAACATCAGCAAGCTCCGCCATGAAGGCGCATTGAGCAGATCATAATGGGTGGCACTAGAGTCCTAGCAGGGAAAGACTGTTAGCTCTGTACTAGGTCTATGTCTCAATGTGCAGTACTACCCTGAGTACTATATTGTTCACTGACAAGAAGGAAGACTGCATTAGACCTGCAAATTGACTGGACCAGCCTAGTTGAGGTCCATCTGCACTTCGGTTGAAATTAAGCACTTGTATAGTACAAGGCTTAGTGCTGATTTCTCTTCCCTGCGTTATGGGGGGTCGGCAGGCGATTGCTAAACATGTCTCCCAAGGGCAAATCAGGATGCATTGGCCTCATATTAATACCAAACCTTGTGTTTCAAACTGTGCTGTCATCGGTGGGCAGCATATCAGCATTAACTCGGTGCATATGGTAATCTGGACATCTAGCCATCTATATAAACCTTCGTTGGATCACACCATTTCAGCGTGATCTCACACCACAGGCTCACCACCCTCGTTGAAAGCACCACTCCCAGTCTGCCCACTCAAAGATGACGAAGCGCTCGTTGTTCTTCCTCCTTTTCAGCGGTTCGTTATCTGTCCCCTACTCGCCGGCATCAATCTCTGATTTGCAGCAGGCATTGTGTCCGTGGCATATGCCGGTGTTAGATTTCCCCCACATGCAAGGGATGTCAAAGCCGGTGCCAATCCAGCGGTAGGATCTTCTTCCTTGTCTCCACCTCATGGGTGTTAACTTCAAGCCGACAGTGTGTCTTGAACCCAAATGGTTGTCTCTGTAGTGGATTCGTACGTCCAGTTTTCCGGGCTTACACTGCTGTGGCTGACAACTCTTGTAGTGTCCTCCGCTTCTTACGTGCTGCGATGATCTGTGTGTGGATCTACAGACAAACCCCGAGCACTGCGGTACCTGCAATACTGTTGTACGTATATGCCAGCTCCATCTGAAGCAGATGTATTTTCCTCTTAGCTAACGATGCTTCGTAGTGCCCCCCAGAGAATGCCATCTGCAATGGCGGCATTTGCGACCCCCTCTGCATGCCTCCGCAGATAGGATGCGGATTTGACTGTGTTGATTCATCCACCGATCCCAACAACTGCGGAGGATGCGGCATTGTGGTATGTATTCTTTCAACATGAGTGCAGGCCACTTCTAACTCGCCCTGTACCAATAGTGTCCTCCAGAGACCCCTTCTTGCGTTAATAGTATCTGTATCTTCGTCTGCCTGCCTCCGAATATGGAATGCAGTGGCCAATGTGTCGATCCAACCAGCGACCCTAACAACTGCGGAGCTTGCGGCACCGTGGTACGTCTAGACCCTGCTGCTCACACTCGGACGGATATGATCTGATTCAGGTTCCTGCAGTGCCCTAGCGGCGACGCCTGCTGCAATGGCGTCTGCACCCACCTCCAGACATGCCATGACTCTTGCGGGGCATGCGATATTGCGGTAAGCAGCATCAAGCCTTACTTATGGAGATATGCTTACGCATGTGACAGTGCCCGCCTAGCTCGGATTGCTGCAACGGTCTGTGCCAGGATGTTCTCAGTGATCCTGCAAACTGCGGGGGGTGTGGCATTGTGGTATGTCCATTGGGTCCTGCGACAGGGGTATACATAGTGACTTGCAGCAGTGTTCAGAGAATGAAGTTTGCACTGATGGTGTCTGCCAAGTGTGTGCGCCAGGCCAGACAGTGTGTGGTGACACCTGTACTGACCTGAACACTGATCCCAACAACTGCGGTGCGTGTGGTAATGTGGTATGTATAGAGCCTTGTTCCATCACTCAGGAAGCTTACCTGGTCCTGCAAATGGCAGTGCCCTGTTGAACAGCTTTGTGTCAGTGGAGTCTGTGAGACAGTGTGTCCTCCAGACCAGACGGTGTGCAATGGTGTCTGTGTTGATCTCACTACTGATCCTAATAACTGCGGTGCGTGTGATAATGTGGTATGAAACTAGCCCTGTTCCATTATTCCGTTCCTGAGGAAGCTCACCTTGTCCTTATGACAGTGCCCTGATGGACAACTCTGTGTTGGTGGAGTTTGTCAGACAGTGTGTCCTCCGGACCAGACTGAGTGTAGTGGTGTCTGCGTTGACCTTACAACTGATCCGAACAACTGCGGTGCATGTGGTAATGTGGTGAGTATAGCTGCAGGTCCCTGGTTCCAGTTTTAGGAAGCTCACCTTGTCCTGCGACTGGCAGTGTCCTGATGGACAACCTTGCGTTGGTGGAGTCTGTCAAGTGTGCCCTCCGGGCCAGACCGAGTGCAATGGTGTCTGCACTGACACCACGACTGACCCGTTGAACTGTGGCGCTTGTGGAACTCAGGTTGGTTCTTGAGCCTTGTGAGATCATGGGTATGGCTTAGCATACTGATAATGGCCAAACAGTGTCCAGATGGTCAGACATGCACGGATAGCATATGTGGCTGCCCAGATGATCTGACAGACTGCGATGGTATCTGCATTGATACCACTACTGACCCTTTGAACTGCGGTGCTTGTGGAAATCAGGTCCGTCCCAGGTCTTTTAAAGTACTTGATATATCGGGGATACTGATAAACTAAATAGTGTCCAGATGATGAAACCTGCACAGACAGCACATGTGGATGTCCAGATGATCTGATAGACTGTGATGGTGTCTGCACTGATACTACTACTGACCCCTTAAACTGTGGTGCTTGTGGAAATCAGGTCCGTCCCAGCTTCATAGCGAATACTCGATATATTAGAATACTAATACTAACAATGGCCAATAGTGCACTGACGGCCAGATCTGCGCAGCTGGCACATGTGGCTGTCCAAATAATCTAACAGACTGTGGTGGAGTCTGCACTGACACCACTATGGACCCATTGAACTGCGGTGCTTGTGGAAATCAGGTCTGTCCCAGTTTCCAGTACTTGATATGTTAATACTGACAATGGCAATAGTGCACCTTCAGTCAGATCTGCACGGGTGGTACATGTGGCTGTCCAGACAATCTGACAGACTGTGATGGCCTGTGCACTGACACCACTACGGACCCATTGAACTGCGGTGCCTGTGGCAATCAGGTAAGAAGCCATAGTTCCCTAGTGTGTATGTCTGTCTTCTAATGGGAATAGTGTTCCCCCGGCGACATCTGCAGCGGAGGAGTGTGTTTGGTGATGTCCCGGATCTGATAGCTCTATGCTCATGGTAACTGAGTGAACTCTCTTCTACATTTTGTCCCCATGATATGGATTATTAGTGCATGCTGTTGTCGCTCCTTATGCACTCACTACACAGTGGATGTACATCCTTATGGTTAGCTAGCCTTTTGCTGCTACGTGTCGCTAGTCAGCTATTCTTAAATGAATGCAATTGACCACCGCATGATTCGAAGTCCAAGGACTGAATACTCTGAGAGGTAACAGGTTCATGGAACGCGCTGGACAAAGATCTACAAGGAAAATACTCGAAACAGAAACAAAGACAATAACTCTATATTCATCATGGTATCATATCCAAAGCAAATCTATATGCACGAAGCGTAGTATATACTCCACCCTCAAACCAACCGACTCCAAGCAATGCAGATCAAACTAGGCAATCTCCGCATGGTAGCTCTGCTCCTCCTTCCGGCCCCGAGGAGCTCCCTCCTCCCACTCCGTCGCCGGGATCTCAAACTTGCTGCTCTTCCACGGCGCCACATGGTTCAGATACATCCAGTCGATCTCCTCGAGCGTGCGGCCCTTGCCCTCGATAACGCAGAAGTAGACGACGAACGCCGCGACGAGCAGACAGCCCGCGAAGACGTAGCCGTAGGCGAAGTCGATGGCGCCGGTGATGAAGGGGGTGAAGAAGCTCAGGAGGAAGTTCCAGAGCCAGTTGGAGGCGGTGGCCAGGGCCATGCCCTTGGCGCGGTACTTGGAGGGGAAGAGCTCGGCGACGATGGCCCAGACCATGGGACCCCAGGTCATAGCGAATGCACTGATTGATTCATTAGTTTAGAGAGAAGAAAAGGTGGAGGGTAGGGAGGGAGGGAAGGACATACGCAATGAAGAAGCAGGCGACGACAATCATACCCTTGCCGACCTCGGGGGTGTTGGTGGGGGTGTGGACGTCGAGCTTGAAGTGGCCGATGGAGGCGAAGATAATGAACATGCAGAACATGAAGCCCGCGCCGAAGATGAGGGATTTGCGGCGGCCAAAGTTCTCGACCACGTACAGACCGCCAAAGGTGGTGACGAAGTTGACGGCGCCGAGGATGACGGAGGTGATGAAGCTGTTGGAGAGACCGGCTCCTTGGAAGATGGTTGTTCCCTTTTTCCGTTCCGTCAGCATGGCAGGATGAAGGCAGGATGAAGATATGGGAGAGGGACATACGTAGTAGAAGAAGTAGTTGGCGCCGGTGAGCTGCTGCAGGCACTGCAGGAGCATACCCAGGGCGACACGGTAGAACATGCGCGGGGCGGTCAGGAACTCGTGCCAGACCTGCGACTCGGACTCGGCGTCGAGCTGCTTCTGGATCTCGTAGAGTTCCTGAACAATGACGCGGTGGTTCTCGGGCACACCGTACAGCTTGGACATGGTGCGACGGGCGCTGTCGATCTTGCCGTGACGGTACTCGAAGCGAGGGGATTCAGGGAAGAAGGCCATGCCGCCGCCCAGCACAAGCGAGAAGAAAAAGGTTAGGCCCAGGGTAATGCGCCACTGGGCGGTGCCGTCCAGACTCTCAGTCCCCAAGTTGATCAGGTAGGCCAGGAAGATACCCAGGGTCACGAACAGCTGGTAGCAGCTGATCATGGCACCACGGATGTGACGCGGGGCACTCTCGCCCTGGTACATGGGGACGAGCAGCGAGCAGCCACCGACCCCCAGACCGGTCACCCAACGGCCGACGACCATCTGCCACCAGTGACCGGAGGGAGAGGTGATTTGCACGATGATACCGACGATCAGGATGATGTTCCACAGGGTGATGGACCACTTGCGACCCAGCTTATCGGCGATGGGAGCACCGGCCAGAGCACCGATCAAGGTACCGATGGACAGCAGACCGACGATGAGACCGGAGCGAACGTGGCTGAAGCCGTACTTGCCGTCACTGTATTCACCATACCGCTGCAGGTAGTTGCTCATCTCCTGGAAACCGGAGATCTGACCGGTGTCGTATCCGAACAGCAGACCTCCCATGGAGACGAACAGGCCCATGATGGTGGATCGGAGGGTCAGGCGGGGGATGGGGGTGTTGACTCCGGGATCCAGGGGCTTCTGCGCAGCCACCGAGTCGGAGCTGGAGTATTGAGGCTGGGGGGCCGGGGTGATGGACTCCCCATGGTGGGTTTCTGTCTCGAGACCCATGTTGTTTATTCCTTTTGGTAAAGCGAAGATAGTATAAACATAAAGGGAAGCTGGGTGTTGTACTCCGTAGCGTAAGGTAAAAGCCCAGAAATGGTTGAGTACGGGAAAAGGAAGAAAAAGGAAACGATCAGAGGCGAGACGAGGGCTTATTTATGTTGGTCAGTTCCCTGCCCGGGCGAGGAAAAATCAGAGCAAAAGATCCACAGGCACACAGCCTGATTGAACCAGGAACGACGAACGAGGAGAGGAAGTGTGGGGAGGACCGCATCCCGCTGGAGATGACGATAGTCGGCACGGGGACAGACAGACACAGATGCCGTCAGCATCAGCATCGGTTCTGGATGATCCGCGAATATGACTGGCCCGAGCAGTGGACAGACGAGCACACATGGCCAGTCAGAGTCAAGGGCAGGCAGAACTTCGGGATCCACGCGGCCATCGGGTGGACGAGACCGGCGATGATTATTCATGTAGATAGAAGATTCTGCGACTTGGTCCAGGGTCTTAGTAAGAAGCGCCACGATGGACGATGAGTGGTTCGTCAAATGAGACAGACAGGGCCTTATATTGCGATGATGTATGCCAATCGTCTGTACAGTATAGCGACAAGGTTTATGTGTCGGCCGGAGAAGACATGCAGTAATGATTGTCAGGAATCCTCATCCCATCCTCATCCTATCCTCGTCCTCATCCTGATCCATTATTACTGATTCCTTGAGAGAGACTACGACTCCACATCTCCAGACTCGGCAGATTTTTCTACGCACTAGACTAGTCCTGCCCGGAAGGGGGCGGAATGGAATCCCCAGCTGGACGCTGACAGTCAGTAACCTGGAGAATGAGGGGTGGCGATTCCTGTTCAGTTCACCGGTGAAGCCATATGCATCAGTATAATGCAGGGATGCGGAGTATCTGGAGAATCATACAGTAGATGTCTACAAGAGCTGATGTGCCAATAACCCTACATTGCTACCCAACATCATCCAGAGAGATGACACCGACCGAGACGGGTCGGCCTCGGCAACTACAAGTCAGACAGACGACGAAGAATCCTGAAAACCTTCAGAGAGAATCCCGACCGAGCCGAGAGTCGTCAGTGGCGTTGGTAGAAAACGCTGGTTCGCTCCTGCAGCGTCCACCAAGCTTTCAGGCACTTCACCGTCAGCAAAATGACTTTGTGGCTGTTGATCCTTTAGCCTTCCACACTAGATACTTGATAGTCAGGGTCAAGAAGACAAGGGTAGAGTCTACACAATAGACAGATGATCATGATAATGGTCAATCCATCCCCAGACTCTGGACTATTATTGCCTATTGTCCTGCAAATCTGCTTTCGTCTATCTGTCCTGTTCTGGAAGACCCACTCTGCCCGTCCGGAATAGGAATAGCGTCAGGGCTAGGGCTTATCACCTGGTTGTCTGCCAACCCATTACGTCATCAGCTAGAAGCAATCCATGGAATTTCTCGCTCCAGACTGATTTAGGTCAGGTGATCTCACCTGATCCGATTACAAATCAAGCAATATCACCTGACTGCAGTGCCACATCTTCATTGGCCACCGCCACACTCGCTCCTCCCTCTCCTAGTTAATTGCTGGGGCTCTGTTCAGATGGAACAAAATCAGCTCACATCAGTATGAAGATGATAGTTATGATATGGTATTCTTACTCATCACTTGCTAAGGAAATATTCCTGAGCTTGGGCCATCTAGATAGCAAGACTATCCCACAAGCTAAGTCTTCCTAGCTGATATATTTATCCTTAGGTAGAACAGTAGCTCTGACTGCACATAAGGAAAATGATTCTGCGAGTTAAATCCTTTTAAATATTATGAAATTGTCTAAGCTGGCTAATCAATGGGTTCTTCTCTTTTGCTCTCACCTTCCTGTCCACCCTAGGCCCCTGGCGATGATGATTGACATACAATAGCTCTCTTAGGGTATTGCAGACAGATTCTTGATTGTAACTGCGTCCTTATATCAATAAGGCTCTTCATTACCAATGTATCAATCCCTGAGTCGAGAATATTGCATGTCTTTGATCAATCTGGGTCTTCAGATATGTTGAACTATGATACCAAGGAAACCAGCTGCTACTTCACAAGCACTGGAACTCTGAGGCAGGATCATGATAGTAACGCATCAACCACTCTTCCCATCACGACCATTCAAACCCTGTCTGTTCCTCCTCTATCAAGCTGTCAGTTAAACTCTGGGAAGTAGTGTCCAACTGATCTTTGGTCCACCGTTCACCGTCCGATATCAAAGCTCCCTCGAGACCTTGTGGCTATATTTATTATGTATCGCTATTGGATATCGGCGAGCACACTGACATGGCTGGAGAGAAAGTTCATGAGATCACAAGATGAACAATATGCCGAGTCGTTGTCGCATGCGGACAGAGCCAGAGGCAACCAGCGCCCAGAATCTTGACCAATAGATTTCTGAGTGATTGTCCGAGCATCAGCGTGATATCTACTATACCATCTATCTTCGTAAAAAGTCAAAGCGAAGGCGAATGATATCTTGACTATTGACAGACGCAGGAAGCGATTGGCCGCCGCTGAACGCCATACCTCGTATTCAACCTTCGCCAGCCTTACAAACAAAAAGTCAACAGAGCCGACGAGGCTGAAATCTTGTATATAAATCTTCAGCCTTGCGCCACTGTCACCTATATAGATCCCGACACTGACCCTTGCATGTCCATATGAGAAGCGTCAGAAAAACGGCAAGGAAATGTCAAACCAAGTAGTCCAAGGCTTCAGCCTCACCAACCGCTGGCTCCTCTACACCAGCGTCATGCTCGCCCCCGCGCAATTCCTCTCCGGGATCGGCAGCAACTGCCCCAGCAACCTCGGCTTCCTCGCCTACAACTACTACACCCAAATCGCCTGGTACCAAGCCGTCCGCGACAAGCAGCTGCACGCCCTGTCCCTCCTCCCCGTCCACTTCAACCTGGTCTACCTCTTCACCTACTGGGGCGGGGTGACCTCGGGCAACATCTACATGGCCGTCCTGCAGGGCCTCGGCACCGCCGCCGTGCTCATCCTCAACACAGTCTCCGCGTGGAAGAGCTGGGAGACGAATCTGCCCGAGGGGTACGGGACGTACCAGTTCTTCTTCTTCGGGTGGCGCACGCTCACGCCCGGGTGGCGCAAGTTCATCCTGGCGTGGCAGATCGGGGACTCGCTGTTTGCGGTCAACGGCGTGCTTATCACGCTCGTTCTGCCTGTTGTTGCGGTCCAGCGCCGGTGGGAGAGGAAGGTAGAGTGGTGGTTCAAGTATCTGGCTGTTCCTGCTGGGGCCGCGCTCATGCTTTTCTGCTTCTGGCCGCTTATCCTGTGGACGGAGCTGATTGTGCAGCGGAATCATATCGAGTCGGAGACGGATATGGTCGCCGTGTGGCTGTTTGTGGCGCAGTGTGTTGCTATGATCGTTCCTAGCTGTACGGGGTGGATGAGGTCAGGAAAGGAGAGAACCGGGGGAGATCGTGGCGAGGATGGTGAGTCACTGTGGTCTACGTTCTGCGCGGTGGCCAGAGGTCTCAGGAGACCGGCGATGCAGGATGGAAATGAGTTACAACCTTGATAGTGCATGCCCTTAGACCCTCTGGATGAGTGTCTAAACTAGCCTAACAATGAAAATGGCTGTGACACGAGAATGTAACCCACCGCTAAAACAAGATACACGAGGTCTGATACATCGGCATATCGACATGGTACAGATCCGCCGTGTACAGCGCCGTCATCGTCGCCGTCACATTAAACCAAAAGTCACTTGTGAACCAGTACCCATTATCGCAATCCCCATCCCCAGGAACCAGCGTCACATCCCCGTTATCGCCGACCATGTCCGCATCGACACTAAACACATTCACAACCGTCGCCCTGGCCTGCAAGCCAGAGGACAGATCAAGCAGTCCCTCAAACAGATTCACCGTCACCCCGACCTCCGCCCCGACGAACGGGTCCATCTGCGCGTCCGCCAAGGCAGACAGCCTCGCCGTCGCGGTAGCCGTCGGGGAGAAACCCCTCACGGAACTCTCGGTCATATTGAGGAGATCGAGATGGAACAGCCCGTTGCTGGACATGGTCATGTTGCTGACGGCGTCGGCGGTCCCGTTCATGCCCATGTCCACGCCGACGTTGAGATCCAGGACCGGCCCGACGGTCAGGATGCCGGGGATGGAGAAGCCGGCGGCCTCGACGGCGTTCCATTTGTAGGTGTACGCGTTGCGCAGGAAGGAGCCTGCCGCCGAGGCGGAGATGCTCAGGGCCGAGTCCATGGCGAACGCGAGGTCGATGCCGAGGGATATTGCGCTCTGCGTCTCGATGTTGTACTGGATGATCCCGTCGATGGTGACTGACGCGTCGAGGGTGGCCTCGTTGGCGTGGATGGTCAGGGCGGGGGTGCGGATGAGGTCTCCCGACCAGGCGAGGTCCACGCTGGTTGTGAGCTCGCGCTTGCGTTGAGTCGGGGCAGGCTGGCCAAAGGCAATGGTGACGTTCTTGGCTTGTTGCTGGAGGCTGGTCTTGCTTGTTGAGGCGGTGATGGTCAGAGTTGAGCGGTTGAAGAGGAGAGAGGCCGCGTGGTATATTCCGCGTTCGGCTTCGGCGTCGCAATTGCCCAGGTGGTTGGTGACGAGCAGTAAGCCTGAGCGTGGCCAGGAAGAGTATGCTTGGTCAAATGTGGCGGTGGAATTGAACGTCACCGTCACACTCTCAGCAGAACAGGTCACGCTCGACAAGTCATTGACGTCTTCGAGAACGATGGAAGGGAGCTGCAAGTCGGCCTGGACGAAAGCGCCAATCGAGCTTGAGTTGATGGCTTGATAGTAGAGAGAAATTGCTGACGCAGGCTCAATGCTGGCTGCCGTGGTATCTCTGCGTAGAATGGTAGGATACAGGCTAGCCGCCAGTGGATGGGCCGAAGCAGTCAGAAACAGACATGCTGCAATAGTAAGGAGCCCGGGAATCGAGCGAGCCATTATGACAGACAAGGAATCAGTACAGGATTTCCTGAGGCCGTGTGAACTTTGCGTTTTGCATCGATAGCACCGGACAAAGGCCCTTTATATCATTGTCAACTTCAATGTATGCACCGGCAGCAGCAAAATCACCGAGATGACGAACAGCGCCAGTGAAGACGCTTCAGGGCCATCTATTGCGACATGTGCCTGTTACACCTGCTCTGATATTGGTGCAACATTGCAGCCACCGGCCTGAGTACATATGCCCACTGCATTAGTTCTTGATGTCGAGCTGGAATGGAATTCATGCCTGATAATACCCACCAAGAATCGTCCGGAAGAGGATTACCGATCAAGACACTGAAGATCATGGTGATGAACTTTGCATAGTGAAAATGATATCAAACTAGTCTAGCTTACTGACATGTGACAGGTGCTATTAAAACGACTACATCCGTCCAACGGCGAGGGCAATTGAAATCCACGAATCAAGTCCATTTGCTTTAAGCTATTCTCATTCCTGTTGTCTGAAAGACGACCTAAGGTTCCACAGGCGTCAGCATGTGCTTCAACGGCGTGGTCTATTTGGGTCCCCGTCCGAATTCTGCAAGACAATATAAACGTGCATTAGTGCAACTGGCATCTGTTCCTTGCTCTTCTGAGGATGACGAGTCTTGTACTACAATGTATCAAGTATTAATCCTTGAACACGTGCTGGAGAGGTTGGTTCATGCCCGTCACTGCGAAATCTTTAATCTAAGTATTGGAGTAGTGCGCTGCACAATGCCAATTAGGGCATACTAACTATCTAGAAGCAATACCTCTCCAGTCTATTATATTAATTGTATATACAAATTATGCGAATATACAAGTGCTAGATCCCTCTCCCTAGACAAACGCAGCAAAAGGCGAGGTAGCAGCCTGCGACTCCTCCCACCCAATGCACTTCCAGCAAGTCAACAACCCGTGAGGATCGTACTTGTTCTTAATGCTCACCAACCTCTCATAGTTATCGCCCCACCACGCCTCGCGCCAGTTGATCGTAAACGGGTTCGCCTCATTGCTGTACGCCCCGCTACCCGGCGTAATCCCCTCAATCACAGCAGTCATGTTCTGGATCGACGCGATCTTCTGCACCCTAGTAGGGAGAGTGCTGTTCCACGCCCACGACGCACCGGAGCCCAGCTCCCAGATGGCCTGCCGCCACGCGGGCGACGCACTCGTCGACCCCTCGGTGTAGTTGTAGAGCACCGGTCCGACGACGGGGATGTACGGTGTCTGGCCCATCGACTGGATGAGCGCGAAGAAATCCATCAAGTTGGCGCGGCCCTCGGCGGTTTCGAAGACAGAGCGGGGGATCAGCCGACTGCCGGGGAAACGGGTGACGCCGACGGCGACGGAGCTGCTGGTCACGTACTTCTCGTAGAAGGCGTACCAGGAGGTGAACTCTTCGATGGTGGCGGAGCCGCCGTTGGCCTCGGCGTAGGCGATCACCTCGGCCAGGGAGGCCTGGGCTTGCTCGACGGTGAGCAGGGGGGAGACGTTGACGAGGGTGTTGCCGGTGATGTGGCCGCCCCAGCCTTCCTGGGCCCATTGCAGGGTGTGGTTGACGACGATGTCCATGAAGGGGAGCATGTTGGTGGCGGTGCTGGGGAACTGGACGTTGGCCGCCACGAAGCGGAGGGCCGGCTCGACAAGGTGGGTGCTCTCGAGCACCACGCCAAAGGTTCCGCCGCCGCCGCCACGAAGGGCCCAGAAGAGATCGGCGTTCTGGTACTCGTTGGCGGTGCGGTAGACACCGTCCGGCGTGACGACCTTGAACTCCAGGACGCGGTCCACTCCGAGCCCGTACACGGGACTGAGGATGGAGTGGCCGCCGTTCTGGACCCAACCGCCCGAGACGCCGACGGTGGACGAGTAGCCGCCCAGGACGGTGACATTGTGCTGCTGCGCAAAGGTGTACGCCTCATCGAAGTTGACTCCGGCACCGACGGTGATGGCATTGTACTTGAGACCGGTCTTGTTGCAACCACGCGGAACAAACGCGGGATTGTAGTGCATGGACCTCAGATTGCGAGTCCACAGGGACAGCGTGTCACGGCCACTGCTGCGAATGAGATAATCATGGCCGCTGTTCTTGATGACCAGCCGCTTGCCGGAGCAGTTCGAGTACCGGAAAGCCTCGATGACGTCCTTGGCGCTCTGCACCTCCAGGTAGTGCGAGGGCACATTGCCCTGGCGGCAGGTGGCATTCACAAACGCCAGGGGGTCAGTGGGATCGCTGCTGTCGAGCAGGCACTGATTGCTGGGATCAGACGACCACATCTCATCCTGATTGTTCATGTAGCCATTGGGAGAGTTGGTTCGCAGCCACGGATCGCTGTAGTTGGCCTGAATGGCAGCGCAGGCCGCACTGTCGCGAGCCACCGGGTGTCCATTGTAGCTCGAGAAGCAGGGCAAGGAGAAGGGGGTGAGCGGCTGCACGCGTCCTCCAACCGTCGCATTGAAGTGATTCAAGGTGCAAGTTGAGCAAGCATCCTTCCCTGCGACGACAGTCGAGCTCAGCAGAGCCAATAAGGCGAGCCCGGATGGTTTCAAACTGGAGGCCATGATGATCCTTCTTGGCGATGAGGAACAACACGTGGAAGGACAGGGGGAAAACAAGGAAGATAAATTGGTTTCTCCCTGTGGAAATGAATCGAGCCGAGTTGACCAAGCCCATATGTTTCACCGAGCCCGGTCCGAGATCTCATAGGGGATTGCGTGCATGGAATGGATCCTCAAGGGGCCAAAAGTGAGACATCAGCAATGAGAATGCAGCAAGGTCAATAGTCGATCGGAACTGGACCGAAGAGCTATGATTGGTGCGGTACTGGATTACCTCAGCCCTACATCCCTGCTTAGCCTCCATATAAGCTCTGTCACTTTCCCTAATCCGGTGAGAGATCGGCACCTGTGAAACATTCTCAGCCAACCAGAGCCGGAGTCGTAACATCAGGACCCAAGCTAATGCCCAGAATGGAAAGTAGGCCCGGCAAATGGCGGCCGTTGCCTCAGGCCTTCGTATGGTACGGAGTATTGCCCCAAGTCTCTCTGTTGGCTGTTCTTGTGGCTGTTCTTAGGCGATGGGCACATGGAGAAGGTTCTTTTCTTCAATCTCTTCATCGGCAGTGCAAAGGACGATGTAACCTTCCAAATAGCCAGATCATGGCCTGATTTACTCCCTATTCCGATCCTCAGATCTCTTCTTTCTCTCCTCCATCGCCAGAATGGCGCACGAACAGAATACCTACTGGAAGAATGTGCTCACCATTGTGCCGATCGTCGGGGCCGGTGTGGCCACCATTATGTTTCTGTTGCGTCTGTTCTCCCGACGACTGGCGGCCGCTGGGTTTTTCCTGGAAGACCTGTTGATGGGCATTGGGTTGATCCTCTCCTACTGCGCTACGGCTTTTGTGGTGGAGAGTGAGTGCGCTTCATCGAGGATCTGCAGACAGAGAGCTGACCGCTGTAGCTGCCTTCAACGGTGTTGGTGTGCCAGTGGCATCGCTGCCGCATGATGAGCGGTATCGCATCCAATTTGTATGTCTGTCCTGACCCACACTGTCAGACCATTGATGGCGGTATGCAAGCTGACAGAATTCCGCATTGCGGCAGGGATCCTGGATGATACAGAAGTTCTGGGCCCCGTCCATGGCCTTTGTCAAGATCTCGATCGTCGTCTTCCTCAAGCGTCTCCTGGGGTCCGTCCGTGCATATGCCATCGTATCCAATTGTCTGATCGCCTTCATTGCTGTATGGGCCCTTACCGCGCTCCTGGTCAACACTTTCCAATGTTGGCCGGTGCAATACTACTATGACAAGACGTTGGAGGGACACTGCATGAAAGGGCAGGTGCAATTCTTCCAGGCGATGGGGTCGATCGCATTAGTCGAGGATGTCATCATTCTCTGTCTACCGATTCCCATTGTGTGGAGGCTGCAGATTACCTTTCGGCAGAAGATGGCATTGACGCTGGTGTTCTCTCTCGGTGGACTGTATGGCCTTTTGATATGTTGTAAAAGCTTCAACTGACCGTTCCCAGGGTGTGCATCTTCAGTCTCCTGCGCCTGATCGAGTTCCGCAACTTCGTCGTCACAGATCTTGCCTGTGCGTTTCGTTCCCTGTTCCATAAGAAGATGACACTGACCGCACCAGCCTCAAGCGCAAAAGAATCCATCTGGACCTGTCTCGAACTCGACGTCGCCATCATCTGCGGCTGCCTCCCACTCCTCAAACCGCTCGTCCAAGGCTTCCTCGGCAAGGTCAAAAGCGGCGTCTCCAAAGGCTACTCGCAGCCCTCCACCGGCTCGAAACTTCCCTTTCCCGCATCCCGGACTAACAACGATGGTTTTCAGCAGATCGATGATCCGCATGGCACATTGGCATCCACCGCATCCAAGTCTCCCAATACAATGGCTACGCCGAGCTGCAATAGCTCCGATGTGGAATTGCAGGGCATTACGGTGCATACCAGTATACGACAGGATGTGGATGGGCGGTCGGACGTCGGTAGTACGGATCCAGTGTTGAATCATAACTGGCGACAATGATATACTGTACGATATTCATTTCAAATGCAGCTCCGTAGCTGGGACTCGATGAGCGCTGCCGCCTCTATGCACGAGAATAATCTGGATTGACCGACAGAACAGGACACGCAGTAGGACCGTAGATTTACGCTGCTGGTCCAGGATGTCAGAACTGTCAACTGAGTGACTCTGTTGCCCTTCTGCTCGTTGCAGAGTATCAAACCGGGAAGCGTATGTCCTTTGCAGTAACAGCACACAGCCTTCCATTACCATCAACCTCGAGGCAAAAGACTCCTTGCGAACGTCTCCAAGGTACCTTTCTTCAGCTATCACAGCACGGTGCGCAGGTTGATCATCTAGCTGCGAATTCAACATCAACTCTAATTATGCCTTTGTGATCAGAACGCTAGCAGTATTTCAGAAGCGCTTCGACCCTGACGAACTTGCAGTTGGCTCTCCAAGTTGGCCGTGGACAGTTTCAAGCTTCCGTATGGGACGTTTTGAGTGGCGCCAGGCGTTTACTCCATAAAGGCATGCTTTATAGACGACGCCTCGGCTACATGGTGCATGTTGTGGCGGATATCAGTTAACCAGGCAGCGTTTGCTTATCTCGCGAGAATTTCTCACGCGAATATCATTGTCCTACAGTTACCACCGCAGCTGGCAAGGATAGATCGACGGCTATACTGGAGATGCCGTCTGCGAACCCAAACTGCCAAGGAAGGAATTAGTCTATGTATGTCTATCATTATTTATGTCATCTATGCCGTACACCGTCTGTAGAATAGCCACAGGCACAGAAAGTATCAAGTATCGCTTGACCGCGATCACCGCACAGTCGTCACAACCGTCTGCACCGGCCCAGTCTGCGCCCCCGTGGTGTCAAACTCCAGACTGGCACTACTGTGACTCAAACTATCGCTCCGCCGCCCCTGATCCACCTCGTTCGTCACATGGAACTGGCGATGGGCCCAGATCTCCAACGGCTGCTCGCGATTGATATGCTCGCCCGACTCGGTGCGGTCGATGGTCGAGCGCACCTGCGACTTGTCGCCGCCGCGGAAGCGCGAGAGGTGGATCGTCGAGCTGTCAAGGCGGTCGGCGTACTTGTTCTGGCTGCGGTTGTAGGACGAGTGCGCGAGGAAGGACTTCCAGTTGAAGAGGCGGCGGAAGAGCGTCCAGGTCTGCGGGATGTTGGTGACGATGACGGCCGTGGCGGCCTCGCGGACGTACCACTCCAGCCATTTGATGCCGTAGGGCTGGGAGATGGAGTAGTACTTTGAGAGGATGGAGCAGAGGATGACGAAGGCGCCGAGGGAGAAGACGGCGCAGAGGGTGAGTTTCTTCGACAGGGTGAGTTTCGCGCGGATGAGGAGCGGCAGGGGGATGGCCATGATCATCACGTCGGTGGTGACGTTGAAGGCGAGGGTGATGATGACGTGGTTCGTGTAGACGGAGCATTGGACGCTCTTGGGGGGGACGGACCAGTACGCCGAGAAGGGGCGGCACCAGACGGCGAAGAAGAGGATCTCGATGAGGAGGAAGCTGAAGGCGCAGATGCCGCCGATGACCTTGACGATGCGGTGTTGCCAGAGGCCGGTTCTGTGAAGGCACATCGTTGTTAGGGGTGGAAAGGTGCGTAGAGTGTTGGTGATGCTCACGTCATGGTGGAGTATAGTAACAGCAGACAGCATTTGCATCCCCAGACGACAACCAGCCAAAACTGCTCGACCGCCACGACCATCTTACTGCCTTTGACGCGGTCTGGGATTGTTGCTTTATCGATCGTCTCGAACTCACTCGGGGGGAATCCGTTGGTGCCGTACTTGTCGACTTGGACCAGGAAAACGGTGAGCAATATGTAGAATATCTATAGAGAGGCAGTTAGCATTGCATCCAGGACTCCCAGTGATTGCAAAAAGCAACAACGTACCACAACCACCCCCATGACGAGATCCTCCATCTGGAGGTTGCGGGGTACACCCATCTGCAGAATGCGAGACACATAGCGCAGCGTTGCTGTCCGATATCTGTTAGAATCTTGACCTCCCAGGCGACAGGAGGACCAACGTACTGATGAGCAGCACCACGGCCATCCACACCCATTCCTCCGAAGCCTGAACCATCGTGAAAGTGCCCTTTTACAGGGAATGATGCCGGGCAAGCGGTAGCAGCCTATGTGCGCATGGAGAATATACAGGAGGATTTTGAAAGACAGAACTGTCGGGTCAGCCTCCTTTTACTTTGTCGTCCATTTCCTCTCACAGCAACGAGTAATGACTCGCACACTTGTTGAAACGATTCCTCAGGAACAGACGCCACCCAGGCGGGGCCTACCAGATATAAGTTATACAACCCACTCGGCCTTTGCGGAGTGTCAGGACTCAGGACTCAGGAACACCCCGGTCTACTGGGAACGAGGGAGATAGTTCCCTGGAACTGGAACAGTAGTAGCCTCAACCATTGCAAACGATTCATTTTAGCCCATCAGACAGCATATCATCACACGTGGCTGCTGGCCATTTCCAGATCACTTGCAGCCCCGAGGCGTTGCTGGGATAAGTCCCGACTGTGTGATTGGCCGATATCGTTCTGGGCGTTTTCTGTTTGATTAAGTGTCCGCCTTGGAAAAGTTTATTGTGAAAATTCTTTCCCCTTGTCTCCAGCGTGAATCCCTTCGAGAAAGGATCGTCTTAGGATCGAAGTCACAGACCTGCCAAAGGGACTGGCGTGTAGATCCTCGATTCATGGATATTCACATTGGAAATTGACATTAGAAGCTTGCATTCCTTGTGCATGCAGGGTATTAGTGGTCATGACTCCTGGTCGACTATCAGTTGCATGACTCGAATTCCAAGACTCGGTCAGACCTATTCTTGCTAGAGGTAAACTTTGCCGAGCGAGACATTCTCAGCATGCGCCTGTATCCAGTTAGTTAGCTGTCATTCTCCTTGTTCTTATCTCACAGCTGGCTAATAGCCAGGTCGCCAGACTCGAGCAAATTTCTTTCTCGAACAAAGTTTAACGTTACCAGCTACCAATTAGACACAAGATTGCCTTGCATTCCCCACTGGAAGAGACATCTGCCAGTGTCTAACATACGTACTGAGAGATAATCCCGGAATATATGCGTTGATTTACGGTTGTCTAGTTGTCTAGTTGTCTTGGTGCTTGACTTTCGTGCTTGCTAGTCCAGTTCTCGCAGTATACTTCTGTCCTACGAATCTTGCACTGTGCCATCTTGAGAAGACATTTAGTTTCCAGGCTTAGCGGATACCAGCATCGATCCATGGATCCAGTCACCGATATCGCTTCAAGCTTCAGACTGCCATTGTGGCCGCTGTCTGCAGGGGCCCTCCTAGAGATCACACAAGTGTAAGGGAGTCTTCGAGATCTTGCTAGAGGTATCAGGGAGTATATTAAGCGGCGCTATGTGAAGAACAATTCTGCATTTCATACAGAATATGAGCTGGTTGAATGAGCGGGACTGGAGACAGAGGATTCGATTAAGGCAACTCAAAGTCCCTCATATTAGTAATGGTGGAATCATGATTTCATAGAACCTTATACACACAAGGAAAGAAAAGCATTCAACAGCATCCATCATGAGAACTACAGAAATGCCTCTTTAGACTCATTCTCAAGCTTTAGGTGGTTCTCCAGTGATAGAATGATGCTGTAGACTGCCTCGCATGACAGATGTATAGCCAGCAGCTGCACTTATGAGAAGTTGACCATATACATGCCCTTTAAACTGATCATAGAACTCAGTTTTCAAGGTCTTCCTACTCAGTAGTCATATCCTCCCACTACCTGATCACCAATCTATTACACTACCTTCACGCCTCTGCTTTTGTGGCAGCTTGGCAGGAGAGTTTATGTCCACAACACTTCACACGTTGCGGGCTGACTGGGTACTGCATACACTTGTCTGCCGAAGAAAGTTTTTAAAAACTGCTTAAGCTTCTAGTAAACCCAGTGTCATGGACGATGCAGCTACCCCGGCTAGGGATTCTGGAATTCATTTCCACATCTGAACTTCTAAAGTAGGTTCCAGTCTAACCGCCATACTGGATTGACAGCCGTCAAAAGGGGGCAGTACGACCGATTTCGAGACAAGTTCTTCTGGATTGATAATAAGCTGTCTCAAATGGCATCCTTGCCGCAAATGGCAATTATCAGGCCTTCTTGAATTCCACTGGCTGTCAGTCGGCCCTAGCATTGCCCTCGGCACCACAGTCGATGGTCGTTGAGTCCATGCTATATCTAAATTAGTGTGATGTTCTACTCACAAACTCTATGCTTTAATGGCTAGGTGGATATTTGACAGAAGTAATCCAATAATTAGTAAATAAATCTCATGCATAGATGTGTTGTTTTAACAGAGTTTATGCTTATAGATTTCTACTTCATGATTTCTCCTATATATAGCATCCTAATGCCGCAGAAGCTCTCCTCCATGTTATTATAATGTTTTTATTTAGTATTAATAGCTTAAGCATAGTCTGAATGATTTAATATTGGCTGAGTTTATTATGTAAGGCATTAGATGTCTTCCTCATATTGTTGTCTTGTTCCACACCTAGCAATGGGACAACCTATTTATGTAGTGGGTTGACTCTTATTTTATGCTTATTTTATTCAAGAAAGGTCATTATAGACCCGATCCTCGAGAGATCAGAAGCCAGGCGCTAGGTAAAATGAGGCAGGCGCATCAGCATGGCTTCATGATGCGATTCTTAGCCTGTGTGGTGAGATACGGACGCAGATCTATCCAATGACAAGGATGATTCGCAATCTCAGAAGTAGTTTGGAAATGCTTCGATGCACTTAATATATAAATCTAGGAGCTTATTTGCCCATAAAAAATGCTTCGACATCGACCATGCATTAGTTTCAATGGCGACATGCTAGGATATTATGCACAACCCCTCATCCGTGCAGCCTGGATGTAACGTAGGAAATAGAACTAATCACCTGGCTCAAAATCCTCTTCTCCTCTTTTTAACGTAGGATCCGTTCATACATATAGTTGGTTCTGCTCCTAACCGACACATCGACCCTGGGCATATCAGAAACTGTTAATACGATGGATGACAGGAATGCCTCAGCGGTCAACAAAGGTATAGAGCCAGAAGAGCCGTACAAGGACGGATCTGAAAAGCAAGCAAAGGATGTTACTCAAGAAACCGAGAGCGCAGAAACCCCGGGCTCGCAGCCAAACGATGCTGAATATATCAAGGGACACCCCGTCATTCGAAACGGTAAGCATGCATGCTGGCCACTGCAACCGCAATGGACTAACCCAACAGGCGCCGATGTCTCCAGGTTCATCGTCTCTGTGAGAGATGACAGCGATCCTGCGTTAACCTTTCGATCGATCGTCCTGGGCTCCGCGTTCACTGCGCTTTCGAGCGTGATTACGATGCTTTATACCTTTAAGCCCACGCAGATGCAGGTGTCGGCAATCTTCATGCAGCGTAAGTCGATTCCTCAGCGAGCTCTGGCTACCCTTGTAACAGTCGTTTCTAGTTCTTGTGTATGTGGTTGGACAAGCGTGGGCGTTGCTTACTCCACGCCCAGACAGGTGTCGATTGAAATGGCTGCAACGCACACTCCAATTCCTGAATTTTGGACAGCCCTTCGGCATCAAAGAACATGTCGTTGCGTCTCTCATTGCTTCATCTGGTAACAATGGTCTTTCTGGGGTGGAGGTCTACGCCGTCGAGCGTCTATTCTACAACATCAGCGTCTCGGCGACGACTGCAGTGCTGGGAACATTCTCCATCTCACTTTGTGGCTTTGTCCTGGCTGGACTTCTGCGGCCACTGATCGTCTATCCAGCTGAAATGGTCTACTGGTCCACGCTTCCGCAGGTGGTCCTCTTTCAGAACCTCCATTTCGACCAACGGGCCAACCGAGGCCGTTTGATCAAGTTTGGGTGGGCTCTAGGGCTTGCTGCTGTTTGGGAGATCTTCCCTGCGTATATTATAACCTGGCTCGGGGGCTTCTCAATCTTCTGCCTGGCTTCAATGCGCGCTCCTCAGCATATCCGGACTGTCTTTACGACAGTGTTTGGGGGAGCATCGTCTAACGAGGGCCTGGGTCTGTTGAACTTTGGTCTCGACTGGCAGTACATCCAGAGCACCTACCTGTCATTACCTTTGAAGCAGCAACTCAACTCGTGGATCGGTTACCTGATCTTTTATCCGGTGATGCTTGGTCTCTACTACGGGAATACATGGAGCGCAAAGTCATTCCCGTTCATGTCAACCTCTCTGTTCAATAGCAACGGCAAAAAATTCTCCACCACTTCCATTCTCAACGACAGAGGCACAATTGACTACGAGAAGCTGAAGGAAGTGGGCATCCCGCATCTCACCTCCAGCACAGTCTGGGGCTACCTCACGCAGAACCTCGCCATCGGCGCACTGATCACTCACGTCCTCATCTTCTACAGCAAGGACATGCATATTGCCTGGAAACAGGCCCGCAGTCGAACCCAGCCCGACCCGCATTACCAGGCAATGCTCAAATACAAGGAAGTCCCGCTGTGGTGGTACCTCGCATTGTTCGTCCTCGCCTTCTTCGCGGGACTTATCGTAAACATCAAGGGTGAAACGACCCTTCCAGCGTGGGGCTACATCGTCGCCCTCCTCCTCGGCGCATTCATCGCCCCATTCTCCTGCATCCTGTACGGGCTCTACGGAACCGGCGTCGCGACTAACCAGCTCTCGAAAATGATCGCTGGCGCGGTCCATCCGGGTCGCCCCCTGGCGAACCTCTACTTCGCCAGCTGGTCGCACCAGGTCATCCTGCTTTCTGTGAATCTGGCCAACTGGCTCAAGGTGGGTCAGTACACCAAGATTCCGCACCGGATCATGTTCGGCACCCAAGTCTACGGCACGTTGCTAGGGGCCGGGCTCAACTACGCCGTCATGACGACAATCGTATCGAATCAACGCGCTATTCTCCTCGACCCGACAGGAAACAGCGTCTGGAGCGGGTCAACAGTGCAGAGTCTGAACTCGCAGGCCATCACATGGGCGCTCGCTCGAGACGTCTACGGCGTGAACGGCCCGTATCTCATCGTTCCGCTAGGGCTCCTCATCGGCCTTGCGTTACCAATCCTGCATTGGGGTCTTGTCCGGGTCTGCCCGCGCACGCGGTCCTGGCCGCTCAATACGGCGATCATCGCTTCGTTTGCCGGGCAGGTGTATTACGGCAACACATCGTGGATTTGGTCGTCCATTGCGGTGGGTGTGTTCTCGCAGCTGTGGCTTCGGCGCCGGCTGCCTCGCATTTACAACCAGTATAACTACCTCATTGGGGCGGCGTTGGACGGGGGGTCCCAGATTGTGATTTTTATCCTCTCCTTTGCGGTTTTTGGGGCCAGTGGGAAGGAAAATCCGTTCCCTACGTGGTGGGGGAATCCGGCCGGTAATCCTGATCATTGTCTTTAGTGCATTCAGTCCTCTCACATATGTCGATATCAGGTCTGCCTAGTCAGAGGTCAAATTACTAAGGTCCTTCTACGTACTTGTAATAGATAGCATTAGCCATTTAGCAATAAAAGAACGGACTGATTTTCGCGCATCAAATGCTTGATCTAGATTGGTGGAACCTATGCTGTCTAGCACAATATCAAATCGAAATGCCAGTATTGATAACCCTCTGCGAGGAGCGGATATACTCGTAGTGACTGTGGGAGTTGCAGGCAAGCCCGGAATGACAAGAGACGATAGATTGCAACAACTTATTCGATCATCTTCCTAACTATTCATCTTAGATCAGTGCCTAGTGGGCGTCTACATTCTGCTTCATGTACCACAACCAAAACGGAGAAGATCAACGCAGCATCATCAGCGAGCTCCCTGCCCTGTTCTAGAAACCTGGGAGTCTGATGTTGCCTCTATGTTTATCAAAGTTACCCTGTCGGTGTAATCCGGTATTCCTGCCATAAGGAGCATGTATATCTATCTCGTATTCCAGGGGTGAGGTCCTGTGGATGTACTGGTAATGACCCTATCACATGGCCCTTCCCGACAGGTCTATGCATCCGGTCATGGCGGTCTATCATGCAAGGAAAATAGCGGTGTTGTAGACGAGCAACTGCATGGAGGCTGTCCGGCTTACGAGTTATAGTCCGATGTTCAGGAAGGGCATTCAAAAGTCAACACATAGACACTAGAAACGTCCATCAATCGTTCCCATACATCATATCCACACCCGGTCATGACGGTCATCGACCAGGTCGCCATAATCGGCGCCGGACTCTGCGGTCTCACGCTGGCCTTGGCCCTGCATCAACAATCCATTCCGTGCATCGTCTACGAAGGAAGGTCTGCACCAGAGGATATCGGCGGAGCCATCATCCTTTCCCCCAACGCCCTGCGAATCCTAGACGAGCTGCACATCTACGCCCGCATCAGAGACCTCGGCCACGAAAGCGAGACGGTCCTGTTCCGAACCGAGGACGACCAGCTAGTCGATTCGTACGAGATTGGCAACGAGGAAAAATACGGCTACAAGGGTCTGCGGATATACCGATACGCGCTCATCAATGAGCTCCTGGCCTCGTTGGCCGAGCGGCGCATCCCCGTGCACTACGGGAAGAAGTTTGCGCGCATCTGCTCCGAGTCCGAAAGCGAGGTGAGCTGGGAGTGGGCGGATGGAGGCGTCGGCCGCGCGGGGTCTCTGGTGGGCTGCGATGGAATCTACTCTCGCGTACGCGCGTATCTCTACCCCGAGCTGAAACCAGAGTTCATCGGCATCGTGGCGGTCGCGGCGGCGGTCCCAACTAGCCGCGTGGACTTGCCAGAGGGGTACGGGCTGCCCGTGACGATCATGAGCCAGACGCACGGCGGGTATATCATCGCGCCGCAGCAGTCTGATGGCTCCGAACTGATGCTGGGGCGGCAGCGGCGGTGGCCAGAGTTGGACCGGGAGGGGTGGGAGGCGCTGGCGACCGATGAGGCCTGGTGTATTGATTTCCTGCGTCAAGGCTCGGAGCACTTCCCGCCGATCATCCGCTCGAGCGTGGCGAATATTCAGCGAGACAAGATCAACGTTTGGCCCTTCTACGTGGTCCCGCGGCTGGATCGCTGGGTTTCCGACTTCGGGCGCGTGGCGATCATGGGTGATGCTGCGCATGCGATTCCACCGTCGTCGGGCCAAGGTGCCAACCAGGTCCTGGAGGACAGTTATACGTATGCGCTGCTTCGGGGTCAGTGCACGCCAGGCTCGCTCGGGCACGCCCTGCGTCGATGGAAAAAGGGACGCCAGGAGCGGATTGACCGGCTGCTGAAATTTGCTGAGGAGATGAACCGACGCCGGATGACGGAGTGTGTAGCAGACGGCTGCGAGAGCAAGCCTGTCATGACGAAAATCACGGAATATCTGGACTTGGACTGGGTGTTCAAACCAGATTACCGGAGGATGGTCCATGACTGGGTCCAAGATTCCTCATGATGTGGTGCATAAGCTCCTGTAGAGTGCAACCAGGGATCTGCAGCCTGCAAGGGAATGGCATTGTGCAAGATCCTGTGGACCATTTTCCTTGTCATTGTTACACCGTGTCTTCTCTAGTGCAGATCGGGTGGGGCGTCGATCCATATGCAGTGTGATAGATCGTGCTCTTCTCGCCATCGTGCATGGTATGGCCATAGGACTAAGTAGCGGTGAAAGGTATCCTAAAATTGAGGAGCAACAGAGTAGCCAGAAGGAAAATAGACAATAGAGCTGTAGGGCCGAGCGTATGTCCATTCCAGAGATCAGGTCAACCCGTAAACACGGCCATTCAAGCAACCTCCAATGTCGACAACTCCCACCACGGCATCGGCTGGCCCCCAGACGGAGCAGATTCCACGCGGACCAGTGGAAGTGGCCTTGAATTTCTTCACGCCGCCAGTGGACGGCTCGACGCCCTTCCAATATGCCCAAGAGCCACCCTCCGGCCAGCCAGCCTCCAACTACAGCCAGCCAACAGTTCACGTCGGCCTGACCGATATCCGCGGCAGGGAAAGCGACTACAGCCTCGACCAGGACGCCTTCCAGTGTCTCCAAGGCGTCCAGTCACTGTCAGAGATCCCCTACGAGACCTTTCTCTCCGACGACCGGATCAAAGACATCTACTATCCAGCAGTCGAACGACTCCTTCTCGAGCGCATCACCGGTGCCCGGAAAGTAGTAATCTTCCACCACGTCGTGCGCATGGACCGAGCAGACAACCCCATCAACCGTAGACCGCTTCTAACCGTCCACGCGGACCAGACCGCGCACGCCACCGTGGCCACCATCCACCGGTACATTGGGCGTCAAGACGAGGTCGAATCCCTGCTCCGAGGCCGGTACCGAATCATCAACTTGTGGAAGCCGATCAACGGCGCCGTCGAGTCCTGCCCGCTTGCCTTTGCCAGCGGGAGCTCGGTAGACCCAGCCGACCTGGTGCCCATTGAACTGCGGTTTCCCGATGAGGTCAGCGAGAGTGTCGGGGTCAGGTATAATGCTGAGCAGAGGTGGATGTACTGGTCGGGGATGAGCAATGATGAGTGCCTCCTGTTGAAATGCAGTGATTCTCTCGCCGATGTGCCCGCCGTTCAGGTGCCGCATTCGGCGTTTATAGACCCTCGTTCCCCTCCGGGGGCTAAGACTCGGGAAAGCATTGAGATTCGAGCGTTGGTGTTTGGTTGAGACATGAACGAATATCGGGCAGTCTTTTGAGAGGAGGAGCGGGTGTGTGGAAAGATATCAATGTTTTTTACATGTACCCAAGACCTTTTACTCTCGGTCTACTGCTGGTGCGTTTCATCAGCTATCTAATTAGTTTGATCCATATTCCGTATACTGGATTATTTAGACTGCTCTCGATCTTTATTGCAAATTTTTCGCGGTCAACATACTCTTGTATGTCTACCGTTAACGCTGGGAGTTGGACTGAATAAGACAACATCTATTGAGACATATACATAAGAGGAATGCGGGAACCTATGCCCTATAGGAAACAGTCATTCTTCAACTCAAGCAGGCTGGCTGAGTGGTGCATGGTGGATCGACAAGCGCGGAAGATCTGAAGCACGTATCGAATCTCCTGAAAATGGGAACGCAGATGGTCTGTATTACCCGTCACAGTTCTACCCAAGAAAACAGTATGCTTACTTTTTTCAGGAGGCCCAAAGAATACCCTCAATAAATGGACAAGCCGAAGCGTGAGCTGATCAGCAAGGGATAGCAGACTATTGGAATGCAGCCTTGGCGGATTTATTTAATGGAAGCGCTATAGATACTGAAGCCACAGTACCTACTCCTTTAATAAGCAGCAGTCAACGCTCTATTTGACCTCTTGAACAATGCCAGGACTCGGAGGGATCGATCTGAAAAGGTATCAGATATCACGACAGCTCGGATTTCTCCCAGCACAGCCGCCCTTGACCCGTCTACCTCACTCATGCTACCAGATCTGGGAGGACACACTAGGGAAATTTCCTTCACTTTGCAACGATGAATCGATCCGGCAGCAGATGGATAACATGCCAGTCCTATCTACGCGGGCTTTGGCCACAGAGCCCGAGTGGCGAAGGGCGTATGTAGTCCTGTCCATGATGTCTCAGATTTACATCTGGGGCGGCTGTCAACCAAGCAAGGTGGGATCTGATCTGGCCATTGGGGGAACCCACACATATCAAAGTCCCATCACTGACGGGATGCCAGACGCTTCCAAGATCTCTCACCATCCCCCTTTTAGAGGTCTCTGCACACCTTCGCATCGAGCCCTGCGCGTCTTACGCCAGCTTCTGTCTGTGGAATGTACGGCCGATTCCAGCTCTGGGTTATCCGGACCCGGAGGTATATTCCAATCCAGATAATCTAGCCATCATCAATTCCTTCACTAGAACCAAAGACGAGGAATGGTTTTTCTGCGTCTCGGCCTCCATCGAGGTCATTGGGGGTTGCATGATACCCAAGATGCTCGAAGCCATCGACGCCGCTGGGGACGGACGCCGTGAGCAAGTCACCGACTTCCTCGACGAGCTCGCCGGGTGTCTCGCACAGATAGACGCCACCCTGGGCCGAATGTACGAGAAATGTGCGCCGTCGGTGTTCTACCACCGCGTGCGTCGGTTTCTCAACGGCAGCAAAAGCATGGGGGGCGTCTGTTACGAGGGACTTGACGGGCCCGGCGACTGGCGCAGCTACGCCGGGGGAAGCAACGCGCAGAGCTCTCTGATCCAGCTCCTGGATATCGTGCTCGGTATTGATCAGTCTGGCTCTGGCGCCGGCGCAGCGGGCAATGGTGGAAAAGGAGCATGCAAACCGCACGGCTCCTTTCATCGCCACATGCGCGACTACATGCCGGGACCGCACCGGGACTTTCTCCAGCTCATGTCTCGCGTCGCGAATATCCGCCTCTTTGTCCTGGGCCACTCGCCCGGCTCGGATATTCGAGCTGCGTATAATCGAGCTGTTGGCGCTCTGGTGGAGATTCGTCAGAAACATATGGTCATGGCTGCGCGGTATATCATTGCCCCGTCCTTGAGGGAGAAGGGCGAAGGTGGGTTAGAGGGCGTACGAGGGACTGGTGGGACGGAGTTTATGCCTTTGTTGAAAGGCGCAAGGGATAGGACTATGGAGAGTATATCATTGACGGGTTGTCGAGACTGTTAGTGTGCTGGTTGGCTTGTCATTGTCTTGCGCGCTATGTCTTTTCAAAGATTCCTGCTACATTTGAGACATGATAGTTATGTTTCCCGGGAAATTACTGGATACGCACATTGCTCTTGTTTCTATCCTATCGGTAACAGGCTGCAGGGCAAAATGCATGCTAGCCCACTCTCTTCAGAGCAAACGTCACCCGCCCCGGATCCGACATCCACGAATTGACTATGGACAAACTCCCCGGAACACGCTCAATCAATGTATGCCATTCCCCCATTGTCCGCGACAATGTCCCAAAACACGCCAGCAGGTGCATATTCATCCCATTGGCCATCGACAAGCCACCCTGGCTACCCACATCAATGGCATCGTCGACCAAGAGGATGGACCTGTGCGGGGTCATTGCGTCGGCGAGATGTCCTAGGATGGTGCAACAGTCCCTGTGCGATGTCAGATTGTGGCACTTGGACTGCACTTGTTAAAGCCTTACTCTGAAGTATGGTCCATCAGGATGCAACTCGCCAGGTAGAGGTCTGCTCCTTTCACTGGCTGCTCGGTGTGAAAGTCATGGTCTTGCCATTCAACTCGCTTGAGGATTGTCTCATCAATATCGCTGCTATCGGCGGGAGGTTCGGCGCCATAGTCCTGGACAATGAATGACATACGCGGATGCTGCTTCGCAATCCGTATCGAATGGTGTCCCTTGCCACCACCGACGTCGACTACGACAGCATCAGCCTTCAGCTGATTAAAATCGAAGATGCTTTCGACGGTCGTGGCGGCCGATCGGGAGTGCCATTGCATTGCCCGGTCGAACCTCTCCCCCAGTTTTTGGTCCGATGACCGGAGGAAAGCGTAGAAAGATTGGTCCGCTAGACACTAATCGATCAGTAGCTTACTCCATTGTAAACGAATCGCATTTCTTACTCCGGTACGCCATCTGAAACGCAGTTCGGTGCCTATGGCTCGGGATCTGCCCGGCATTCTCGCCTACGTATCGACTCATGTACGCCCCCGTCATGAGACCAACATCGGACCTGGAACGTGAGACAGTTACTAGCCCGTAGGGACGTGACTTACTAACATATGATGGACCCACGCGCCTCCTCTCTTGTCTAGCAAGAAAGCTGACCTACTGTTCAGACAGTATGTCTCCGGGGATGGCTCATCAAGAACGAACTGCGCCACGACCTCCCGCAACGCACATCCTACGTTTCGGTCAGATCTGGCCAGAGTAGATACTTATGAAAGGCGTACTGAGTAGGGACCTTGAAGCCCCGGACCGTTTGACTAAATCGTCCAAGCTCGTGGGTATGTCGCTCTCGGACAGGGACTGGAATATATTCAAGTCGAAGAGCAGGCAGATGGCAATACTGCCATTGTAGCCCATTGCGACGCGGTTCGTCCACAACTCTGGTGTAGTCACAAGTGCATCAAGCTCTCTGCAGGCGGACGATATCGTCGCCATCTCCTCCGTTGGTGTCTCGCCGGCCTGGAGCTTGTCCGCGTACCTTTGGATTTGACGCGAGATATGCGAGCCCAGGAGCTCGATCTGGCTAATTTCCCGTGTCATTCTCACAGTTGATGATTTTCCTTGACGAATAGAATAGAGAATGTGAGGATCCTGGCCTTGAAGGTTGGAAAACAGGCGGGCAACAATGTGTTACTAGAGCAATTAAAGGTTAAAGGAGGTTGCCCTTGCTTTATGTTAGATAGAGCGTACGTTTCTCGTGCACACCAAAGACCTGCTAGATCTCATTATTTATGACACGCTGTCCCTCTCCATGCTTAACACGTATTGGAACTGCAGCACTGGGGGTGTGGAGATTCAACGCAGGCAAGGACGACTGCATGCGGCACCAGGACTCACACCGTCGCCCACTCGCAGAACACCTCTCGACCGATTGGAATTAGGCATATTGTGTAGGCATATCTCTCGGCTCAGTAACTATGCTGCCTATTACCGGTGGCAATTTTTGGGCTCAAAGATGTGCATCCGCTCAACGACTCATGCCTTACAGCACACATGCATAGATACACTGCGCTGTGCCTCGACAAGACCCAGGGTAGTTACCTTCACCGCTCCTTTGTGATGGACAACTGTAAGATGCCGGATTATATGGCCTCTTCTAATGGGTCTCTTATATCCTCGTTCCTGACGAATCCGGCCACAGGTATCTCGCCTACCAAAGGGACTAGGGCTCAGACGTTCCCCATCATGACCACTGTTGAAGCATCCCATTTGATGTCAGCAGGGGACGGAGTCTGCCTCTTCCCTACAATCAACCCCAACCCCAACCTGTCAGCTACTGATCGAGAGATTCAGACGCTCAGCTTCGATCCATGCCTGGTTCGAGCACTGAAGACATCAGGTTATGAGGTCCAATGGGTTCTGTGCACAGCATGGGCAATCGTTTTGTCGCGATATGTCAAAGCAGATCGGATCCGGTTCGGCGTTCATACGAGTGCCGGAAGACAAATCTGCAATATTGCTATTGACCCGGACACTCCCGCGGAAGCATTATTCCAGGCCAATGGATGGGATATGTCCGTTTTGGACAAGAGTGAAGCTGAAACTATCAACACGGGAGTCTGTATCCAAGATCCATCCGAGGGTTGCGAAGATCTCAAGCAATCGTACAGCGTGAATATAGTGGCACAGTTTCAGGACTCTCGTCCCCTTCTGCAGCTCGTCTACAAATGTCAATTGTTATCGCCTTTTTATGCGAAGAATCTCGCCAATGCCGTCAGCCATGTTTTGGAGAGTATCCTGGAGGACCCGAGTCGGCGAATCAGACAGATCTCCTTGTGCTGCCTTGTTCAACGTCAGTGTATTCTCACTTGGCAAAAAAGCAGTCCATTGCACGAGGCCACGCATGCCGCCATTTCCAGACTGGTAGAAGAGCAGGCTGCAGGGCAACCAAACGCCCCGGCCATTGAGGACATTGATGGCGCGCTTACATATGCCGAACTCGATCACCTGTCCTCCTGCTTGGCAGTGCATCTCGCGGATAAGCATGATGTCCGCAGCGGGACCATGGTGATGCTCTGTGCCTCCAGAACGCGATGGACGATCGTGGCCATGCTGGCTGTCAACAAGGCTGGGGGATGTTTTGTCCCCTGCGACCCCGATTATCCGGCCAGTCGCCGGTATGCGATGGCAGCGATCTGCGGATCAAGCATCGCTATTGTCTCGGCAGAATACGAAAACGCCTTTGAAGGAATCGTCAACGAAACTGTTGTTATTTCGGCTGCTACAGTCGACGACTTGCTGGCGGGGACGCAAGGGACGCGACGAGAATTTCGGACAAGCCCGAAGGCCCCGGCGTACTGCTTCTTTACGTCTGGAAGTACAGGCGATCCCAAGGGATGTGTAGGGTCTCACTCGGCGCTGGCAGCAGTTGCCCACCAGGTTCCCGCACTGCATCTGTCGCCTGCGAGCCGCGTGCTCCAGTTCGCCCGGCTTGGGTTCGGGATTTCTTTCATCGAGATATTTTGCACGCTGGCCGCGGGGGGGACGATCTGCATGCCGTCGGATCATGAACGAATGAATGCGCTTTCCGACGCCATGAACCGGATGAAGGTCAACTGGGCTCTTCTCACACCGACGATGGCGGAGTCACTGGATCCGGCGCATTTGAAGACACTGGAGAAGCTGTTTCTGGGAGGAGAGACGCCTAGCAAAGTTCAGATCCTCAAGTGGGCGTCCAAAGTCGCTCTATTTCAGGTATACGGGACCACTGAAATGGCCGGAGTAACATGCGTCTCGCAGCAGATCACCTCCCTACAGGCTCGGCGAACAGTCGGCATGCCTGCTAACTGCCGCGTTTGGCTCGTGGATGTCGATCGTCATGACCGACTGGCTCCTATCGGTGCCATCGCTGAGCTTCTGATTGAAGGACCAAGTCTGGCCGCTGGATACCTGGGTGATCCCGAGCGCAGCAAGGCCTCGTTCGTCCAAGATTCCCCGTGGATGAGCGGATCAGGGCTCGAACCCTCGATCCATCGGGTTTACAAGACGGGTGATCTGGTACGGTATAATGAGGACGGATCCCTCAGTCTGGTCGGACGAAAAGGGACACGGGTCAAGCTGCGTGGGCAACGGCTGGAGCTCGAGGAGGTCGAGTGTCAATTGGCTCGGGTACTGCAGGATTCACAGACCCTTTCCAGCGTCCAGCGAGTTGTGGCTACGGTCATTGAGCCTGAGATCCTAGTAGCCGTGCTCGTAATACCAAACGGCTGCCGCGTGTCAAGCAACGGGCTGCAATTCCACCAGATCGATGCTGGACAGATGCTTTCCGACCTAAGACATGTCCAGAAGAACCTCTCGTCCTTATTACCCAGTTTCATGGTACCACAGCTGCTTCTCCCTCTCGCGAACCTGCCCAGAGGCGCCACAGGCAAAGTCGACCGTCGCGCGTTGCAGCGCCAATTGAGCGCCATCCCGTTTGAAGAATTGCGTCGACTGGCCGGAGTCACGGTGCAAGCACACTCCCCTGAAACAAACGCGGCGCGAACCATTCATGCTTTGGTCGGCGAGGTTCTCAAGCTGAGTCTAGACAAGGTGGGGATGGCGGATAACTTCTTCCACCTCGGGGGCAATTCCATGCTTGCCATTCAGATGGTCGCTGCTGCCAAACGCCTTTCTGTGCGCCTGACCGTCGCGGACATCTTCGACCATCCCGTACTAGCCAACCTTGCATCCATTATTCGCCCGGCGGGCGATGCTTGTCCTTCGACCCTCGACAGCTTTGCCCTTGTCCGGCCCTCAGTGGGATGTGAAAATGACTTCCGCCAGGCGACTGCCTCCCAATTGCACATCGACGCTGCTATCATCCAAGACGCATATCCTTGCACGCCGTTGCAGGAAGGGCTGATGGCGCTGACGGAAAAGTCTCCGTCATCTTATCAGTGCAGAGTGGTCTGCCAACTCAGGGAAAGCGTCCAGATCGGGGCTTTCAAAGCTGCCTGGGAGACAGTAGTGGAACAAAACGATATCTTGCGGACGCGCCTCGCTTTGGCGCCCTCACAGAAGATGATTCAAGTCGTGCTTCGTGAGCCTTTCGTCTGGGATGTTGCGCACCTGGCCCAGGGAGAACAAGCGGTCATGGGAGTGGGAACACGGCTTGTCCATGGGTGTATCCTAGACGATGAACCCGCTGGCCCAGTATTTATCCTGACCATCCACCACGTGCTATGCGACCGCTGGTCAATCCGATTGATGCTGGAGCAGGCGCAGTCCATCTATCAAAAAGGCCATGTCCAGTCAAACACCTTTACTCCGTTCATTCGATATATCCAGCAGCAATCACCAGACTTCGACGCCTACTGGAGTACCAGATTCACCAACCTTGAGGCGCAGGTCTTCCCTCCTCTTCCCCAACCAGATTATACACCTGTTGCCAATGGAGAGCTGCGACACGAGCTTTGCCTGCCGCGTCGAGTAGCCCGAAACTACACTTTACCCTCATATATCCGCCTGGCCTGGGCGCTGGTCCTCGCGCACAACACGGCGGTGGACGATGTAGTGTTCGGTGAGACGCTTAATGGACGAAACGCCCGCCTCAACGACGGTCACGACATTGGGCAAATCGTCGGGCCCACTATCGCCACCGTACCCCAGCGTCTTCGACTCGACATGACCAAATCAGTTGACGAGATTCTGGCAGAGCTGCAGGAGCAGGTAGCCCAAATGGCCCCCTACGAGCAGGCGGGTCTCCAGCAGATCCGCCGAGTGAGCCCAGAGGCGGAAATTGCGTGCTTGTTCCAGAGCCACCTGGTCATTCAGCCGGCGGCCAACTTCCCCGGGGACATCTTCCGCAGCGTACAGGCTGACTCTGTCTCCATCGGCGGCTTTCTGTCGTACGCTCTGGCGCTTGAATGCTGTCTGACTGAAGATGAAAGCCGTTTGACCATAGTTGCTGGCTTCGATACTCGCGTGCTAGGCCAGAAGCGTGTCCAGCGATTACTCTCTCATTGGGAGGTGGTCTTGCAGTGTCTTATCCAAGACCCGTATCGGCGGCTGGGTGACGTTCCCGGCGTAGGGCCCGCCGACCTCGACCAGATCTATGCCTGGAATGCCTCCGTGGCCGAGCCATCGCAGCAGATCATCCATGAGGTAATCCGACAACGGGTACAGGAGACTCCTACCGCTCCAGCAATATCGTCTTGGGACGGGGAGCTGTCATACCACGAACTCGAGGAGCGATCGAATCAGGTGGCAATGGAACTTGTAAGACGGAGGGTCCAGCCAGGCAGCTTCATCGCCATCCTCTTCGAGAAGAGCAAGTGGACGACTGTGGCCATGCTGGGTGTGAGCAAGGCGGGCGCTGCATTCGTGCTCATGGACCCGGGGCAACCGGACCAGCGACTATCCACGATCGCTCGCGAGGCTCAATGCACGTTGATAATTTGCTCGGAGACAACCAGGGAGCTAGCGCAGGGGCTCCTAGCAGTGAACTTGGAGGTGGGAGACCGCACTGCTGACATCTGGAACTGCGAGGTGGATTTGGCCCGGCTGCCGCAAGTAAATCCCAGAGACGCAGCGTATGTCGTCTTCACATCAGGCTCCACGGGAACCCCCAAGGGCACAATCATCGAGCACGGCTCCTACTGCACCGCGGCGAAGGAGTTCACCACCTGTCTGCTGATAGACAGCTCCGTCCGAATGCTGCAATTCGCTTCCTACAGCTTTGACTGTTGTATCGGGGAAACCATCAGCACTCTCATGGTAGGCGGCTGCGTCTGCGTCATCTCGGATCACGACCGGCAGAACGCCCTCGCCCGAGCCGCGCGTAATGCCAGAGTGACGAACGCGATGCTCACCCCGTCTGTGGCCCGGCTTCTGCGTCATGAGGATATCCCCTCACTGCGGGTGTTGTCGCTTATGGGGGAGGCAATGCGGCCCGCTGATTACGACTATTGGGCCGAAAGGGTGGTGCTGATCAATGGGTACGGGCCCACCGAGTGCTCCGTGGGCATTTCTTATCAGCCGTATCGGCCGGGCGTGCATGTACGCGACATTGGCCGTCCTCGCGCGGCAGTGGCCTGGGTCACAGATCCCCGCGATCATCATCGCCTGATGCCGGTGGGCGCCATCGGCGAGCTGCTGCTGGAGGGCGATCCGGTGGCGCGCGGGTACATGAATAACCCGGAGCAAACGGCAGAGGCGTTTCCTGAGACTCCGTCCTGGCTTCTGGGCATCCGGAAGACCCATCATCGCATCTACAAGACGGGAGATCTGGTGCACTATAACGAGGATGGCTCCTTGCGGTTTGTGGGCCGGGCAAATGACCAGATCAAGGTACGCGGTCAGCGGCTGGAAAAAGGAGAGGTCGAGACGCAGTTGCGCGAGTGCTGGGAGTGGACGCAGGGCTCGCAACCTGCAGAAGTAGCCGTGGACGCGGTAATGCCCCTGGGGAACCCAGACCGTGTGTGCCTTGCGGCGTTTGTCGTGGTGTGTGACGATATTGAGGAGACTCAGGACCTCTGGGCCGCTCCGGATGCTGACTTTTGTCGCCGAGCCGCCGGCGCAGAAGCACGATTACAGCAGCATCTGCCGCACTTTATGGTCCCCTCAATTTTTGTGCCGCTCACACGGATGCCCCGAATGGCCAGTGGCAAGATCGACCGGCCATTGCTGAGACGCCGCATCCAGTCCATGTCTGCCGATCAGCTGCGCTCCTTCTCTCCTGCCGTAGCATCGAGCCACTTGCCCATATCCCCAGAGGAGAAATTCTTGCAGGAACTCTGGGCGCAGGTGCTTGGTGTTCCAGCAGAGCGAGTGGGTGTTGACGATAACTTCTTTCGCCTCGGGGGCGACTCGATCGCGGGAATGCAGGTCGTGCTACAGGCGCGTGCCAGGCAGCGGGCGTATACACTGGCCGACATTTTCCAGTACAAGACTATTAGAGCCCTCGCTGAGCATGCAGTCGTATCAGAACGCGATACCAGTCCCTCGGAAGCTGCGGCCCCGTATAATAGGTCGACTGACGTGGAAGCGTATAAAACAGTACTAGCTGACGCTGGCATACCAGACCAGGACGTTGAGGACGTATATCAATGCGCGCCGATTCAGCGCGGAATGCTGCTGGTTCAGGCAAGATCACCGGCATTCTACCATGTAGCATTCACCTGGGAAGTATTGAACGAGCCGGTCGAGACGGTCACATTGGCAGTTCAACAGGTGATTGCTCGCCACGCCATATTCCGCTCCTACTTCCTTGAGCCGTCCCTTTTGGAGTCTGAAGAGGCCACCCCGTCGTTCATCCAGGTTGTCGAGCGATATAAGACGAATAATATCCTCATACGGCCCGCCGCAGAGCTGGACAGCTTCCCAGGTGATTTTCATCCCTCATTGCGGGATCCATCCCGGTTTACCATCTACCAGGACGCCTCAAGGATTTGGGTCCGTCTGGACATCACTCATGCTCTATGGGACGGCATTACTTCACTTGTTGTGGAGCATGACCTCGGTCTGGCTTGTCAGAACCGACTGCCTTTGCGCGCCCCTCCCCCGTTCCGGGACTATATCTCGTACGTCCAGAACCAGGACAAGGCGGCTGCCTCTGGATTTTGGAAAGCGCATCTGGACCGTTTCGAGCCATGCTACTTTCCCCCACTCAAGTCGAACGCATCCCCCGACGAAGAATCGCTCTCTCAATGCCATAGATTCGAGATCGATGAGCACGCAGCAATAGCGACATACTGTCGCCAGTACCACGTCACCGCACCGAATCTATTCTGCATGGCATGGGCGCTTGTTCTCCGCGCCTTCACGGGCCTCGACAACGTGTGCTTTGGGAACATCGTCTCCGGCCGCGATATCCCGGTGGAAGGGATCGCTGAAATGGCCGGTCCATTGATCAACTGTCTCCCCTTCCGGGTGAATCTCAGCCGCGGGACCGTGTCCCAGGTGCTCCAAAGCGTGTCGGCTGACTATGGAGCCAGTATCGTCCATCAGACGTGTCCAGTGGCGGACCTTGCACACCATACCGGGCGCTCCCCAATGGCCTTGTTCAACACGCAGATTTCAATCCGGCGACAGGAGCTCGCTGAGAGACAGGTCAATCCGCACACCCGCTTGCGTTCTATCCAGTCACCCGAACCCCAGGAGGTGAGTCTGCCATCACCGCATCTGGTAGTGTCGTCTAACCTTGCCAGCGCCTCGTAAGCGTCTACGTTATTATAGAAGAGCACCGCACCCGCGTGGAGCTCTGGCACTGCACGTCCACCATATCTCTAGGGCAAGCTGCCACCATACAGACGTGTTTCCGCAACGCTGTGTCTCAGATCCTGCATAACGCTGAGCAGCCTGCCACAAGCCTGACCGTCTTAACTCCAGAACAGAAAGGGCTGATCTGGAGCCCGTCTCCCGGCTCAATCACCTCCAGAGTCCGTAAGATGCAGGAAATCTGGGCAGGGGTGTTGAATCGCTCGCCAAGCGATGTATCACCAGACGATCAGTTTTTCCGTCTGGGAGGTGACTCAATGAAGGCGATGAGGGTTATTGCGTTAGCGAGAAGGGAGGGGATGAATATTCGGCTGGCGGACTTTTTCAACGACTATAGATTGATAACGCTGATCGAGGTGTCGGAGCATCATCAGCAGGAGTAGGGGGGACACAACATGCGAGCAGATGCGGATGTTGCTAGATACCATAATACCAATATGGATTACATCAACCTAAACTCCCCATTTCCACGATTACTGCCATCCGGCTGATCTAGCTATTGGCTAGGCGCGAATGGTTCATATGCCAGTCTGGGATGCAACTTTTCCAGTCCATATTCCAAGGCATCTTCTAATGTAACAAGTAATCACATCATCGTCGCACACGAGTCTCCGCTGGGCAGACGTTCCATTCTTCATCATCCCGAACGTGGACTCTCCGAAAGAAGCCATCAAAGCTTCGGGCAAGAGCCCGATACATCTTCCTCAGTGGACCAAGCAGAACCCCCAATACAATACTCACAATAGACATAAGCATGCCAACATGCCGACCCGGGATGAGCTTCAGCACTGCGGCCCAGGGGATACAGAAGGCGGCGCATCCGATGCAAATGGCCCATTGCGAGCCATCCAGGCTGGTGACACCGAACGCTGCACCACCGACAAAGATGATAAGCACCTGTCCGCCAACCATCAGGGCGTTGAGCACCATGAACCATCTGTTTTCCAGAATACCCTGGAAGATGTTGAACCGGTTGTCCAGCTGACGACAGTTCAGCTCGTTGAAGATCTGCATCCAGACGAAGGTGTTGAAGATGATTGTGTCGAGTTCGAGCTGCTGCTGCTGGATCTCGGTATTGTAGTTGAGGATCTTGTCGCCTGCAAAGTACAGTGTGAAACAGAGGGCTAGTTTGTAGATGGATTGGCCCAGCATCAGCTTCCACATGGTCACGGTGAACAAAGGCGCGCTTCGGGGTCTCGGGGGTCGTTGGAGGATTTCCTTGGTGGGAGGCTCGGTGGCTCTTAGACAAGGCAGAATAGAATGTTCAGTACTCTCTCTCTGTCCATCACCACCATGGAGACTACAATCAGTGGGTCTTACAGGGCCGGGGCGGCAAAAGTGTCCATAATCAGATTGAGCCACAGCAACTGGACCGCCTTGAAGACGCTTTCGTTGGAGCTGCTGTAGATGGCCGTCACGACAGTCAGACAGACGGCGGTGATGTTGACCGTGATTTGGAACTGTCTTTGTCAACAAGATGAATAACCAGGGAAGCAGACACAGCACCGGGACCAACGGTACCTGCAGGAACTTGGCCACGGCATCATTGATACAGCGGCCCCAGGCAATGGCCGTGACGATTGAACGAAAGTTGTCGTCGAGTAGAATGATTGAGCTTGCTTCACGCGCCACCTCAGTCCCACTCAGGCCCATCGAGAAACCTACATCAGCAGCCTTGAGCGCCGGCCCGTCGTTGGTCTCATCGCCTGTCACAGCCACCGTCTCACCAAGCCGTTTGAGATATTGCACGAGAAGCTGTTTATCACTGGGAGAAGAGCGAGCCAGGACCTGGAGTCGTGGAACAGTCGTATTCAGCTGCCCCTCGCTCAGCTTCCGGAAGTCAGGCCCTTCCATTGCGATGCCGTCGTCCGTCTTGATCCCGCTGGAGATGGCAATGGACAATGCCGTATTGATATTGTCACCTTGTGCGGTTAGCTCCTACCCATGGTGCCGATAGTAGACATTGGACCGACTCACCAGTGACCATCTTGACCTGGACGCCCGCCGCGTGGCACTTTTGGATGGCTTCGGGAACTTCGGGTCTCAGAGGATCGTGGATACCAAATGCTCCGATCCAGACCAAGTCGTTGAACAGGCTATCGAAGTCGAGGGCAGCCTTCTCGTGGTCTCCGGTCTGCCCAAGAATCACTGCCTTGGAGCTCGCGATACGCAATTCCGATCGTCCGCAACGAGGCTCGGGCAAAGGCAGTGATTTGCCCGTGTATTGTCCGCCTGTCCTCATCCGACATCTGTGTTCTGGCCAGTGATGTTTTGTCCGATGATTCTGGAAGTGTCACTTCAGTGCACGCACCGAGGACGACCTCAGCTGCTCCCTTGACCAGCAATCGGTGCCCTGTTTCCGAGCGATACACGACTGCCATTGTCTTGCGAGCCGAGTCAAATGGGTAAACTTGTTCAATCTGGGCCCTTTCGCGCTCAATTGACACGTCCTCCACAAGACCCGTCTGTGCGAGCCGAAGGAGTGCAATCTCGGTGTTATTCCCGCTGCTCCTCGAACGCTGTTGAGTTGACCACGAGGCTCTTGACCAGTAGAGCCTTGAAGGCTACCGGGTACCTCTGCGTCACGATGAAGGCGATGTCGTCCTGCGGTTGAGATGCATTGGGCAGTCGGCCGAACGATTCCCTGGTACTCAAGAAGCCCGCCGCCACCGTCATCTTGTTCTGCGTCAGGGTTCCTATTTTATCCGAGCAGATGACGGTGGCGTTTCCCATCGTTCGCAGGCACGGGGCTGCCGGACAAGGTTGTTTTCCTTGAGCATACGGGCAGTCGCAAAAGCTAGGGCCAGGGTCACAGCCAGCGGTAGTCCCTCTGTAGGCATCAACAGGCGCTATAGAAGTGCATCAGGAGAAGGCTGTGCTTACCGGGTATTGCAACCACGATCACCGTCGCCGTAACTATGAGAATATCCATAAACTCTTGCCCTTTTACGGTTGACGGTGCATCGTTCTCGGGTAGTCGAGCCAAGAAGCGGAAGAGGAGCACGAAGAAGAAGAGTAGGGCTGCCCTACTCGCTTGTCAGGCACGTATCCATCACGTTTTGTTCTAAGGATACCTACCCTAGTCCGAACCAGCCTATCCAGCTGGCCAGGTTCCCCAATTTCACCTGTAGTGGGGTTGGTGCACTCTCTGTTCCTAGAGACACCATTATTCGGCCGTACGTAGAGTGCGGGCCCACGCTGGTGACCAGATATGTGCCCAGTCCTTCGGGGACTTTGCTTCCCGATATAATGAAATTGTCCCGGTCATCAGCAGCTGCGTCGCCACTGTCTTTCTCAATCTGATCGGATTCGCCCGTCGCCATGGACTCGTCGCATCTCAGCCCATGATTCATTATCACCACCCCGTCGGCGGGGGCACAATCGCCCGGCCCAATATGGACGACATCGCCCACGACCAGATCATTCATATGGACCATCATCGACCTTCCGGAGCGGATCACTCTCACCTGACGATCGACTTTCTGCACCAGGTCAGTAGCATTGTCCGCTCAAGGCCAAGTCCACGGCGGGACAGAACTCCACCGACCAGTCTATTGAGTCTGGCAAACTGCCTCTCCTTAGTCGTTTCCCGCAGTGGCAGTGACCACAATCAGGATAGCCACGCAGACGGCTACACCCTCGATCCAGTCCACCTGCGACTGCCCACTGACAGCTTCATATATCCCAAGCGACAGCGAGACGACGGCCGCGATGGTCAGCAAGATGATGATCTTATCATTATACGCGTCCCAGAGAAGCCTGCCGAAACCCTTCCTCTACGCCTCGGGCAGCACATTCCGCCCGAACACCCGGGCTCGATCGGCGAATGGGACCGAGCTCTCCGTCTTGGACAGTGCAGCCTGTCTCGCCTCTTCGAGTGTGACAGCACCAGGAAGGGTCGTCTCGTCGGCTGACAGCCCAGCGTTGAGATCGGTGCGCAGGCCATACTCGAGGCCGTGAAGTCCACCGAGAGCATGAAGTGCAGGGAGGGACTTGGGGTTGAAGAGCTTGTTCAACTGGCCTGGATAAAAGGCAAAACAGTTGTCTGTGACCTGGAAATCTGTCGCGGTCTGAGGGTCTGGTGCTAATGCTTCAGGTAGGTCGTCTCGAGCGGATGATCGAGGCATGAGACTCATTTTGGCATTGTAGGTAAAGCTGTAAGGAAGTCATTGTTCCCATTTCATTGTTCTGAGAGAGACGTGATATCATACTGTCTATATACGTCCCTTTCAAGATGAAGCGTGGCTGTGTCGGACTCTTCTCGGGCTACCCATGGGTACTCGCATTGCCACCCAAACATTGATCAACCTTATCCTAAAAGCCATGATACTCCACGGCACTACTTAACAATTGAGGTGTGGTGTCCGTTTTGTGATGTTGTGAGCATTGACGCCGCTTGCCAAACACCTAGTAACAGACCCAGCATGGATTTGTAGTCTCAGCATCACCACACAGACAGTCAAACGTCACAAATAGACGGGAGAGCTAACTATCTGATTGACCAACCATGGAGGCGCGTCAACCAAACTCTGGATACTGGCCGGAGACACTGCCTCTCTTGGCCGCATCATCCATAATCATTATGGTCATCAGATACAGTATCCGGTACTTTAGTGACTAAGGGCGCTCAGTTACTGCCTGGATCGTGTTCTCGAGGTTAATTCGACTGCTCGAAAACTTTCATATCGAATTCTAAGATCAGCTCAGCCGTGGAAGGCAGCTTGCTCAACGGCATTCCTCATGTTCTGGTCAGAGACGCGATAACACACGATGATGCGAGCAGCCCGGACCGGGTTTTGAAAAGCGCTACAGAGAGAGACGAGTTCCGCTGTAGCAGTTTATCCTCGCTTAATTCCATTCACATGCACCATAGCCGAAACATTCCATCTTAGACACAAACGAGAGTCCCTCAACAGTGGAGCGGCTGGCTTTCCCAATTCGGAGCCCGCCATCACCACAAACGAACTATAAGAAGCCTGCAGAATACGCTGCGCGCCTGCATCCTCAGTATTTCCATCACAAAACATTACTCTTCCTGCTTTATAACACAAGCTTATATTACTGCATCAAGCGTGCCACAACGACCTACACCATGCCCCTCACCCCCGAGGAAACCGCCCTCGTCGACGCCGCCACATCAACTATAAACGGTATCCCCATCTCAGATACCTACAGCGTCGCCAGCGCCGCGCGGTCGATCGACGGACGTATCTTCACCGGCGTCAACGTCTTCCACTTCACCGGCGGGCCCTGCGCCGAGCTTGTCGTTCTGGGCTCCGCAGCGGCGGCCGGAGCCACGCAGCTGACGCATATTGTTGCAGTTGGGAGCGAGGACCGGGGCATTATGAGTCCGTGTGGACGCTGTCGGCAGACGTTGATTGATTTGCAGCCGGGGATCAAGGTGATTGTGCTTGATCGGGGGGAGCCGAGGGCTGTGGGGGTTGACGAGTTGTTACCGTTTGCGTATCTTGTGGGTTGATCTGCGGTGAGAGATTGAAAGGCCGGTACTCAACGAGGGGAATATTCACTTTGCAATGTTGGATTGGCTTTTCTGATGTCTGTTTCGTGGAGGTTGTCCATTGTTCTAGTGGCCATAAGGCTCCATGGCATGCTTCGATCTGGCTAGAGGCCTGAAGATGATGCTGAGCCTCCTAGATCATTCATTTACAGATTCTTGGCAAGCGACATGACATCTATTGTTCTCATGGAAGAGCCCGTGGGATATTTCTCTTGATGGATGGATTCGCTATCATGAAACTCTATAGACACTACACATTACTCGCCAGACCCTAATAGACCAGAACTATGACCGAATGCAGCGGCAGGTTCCATCACTGTGCAACGCTCAAGAAGAACCCAGCCAAAGCGTTCGCTCCATCCTCCCCAAACATCATCTGTCCATTACTATACGTCTCCTCCGCCTTCTCCCTCGCGCGGACCACCATATCTTCCTCGAACCGCCTCAGTAACGGATCCAGCGCAGCCTGAAACCGCACGACATCCCTCCCAGCTCCCCACGCCTGTACAATGACCCGCGCCAGTAACAGCGCATCCCACATAGCAAGGTTGACCCCCTCCCCGGCCCACGGACACATCAGGTGCGCCGCGTCCCCAACAAGAGTCACACCAGCCTTGTGCTCCCACGCAGCGCCAACAGGCAGCATATACAGCGGTTTGACATCAACCGCACCACCGGGGCCCCCCGCCGTCTCATCGCACGCAACAGCAACCAACTCCTGAACGTCAGCACCGAACCTCCCCAGCAACGCATCGTCACCCAGCAGCTCCTCCTTGCTTACGCCGGCCACCCGCTCATCCCCCGCCGTGAGGAAGACATACACGCGCGCCGAGTCCCGCGGCCCCCGCTGCGTGATCACCCCATGTCGCCGCCCCAGCGCCCAGAAGCTCCCGCGGCCGATCAGCGCCGCCAGGCGGGGGTACCGCGTCGTGATATTGTGGATGGTCAGCGTGACGCTCTGCGTCCCTGCGTAGTGCGGCCTGAGATCCGTCAGGAGGCCGCGGACCCGGGACCAGGCGCCGTCTGCGCCGATGACGAGGTCGAACGCGTGCTTGCCGTGGGGCCCAAAATCCAGCTCTGTCTCGGTCTCGGTCTCTGTGCTGGTTGCGGCGAGGAGCTTGCAGCCCCATTTGATCGAGGCTTCTGGTAGTGGGGTGGTGAGGATGGCCAGGAGCGCGTGGCGGGCGATCTCGGGGCGATGGCCCGAGTCGTCGTCGTTGCTGTAGAGGATCGTGCCGTCCTTGTCTGCGACCTTTTGCGTCTCGGCGCAGTCGCCTGTGTGCTTGAGGAATTGGTCGTAGAGGCCGCATTCGCGGATTGCGGCGAGGCCGGATCCTTCGTGCAGATCGAGCATCCCGGATGGTTGTGATGATTCTTCGGCTGTTGGCTTCTGGCGCAGCTCGAAGATGGTGAAGGGGATGTCGTGTGCGTGCAGGAGGACGCCTAGAGTGAGTCCGGCGGGGCCAGCGCCGACAATGGCGATTCGGGGTTGGGGCATGGCTCGACAGAGATGAAATATCAGGAGACAATACTGTTCTTACGATTCTATCGCAGCTGCCAAGATGAAGCTTAAATACCTATGCCAAATCTTGTAGCCTACTGCCTCGGGGGTTAGTATCGCCCGAGCGCAGTTTTCTAACCCCGATCACGCCCCTGTTCGGGTTCCTATCCTTCATTGACAGTAAAAGTGACTATTAGCAGCTATACCACTGACCTTGGCCTAGTTGAGCGTAAGTCGAATTTCCAGTTGATCTCCGTTTTCGAGAATATAAGAACCAAAATATGGAATGTATCAAGGAGTGAAGTCTCGGATTAAGCATATCCTGTAATGTTCGAAGTACATGCCATGCAAATGCCTTAGCCCTTGTGCGAAGGGGTGTTAATGATAAACCTCAGAGCAGCACGTAGATTCATCGCACTCTTATCAAGAAGGAAGAATACACAAGGTCAAGTTCTCGCCTGCGACAAACCTCCTCACATGCTTAATATCCCAGTCATGCCAGGATCGTCAGGGTAACTTCCCAGCAAGAATATCCCAAGGCAAGGCTGACTATTGATGCCCCTCTAGAGAAGACATTGAGCAATCTGCCCTTTGGATGTAGCCATGCCTGGCTGATTCAACTAGCAGGATTCCATTACGTATTGAACCAATGCCCCCCTTGACGCAGCTTGACTCTACGAACTATTCTGATATAGTTCTGGCAGCTATAGCAAACAAACAATTCCGGCCAATGATCCGTCCCCATCAAGCAGCCATGCCGATCATTGCAGCCACCGACTCTCAGCGACCTGTCAATCTAGCCATCCTCTCCGATGATCCTGCAGAGGGCATTTCCCCGCAATCGGTGGAGCTGAAGTGAAGTCTTGACAGGGTGGCGAAGACATCCCGAAGGCAACCATTTGATCATACAGAAATGTAGCTCTGCCAAGGACGGTTCACATTTCCAAGCGACTGCAAATAGCGCACCAAGGCAAGAGACAAGCTGAGTCTCGAACGCCTGCTCCATGCTCTAGGATAAATACGAGGTTTGCATATGCGGAGTGCCGATCCTGACTGAGACACCTGGGTGATCAATGAGCATCCCAGCTGTACTCGTTCCGGCAACTAATGGCGAGTAGCCTTGGTGAGCAGAGACATGACAAGCCATGAAAGCTGTGGCTAGCTGAGCAGCTGGCAGCTGCGAGGCGATAGACGTCGTCACACTTGCTGAGACATGCCTCGACAGAGCGATATCAAAGGCTTGTCTATTGTCAGCTCTAATACTTGTACACTGAGTGAAAGAGGGTATGGTAGTCCTGTATGCTCTCCTATATTCACCAAGAGGTGATGGATACACCATCGGGACTGTCCAATCCATGGGCGACTGCTGGTGGTGACATCAGATACCCTCTTCTCAAGGGACTCCATCAGAACAGACCAGCCCGGATTGAAACATTTATGTGAGACATCTCAATCCGTCACACTGCATTGCGCCGACCATGCAGTGTTCCTGTCTACTGGCGGGGAGCACCTGTCAGTCTTCTCATGACCAGTAGATTCAGTCTTCGTAGCATGGACCAGCTGATCAAAGACACGACCATTTGATTTGTCCCGTGTCAAACAGACGTCGAGCTGTTTATGGCCGGCGTCATAGCTGAACGGCGTCAAAGAGACTGCATAAGGAGTGGCGGCGGAAGATGGTCACAAGTCCCTCAGAGAGTTGCTCTTAGGTAAAGGCGCAAGGCGATCATAGTCCTAGCAGTGAAGTGCAAGTGCAATGGCCTCGAAAAAACATAAAAGGGAACGAAACCCACGGCCAGGACAACCCTCTCCCCCATCACCATCGCCATCATCCGACCAACACTGCAAATACATCAAATACATCTTGATTCCAACTCTAGCCATTCTATCCACGTGCTTCATTATGAAGACCCTCGCCCTCACCCTCGTCACCCTGCTCCTACAGGGGAAAAGCCTGCAGGCCAAAATGTACCGCCAGAACATCCTCACCTTCGAGGTGAGCCCCGACGCACGCGTCACCGGGCAGAAAATCGAGTACAACGATCCGGACTGCGACCCGGGCATGCACTGCGTCGTGACCAAGACCTGCGCGGCCCCCGGCACCGGCCCCACGCTCAGCGCGGACAAGAAGTACTTCGCCTGCTGCCTGGCGGGCCAGCGGCTGCTCGGGAGTCCCGAGACGGCGTTTGACTGCTGCGCCGAGGGCCATGATCTGGCGGGCTCGGCGCAGACGGGCTACCACTGCTGTCCGACGGGGTATACCTTTGACGGGGCGCAGTGCAAGCAGGTGTGCAAGAACGGGAAGCAGCTCGTGAACGGGCAGTGTGTTTGCCCCGAGGGGACGAGCGAGGCGGCGGACGGGGCTTGCCAGACGAGTCAGAAGGCGATTTGTTCGTCTGGGCTGGAGACGGGTGAGTACATCACCTACCTGCCTTGCGATGATGCTAACGACAGCAGGAAAATGCTACACCCTCACGGCCGAAAACGGCAACCGGCTGGGCCTGCGCAACGACGGGGTGTACTACGCCGCGCCGGACAGCATGGTGCAGCGGTACGGCAAGTTCCAGCTCTGCGCGGACGAGAAGTGCACCGCGGGCAAACCCGTCAACCCCTCGGACAAGACCTTCATCAAGGATCTGTACGGGGACGTCGCGACGGGCGCCAACGCGGGGCAATGGCTCAACAATGCGCAGAACGGGGCGCATATCGGGCGGACGCCGACGTTCGCCAACGCGGGCCAGTTCGCGCTGAGCAAGTGGCCCTGTGGCAAGTACTGCCTGGGCGGGTTCACGGCGGGCGTGGGACCGGCTTGTCCGGCGGAGATCCCGGCCATGACGTTCTACTCGCAGGATCCGCAGATGTGTGTGCCGTTTGAGTTGACCGAGGTGCCGTGTGACATCAGGGCGGATGTGAATAACTGTATCTGGAGGAATGGGGATCAGTGCTGCAATAGGGTTGACTGCACTTGGAAGCTCTAGCCGGGGTTAACTGTTTGTCCTCTGTCGACCGATCTGTGTGCTTGTGGAACTGGCGAGTGTTTTCAGGAGTTGCAAATGTTCGTCTTGCAAGTAGTGCGCATGTTCATATGTCTATGAGTATCTCTCGTTGCAGTAGCTGTTATTGTCCTGAATTTACTGATCAATTCATTATTGCCTTGAAAACATTAAACTGTTTAGTCTATAGGTTTAATACGAGCCTGGATAACATATTGAATTCCACATAGTTGGAGTCTGGATCTGGCACACTGTGGACAAGGACGGACGATTCCCTTCTGGACACGGAGACGGCATGCTCCATATTGCATACTCCGTGTGGCTGACGAGTTGGTGCCTGTCGATCGATGCGGGGAATCTTCAGTACTACAGTAAGTCAGTAATATGGAGAAATAAGCTGGAGAAGAGCTAGTCCTGCCGCTTGACGGATTCTAGTCCACCAATGCCATACTTGCAAGGCGTGGCGTCCACCATTCCGCATCTATCACGGACTCGGCTCAGTAATTAACAGAGAGATGATCGTCTGGTGAGCACAATCGATTCAAGGAGATGGTCATGCTGAATTGAGCACGGGGAACGGGCCGTCCTTGGCTCGAGCCATCGACTATATAACACTACATTTCGCCATGAATGTCACCAACAGCAAACAACAAGAATGAAGTTCTCATTCCTCACTCTCGCCGGCCTCCTCTCGGCGATGGCCCTGGCCGCCAGAAAGCCCAACCATGACGCCTTCGCCAGCACCTCGGGGCTCAAGTTCTCCATCGACGGCACGACGGGCTACTTCGCGGGCTCCAACTCGTACTGGATCGGCTTCCTGACCCAGAACGCCGACGTGGACCTGGTCTTCGACCACATGAAGGAGTCCGGGCTGAAGATCCTGCGCGTCTGGGGCTTCAACGACGTCAACACGGTCCCCGGCGCGGGAACGGTGTACTACCAGCTGCACGTCAACGGGACGTCGACGATCAACACGGGCGCGGACGGCCTGCAGCGGCTGGACTATGTCGTGTCCTCGGCGGAGAAGCGCGGCATCAAGCTCATCATCAACTTTGTCAACAACTGGGATGACTATGGCGGGATGAATGCGTATGTCACGGCGTACGGCGCGACGGACCACAATGATTTCTACTCGAACAAGGAGATCCAGAAGGCGTATCGGCGGTATATCCACACCATAATCTCGCGGTACGCCCACTCCCCCGCGGTGTTTGCGTGGGAGCTGGCGAACGAGCCCCGATGCAAGGGGTGCGATACGGAGGTGCTGTACGAGTGGATCAAGGCGACGAGTCGGTACATCAAGTCGTTGGACAGGAAGCATATGGTTTGCATTGGCGACGGTGCGTCTCTCCCTTTTCTTTAGTAAATGACACAGTCACTGACACTACACTGACAATAGAGGGCTTCGGGCTGGATCTCCTCTCCGACGGCAGCTACCCCTACACCTACGTCGAAGGCAGCAACTTCACGCGCAACCTCGCCCTCCCCACCATCGACTTTGGAACCTTCCACCTCTACCCGGACAGCTGGGGCACCTCGCACGAATGGGGCAATGGGTGGGTGCAGGCGCACGGCGCCGCGTGCAAAGCGGCCGGCAAGCCCTGTCTCTTCGAGGAGTACGGCGTCACCTCGGACCACTGCGCGCTCGAGACGCCCTGGCAGAAGACCGCGTTGAACACTACTGGCGTCGCGGCGGATCTGTACTGGCAGTATGGCGATACTCTGAGCACGGGGCCGTCGCCGGATGATGGGAACACCATCTACTATGGCACGGATGAGTTCCAGTGTATCGTGACGGACCATGTGGCGGCCATCAAGGCGAGCCGCGAAGCAGTGTTGATTTGATCTGTAGCAGTCGTGTAGAGTAATTAGTGTCAAATAAGCATTCTACTTATCACATTGTCATATTGACACTAGCATCATCACAATGCTCCTTTCCGTCGACTAGATCTGAGTCTAGGTCAGGATGTCTAGAGCATAGATTGACAATCAAATAACCCAATACTGTATCACTAGGCATACTGGAGACAAGCTCAGCCAGTTCATCCATTTGATAATGTTTTTTTTGTTATATCCTCTGGTATAACATGATATCCAGATCCATCAGCACCTGACCAATGAGGCAAAAGGAGAGAATCTGAGCTATGACAAACAGGTTATTTGCCCTGTTCCTCATGATCGTCTGTTGTGGTTGTAGTACATATCGATGCATAAGGCAGTATGTAATCCATTGATTGCCTAGAAGCTGGCAGAACCTCCAAGATTGCATAATACCAGAGAGTAGAGACACAGCATAGAAATAGGGTGACAGTGCTCGATTCGATTGAATTGAACTGTTGATCCTCCATATAGAGTTGTTTTCCATCCATGTGGCAAGGTAAGGTAAGGTTATCCACGGAGTCCCAAGCCGTCCTTTAGTGGCGAGTGGCTCTTAACGACAGCCACTAAACTCTGCAGAGACTTACATGGCATGATCTGTTGCTATCACAAGATGATATCTTATCGGAAGATATTAAGCGATATCAAGATGAATTTATTGAAAGAGCGACAGCTTACAGCCAGACAGCCACAGCCAGATTCCGGTCCGGTTGCCGGTCCGGTTAGTTGCGGGTTGTGGCTGGGATCCCTTATAGTGATACAAGATACAGAACTGAATGACATGGCTCAGGAAACTTTGAGAAAAGGTTAACTGGATTCAAAGTTCAGAGAGTGTAAGGACAGATGAGATGAGATAGATGATTCTCCAGAAAGTACAGAGTAGTGGATCTGTAACTGTTTCTATTATGTAAAATCTGGGGATATGGGTCAATGGATGGGTCAATGGGTCTTCCCCAGATCATATGATTTAGACTCTAGATCTATTCTATCAATGAGCTGAACATTCTCTTCAGTCACTACATACAGTCCATCTAGTACCTTACTATCAGCTATTAGCATCAGTATCAGCTACAGCTACAGTATCATATCATATCATATCATATCAGCTATTATCTATTACTATTATCTTCTTGTGCGTTCAGCCACAAAGATAAATAGCCCCTAGACCCAGACACTAAACCCTCTCCAGCCTAGCCTGACCCTATATGCCTCGTGTCTCTTCTTCCAACCAATCATCTGGCTGGCCACTCCCCGCATCCTTGTTCTTATCAGCGTGGTGCACCAATGGCAGTGCCCTGCTGTTGTCAGTGTCACCGCACCGGTTGCGGGGAACCGGTGAGACAAGAGGAGATCTCATGCTGTCTCATGGCAATAGGCAATAGGCAATAGCTAGATAACCTAACCGACCTCGGGCGAGAATCCTACTTAATCTCCCGTTCTCCCGTCCCCCGGTCAGTTGGTCTTGGTCCCCCAGTCTTCCATCTTTCCTTGTACTCCGTATACTCCAAGGGTACATACAATGGCTTCCGAAGAAAAACCCACGGCTTCACCCCCCTACCATGACCCCGAGACCGCCGACGTCAAACATGGCACGCTCCAGGCCATGGTCGAACGCGATCTGCTGGACGAGCGCTACAAGATCACCGAGCGCGGACTGAAGAACCGCCATGTGCAGATGATGGCGCTGGGTGGCACCATCGGGACCGGTCTGTTTGTCGGGTCCGGCCAGGCGCTGGCCATCGGCGGGCCTCTGTCGCTGCTGCTCGGGTACCTCTTCATCTCGGTGCTCGTGTATGCGCTGGTGACGGGGATGGCCGAGATTGGCGCGTATCTGCCGGTGCATGGCGGGACAATGAGTTACCACGGGTTTCGGTACGTGTCGCGCAGCATGGGGTTCGCCATGGGATATCTGTATTGGTATTCGCTGGGGATCCTGGTGCCGTACGAGATCGTCGCCGCGTCCATGGTCATTGATTACTGGCACCCCGGCGTGCATATCGCCGTGTGGATCACCATCATGCTGGTCATCATTGTGCTGCTGAACTTCATGCCCGTCAAGGCGTACGGCGAGACCGAGTTCTGGTTCGCCGGCATCAAGATCATCACCCTGATCGGCCTGCTGCTCCTCTCCTTCATCCTCTTCTGGGGCGGCGGCCCCAACCGCCAACGCCTCGGCTTCCACTACTGGAAGGACCCCGGCCCCATGAACGAGTATCTGGCGAGCGGCGACGCGGGCCGCTTCGTCGGCCTGCTGCAGTGCATTGTCAAGAGCGCCATCGCCTTCATCTTCGCCCCGGAGCTCATCATCATCTCCGGCGGCGAGATGGAGTCGCCGCGCCGCAACGTGCCCACCGCCGCCCGCCGCTACATCTACCGGCTCGTCTTCTTCTACATCCTCGGCGCCCTGGCCATTGGCGTCATCTGCTCCTCCAAGTCCCCGCAGATCATTTCTGGTAATGGCGACGCCTCCTCCTCCCCCTGGGTCGTGGCCATCCACAACGCCGGCATCCCCGCCCTGGACAGCATCGTCAACGCCGCCATTCTGACGTCCGCCTGGTCCGCCGGCAATTCCTTCCTGTACATGTCCTCGCGCTCGCTCTACTCGCTCGCCGTCTCGGGCAACGCCCCCAGCATCTTCAAGGCCTGCAACCGCTGGGGCGTCCCCTACATGGCCGTCGGCGTGTCCGCCCTGTTCTCGCTGCTGGCCTACCTGGCCATCGGCAACGGCTCCAGCACCGTCTTCAACTGGCTCATCAACTTCACCAACACCTCCGGCTTCATCTCCTGGATCTGCTGCAGCATCGTCTACTTCCGCTTCGACAAGGCCTGCAGGGTCCAGGGCATCGAGAAGCCGTACGCCTCCAAGCTGCAGCCCTATGGCATGGTCGTCGGCCTGGTCGGCGCCGTCGTCCTGGCCCTCATCAACGGGTTCACCGTGTTCTTCCCGTCCGAGTGGTCCGCCAGTAACTTCTTCACCGCGTACATTGGCATCCCTGCCTTCCTGGTGCTTTATTTCGGCCACCGGCTGATCTTCCGGCACGATCCGTGGGCGTGGCGCAGTGAGGAGGTCGATATGCAGACGGGGTTGGCGGAGATTATTGCGGCGGAGCGGCCGCCCCGGGTCAGGGATACCTGGTGGAAGAAGATGATGGTTATCATTGAGTGATCTGTATCTGTATATGTCTAATTCAACTGTGGTCTTAGACAGATTGCACTGTACCACCTCATAATCAATGAACATGATATGCATGAACTGTATGTTAGTAAAGGTAATTAGCCAGGATCCATTGAACGAACACTGATAAACAGATAAGATAGGAATGATAGCAAATCGGCACACCCCGACGGCCACATCCGTCTCTCACAGTCACACATATAACAAGTTAACAACCATATAAACCCATACAGCCAAGTACGAGTATAGTCCAAGATCAAAATGCCCACCCTCACCCCTTTACCCCACGCCCCCCTCGGCGCCGTCCTCACAGACATCTCCCTCG